AGACTTATTTGAATAAGATCAGACACAAAAACTAATGATTTATTGATGAAGACAAGAGTTATTCTATTTATACTAAGTTCTGAATGCCAAAGTAGCAATTTATCTTGTACAACGCTTATCACATCTGGTGAACCTCAGTATTTAGATAGCTGAGATGCACTTCACTTATCATAGCTTGTCCATGTTGTTGCACAACACAGACATATCTACCCATCAAGAATACCTTAATCTTTATAGACAGTTGTAGCCCTTCTGGCACAACAGAAATCATTATCTGCCTACTACTGCGAGACGGTGAAGTTCAAGAATATATGGGCATCATACCTAGGTGATGATGTGATATTAGTTCCCAATGAGTCAAGTATGGAAGATTTTTATCTTCTAGCAGCATATGGAATTCCTATGTCTCTTCTTATATCCGTCAAGCTCATGAAAAAAACGATTGACTAAGAGGTCCATCGGTGATGCCCATAGTTTAGTTTTCAATAATGAGGGGGTCTTTATTGTCATCTTTTCTGATACATCTTGCAGCAGTTTGATTTTACGCACTCGCAATCCAGCAGTAGCTAAAATATCTAGCCCTAGTTTGCTGACCATCCGTTTTTTGATTTAAATTTATATGCTTACAACGGGCAGTATGTCATTGATATTTTACATTAGAAGCTTTTAAAGAAACAGTTGTTCAATGTTACGGCGGTACCAATTGTCTTTCCAAAAAACAATCAAAGTATAATACGTAGGGTTCTTTGGGTTTGTGTATCTTCTCAATTAACTATACTTCTGCAACACCTTCCAGTATTTTGTATCGCTCAGTAAATAGCATGATGGAAACAGGAGCTCACCTCAACATGAATCACCTTTTCATTATTTTTAATTAAATTTTAGACAACGCAAATAGACATTAATAAGAGGAGTTGGTAAATAATACAAGTTGAATTTATTAAATAACAAAAAAGAACTATTCTGGCAGTATCATTTAGCTTCATGTAGTAGAAAATACTAATACATTACTGACGGTGTTCACCCACGAGAAGGGAGATACTAGTTGAACCCAAAAGGAAATCTGAAATGAACATGCAAAGTCAAAAAGATGACAAAGACGCACAAATCAGTTGGTGAACCTTGCTTGATGAGATTGAAGCTCAAGTGGAGATGCTAATAGCTACAAAGCTACTCGCCCTAGAACTCGAACGGTACCGACTAGGATGCACCGCTAGCACTATTACCTTCATAATAGAGTATCGTTACCAGCACCATTCACCTTTGCTAGTTTTGACTAGGTCTACCACCGCTGGTTTCAGTAAGAAGAGACTTGGAAAGTTAAAGATCGTCATTGCTAAAAGAAAAAAAAATATAAAAAATAAAATTGGCTGTAAAGGGTGTGTATATGTTGGAAAAAAAAAGAGGAAACGTGAGAGAAAAAAAAAGGGGGTAGCGTGACAGTGGCCGCGTCTCAAAATCTACCAAGCAAGGAAAAATAGACCGAGGATAGGGTTGCCATAGACTACCATGAATAAACTACCTGATATACCAGACTTTTGAATACATTGGTGCCGTTAGGCTTCTCGAGTAAGTTTAAAGACAGTCGAACATTAAGCATAAGCACAGTCTACCATTTCAAATACAAGCGAAATAGTGTAAGCTTGGTATGTTTTCTGACTTGAAAGCATACAAAAGAAGGCTTTTCGCTTGGATGAAAAGCCACAGACCAACCAGACACCAGGCAGAAAATATCCTTGAATCACCAGTTAGTTGACACATCGCAAGGTAGCTGCACACTGTATACTGACCATATTATACTTGTATTCTTGTCAGGAACTTGGACTTGGAACTTGGACTTGAAACTTGGAACTTGATACTTGACTTGATTGAGATGGTTTGTTATTGAAGAATAATTGTTTTAAGGTAAGAAAGGATATAGAAGATAATTTACAATTGGAAACGGATGAAGTGGAAAGGGGCATGATATTTATACTTGACAAAAGGTGCGGACATAAGCGCCGAGACATGAGTGATTATTACGGCATGGGTAATGATTTGTAATCAGGACTACGCGGACATACGTAATGATTTGTAATCATTATTACTAATCGTGGTTAAAAAGCATAACTCATGATTGTGTGATTCTTGGCATTGCCAAATACTTGACGATAATAGGTACTTGGCATGCATAAGGTTATATATAGTGCTGAATACTTCCCACGAAATAACGATTACTAAACTAATGAGCGACGAGCTAGAGCTAAGCCAAAACCACGCTGTTTATATCAGCCTCTGCATTCTGTTATTTTAGTGTATCACCATCTTCAACTTGGAATATATTGCTCAGCAGCAGCATATGATGAGCATTTGTTTAACCTAACAAATCCAAAGTAGCATGCGTGAGTCTTTCATTGCAACTTGCCTGCCAGCCTTCTCTTCAAATGAACATTTGTTATTTTGAGTAGTAGAGATTATTATCTAGGTACTAATCAAACCTCTTTACTAGCCAAACGATCTCGCTACTCTCGATGATGGCGTCGCCCTGTGGGCTTTCGCCGAAGATCATAACCATTCAATCAATAATGTAAAAAAGTTATATCAGAGTTGGGAGAGGGGATCTTCCTCGAAACCCATCTTTGCTTATACAATGATATATAACGAAAGCTATTATTAAGACGATGTGAAAAAGAGCTCAAGTTTCATGCAGCATTTGTACACTACATTATCGTCAACATCTTTAATCTATTTTCCTGTTTCAATGTACGCCGACTACTAGATATTAACAACATGTGACACCCACATCAGCGCATACACCAGCAACATAATCTACATCGATAGTTTTCTTGATTACTCGTTCAACAAGTTTGTAGACTCTCCACCCTAACATCACAACCTAGATCCTTTTCCTACCTTTTCTCTGCTCAAGAAGCGATATTTTACGGCTCCATCAGAAAAGACGAAATATAACAAGAAGGTTGCAACGCAGTTGCAGCAGCTCCCATTACCTTCCTTCGTTCTTGCCCTACAACTACCTGTCCATCTTTGTCTGATATACTGGAAGGCCTCCAAGACTTTCTAGCCCTTCAATTTGAGAGGCTGAAACAGAATATCGTTTTTCTCATCCACTGTCGACTCACGTGTACAAAACATGAAAGACAAGCTCAATTCCACTAATACTAATCAACAAATACCACAAGACTAAATTACTGATGTTATCAAACGCCTGGAACGTCCGGAATCAAATCAGCATGAAATGTTACGCAACGCTTATTAGCCCACAAGCCCCAATCCAATAACAAGCATACAAGATTAGGAATTCCCATCTTTGCAGTCCGAATATGCCAACTCCACCCTATCACCGAATGCACCCGCACCAGGTACCCAGATGACGGCCATTTGTAAAGGCGACTTGCGGTTGTTTACACCAGTCTCAGAAAACCAAGAATTTCAGTATATCTGCCTTCGAAAACCATTCTAGGAAAATTGCTCAAAACTTTGCAAAGCTAAATTCAATTCAGGTTCTATTATTAACATCCATTACCCAGCCAGTAAGGTAGTGGCATTATTAGCTCACAATGATTTTATCCCAAAAGCTCTAGAATTCCCGAGAGTCGAATACCTGTACCTATCACAAATCTCAGCCCGCCTGATCCCGTCAGTTTACTTGACCCCACATCCAAGGATACACCTTTAGATGAGCAAAATCAGCCCATGCAAGAAATATTCAATCAGCAAGTTTACAAGACATTACAATTTTTACGTCCTCCTACAGTGAACCAGGCCAAGATCATGTTCCTAAATTTTTAATCATTGTCACTATGGATACTGGAAAACTATGTACTTAAAAAGTAGACAAGACAATCTCTTTTTTTCAAATATAATTCTAAAGAATTGAGAGCTGGACAACGGTGACAATGGGGAGGGGGGTTGGAAGGTTTACCATAGCTAAGCAACAATAAAAAACCTACGATAGCTAGGCATCTAATTCAACACTTCATAGCATTGATCTATATGAGGGCCAGATCGCAGCGAAGCGAAGGTGCAAAACCATACTATTCAAGCAGCCAATTCAGTTTCTTATTTCCATTATTATCAAGCTTACCAAAAACAAAACGCATCAGAATTTGCATGAATTAGCTTTATCAAAATCAATAATACGCCTCATATTTGTTTAGGATATAGATCATCTCTGAGAGGCAAATGTATTAGGCGTTGTATATTACATAAGAGGATCTGAGAATGAGCTAAGATGCATAGTAGAAGTGAGAGGTCTTTATTCAAGCAGCACGAAGGAACATGAGTGGTACCATCAAATGGCTAATCTATATCCTGGTTCCTGGAGAGTGGTAGCCTATGACCTTTCGTCCCTGGAAGTGGGTTTCAATTCCGACAAATGTTCTTCCGTCAAAGCTATTAGGAAGAACATTCTATCCTGGATCATCTTTGTTGTGTATCCTTGACTGGTGGTTCATGAGTTCTTATACAGCACATCCTCGTTAACTGGTTCAAGGCTTATACAATTATACCGCATTCAAGATCAAGGTCCTATTGCTGCGGCACTGTCAAATAATAACTATAAATACCTTTGATACCTGCAGTAGTTTTGATCCCTATTCAATCTTGGAATAACATAATAAATATACTCAGTTCTAATTGTATTTACTCTATATCTCGTTATTCTAAACACTATTATATTTAGAAGTTGCACAGGCTGCAGAACTGCCCTTCCAGAAGACTTCAGCTATCAAAGATGTGATTCATGCCGTGTAAAAAAAAGCCATAAAGCAAAACATAACCAAATTTGACGGCTTTCAAGCCTTTATATCTTGACATGTAGGCTTTTCTGAGCTGTCAGAATGACACCAAACAAATGTACTTGAGTATTAATAACTTCCTGTCACCTTTTCTCAACTTTTTGAGGATCCAAACAACATAGCCGAAAATCGATAAAAAACCATGAGATACTTTTTTTTTCAAAAAAAAAATGTTTTTATTGATTGCTCCGTGTAAGTAGGTCCCTAAGGCATTACCAAGAGGCGGGCGCAATTGGTATGATATTCAATTATATTTAGGATAAAGCGATAGATGACAGGAACAGATGATAGATGACAGTTGTGATTAGAGAATTGCAATTGTTTGTAAATTTCAGTTTGGGCATGTAGTTGAAGGAGCTCGTTCTTGACCTGCTGGACCACATCGATCCATGTAAATGGAGTCGAGTGAAAGATCTTACGAACTTGAGCTCGCCAAATGTTGCCAAGTGTTACCAGTACGACCATGTCAGCAGTCGTGTACGATTTGGAGACATACTTGATGTTTTCAAACTCAAGAGAGGAACAGGTTTGGATAATATTACCAATCAAAACGGTTGGCCACAAGAATTCAAAGATGATAGCTTTCCAGATGGATACCTTACTGGAACAGAGGAAAAGCAAGTGTACAGCATTTTCTTCGTTACCACAGATCGGGCAGAGAGGTAATTCAGTTATCTCAACGTAATGTAGCAGGCGTTTGGTAGGGATGGTGTGTGTGAGGAAGCGATAGATGACATTACGGTGGATATCCATGAGGTACCCCTCATGGTTTTCATTGAAATTTAAACAAACGCGTTTTTCACCTCGAAAATGAAGACTTTTACTATGGTAAGTATTAAATCAAAATGTTTCTTTGAATCCAAAGCAACTTCTGAAATCACTTTAATAAGATCTTTATATGCTTAATTTTGACATTTTGGCCAAAAACCTTATTTCGGGTTTTCTGTAATTGCTCATTAAGTTGAGTCAAAACAAGTATTTTACTTGGTGTCATTGGCAGCGCCTTGAAAAGTACTGCAAGAGTGTATTAGGGAACATTGTATGATTATCACAATCTATATAGGCGAACATCACAAAATAGATTAAGCAAATCGAAAAATATAATTTTTTCTTTTAGGGCATATAAATGCTTTATTTAAAGTCCTTTAAACGTCACCTAAATAAAGTGAGAGGGGAAAAAGACTGGATATATGAATATACAGGGTGTCGATTTAGAGAAGCTGATCTAGGTTTTCCTGGGAATGTAAGGTTGTGAGAGATGTTTGAAGATAAAGGAGAATGGAAGGTAGAAAGGGGGTGTTGTTGAAGTGGTGCTGATAGTGGTAATACCATACAGTCTGCAGCATACAAGCAAAAAAGACCTGGTGGATTGAAAGGTCTGGGTATACTGGATGATGTTGTCAAGATGGGTGGTGTTCTAAAAGCAGGATTTTTCTGAAATTGGAATAGGTATTCTGTGCGACGGAGGGTGGCATATACACGTTGAAGGCGGCGGACCAAAAGGAGCGTTTGGCAGGACAAGCAAAGAAAAATTGCTCTGTAGTCTCCATGGATGAATTGCATATAGAGCAGATGGGGTCAGGAGGAGTTTTGAGGCGACTCTGTAGCAGTTCTCTAGTAGCGATCTTGTTATGAAGCACGCGGTACCATGTGTTTCTTGCATTCAAGGGAAGGCGTAAGGATCAAAGCATTTGCCATTTGAAAGGTGCCAGAATTTTTGGTGGAGTCTTCGAGGGAGGTGAGGGAGGAAGGGATTTGAAGCCCTTGGTAGATAGAGGAGCTATCTGGAAAAATACAAAATTTGCCTAATCTTGAACAGAAAGAATAAATTGAGCTTGATATCATTTTTGGAGGCGGAATTGCCGCTGGCTAACCTACCGCAAATGCCTATCTTTTGATGGCAATAATGTTGATTGCGATGCTGACTAAATGGGATCATGGAATTAAAAGAATAATTGCTTGGCCTAAATACTTCTTTTGGAGAGCTTTTCCTTATGAAGGTGTCTTTTGCAATGACAGTATCTCAAAAAAGTTGCAGTAGATGTTACTCAAGTCCTGAATTTACTTAGGACCAGCTTTACGTCGCCATATTATTCAGAGCATCAACAGCAGTGAATGATATGGCAACGCTATCATCTGAAAAAAATGGAGATTGTGGTTTACAAATGCTGCATAAACCTTGAATTTTTTTTCACAGCGTCTCAATAATAGGCTTCGGTTGGTATCAGTGTAAGTAAACAGGGCGCTGATGGTGATACTTCCTTTCCTCCTCCTCCAGGCTCTTTTTTTTTGTATTAAGATGTATCTTTATTACTTTCTCCAGACTCTGATATAACCTTTCTTTTACTAATAGTTGGTTGTTTAATATCAACTTCATATTATGCCAAAATTTTATTATATCTGACTTATTATGTCTCCAGTAAGAGCCTGCAGGATGTCGCCATCGTCATTGAGCGTAGCGAGATTGCATTAAATTCAACATTTGGTAACATTAGACTTAATAGGCTTTACCGCAGCCGAGCAAAGGTGTAAAACCGTAGAGTTCAAGCAGTAAATTCGAGTATATATTTCCGCTTTTATAAGTTTACCAGCAACATTTCGCATCAAAATTTGCATGAATTAGCTTTACCAAAATCAATATGCCTCCTCTTCGAATTAAAAATTGCGCAACCTACAGAACTGCCCTTCTAGTAAGTTGCAGCTAAGAAAGATGTGATTCATGCTGTGTAAATAAAAGCCATAAAGCAAAAATACAGCCAAATCGGACACTTTTGAAGTCTTCATATCTTGACATGTAGACTTTTCTGAGCCTCCGGAATAATACCAGGCAATTGTACATGAATAGTAGTAACTTCCTGACATCCTTGCTCAACTTTTTTGGTCAAAAAAAAACATGGCCAAAAATCGATCAAAAACCATGAGGGATACATCATGATTTTCATTAAAAATCAAACAATCGCATTTTTTACCTTAAAAATGAAGACTGTTACTATGGCATATACTAATTCAAAGTGTTTCTCTCCACCCAAAGCTACTTCAGAAACCACTTTATGAGGTCTTTGTATGCAAAATTTCGACATTTTGGCCAAAAACCTTATTTCGTGTTTGCTGTAATTGCTCATTAAGTTGAGCCAGAACAAGTATTTTACTTGGTGTCATTGGAAGCGCCTTGAAAAGTACTGCAAGAGTGTATTAGGAAGCATCGTATGATTATTGCAATTTATATAGTTGAATATCTCAAAACAAATTAAGGAAGTCAATCTTGAACAGAAAAAATAAACTGAGTTTGAATCAATTTTGGTGGTGGCGGTATTGCCGCTGACTGACCTAGGTGTCTTTTTGTTGATCACAATGACGGTTGTGATGCTGATTAAATGGGGGTCTTGAATTTGAAAGAATTATCGATGCTGTGCCAGAAGGCCTACAACTGTCTATAAAGATTAAGGTATTCTTTATGGGTAGATATGTCTGTGTTGTGCAACAACATGGACAAGCTATGATAATTGAAGTGCATCTCAGCTATCTAAATACTGAGGTTCACCAGATGTGATAAGCGTTGTACGAGATAAATTGCTAATTTGGCATTCAGAACTTAGTATAATTACTGTAGGCTAAAGTGAGAAGTGGCAAAAATGTTAGTTGGATAATTCTAGAGAATATAAAATGGTTGATATCTTTACTTCCGATAAACGTATTAGAGAAATCTAAAAGAAAACTACCCGCGGTATGCTCAGAATATTTAATACCTGAGGAGCATTCAAAAAGTATTAAAAAAAAAAGCTAATTTCTTCATATTTTTTTCTTTATTTCTTTGCTTTCTTATTTTTTTTTAGAAACTTTCATTATGCCTGCTCGTTTAACACAAGATTTGCGCAACACTCTCCAATCCTTGCTCCAACGTGGTCTTTCGTTCTCAAAGATAAGAAATTTGTATTCAGGAGTGGGTAACTCTACTCTTACAAGGCTCAGAAAACTATATTGCCCTGACACAGCTAGACCTCTTGGCGGAAGACCGAAAAAACTTGGTGCTAAAACTATGTCCCTAGTGTCAAGAGAACTTCGATCAGGTACTTTAGATATATAGTCCCGGAGCAGCGCAAGAAAGTTTAAGATTGATGAGTCAAGATATGTCAACTGGTAGCATCCGCAAGTCATTGAAAAAAAATGGTCTTAAATTTCGAATAAAAGCAAAGATAAATTTTGTTAGCAAGACAAGCAAGCGGCTTCGATTGGCATGGGCTAAAAAGCATAGGCATCTTACTATTGCTGATTGGCGTTGTAGAGTGTTTTCGGATGAAACAAAAGTAAATCTTTGGGGCTCAGATGGTAATTCTTTTTACTTGGACAAATGGTGGCCGAACCATGCAGCCGTATTAAGTCAAGTCTCAGGTGCAGGGAAATGACGGTGGAGTCATGTTCTGGAGTTGCATAACAGCGGAGGAGCCTGGTTATGGTACTACCATTATTGAAGACGCAATAAACTCGGGCTTGTTTGTCGATATTTCGAAGACATCATTGAACGACACTCTTGAGCACTTTGGGAAGACACCATCTGATGTGCGAATTCAACAAGACATAGCAACACCGCATGCCTCCGGCATTACTAAGCGATGGTTCACCGACAATGGGTTTAACCTAGACAAAATTATGAATTGGCCACGCCAAAGTCCCAATCTTAATCCCATTGAACATGTCTGGCATCTCCTAAAGCTTCGTCTTAATAGGTATCCCACTAGGCCCTCTACAAAAGAAGAATTAGAGCGGCGTATTAACATTCAGTAATACAAAATAACAGAAAAAGAGTGCCAGAAATATATTGATAGTATGCCTGCCCGAATCAAGGCTGTCATCAAGAGCAAAGGTGGTTCAACTCACTATTAATAATTTTATAATAAAATGTACATTTTTCTATATTTATTTTTAACCAATAAAATCATTGGATTTTAGTTTTTGAAAAAGTTATAGTTATGTATAGATAGCACTACTTTCTCTCATTCAAACGATATATATTTCGACTTTGTATACAAAGAAATGACCGAAAACTTGTGCAAAATGACAAAATTTTAAACGAACGGGACAGTTTTTCCCCCTACAGTATGTTCACAAGTCCAGTCAATTGTGAGTACACGAGTGCCTCAGGAACTGCAATACATTCAATCTCCCTGATGTCAAGATATCGAGATCCACCTACACTACATGAAACATATCGACTTAGGTGGCCTCTCAACAAGCTATACAAACTACCCATAAGGCCCCAGTGGCCTGCTATTTATATACAATCTCAACGTAGTAGTCATTTACCAGGGATCTAATATATTTAAGCTAGTTAGATGCCCTGTAATAAAAAAGCTCTTTGCTTTCGTTTTAGATACAGTTGACAACTGATTATTACGAATTCATCACTATCAACGAAGAGGTTCGTGATACGTGACAAACGCTTCAGGGAGACCAAATTTCAGCAACACTTGTGGGAGATACTTGGGATGAACGCTTTCAAAAGCCTTGGCGTTATCAAGCATGATGACGGCATAGGCTGCAAAGTTAGAGGGATTCCGCCAGCTGGCAGAATAAGCATTATCCAAAAGCACTTAGGGACATGCCATGGTCATCACTATAACGACCTGGCAGGAAACCACATTGGTAGGGGGTGATAATCTTGTTAGCAACTTGGACAGCTCGAGAGTTCATTATTCGAGTAAAAACGTTGCAGCCAGCTGCAATACGTGCGATGGGCCGATAGTTGGCGAGGTCACTCTTGGCACCTCTCTTGTGTAGAATGACGGTACACGAGACCTGCCAAGGTGTTGGGAACTTTGCCAAATGGATAGCTTCATTGAATACCTGGTGGATAATGTCCCGACAGCTTGGATGGGATACAAGGAGATAACGTATCTCATAGCCAATGCCTTCTACTGTAGGGGGAAAAACTGTCCCGTTCGTTTAAATAATCTTGACTTTTACCCAGTATATTGCCAAAACTCGGAAAACAAAGCCACCACATACTGCGTTCGATAGAACAGCCTATAGGGATTACAGCAACATAAAAACCTTATGGCTGGACTATATTTTAATCCCAGTATAACCAGCTAAAGTGAGACGTGGCAAAAATGTTAGGTGGGTAATTCTAGATGATATAAAATGGTTGATATCTTTACTTCCAACAGACGTATTGAAGAAATCTAAAAAACTACGCGCGGTATGCTCAGGATATTTAATATCCCAGGAGCACTCTAAAAGTATAAAAGAAGCTAGTTTCTTCATGTTTTTTCATTTCTTTGCTTTCTTATTTTTTTTCAAAACTTTCATTTTGCCTGCTCGTTTAACACAAGATTTGCGCAACATTCTCCAATCTTTGCTCCAACGTGGTCTTTCGTTCTCAAAGATAAAAATTTTGTATCCAGGAGTGGGTAACTCTACTCTTACAAGGCTCAGAAAACTATATTGCCCTGACACAGCTAGACCTCTTGGCGGAAGACCGAAAAAACTTGGTGCTAAAACTATGTCCCTAGTGTCAAGAGGACTTTGATCAGGTGCCTTAGATAATCCCCGAGCAGCACAAGAAATTTTAAGATCGATGGGCCATGATATGTCAATTAATGGCACCCGCAAGTCATTGAGACGAAATGGACTTAAATCTCGTAGAAAAGTAAAGACCAATTTTGTTAGCAAGACAAACAAGCGGCTTCGATTGGCATGGGCTAAAAAGCATAGGCATCTTACTATTGCTGATTGGCGTTGTAGAGTGTTTTCGGATGAAACAAAAGTAAATCTTTGGGGCTCAGATGGTAATTCTTTTTACTTGGACAAATGGTGGCCGAACCATGCAGCCGTATTAAGTCAAGTCTCAGGTGCAGGGAAATGACGGTGGAGTCATGTTCTGGAGTTGCATAACAGCGGAGGAGCCTGGTTATGGTACTACCATTATTGAAGACGCAATAAACTCGGGCTTGTTTGTCGATATTTCGAAGACATCATTGAACGACACTCTTGAGCACTTTGGGAAGACACCATCTGATGTGCGAATTCAACAAGACATAGCAACACCGCATGCCTCCGGCATTACTAAGCGATGGTTCACCGACAATGGGTTTAACCTAGACAAAATTATGAATTGGCCACCCCAAAGTCCCAATCTTAATCCCATTGAACATGTCTGGCATCTCCTAAAGCTTCGTCTTAATAGGTATCCCACTAGGCCCTCTACAAAAGAAGAATTAGAGCGGCGTATTAACATTCAGTAATACAAAATAACAGAAAAAGAGTGCCAGAAATATATTGATAGTATGCCTGCCCGAATCAAGGCTGTCATCAAGAGCAAAGGTGGTTCAACTCACTATTAATAATTTTATAATAAAATGTACATTTTTCTATATTTATTTTTAACCAATAAAATCATTGGATTTTAGTTTTTGAAAAAGTTATAGTTATGTATAGATAGCACTACTTTCTCTCATTCAAACGATATATATTTCGACTTTGTATACAAAGAAATGACCAAAAACTTGTGCAAAAAGACAAAATTTTAAACGAACGGGACAGTTTTTCCCCCTACAGTAGATCTGGGCTACTCTCTTTGGGTGTTGGACGGGCGTCATCCAAGATATCATCATAATCTATTGACTCCATAATCTGTGCAGTATCTTCCGATGATAAAGTGCGATTGATATGTCCCAACATGGCGTTCAGGCAATCCATGTCAATCGGCTTCTCCATGTACAAATCCTGATAAAAGGCCTCAACATCATTGAGTTTGCTTTCCGTGTCCAGACAAGAATTTTCAAGGATTTTCATGAGGTATGCCCCCCATAGTTTGGGGGCCAATTCTAGGTGATGAAATTTCGGCTCCCAAAAATTGAGTAAAGTTGTTAAAAAATGACTCATGGTTGAGAGCAACTATTTGGTGCTATTCCAATGGCTTACAACAATTTCTGACGCCAGAGCTTGGGCCTCAAATTCATCCAAGTGTTACTGTATATCTCAAATTCCTGAATGATGGGGCGATGGAAGAATGCTGGCTGTTTTACGCGCATCAGCGAATCACATTGCAATAGAAGTAAGACCCTATAAAAGAGTAAAATAAGCTGTTAATGGCGAGTATGATAGGGGTTTTAGTGATGAAAACAAGTTCCATAGTGACCTTTCTAAATGTACGCAAGAAATGCCACTTTGATGAATTCGTAATAATAAGTCGATGATAATAATCAGTTGTCAACTGTATCTAAAACGAAAGCAAAGAGCTTCTTTATTACAGGGCATCTAGCTTGCTTAAATATGGTAGATCCCTGGTCAATGACTACTACGTTGAGATGGTATATAAATAGCAGGCCACTGGGACCTTATGGATTGTTGGTATAGCTTGTTGAGAGGCCACCTAAGTCGATATGTTTCATGTAGTGTAGGTGGATCTCGATATCTTGACATTGGGGAGATTGAATGTATTGTAGTTCCTGAGGCACCTGTGCACACACAATTGACTGGACTTGTAAACATAGATGTGATGTGATACGATAAACATCATCTATGCTGCTACTACACTGTAAAAGGTGGCTTGAGGAGAAAGTGAATGTAGCCTAAGATGCATGCTTGTATGCAACAATAGCGCCATCCATGTCCGTGGTGCCATCTATAGCCTATATCTTATATAGTATGAACCTTATAGTACTAGCGTATCTGAAGTCCATATCTTCTCATAGTATAAATCGATATCGCATATCTAATCCAGTGTACATACAGTTTATATCTAAATCTGGTAACCGGATGAACTGTCGGAATGCAGATCATAGTAGATGTATGCCACAGTGTGAGTGAATACACTGTGATTAGGAGTGATTCATTCACACGATGAGCGAGATAAGTGTGCATCTTTAGTATGTTTAAATGGTTGTTGGTGTGCATTTGAACGCTTTATTAATAGATTCAAATAGCATGAATTTGAATGAGTCCTATTTGATCAATTCTAGTTTTCAATCAAGTTGCGTTTGGGTGTCTATTTCATTACGAGCGTGTTTTGTTTTAGTTATTTCTTCTTTTTTTATCAGCGTTCAACATCGTGGATAGACTTTAAGCCTACCTTTACGGTTGAATACGGTATTTCTGTTGTGGACGACTATTAAAGGAGTTTCGCTGAGTTGACAAGCATTTTGATTAGCCCGAGCAAGTCGTTAGATTCAAATTTGCATAGTATCGCTGACGCTCAAGTTTTAAAACCACTGTAATTGAGCATCTCAAAAAGAAAGATCTGATGGTCAGAAATAGGATAAAAGTGTCTATAACTTAGAGATTGAGCTCCATACAATGCAGAACATCAGGGACATTAGACAAAACTTTAATCTACTCACTTCTTTGTCTGGACAAAATACTACACCTTCATTTTTAACCAAATTCTGTCCTAACTTGGACATTTTTAGGCACGAATAACTTATGCCACAAAGCGTTTTGAGCGCTTGGAATAACACCACACGCCTTCTCTTGGTTACGCTTTACTTACTGATGTTTTATCTCAATTTTTTGGGTCATTGCAAATTTAATGAAAATCGTCATTTTCATATGAGGATTAGCAAGAGAGGATTCTTGAAAATCAAACGATCGCGTTTTTCACCGCAAAAATGAAGACTTTTCCTATGATACATATTAGATCAAATTAATTGTAAAGATAGAATGAGACATCAGTAGCTGTTTCTCTGGAGCTTTCATAAGCTAAATTTTGACATATTTACAGAAAACCTGTTTTCATATTTTTGCAAATTGCTCATTATTTTTGGTCTGAAAGCTGAATGTAACCAGCATCATTCGATGCGCCTTCATTGACTCCTTATAAATGCATTAGAAAGTAAGGTATAACAAGGACAATTTTCATAGTCAAAGTTAGCAAAAACGTTTAAAGAATGTGAAATCAAGTCGAATTTGAACACGAAAATACCCACTGTACAATCGCAAATTAAAGTGCAGCAGTTATGGCTGCCACGGCAAAAGGCTGAGGTCAAAACTACTGGCCGTGACGTCGATTAGGTCACCCTCTCGGTTTTTTTTTATATCCTCGTTTTTTTTACCCTGTTTGCAAAACGCGTTTAGTAAAACCATATTGATTTTGGAACACTTTTGATTAAAAATAACACTCTAGCTTCTGACAACACGGCCTTGCAATGTTAAAAGTACTTGATACTGCTTCTTTAAAGTGGAATATAGTAAGTACCATTCGATAACGAGCACTGGAAGACGTAAAATCAGTACTAATCGAATTTATGTATTACGTTTCGATAATTTTTTTTTTGCCTGTTTGACATCGGTGCTGCTGCCATTAATTCTCTGCTATGCTATTTGCTTCTTTGGTATATTATGTCTGGTGGTTGCTTCGTTGGTCTCTATCTCTGGTGGTTGCTTTTTTAATCTTTGTCTGGTCTCTGGTGCCGTTCGCTCTTTGGTTTTTCTATGATGCTGGTGTTGCTTCTGGTGTTGCTTTTGGTGTTGCTTCTGCTAGTCTGGTCTTTCTTGGTTTGTTGTATTGGTTGCTTCTGGTGTTGTTGTTGGTGTTGTTGTTGGTGTTGCTGCTGCTAGTCTGGTCTTTCTTGGTCTGCTGTCTCGGTTGTATGTTTGTTCTCTGGTCTATCTCTGGTAATTGTCTATTCTCTGCTGATCTATCCGTGGCTGTGGTAAGTGGTAAGTAACTTTCTTTCTTTTGGTGGCAATGATATAAAACTTCCCTGGACGTTTGTATAATTGCTTTTTTTCTCGTGATAATGCATTCATAATGTTTGCTTTGTTACGATTTCTTTTTCTTTCGCTGGCTGTGATATGATCAGCTCAACGCATGCTTGCGATGTTGTTGCTTCGTATGTACGAGCAGCAAGCATAATGCACTGCTATATATCTGTATTGCCGTTGTAATACTACTTTGTTATATGGCCTTGGATTGTTGTTGGTGTTGCCTCTGTCGCTTCACATGAAACAACATTAGTCACTATGTTGTATTGCACACTTATAATACTGCTGTTGCTCATGCAATTGTGCGTGTTTGTGTTGCTTGACATCCGACTATTACCACTATGCACGTTGCTCATGCATGCATTTTTGTTGCAACAACAACGAGCTGTTCTGAACATCTTTGATGTTGTATTTGTTGTTATGCTTTTCTTTTGACACACTTTTTTGTGTGAGTGTTCCTTTTTTTTTATCTACATGCTACTATACCCTTATAGTAGTATGTTCTTCTTTTCCTTTTTTCTTTTATTATGTTTCTTTCGAAGCATACCTCTTTATTACGTTGTGGTGGATGTGCCTATCGCTGAAGCTCAACAAGACTTTATCCGAGACTAGGAGATGGATAGGCTGCCTCCACTTGGTTATCACTACTTACTTTAGTGATGATTGAGAGTCTCAACGCCAGAATCTAAAGCTAGGTGGTGTAAGTAAGGCATGCTCTAGCACCTGAGGGAAATTTGATGATAGTAACAGCTATATTGCTATATAGCGGAGCTTAAAATTTTGCCTCACATCAAAACAGGGGGAAACTCTCGCAATTTTTTTTTTAGGTCAGCGGAGTTTTTGAGCAATCTGATTGGCTGAGGGATTGAAAGAGAAACGGTCTACAACTGGTTGATTTTCTGTTGATCTGTCATTTATCGTGATTTTGTGTTTATAATAAAAGGGTATCCAAATAGATGCAATTTAAGTTTTTCTTTCATTCAAAAGTATGAAATTACGTGCACTCATTTGATCTAGCATCCATTAAACAGTTTGATATGAAGAATGTCTTTTAAATTTATTATCTGGAGAAAGTTATATAATAAAGGATTATTTACCAACTCTCAGTAGTGGGTGCCATTTGGGGTTCCCTGCTATTTTGGGACCCAGATTTACATAACACATTTTAAGCGATTTTTACAAAATCCACAGGAAAACAAAGATATTTATTAATGAAAATGCAACTATTGATGGTAAAAAAGGCTCAGCTAGAAGTGTTGCAATTTTCTTCTTTTCGTTTCTTCGTAAGGAAAAAAAGCGCCTTTTTGGAGCTCGGTGCCCAAGCGATCCAAAGACCAGTGGCGAGTGTTGAGCACCTTTTGTAGGGCGCCTACAGCAGAAGTGGGGGAGAGACCAAGATCCAGCTGAAGGTCTTCAACGGAATCAATGATTTTTTTACGGATATTGAACCATTTTCTGTCGTCTTTTCTCCATTTAGCGCCCCACTTGTCTTCTAATTCTTGAACAGACCAGAATCCATCTCGACCTATTGTCCACTCGTCCCAAAGATCACACACAGTTGTCACTTGTCGACTCATTTTGTATAACGGTACACCTTCTTGATTGTATGTAAGTGAAATAGTTGCAACTGCGGTGTTGTTGTAACCTGGTGGTGGTGGGCTTTGTTGAGATTCTTCCGAAAATTGTTTTGATTGCGATACATCTTCTGATCTTGGCAAGGCAGAGGTTTTTGCGACAGCGCCTGTTGTCGCTACTGCTCGGTTCCCTTGGTTCATTCTAAAAGACAGTTGCAGTTGCTGCTTTCCGGTGACTATATTGTCAAACACTTTTTGCATTTGCTGCTGGATTTCATCCGACTTCTTTTGACGTTCTTTCAATTCTCGCATTGTATTTGCTATACTTCGGTTGATGCTGGAAAGCTGCTCTTGTATTTCAGGCGCAAAACTTTCAATAATTAATGAATGGGGCACTTCATTTTCTTCAACGTGAGCTTTTGCTTTTCTATAAATAAAGCAAAAAGATCAGACACACAGTTTTCATTTTGAAAAAAAAAAAAGCTTTATACCTTTGAAATTCTAGAAAGAGTGGGTTTCTGATTAAATTTCAGGAACATAAGTACAAACTAAAAGCGAAAAAAAAAGTTCTTTCAGGTGTTAATTAACCAAAAGAATACATGTATTTTTTATGATAAGGCCTTGGATAACGCACATATCATTAGAATGTATTAAATCCTAATATTTTTTATGTAAATGTCAAATATACACACTTGGAACGAAAACTGGAACCCAAAGATCAATAACAATTGTTATTTGACAAAGTATTGGCTTATAACAAAAGTTATCACTCCAATCGGGTTCCAATTTTGCTGGGAACCCAACTTTTTTTTTGGAACCTCCAAAAAAAATAATACTAGATACTACTACAGCGGTACATTAGGTACTAGGGCCTCTCAGTGACAAATGTCCCACCAAGCATGCGTCGTTTATCATTGGTTTCCAATATGTTCATACGTTGCTGTGTCTTACTTCATATCAAAGATTCTAAATGTATAAAAGTATTCCCGGTTGCGAGGTTTGAGCCATCCAAAATCAAGTTTTAAAATATTTATGCTATAGATCTGAAAGTAGCATGTTATTATAGCGAAATATTGCGAGAAAGCGACACTGTAATTGGATTTCAGACTGGATGGGCTGTTGCTGATGACTGATGAGAAACTGGTGATTTCAAAATAGTCTATGTTGAATCATGGCCTTTATATGAGAACCTGTTAATTACAAGTAATTGGGAGTGCTGGATCGGTGAATGCATTGTTGGGGAACGTTACAGTTCATTCGAGACCGCTTAGTGACAACTCCTACGTTGTGCACAAACGATTTCCTAAGTAAATTGATAGCCAATGTGATGAAATAGCCACCACCTCATTGGAAGCCGGAATTCATCAAATACCACTCATTCAGGCTCATGCTATTCAAGTATATGAATTAAGCGCTCAAATGTACATCAAAATACCATTTAAATATACTAAAGTAAAGATGCATCTTTATCTCGCACGTCGTGTGAGTGAATCGCTCTTGATCACAGTGTATTCAATCACACTCATGATGGTCGTGATAAGCAATGTTATCTTTATCCTCCAAGCGAAATTAAATCAATAACAAGTATAGTCAAATATGATAACTGAGCCCTGAGAGCATAGTTGCAAATGTATAAATACTCTTTTTTTTTTCTTTTTTCTTTTTTTTTTTTTTTTTACTCAATTCCAGGATCTTTAGTTCATTTTAGATACAAATATAATACAATTGATTTCTATTGTATTTTATTATTGCATAATTTTCTTTTGTGAAATCTCTTAAACCTAATTTCACTGCAGCTTACTCTGATATCAGGATTACAATTAGAAATCAAGGTTATAACAGGTCAAATTTATGCATTCTAAGCTTTTGAGGCTCAGAACACTGCAGCCTTCAATTAGTGTAGCTTGGGCAAAAATAATTTAATGATCTAGAAAGGTAGCATAATAGGTATATAGAGCATAACAATTAGAATCTAGTTTCTCCTGGGTATAAAATATCTGGGAATATATCCATATTATCTGTGAGTTCGCAAAAATGATGAATGAATCGCATAGGATAGACGAGATCTACAAACAAATAAACGTTTGCCAGCAAATAGTCATCTTTTGTCAAAATCCTCATGATATAGTATAGCTCCAAAATGATATAAATACAGATCAGACTAGCAGCTGTAATCGGGAATAATATCTCTAGAGGATCCATGTTGTAAATCTTTCGTATGTATAATGAGCTGAGGCATACCGCACCCAAACTACAGACGCTATCACAAAGACACACACACACACACACAAGTCAATTTAAGCTTTTGTGTCATTCATCAGAAACCAGTAACTTACAATGGGAAGGCTCCACGAAATGGAAATCTCTTCTGAAATGTATACATAAGTGAACACGATAACCCATATATGGTCATTATGATGACTGAGATGCCTTCTTTGTAGAGCAACTTTGAAACTGCAATATAAAAAATGATGTAAGTTTTTTCCCCTGTTGTGTAATCTACAGTAAATACCTAAATTTGATATCACTATCGTGATGAATAAGGTGTAAAGACAGAGTAACGTTGTTCTTGTTGACACGGATAGATGAAAATACTGGTTGTAGAGTTGCCATATGACGATCAGAGAGAGTATGAATGTTGGGATCAGTGGAATGTACCAGACGTAAGTGCTGTTGCAAAATTTAATCATCCTGATACTGTAATTTAGTTGTGCAATAATGAGAGCTCACCTGTTCTTAAGCCACTCAAACAAGGGACAAATCTGGACAATGAAAAATATCATCATGGACAAAAGAACGAATTGCAAAGTGGTTATGGTGATTACTTTTCGAACAAATGCTGTTGATGGATTAGTGCGCTATCATTCGAGCAAAATCAAGCTGCAGCTCACCTTGTTGCTGAATGCTATTTGAACGGTATACTGAAATGCCCAAAATATCTTGATCAAGATGCCCAGAGCCATAGCGTTGAAGTGGGTCTGGTGGAATAGCTATCGGGTAATGTCTATTGCTGCTACTTATTGAATTATAGTTGACGTTGTTACTCATTCGTTTCTATGATAGCAGAGTGGAGTTTCTATAATGTTTGTTATTAAATTCAACCATGAAGAAGGAAAAAGGGAAAAAAGTATATCTCACAAGTTAAATTTGATTTTTATAAGCGTTGGTGGTGATGGTGCTCTGCAATCTTGACATTTTTAAGGCTCCGTGGTAGCTATAATGTAAGGGGATCAGAGCTATTGTTTAATGTTGTCAACCAATCAGTCCATAATTTCATGTAATCGACTACCCCTTTATTTCCACATCTGTGCTTTTCTTCACCATGGGGATTTATAAATAAAGCATTTATACCCCAATGCTAAGTTTCCTTTTTTCCCTCTTTTTTTCTTTATTTTATCAGCCAGTATGGCAACAGAATCTCATCTGAATGAGAATGATAGCGTTCATCCACTTTCTCGAGTTGCCAATTCCAAAATTGCATCGGTGCTGGATCAGTTGCCTACACTAGATGATGTCTTGCACCGACAAAGTCAACCACCTGTGTGTCTCTACAATTATTACATTGTGCTTCGAGATCGATTGGAATTGGAGATCTTGCTTGATTTCTGGTTGGATGTGGCTCAAGCAAACATTCTGTACAAACGATACGTAAAATATGCCAACAAGAGAGCAAGCACCAAGTTTTCATCGCCAAAACTGCCAAAGCCATCTATACCATCCAACATCTTGGACTGCCATCAGCGACAGAGCAACAATAGTAACTCACATGATGTCCTAACACACATGCTATTACTCCATCCTCGCGCTTCACTGGCAACTACCCTGTATTCGACTACAACCAACGGCAGTCAACCTAAGCGGCCTCCACCCACACAAACAGAGATGGCTGAAGCCGTTGAACGTATTTATCTTCGATATATAGTGCCTAGTGCAGAAAAAGAGATCATACAGCTACCAGCATCCATCAAAGAAAGCATTGGACACCATTTCTATGACAGCGAGAAGAAAGATCCTTCTTTATACACAGGACACCCTGATAATCCCATCATCTATGCACAAGCAAAAGAATATGTGCATCAGCTGCTTGAATCGACGTTTCCTCTCTTTCTGCGCTACAAGGTGTTTATGAACTTGACTCTACCTCAGCAAATAGGTAGATTAGCATGTGGCCTCGTTCTTTTACTCGTAGGCTTTTCACTAGAATTCTCCTTGATCTTCTTGAATATTCATCCCTGGCAGAAACGATTATGGGTAATTTCTAAATACACTTATAATCGCTCCCCTTGTCTAATGAACTCCTTGCTTTGTTTCGTGTGTAGGGAATATTGCCTATTATCTTGGGTGTGTTTTGTGTGATTACCTCGATAGCTGGTATTGATCCAGTCTGGGTGCTTGGATTCAATCTAAGGTAAGTGTGCTATCAGTCGATCTGTGATTACAGGTACTGACATATATGACGTAGTGAAACTGTTCCCTTTCAGTTCAATCATATCGTGCATCGTCGAGTAAGGGTCATTTTGAGAAGAAGATCCATCATGGTATCAGCCATTATCTTATTCACCACGCTCGTCTTCATGATCTTCTTTTGTACTGTTGCCGGAAAACGACTCTAAATTAACTATAAACCAACATTGTACCATACCAAAAAGCAAACCATCCATTATATATACATATATTGTATTTTTCAATAATAAATCAATGCAATTCTTTATAAAAGATAGGGGGTTGTTGATGAGGAGTGAGGGGACAATGAAGAGAGATATAGATACATGTTAGATACAGGTTATTCGATGGACCAACGTTCTGGACTAGATGATTTTTCAGTTGGATGCATAGGGCAGGAAGATGAAGTGAGGGCTGTTGCATGAGAGACTGTAACCATCATTGCAATACGGTCAGTTGGTGGTTACGATTACTAGATTTCGAAACTTACTGTGGTTAATTAAGCCTTGGTCGAAATTTCTGAGACAAATGACTGCGGAAGGCACAGAAACCTATTATTAAAACTAGATTAGTTTTGTGTGTTTCAACTCTCACATGAATACCTGCCAAAATCAAAACTAAATCAACACACACTAGAGCAGAGATTGACAACAGATTAGTCGCAATGCTCCTAGTACTACAAAACCAAGGCACTTACAAAAGAAGGTCAAGAACACCTTGGATCCAATGAATCGATCCGGATTCTGCGATATGGTCACCAGCATGTATATAAAGTAAGCCATACTTGCCATGGAAAGGGCAATAAATAGGTACATGTGCAATTTCCATTCCCGTCGTAACTAAATAGGATTCCAGTTCGTTAGCACCCACCCACATGTTCAAGAGCACTCTACTTACTCCCCAGTATGCCAGTGCTAACATGGCAATCGAAACTAGACAACTTAGCACAACATGTTCAATCAATTCTTTAATGATGCTCGTCTTTGCTTCGTCGGTTGTTGCTTCAGGTAACCATGCGACTATTAATAGCACCAAATATTGGATCGAGAAGCCTATAAAGAAGAAGAAATCGAATTTGAGGAGCATCATAAAGATTTGGTACATTTTGTAGCGATCTCGCATGGCCAAATCAGCCCCAATCTTTTTGTAAATTTGCCAACCAAATTCTAGATATAACTTGTATGCTAAAAAGATGAAAATGATAGAAGAGACCAGCATGACACAAATTTGAGTGATTTCTGCCCATCGTGAAGCATGATAGGCATCTCCTAAAAATGCAATGACTAGATTGACACTGGGATCGTCTGTGTTGCTAAAGAGCGTGGATGATTGATGGTATTGGATGATGGTGTAAGCCGACATGCCCAATTCAAAGGCGACCAGCGCAATCAGTTGAATTGTGTTCTTTTGAAATATCTATGCAAGTATATAGATGAGTATGTTTGTTTACTGCGTCCAACTGGATCTAGAACCTACAGCATCCAGCACCAGAACCACGGTAAATATTTGGGCAATGATGAACAGTGCGAAATAGACCAACAGTGATCGTGCATTTGCATATGCTGTAATTAAAGTCTGGCCAAAAGCCTTTTGGTTTAGTCGTTCCTCATTGATAATGTTGATTTCGTTTGCATGACAGGAAAATATGATGGCTTCAAATATGATGGCTAGAACGGCTTGTAGTAGTACATTTAAAAATATCGCACGTGTCCATGTCGAGTCTCCAAACTAATGTAAAAAGAAAATAAATTTATGTAAGGGATGCTTTTTTTGAACAGGATAGTTACAACTCTAGATATTGTCCACATTTTATAGTTGAAAAAAAAATGAAAAAGAGAGAGAAAGGGAAGAAAAAGAAAGAAAAAAGGCCATAAGGCATGAAATACAGGAGGTACAAGGTCGTTTTTTAATATAAAGTGATTTAGTTAAAAATAGGAGATGATGGCCACTTTTTTTTTTTTTTTTTTTTTTTTTTTTTTTTGTGTGTGTGTGTTTGTCTTTTGTACTAGTGAATATAAGAAATGATACAGCAAAGACGAATCGAGAGAATGATTAGAATGATTTGGCTTTTTTCTTCTGTAGTAAATAAAAAAAAATGTCTGGATGCGTTGTTGTGAAGTGATGGAATGGTGATTTAAAAAAAAGGGTTTAGACAAATTGTAGTCTCTCTTCATAATAATGAATCAACTAAAGCAGAAGTTAGTACAAAAGAATACGACATCTTAATATCGCAACTTACTTTTTCGGGAATCATCTCATGAGCTTCCTTCATGGAATGAATTGTCCTTTCGCCATTATTCCACTCGATATAGGTGAACTTGACCTTGCTATCAATGGGCGATACTTGGACACAGACTTTCTTTACATCAACGTCCCATTCAGTCTGCTTGTTGGGCCATTGATTTGGGAATTGATATCCTAGCTTTACCATGTAATCGGGAATATGCTCCATGTTCTTTTTGAATTTCTTAACTTGAGATGACTCTGGAGCGCTGCTGGAAGTAGCTCTCTTTCTTTTGTTGTTAGGGGTTAGTTGATTGGATTGTTTGGGAGCTGTACTGATGTCAGGAGCGCTGGAATCAGATGAGGTGGAAAGGCCAGGTGTAGCTCTTCTGCTTCTGGTTCGAGGCTCTTCCTCCTCCTCCTCCTCCTCCTCCTCCTCTTCTTCAATTGGTGTTGCCGAGCCAGCCTTATCCTTGCTGCTGGCTGCTGGCGATGTGGTAGCGACGGGTGAAGGTGATCTCGCCTTTGAATCTGGCTTATAAGTTTCATCGTCGGATGCATTGCTGTCATTGTCAGCGTCAATCTTCACTTTGGCTTGATCATTCTGCTGTTGTTCATCCAATAAGGGCTTTAATTCCTCAGTTGCGACTTGAGGGACATTATCAGGTCTCTTTTCCTTGCATGTAGCCCAGTAAGCAGCACATAATTCAGGCACATCAGCGTGCATGGTGGTGGCATTCTCAGTCGTATTTTCAGATGAAGGATATCCCTTCCACTTTACAATGTATTTAACAACTTTGCCCTGTCAAAAAAAAAACTGTGTCAGTGCGTACAAGCATGGCAGTATGAAAGTTGTCTTACTTTGAAAACACGATGGCCAGCAATCTTTTCCACCTCGTATTCCTCTTCCATAATATCATCGTACTCCTCTTCGTCTTCGCTTTCTTGTGCTTTGACAGGCTGCTGTTCTTTACCTTGTTTACCCTTGCGAGCTGGTTCCTTGGTAGATTGCTTCTTCTTGTTATCGGCAATGGGCTTGACAGATACATCGATGTCCATTTCCTCAGTGGTAGGGGAGGTATCAGCAAGATCAGGGGCTCCATTTGCTGCAGTATCAGCGTCATCCTTTTTAGCAGAGGCAATGGCAGCAGAGGCATCTTCTTCAACCTGCTCTCCTTGTCTTTAGCAATTGATTCTTTTCTTTTACATCTTGTTCTTTTACCTTCTTAGTAGAGATACTCGTCTTGGTAGATTCAGCAGCAATACTCTCGGCATCGGCGGAAACAGCGACGTCCTTCGTTTCATTAGCATCCATAGCAGCATTCGTGTTCACAGGCGTGGTAGGTGGTACAGCCTTTTCCTCATTCGTTTCATCTGCAACGCCCTTGGGAACATTAAGATCAATCAAACTAGACAGCTCGTCCAAAGACACTGTTTCCAATGGCTGCGATTCAGATATGATCTCAACAACGGAAGAAGATGTTTCCTCAATAACCTCGCTCACAGCAGCATCAGGTGCAGCACCAGCAGAATCCACAACGGCAGAGATTTTCACTTCTTCTTCCACCAAAGATACCTCCTCCACCAGCACATTTCCATCAATTTCTTGCTTTCTATCTGTCACATCATGTGTAGCAACAACTTGATCTTTCTCTGGCTGTTGCTTTTGCTCTTGTTGGGGTGTTTGCAACGCTTCAACAGACTCCATCTTTTTTAAATAATATAGAGAAAAAAAAGTGAATAAAATATAAAAAGCGTGTTTTTTTTGTCTCAAGTAGTAACAGCATTATACAAGCCCGCCATCACCGCGTATTGATTTGCGTATAGAGTGGTAGCACACACAAATCTCCTTTTCTTTGTTTTTTGTCTCTCCCCCCCCCCTTCCTCTCTGCTAGATACTCTAGAAAAATGACACATCTGGTATTTGCAATATGTCTGTCTACACTGATGGTGATTCATTCCAGGCGCAAGAAATCGCTGAGCGTGGATGGTGCCATGGCTGCATTCATGCTGGGTCTGGTTACGTTTTCATCTGATCTTTGGATGTTTACCGTTGTCTTGTTGACCTTCTTCTTGAGCAGCAGTAAATTAACAAAGTTTAAAGCAAGTAGAAAGCGTGTTTTAGAGGCTGAATATGAGCTCTCTAGTGAAAGAAACTGGGTGCAAGTGGCGTGCAATGGATTAGCAGGTGGTATCGCCGTGGCTCTGTTTCACGTGCTGTGTCAAGAGCAGCCTTATGCGTGCTATGACCAAGCTCGATGGAGCACCTTGCTGGTATGGGCTTACATTGGGTAAGCTGTCACTGACCAATCAATGTACACCTTGAGCTAAAGATTTTGGTCGCAGGCATTATGGCTGTTGTGCTGGAGACACCGTATGTATTGACTGCATGGACATGACATGACATGGATTTCTCATCACCTGTACAGTGGGCGAGTGAATTGGGCATCTTGAACAAAGATTGGCCTATTTTGATTACTCGATTCAAAAAGGTACCGCCAGGAACAAACGGTGGTGTATCTGGATTGGGATTAGCAGCTTCATTAGCTGGTGGGGCATTTGTTGGATTAGCGGGTGCATTGACACTGTATTTTGAGCAACCCTGCCACGGATTTGCTTGGGAGTTGATTGTATTAGGCTCATTGGCTGGTGTAGGAGGTTCACTGGTAGGGGAAATCAACAGCAAATGAGCAATTAAGTAATGTACTAACCATACAATAGGTTGATTCATTACTGGGAGCTACTGTTCAACAAACCTTGTATTCTGAGGATCAAAAGAAAATCGTGCCTGAGTTGACACCAGGCGAAAACATCAAAATCATCAGCGGTGTACCCATCTTGGACAACCACCAAGTCAATATCATGTCTTCATTTATTACTACATCTGTCTGCGCATTAGCAGCACTCTATCTCTACCCAACTGCTTGATATAAAAAAAATGTACTCTTTCTCTTTTTTTGCATGCTTTATTATGGTAAATGTACTGCGATTATTGAGCTGCTGCCTCAGTGGTGGTAGCAGCAGCACCAACATTTTGCTCCTTCAACAAGGCATCAATCTCCTCAGCTTGATAAGGCTCATATTTAACCTTTCCGTCAACAAGTCTAATAGTAGCGAATTCCACTATCAAAACAGAATATCAGTCATCTGTCGCAGCCAAATGCCCAATTTAAACTTACACTTTTCACTTGTCAATGTTGTGCTGTCCATAGTCTTACTCAATACCTTGATAGCTAATGCCTTTGCTTCATCCAATGTCATTTCCTCTTTATGGTCTTGCTTTAAAATGCTTTGTGCAGAAGCATTGTTGGCGCCAATGCAAGTAGCCTTCCAACCACCGTAATTGCCAGAGGGGTCAGAATGATAGAGTTGGAAACCATGGTGTTCATCATAACCAGCAAAGATGAATGACACACCAAAGGGACGCAAACCACCGTATTGAGTATAGCCTTGCTTTAAATCACATAAATTTTGGACGAGTTGTTCAACTGGAATCTCCTCATTGTAAGCAAACAAATAACGTTGTGCGCTGGCTCGTGTCCAATTGATCAAAATGTTGGCATCAGCTTCCATGCCTGCAACACCACAGATAATGTTGCTTTGGAGGCAAACGGTTAGTCTATGCTACAGATAGTACATGCTGGATACTCACTCGTTGACTTTGTAAATCTTTTCAGAGGATGAAGACTTCTCTAACAATTTGGAGGTAACCTTCTTTTCTGCTGCAATGACAACACCGTCCTTGGCCAGGATACCGAGAGCGATACCTGCGTGCGAGATGGCTTCCATAGCATATTCAACTTGGTATAAACGACCTATCTTATAGTTTGAGCACACTTGTCCTTCCTCAAAAGTTATATCGAACAAACCTTCGGGTGAAAAGATGGTGGTTCTGGAATCGTATCTTCTAGCCATGATTTAGTTGTCGACTTTTATATATTTGATGAGAAATAAAAGAGAGGAAATGCTTGTTGGTTTATGAAAATTATGTCGTTTCGCGCTGGCGCGTCCCTCTGTCTCTGTCTATTAGGTACGTAATTGGGTTAACTCGACGTCACCCTGTGATTGAAGGCATGAAATGTGATACCAAATGCTGCCATGAGCGACCATCCCACTGGGTTTCAATGATGCCAGTTGATCCATTCAGTAATTGAGACTAATATGCACTTTTGAGAACACTGCCAGGCTTACGGAAGCTCTAGAGAACAGCTATTAATGTGTTTATGTAAACGCAGATGCTTCAGATGAGTTTAATGCATCGCATATCAGAGTTTATTTGCTCCTCAAAAGGCTCCGGCCAGCTCATATCGCTCAAATTCAACTCTTGGTGTGGGAGATGGCTGCAGTTGCATGTCAATTGATTTCGTTCAAAGCTGGCCTGTTTGCAATGATCAGTACATTTTAGTTTCTATCATCTTCAACATTTAATTAAAAGTAGAGTCTGACATTCACAAGATGCACAGCTCTGAAAAAGCGCAGAACAAGTCGATATCAGCAGCAAGTACGCTAAAAAACATGGACATTTAAGGTTGCGATTACTACCTCGTATTTGTCTCTACAAAAGAGCCTATATGCTATGATCGACCAAGTTGATGTCAATACAGTAATTTCTTGACTAGTATTGTTATCCCTGAATGTAAAGCAGCACTGTAACTTCTTTTTTCTTTAGTTGATAAATGCATTATCCTCAAGAGAAACTTTCATTCTAGAATTTGCTGTTCTTCGTTTTCGCTTTTTACTATTGCTTCCACCACAATTTTAATTTATACTTTAAATTGCCAGGTTTGAGCCAACAATGTCTTCATTTGCACCTTAAAAGACTGTGGCATTCCTGGATGTTGAACGATTTTGCCTCTTTTCACAATTATTACGTATCCACCATGTTTCGATAACTCCAGACGTGTACATGAAAGTTTTGATAAAATCACACCATGTATTCCGATCGAGCGTTGTTCAGTTGAAGATAACAATAATAACTACTCAAACACTTGCATCATTAAAGCCTTTCATGCTTTTCAGTTCAAACAGATGGTCAGCCAAGATATCGTTTAAGTTTAGTAGACAATGGGCCATCCATTTCGCCAGAAATTTCAAATAAAAGTTGATTGACATTTCTTGAATCTTACAAACGCCACCAAAATGCGAAACAGCTGTCTCAGTGCACTGAGATGCTGTGTCAGAGCAGCTTCAGTCATCGCGGCAGACCATTCAATATTATTGGCCAGGAAACCCAAAGCATGCGAAGAAGCTTGGTAAGTGCCATGGACCATACAAGCATGTATATTTGTGATGGTGGTAGCCATTATCTGTTTCCTGGTGAACCTTTTGGCAACGCTCAGTGCCAGTACGTGTCCCACCTCTACTGTGCTATCAAATACTTGGTTTACTAGGTGGTAAATATGCTAATGTCAAATCGAAAGCGGTTCTGTTGCGATCCTGATAAAACGACATGCTATCAACAAGCTCTAATGAGAGCAACAAAACATCATTATCAGAATAGCACAATCGGAGATCGAAATCACTAATCTTCTGGCCATCTGGTCCCTGGATTTGAGATCCCAAAAACCTTTCGATGAATATTACACGACATTATATTACATAATCAATGGAGGTTTTTTTAAACTTTTACAGGCACAAACGAACGAGAAATCCAATGGTGCCACTTTCAAAGCGGTTCCTTTAGTCTGTGGGGAGCAACTGTCAAAAAACTCGAATTACGTTTTTCCAGAAAAAGCTTACAAAATGAGTAATAAACACATTAGGAAACAACACCATATGTTTCTTTGCATCTCTAGGGTCATTTTGAGCTTAGGATTATTATAACAAAAAATGCCGTTTTAGAGGCAAAAAATTGCATTTTCTGAAATCTTCAAATTTTCCCTTGCTAGTACAAGGCAGAAATGGCCAGATTTCGATGATCAACTTGTTCCCCAAAATATTGCTCAAAAGTGATTCATAATCCAATGTCAGGCCGTAGAGCACGATTGCACCTAGTTTTAGGTCGAAATCATGCTTGGTTGATGAGATAAAAACGATCGAAAATCTGGTTTTTGCAGGGATAAAAGCGTTTAAAGAGTGTTTGCTGGGCAATGTGCTTATTAATGTTGGATTTGAAAATTTGTAGTTGTTTATCTTGAAGGAAAGCGGATTGCAGAGTTTTTGTTTCGATGAAAAGAACAATATCTAAAGCGGATAGATCAAGGACGATTGATGCGTATGAATGGTTTAAAGGTTTATGTTTTTAGTTGTTGTAGTAGCATGTGGATCGCAATGCTTTGGGAAGTGTTAGTTACATGATGGTATTCACCTTGGTCTTAGAATGCTTGTATTCGGGTCTGTACAAACTCTTCATCTTTTGTAAGTAACTATAAACTATTAAGCAAAATTTCACATAGTTCAAAAAAAAGCCTGGTTATATTGAAGATGCAATGCTGATAGTAAGCAAGTAAAGCGATATCGTTGGCTCTTTCACACTGGTAGAGAGTGAATGCCGTTTGTCTTTATCTAGTACATTTCATCGCACTGCAGTCAGCATCGGGACGATATAGACGTGCTTCCTGTGGTGATCCATCTTCATTTGCAGCCTTAAATATAGTGTGGAAGGGTCTTCCTCTCATTGGTTGGTGGTTGTTGTTTCGTGTTTTTATTGCGCGTGCAACCGTTTCCTAAATTTGTGCTCCCTCTTTCATGTTTGTTTCTCGCAATATAAAAGATCGAGGTAAGGCCATCATAGACACTATTACTTCAAAGGAAACTTATCAACACTTATTCAAATTAGCATGCATTCAACACCTTCTACACCTACGAGGTCAGCGACTCCTACTCGGCCCACTCGCTCCACAACTACTTCGACTGTTGCTGCAAATGCCAATATACCCTTCGGAAACTCACCTTCTAGACGACAATTAAAAGAAGCAACAGAAGCGAATCGATACATCAACTATGATCCCGAAAAAGAACCCATCAAGGTCTGGTATTTTGCGAAAGTGTCTTCATGTTTGATATTCATCCCTGATTCACAGGCCTACTTGAGGATTAAACCAAATACAGACAGTCAAATGATGGTAGAGGATCCTTACATACAAGTGATGGATCAAGTAGAGGTCTCCATGACACCACCAGAGGTACTTGTATAGCTTGAATATGCACATCGCTCGTAACTAACCCATTTGAATAGAATTCAAATGCTTATAGAACAAGACACAGAGCCTCTGAAAAGTACAGATTCACTCGAGTCTTCAGTGAAGACACAGACCAGCAAACATTTTACAACCAAACAACATTAGATCTAGTTAAAGGCGCATTGCAAGGAGAGAATACCCTAATCTTTGCATACGGAGTGACGAATTCTGGAAAAACATACACTGTCATGGGTAAGCCATCGCAAAACGAGCATGCTGGATTACTACCGCGAGCCATGAATACGATATTCAGTAGCATCAAAGGCAATCAGAGCGAAACAAAGGTAAAGAGGCTAATAGCTGTGGATTCATTTGGACTCACAGCGTGTTAGATCAAACCTGTGATGCACAGTCTAGTGCAGACATATGAAACGCCCACTGACGAGAACAGACATATTTTGTCGACATGCAATGTGAGTTTACTTGTACCAATATGTGCACTATGATGCTCATACAGATACATGTAGGTACAGGATGATGTGCTATTGACAGGAGAGGATAGTAAAGTGGACATTGATACAAACTACGAATACGGAATATGGGTGTCATTTAACGAAATCTACAACGAACAAGTCTTTGATTTGCTGAATACGACAAAATCTGCAGCAACAGCAACAATAGCAAGACAAAAGCGACCTCAATTACAGCTAAAATACGAACAAAAAACTGGCAACAAATATGTGGCAGATACAACAATGGTCAAAGTCAGATCAACGGCAGAGGTGGATGCGGTCATGCGATTAGGGCTACAAAATCGACAAGTGTTTTCAACATTGATGAATCAGGCGAGTAGTCGCAGCCATAGTATATTTACGGTTTATATCGTGCGATGTCCAGTTGACAAGAACAACTTTGTGATTGAGGATCCCAACTATGCTTCATTATCGAAACTATCTGTGGTGGATCTGGCTGGATCTGAGAGATATCGAAACACCAATAGTACAGGGCAGCGACTGAAAGAGGCAGGCAATATCAATAAATCGCTAATGGTGCTGGGGCAATGTATGGAAGTGTTACGTCTGAATCAGATCAAACAAGACATGGGAAAGGTATTTCCGCTACATTATGAAAGTGATTTCGTGCTGATTGTAGATACGTAGAGCCCTACTATGGTACCTTTCAGGCACAGCAAATTGACTGAATTATTCAAAGGTACATTTGAAGGAGAAGGAAAGGCAGCAATTATTGTCAACGTAAATCCTTATGATACTGGATACGATGAAAACAACCATGTCATGAAGTTTGCAGCCGTCGCCAAAGATGTTACAACGCTGAGACAAACACAACCAAAGCTCGATCTACAGAATGTACAGATAAACGCAAAACGATTAAGAACTGGCTTCCAACTGCTGGAGGAGGAAACAAGCGAAGAAGAGGACGATGTCGAGAATGATCAGTGTGTGAATGGTTTGATTGCGCAACTGGATGAATTTCGAGAAAAGGCAAGTGCCATCTCCCGTGGTGATAAACACCATCTAAACTCTGATTCAATAGTGGGAGAATGCTGAGGCTAGAGCAGCGACCATTGAATCCACAGTAAAAGAACAAGCCGCAAGGGAACTGGAAAAGATGGAGAGCATGTATCTGTTAGCACTGCAACGAGAAAATGAAATGATGGATATACAGCTGAAAAATAAGGAGTACTCAGACATGGATTTGTTGAGCAAGCTACAGGAACGACAGACATCAGTATTGGAAGAAGTGGCCGATTTAAAATTGAAATTTGAGGAATACGATAGCACAAAGAACGATTTATTAGCCAAAATAGCTAAATTAGAGAAAGAGAATCGGAAAGAACGAGATCATTCGGCCCACCTGCAACAGCAACTTGATCAGCAAAAGCAAGAGCTTGCTGATGAAGACGAGGATGACGATGATGTCGATGATCGCAGCATGATGAAAGAAAATGACGATCCCAAGGACAAAGATACCTTCACTTCATTCCTAAATCTACGCAGACAATTACGAAAGAGCATCTTTAAAAAGGAAGAGCTTTGCAGAGATGCCGATATCATTATGAGCCAAGTAGAACAGTTTGATGGCGTAACATTCAAGCTAGCCAAAGAGACAAGTATGGGCAGATTGCTGAAATCCATTGCGCTGGAGGAATTTGAAAAGGATCCCTTCCAGATAAAGAATCGCGCCATGCGGTTACTCCAACGATATGCACAGCTACCAAAGTCAGTGAATGATATCCCGCCAAAAGACGCATTCTCAAACATGGCATTGGAGGACTCATCTACGGATATTCAAGATTTAAGAGCCGAGAATGCAAAGCTGAAGCAGAGGATCAAGGTAATAAGCATAGATAAGGGAGCGTGCTATTGTAATGACATTGTACTAGCATTTGAATAACAGCCAAAAGAGACTGAAGAAAGCATTTGAAAAGACAAGCATCACAATCACAGCCTCTGCATCGACCATGGGACAAGATGAGATGTCAATAATTGAAGATGATAGTGATGTTGTCAATGACGCTACCAACTCCAACGACCAGCACCAACATCTGGTAGCCGCCAATGAGGTAATATTCAATACAATTATGCAAAAGAACGTCAGGAATTAACAAAGTGGGGGAACTATTAATAGGATTTTTCCTCCTTGAAAAGACAAATAACCGACGATAGTCCTTTTGATACAGAAAGTGTTGAGGATGACTATGAGAGTGATTTAACAGAAAAACTGGGTCAAGTGAGACGACAGAAACGCAGAAGGTATAGTGTCACCTTGCGAAACGTTATGGCAGCATCTAATAACGCTCCTACAGAAAGCTGCGTGCACGTTAGAAAAAATAAATTAAAACGTACATCCGAAGACATCAAGAATTTGCCAAGGCGATGCTACAAACATAAAAAGGGCTCTTTACTAGTCCAAGCCAGGACACCCTATACTCTAAATGATATCACACCTCTCCTCCCCCCCACGCCATAATTTTGTATAAATAATTCCAATTTTTTGACCCTTTTTTAATTCAACATACTTTCTTTCATCCATTGACCAAAAGCAAAATGATTTCCACCGTCTCCCCTGTCATGAACAATCCCAAATGTTATTCACGTTCTACCATCAAATCAAAAGTCTCCCGACAGAATCAGTTACATCAAATGTTCAGTTCGTTTAAAAGGGCCCTGACTGAAAGACGAAACCACCAAGAAAAGAGACCTCAGGATGGCAAAACAAACCCAATGGAATAAATTCACATTACATTTGTAGCATAGCATAAATATATACACTCTCATTGAAATAGTCTCTTACTGTACATATCAATAAAGCTCTCTTTTAATTCTTATCATAAGCATGTTTGAATAGACCATCATTACACTATATCAGATGGCATCGTATCACTACATTGCATGTTTATCGTAACCATGATACACTGGCCTGTTTACCGGTGATTCGGTTGAATTCTATTGACATATGATGGTTATGCAATGCTACTATGCAGCAAGTCCATTTCATACATCTACCGCTGTTTCAATGATAAGGCACTAAAAGTAGATCATTTTCAGAGAATGCTAAAATAGTGTTCTCTGATCCTCCAACCCAATGTATACTTGCTACATTGCAAATAATTTTTAGTAGTAGATACAATTATGAATATAGTTTCGTTCCATGCTGGTTTCAGCAAGTGTTGTATGTATCACATTACACCAAACAGCCCTGACTCAGGGAGGAGACACGGCAGTCAATCGCCGTACGTTGATCCATCTGACATGAACAAGGCTGTATCAATACATTTTCTATTAATAAAAACTGATAAACACACAACGATATAAACATAAATGCATACGAGTCTCAATATGCCAAGATTTTTTATGAATAGAAAGCAGCATCAACATTTATGTTTAGATTGTAATGGCACATTTTACAAGCAAATGCTGATATTCAACCTTGTTGAGAAACATGTCCTCTACCGAAGCGCCAAGATTTATTGATGTGATCTACTAGCACCATACACAATGGTATCAAGTGTGAGCCATTTCGTTGCGTTAGATTGGTAAGGATTGGTTACGATTGCTCAAATTCTGCCTCATGTTGCTGAATAAGGTTTAGTGGTATAGAAATCGAACCGATGAAGGCAGTTTTTCTAGGCGACGCTTTATTGCTCATGAGCAGAAATACTATTTTGAATAAATTAAGGGCAACATTTGCTGTGAAGAGTAATATATCCTGTATTCAGGTACACTTCAAGCAAAAAATACCGCAATTGAGTCTTTTGTCACTGTATCGAAGATGCGCACTGGTGCCATTTTATGAATAATTAGACTCGAGAATCGAGTTTCATTTTCTCGATTAAGATCACCATGCCTTCATATCGCTGCTCAGTGCAATAAGTTGCATCATTCACATCATGCAACCCAACAAGCACCACACAGGGCATTCACACAGAGTTCCAGCTGATCGCCCTCAAAGCAAGGCATGTAGTTACCCCGAGCCAATGTTGAATCGTCGATTATCACTAATAATCATTTATCTCGTTGCTACTAGTCTACGCAGTTTCCTTTAAGCAATTAACGAAACAATTGGAAGACTACCAGAACTGAACAGACCCTTCAAAATGATAGAAGATCTCAAAAATACACAGAAAATGCACTTTCTAAGGCCTATTCCTCGTTATACGGTTGATTCCTCGAGCTTAAACCAAGTTTGAACTATGTTTCCATCATAAAAAACGCATTCTGTACCATTTTCGCGAAACATTTTGACACTTTTTACCGCCATTTTTCATGAGTATACTCTCACTAGCCGATCTATCTCGCAGCACTCGATGTCGGCGTCACCCTGTGGGCTCTCGCCAAAGACATTTTAAATCAGATATTATAACATTTTGGTATATCAAGTAGATTTCAAACAATTAATTGTTAGTTAGTAAAAGAAAAGTTATATCAGAGCCACCAGAAGGAGGAGAGGAGGTATCTCCCTCAGCATCCTTTTAGCTTACATTGATATCAAACGAAGCCTATTATTGGAACAATGCGAAAGACAATTCAAATTTTATTCAGAATTTGTACACCACAATCACCATTTTCTGACAATAGAATTGTCATATTATTCGCTGCTGCTGATGCTCTTAGTAATAAGATGGCGACATAGAGCTGGTCATAAGTAAATACAAGACTTGTGTAATATTTACAGCGACTTTTCTGAGATATTGTCATTGCAAAAGACATCTTTATGAGAGAAAGCTTTCCAAAAATATATTCAGGCTATCCAATTGCCCTTTTAATTCCATGATCCCCATTTAATCAGCATCGCAATCATCATTGCCATCAACAAAAAGGCATTTGGGCCAGCCAGCAGCAGCGCCCCCGCCAAAACGTATTCAAACTCAGTCTGTTTTTTTTCTGCTCAAGATTGGACGGATTTCGTCTTTTTTCGACCTCTATAATTAATTTTGTAATATTCGACTATATAAATTGTGATGATTACCCTACGCTTCTTAATACAGTCCCTGGTGGTAGGGCGAAGTGGTAGAACTCCCGTATGCCAACGGGAGGATCCCCGGTTCAAATCCTGGTGAACGCAAGTTGTTTGATTTTTTTGACGTAGTACTGATGTCCTCGTTTGGTGTTTTGTACTCTTATCCATGACCTATATTTTGACGATTTCCGCAAGACTGTACTGGCTCTAGGAGTCGCACCTTATTAGTAGTAGATTTCTTTCCCAACTTAGTTCAAAATTTCTTATTCCCCTTCTTTGCAGACATTGGGTCCACCAACAGTCTTTTCTATCCCTCAGTATGACATTTAAAGGACTTTAAATAAAACCTGGAGCTCGACTCCCCTACAAAAAAAAACGCTTCTTAATACATTCTTGAAATACTTTTCAAGACGTTTCCAATGGTGCTGATTGTAATAAGTGTTTTGAAAGAAATTATTGAGAAATTTGGTAAAATATGAAATGAGGTTTTTAGCAAAAATAGCCATATTTTGCATATGAAAGCCTCGTAAAAGCGGTTTCAGAGGTTGCTTTTGATCGAGAGAAACATTTTGATTTGATATATATCATAGTAAAAGTCTTCATTTCCAAGGTGAAAAACGTGATCGTTTGATTTTCGATGAAAACCATGAGGGGTACCTCATGCTTTTTGGTCGATTTTTGACCATGTTTTTTTGGTCTTCAAAAAGTTGAGCAAAGGTGTCAGGAAGTTACTACTACTCAAGTACAACTGTTTGGCGTCATTCCGATGGCTCAGAAAAGTCTACATGTCAAATCATGAAGGCTTGAAAGCTGTCAAATTTGGGTATATTTTGCTTTATAGCTTGTATTTACACGGCATGAAGCACATCTTTGGTAGCTGAAATCTTCTAGAAGGGCAGTTCTGCAACTTGTGCAATTTCTAATTTGAATGGAAGGCATATTGATTTTGGTAAGGTTAATTCATGCAAAATTTGATGCGTTATGTTGCTGGTAATAAGATTATTAATAATGGAAATGAAAACCCGAATTTGCTGCTTGAATACCATGGCCTTGCACCTTCGCTTCGCTACGGTAAAACCGCCTCATAGTAGGTCAATGTTACCAAATGTTGAATTATATGCGTTATGTTTTTGGTGGATGGGCTTAGCACCTCCTCCAAACCCTTTCCCCAATGCCGGCTCCATTCACCTTGTACAGTACTCAATTCTTTAAATTTTTGAAAGGATATAACTTGTTTGTCAACTTTTTTTCTTTTATAGTTTTCCAGTATATATATTAGAGATGAAAATTGATCGTAATCAAGAATGGCGCTTTTTCTCTTGACAACTGGCAAATTCAGCCTGATGTTTCTAATCTCCAAATATGTAGAATTTTCTCCTCTTTTAGCCCAAAACCTTATTTTAGACTTTTCACAGGCAGAATTTGAACATACATGGAAATAATTGGGTTTAAGTTTTTCGTACGTAACTTGTTCTTCTCAATGGATACGCCTATAACATTAAGATCATTTGAAAGAGAAATAAATTTGGAACAGAAAAGAGTAGACCCTCTAGCCATGGGTTTAATGTAGTTTATTGAGTTTTCGACCGTTTTGTGATTTGAGATATTTAAGTTGACCATCCAGAATCACAGTGGCGTTTAAATGTTGCTTGTAGCAATAGTATGGTTAGCGTGATGGTTAAAATGGTGTTTAGAGGGATAGTGAACACAATAACATTGAGCAATAATAGCTATAGCACTATAAGAGACACGAATTATAGGGTTATCGGGTTTGTGGCTTGAAAATATGAGTTTCTTGATGTCAAAAGCCGTTTCAAAACTTGATATCACTGCGGCCATTGCACTTCATATTGACAATGCGATGTCTGCATGTCTCCTATGAAATAGCTGTGTATCTTGTAGAATCAAATAAACCAAAGATTGATTTTTAAGCACAGTGCCCATGAGGTTGTTGTATACAACATCAATCCTGTCGTAGCCTTGGGCAGAAACGTGATCGAATGTCAGCATTTGAGGTCATAATGTGTACATCAACCATATTTCAAAGAGCTGAAAGCAGTAATTGATGCATAAATTGGTGCTTTAACTACAAGTGCCACCCGCTGTTTTCTCTACCTTAAGGTATATTTGCCATAGCAACTGATGACTCTGTACTTTGATGCATGTAATTGATCAACAGCTGATCTTATACATGCCTTACTTGACACCAAATTCCCTTCATCAATACCAATTTATCATACGTAGATGAGTATCCTAGGTAACGATTAAATCGAAACGAGGAGTGATATGACAAGAGGAGCAAACAACTTGCCAAATATGTCATGTCTAACCACTGGGATCCAATCATTGATACTATCTATCAAGCTACCGATGACGCAGTGGACCATTTGTCTTCCTCCAAAAGAAATTTTTTTCACTTTTTTTTTCTTTTTTTTTTTTTTTGATTTCTTTGATTAAACAAGTACAATGGCAGACTACGATAGACCCGCTAGTCCCAAGGTAATTGCATTGTTCGTTATGGGTCGAATGATTTTTGACTCTTATAATAGAATGATTATGATCAACGACCTATAAAGTCTGAGGAGCATCAACCAATGGAGGATGTAAGACGTGAGCGTTCTCGTTCCCCTCGTTCCCGCTCTCGCTCTCGTTCCAGAAGCCCTAAGCGTGAAGGTCGTAGCTTATCGCGTTCCCCTGTGCGTCGTAGCTCTTCTCGTCGCCATGACTCTCCCAAGCGTCGTCGTAGCTACTCTCGTTCCAGATCTAGAAGTCCACGAGGAGACCGTAGAGATAGAAGAAGAAGGTAAATATCACACAATATCAAATTTTGCCGTGTGTGCATGTGTATTTACGTTCGTAGCCTTTCTCCTCCTCCTCGTCGCCGTAGTCGTAGTCCTCGTCGTCGCTCACCAGGTCGTGGTAGAAGAAAGTATGTCAAATTTAGAAACCTGTCAATTTCCATTGTACTAATTCATCGCTCAATTTATAGTGAGGCTAATAAGGAATTCCATGGCACTAGAGATGAACCTGAGATGTCTAACATCCTCGGTGTATTCGGTTTGAGTTTAAGAACTCGCGAAGTTGATTTGGAGGAAGTTTTCCGTGAATTTGGCACCATTGAAAAGGTGACAATTGTTTACGATCACAGAGTAAGTTGTCATGATTGTCTGTGTGCATCGATATTGCAATTCTAATTCTATCCATAGAGCAACAGATCAAGAGGTTTTGGCTTTGTTTATTTCAAGGATCAAGCTGAAGCTACTCGCGCTCGCGATGCACTGAACGGCATAGATATTGATGACCGTAAAATTCGTGTCGATTATTCAGTTACACATCGTCCTCACACCCCTACTCCTGGTGAATATATGGGCGAAAGAAAGCCTGGCTATGAACGTGATCGTGGTTCCTATAGACATGGCGGCAGAGATGATCGTCGTGGTGGACGTCGCAGAGAGCGCTCTCGTTCCCCTCGCAGAAGATATTATCGTTCAAGAAGTCGTAGCAGATCTTGGTCTCGTTAAGATATGACAACTAACACGCTCACACATGTGTTGATTTATGCAACAAAACCTCTTTCTTCTTATTTCTCTCTTTCTTCTTTTTTTTAAAATATGTGAAATCACAGTGTGTGTTCCTCGTCAAATCCAAACAAACAAACAAACAAATCCCAGAAACAGACAGAGCAAGTCCACCAAGAAGTTCTCTCGCTCTCCAAAGCAAATGCCTCTCTCTCTCTCTGAACAATAAATAGCCCAAAAAAATATACATAAATTATAAACGCAAGAAGTCAAGTTGAAGTTGCCCTCATTTAAAATGTAATAAGAAGTTGCAAGCTGGTGAATGAAGATGAAAAAGAGCAAGGAGTCATTGTTGACTGAGGAATTTGGCTATCTGCAGTCCAGACGTAGGCGTTTTTGTCAAGGCAGCAAGTTTAACCATGGGGGGGTAAAGCAGGATCTTTGGTGCGTCAAGTCAATTAGGTAAGTGCTGCCGAGACAATAGAGCAAACAATAATAAAATTTTGCATGAAAATCATAATTTCGTTTGCTTGTTGATACCACAACGTTCTGTTGGTTGTGTCACATATTGAAATGATTGTCCTTACTCTGCAAATATATATATATATATATTGAGCTTGGACCCCCTCATGAGCACATGTCAAGAAGCCTCCAATCTGATTATGGCGCATGTCCTTTATTCACGGCATCACGTTAAGTTTCTTCAAATATATTCTATAAAAATGGATCCTTTATTGTACATGAATATCGTATTGAATTGACTTAATTTACATAAAAAATATCTAATATATTACTCTAAGAAAAAAAAAAAAAAACATCTAATTACCCAACCCAAGGCCAACTAAAGGTATCCACAGCAAAACCGCACTGATCACAGGAATAGTCAAGTTATCATCTAATCCAAATAGTAAATTACTCACACCTTCACTTAATGCAGCCACGAGACCACCATAAGAGGCCATGACAATCAATGGAATTTCAGATGTTGCTGGTGTGTAAGACAAAGGATAACGTGCCAACGGACCAAAGTACATGTATGTCACAAGCGCACCCGTTGTCATGGCGCCCAAGGACCCAGCCAGGCTTTTACCACCATATTGTGGTGTATACTTTCCCCATAATTTGCCGCAGATGCTTGCTGTAGGGTCTGTCCAACTGAGGTAGATAATACTGAGGGATGCAATGTCTTTTGGAAAGTAGTAAAGAACAATGACACAACCTATCGGGAAGAGATGTCAGATATAAGCACATACACATACACATACACTTTTAAAGGATATCTACCCAACAAATAATAGACAACACCATTGATGCGATTCTTGATTTCGGATGGTCTCATAAGTGGACCTAGCAAGTAGCAGTAAAGTTGATTGAACCACTCAAAATTGAATCGAAGCAATTCAGCAGAACCCACAATACTCAAAAACACAATCAAGATGGGATACACGTCTTGTGTTTCTGTGCCGTTCATGTAGAGATACAATACAACGAACCCTGCAATGATGTTTGTTACATAATGAACTGACTGGGGCTATTGGGTCAAAAGCAGAACAAAAAACCTACCGATAGAGTAATGAAAAAGTTTGCGAGGTATCTCCCAGCCACCTTTTGCAGGTACATGGGTATATTTCTTAACTAATTGATCCAACTCTTGTTGTAGCGATGCCTTATCAGCCATGTGGGGTTGAGGATGAAATAAAGGGAGAAAGAAGAAAGAGAAGAAAAAGAAGGGCCTTGATTAAAAAGATATAGCATTACAAAGCTAAATGACAAGCCAATGCTATCCTGTTGCTGCGTTCATCATATAAGCTCCGGGGCATTCTAGTAGGACCCTTTTTAGTCGCAGTGTGGAGAAAGAGTAACCATTACGTCGTATGTCCTTTTTCTTTTTCATATCTCTTCATTCTTTAATCATACATACCGAAATGAGCAGACTCGTATCGCTTTCATTATTCACCAGGTCATTCACTAGACAACATTTGATCTTTAGACCTAGCCATGGTAACGAAAGAGGACTCACAACGCCAATTCAAGTCTTTAATTTGTAAGTTTAGCTAGATATTCCAGCACACCCATCGTCGAAAGCAAAGTCAACATGGAAGAGTCTATGAACAAGATTGAAGAATTGTTCAGCGCAGCCAAAAATGAGGTAAGACTTGAAAAAAGATACTCTAGCCGGCGTCTAATGGCATGTTATACATCCACTAGTTGGAATATGCTGATGAATCGCAAGGCACGACATACTATCATGAAGATCTCGCAACAGCAGAAAAGGCAGTCAATGAAGTATTGACAGCATACAACGACTTTCTGGAAGCATTGCCATCTGACGATATGAGAAATGAAGTCAAAACCAAAGTGGGCATGAAGATGAAGGAACTGAAAATGACATTTGATGCTTTACCAGAAGAAGGGCATTGATATAATACAAATGTTTTATTTGGCAGTAGGAACATGGCCTGCTTTTAATAAACGTTCTAATCTTGAAATTTCATCAAGTGAAGTAGCTTGCTTGAGTGCCTCCTGCAAATAGATTGTTAGTACGTATGGTATATCAAGTGTGCTGGCCAAATCTACCTTGATCTTTAATTGCTCGTCAGGTGTGAGTCCTACAACGCCAGAAGAGGAGCTATTCAAACCTTCTCCAACCTCAAACGTCTTTGTCTTGTTGTCGACGAGTGATTTAATCAAATCATTATCTGTGCCATCAGCCTTTTGGAAAAGTGTCTTTGCCTCCTTCTTTTCAGATAATTTGACCTTGTTGAAATCCAATACACGTAATTGAGGTAATTTATAGATCAAGTAGAGACGATAGTATTCTTTCTTTGCAACAGGGTTATCCAACAAACTGAGATGTGTTAGCTTTTGGCATTCTGCAAGTGCCTCTAAATCGCCCAATTCGCTGAGGGCATTGTTGGTCAAGATGATGGTGTTCAAGTTGGGCACATAGCTGTTGAGGCCTGCGTCGATTTTGCTAATACGATTGTTGTTTAATAGTAAATGTTGAAGACGGTTCAAACGAGGAAAGTTTCCAAGAACACGCAAATCATTGTTTGTGAAATCAATAGCATCGTTCAAATCCTATGTAACCAGTGTAAGTACTGGATCCACATTGTATTAGACGCAAGTGTCAATTACTTTAGTAACACCCAAGTTCTCGATAGCAGGTATCTTTAAATCTATATAGTCGCATGGAATGAGTATATATATATATATATATATATATATATGTATACGCGCGCAATCACCCTCATCCTCAACATACCTCTCAAGACTAGCTCACGATCGCCGAGAGCATTGATTTGTGATACGCTGTTTGAGAGTAAATCTGCTGTCAACTTCATCTTGTATATCGTAGTTTTGTATATAAAGAGAGAGAGGGAAAGAGTCTACAAATCTTTTGAGAATTAATATCTAGCTTACGGTAATGGTGGCTTATTGGTGGGATGGCCCACATCATGTTGTCGCAGCATTTGAATAACCGCGACATGAACTTCTCTTTCTTCTTTCCAAACAAGACACATCATGGCACATTCACCAGAGAAAAGTGACAGAAATAGGTCCTCAAGACACAAATCCCCAGAAAGAAGACACAGTAGACATCGCTCTTCCGAAAGACACAGCAGACATCGCTCTTCCGAAAGACACAGCAGACATCGTAGTCGTAGTAGAGACAGAGACAGAAAAAGAAGGTAAAAAAAAAATGCAATCATGACAGGCAATAACTTGTGTCCAGTGTAAACTGATAAAGCCTATATCTAGACACCGTGATGATTCATCAGACCGTCATCGCAGTAGCAAACACAAAAAGGAAAAGAAGAAATACAAGAGTCGTTATGGCAGCGATGATGAGGATCAAGAGAAAATTGAGACAGGCCAGCCATCACTCGAGACCTTGGGCTACTCCAACGTCAGCAATCCTTTCAACGACGTCAATTTGGAATCCAAGTTTGTGTGGAGCAAGAAGAAGCAACGCGACAAGAAGCAATTGGGACTATCAGAGACAGATTTGCAAAAGAGAGAGCGTGATCGAAAGCGAGAGGCAGACGAAGAACTGGCAAAACTCAACAAGCGCAGAGCAGAACGTGAAAGAGAGCTGGAATTGAGAGAGGAAGAGCAGGCTCGTATCCAAAGAGACGCCGAATTGGCTGCCATGGGTGATTGGGAGGCAAAAGAGGAGGAATTTCATCTGGAGCAAGCCAAACAGAGAGCTGCTATTCGTATTCGCGATGGACGTGCTAAACCCATTGATATCTTGGCCATGAATCTGAGACTGGCAAACGAGCCTGACAAGGTTGAAGAAGACGTGGATTTGGAAATTGACTTGGATGAGCCCTATACTATATTTGAGGTAAGTTTGTAAAGGGAGGCTAGAGTGCTATTAGAAGCGATATTCACTCATGAACATGTAGAATCTTTCTTTAGCCGACACAGACGAATTGCATAAAGACATTCAAATGCATTTAGCACTGGAAAAGAACCCCAAGACACTCGAATTCTGGCGAGCAATGATTGTTGTAGCAGAGGATTGCTTGTCAAAGATGCGCGAAAATGAAGAACGTATACAATCAGGCGGTGTTGCATTAACAGTGAACCAAGACATTCATCGCGTGCTGTCTGGCAAGACGGTATCACAACTCTCTGTACTACAAAATCAAATTCAAAAGAAGCTGGCTAGCAATGAACCCATCGATGTTGAATATTGGGAGAATTTGCTCAAAGAATTGGTGATTTACAAGGCAAAAGCAAGATTGAATGACATGCACCAGGAAATACTAGCGGCCCGATTGGAGCAATTACGAAACAAACAGCGCGAAGAAGCATTGAAGGTGCAGGAAGAATTGGAAAGAGTGTTGTCTATGCAAGAAAGAGAGGTCCATGGACAAGGCGTTGTGGCGGGAGAGGGTATTGCATCAGAGCCTGTGGATGAAAGCTTGACAGAGGCGCAAAATCAATCATTCATTAAATCAGACACAACGAACAACCGCACTGGCACAAACTCACTGTTACTAGAAGAATACAGCCGTGCGATGAGCCCTGAGCCAATGACCAGCCTGAACAGAGAGGACCGAGAGCTCGAGATTGTGGATCCCACTCAAGATTTACAAGAGCTCATGGAGAAACGTCGTGTTGTGCTGAACAGCATCATTATTCCCAAACAACCCAAGCAAGAGCAAGACCAAGACGCACAAGTGGTGGAACAAGTACGCAACAAGGACGAATCCATTGCTTCCACTGTGCTGTTTGAACAGGAGGCGGCAAAAGGCGTCGACGAAGACGAAGATTTGTTCAACATTGAAGCAGAGTTGGGCCAGCAAACCTACAATTGGCAGGACAAATACAGACCTCGTAAACCACGTTATTTCAACCGAGTACATACTGGCTATGAATGGAACAAATACAACCAAACTCACTATGACCTGGATAATCCACCACCCAAAGTTGTGCAAGGCTACAAATTCAATATCTTTTACCCTGATCTCATTGATCCATCCAAAGCACCCACCTACTTTATCGACAAGGATCCTGAATCACCAGACACTGTGCTCATTCGATTCCATGCGGGTCCTCCTTATGAAGACATTGCTTTTCGTATCGTAAATCGTGAGTGGGAATACTCGCATAAGAAGGGCTTTAGATGTAGTTTTGACCGTGGCGTGCTGTCACTATGGTTCCATTTCAAGAGACAGTTTTATAGAAAGTAATCTACTCGTTGTATGTTATATTTAGTAAATGATGTATGATTTGTAAAGATGACTATGTTTATTGTTTGAAGATATACTTGGAAGTGGTAATGAGTTGACAACATATTGCCCATTAAAAAACACCATGATCAAGCAGTACCTTCAGAAGCACTGTCAGCTTTGTACCATAATATGTAGACAACAATCAAGCTACAAATCAAAAAGAAGAACCAAACCTTTTCTTCGTCAGAAAGCACCATTTCTGGGGCGGCTAGCACGCTTTGGGTAAGTTGTACATTCTCTCTCGACAGCACAATACAATATACTCACTTTTTGGCGCTACCTGAAGTGTTTTACCTTGTGCAATGGCAATATCCGACAAGGACTTTAAGGCCTTGGCCTCTTCAGCGAAATCAGCAGCTTCGGCTTTCTGAATCGTAGAGACTCGATACCATTGCGTATCTTCGTCGTCAAATATGTCTTGAATACCTAGTTTGTCTAAATTCTTGATTGCAGTTGAATTAATTCTGTCCATGGTATAGTAGAGCTGATTGTAAATCTCAATTATCTTTGCAATGTCTTCGACAACTGACGATTTTGCTGTAAGACTTGGTAGCGCATGAACACTGCCAGTTGAAGGTCGATTTTCTTGGTACTTTGCTGCCACGGGTTTCGCTTTGTTGCGTAACTTGACGACAACCACCAAATGCTGCAATTGCTCAATTGTTTGATGAATAGAGTAGATGACTTTGTCGTTCGAACGCACAAAATCAATGGTTTCCTTTTGCAAATCATCAAATGCAGCTTGATAGTCAGGGCTGACAGTGTCTGTAGTGAGATCATTGGTTAAAGAGTCTCATGTGTATTTTATTTATGCGTCAAACTTGCATTTCTTTTCAAGCGTAGCCATCTTGAAATCAAGGGAAAGAGGAGGAAAAGCATTTATAAAGACTATATCTGTTGTGCCATTTATTTACATGTATTGCTCAAATGCGCCACGATCAAAACTTTATACAGGCTTCAAACAAGTAATGATGTACTCGCATATGATATGACAATCAAGCAGCAATATTCAGAAGCAAGGCATCCATTACTTGAGAAAGGGTAGAGTAGTTAAATTGAGGTACTTCATTTGCATCCGGTATGATACAACTAGTTGATCGATATCTCTACGCTCGATGGGAGCGTCGTCCTGCGGGCTCTTGCCGAAGACATTTCAAATTAGAGACAATAAAAATTTGGTATATCAAGTAGATTTTAAACAAACAATTAATAGTCAAATCAGAGCCAAAGGTTGGGGGGGGAGGTATCCCCCACTGCACCCTACTTTGCTTATTCACTTGTATCAAACGAAAGCTATTATTGAGATAATGTAAAGAGAGTTCAAGTTTTATGCAGGCTATGCGTAATGCAGGACTTGTGTAAGATACACAGCGACTTTTTTGAGATATTATCATTGCAAAGGACACCTTTATATGAAAAACTCCCACAAAAAAGTATTCGGGTTAAGCAATTGTCCTTGCAATTCCATAATTCCCATTCAATCAGCATAGCAATTATCATTGTCATTATCAGAAAGGCATTTAGGTCAGTCAGCAGCATTGCCACCGCCAAAAAATTATTCACAGTTTATTTTTTCTGTTCAAGGTTGGGCAGATTTTGTCTTTTTTATCCTCTCAGGCCTTTTGGCTAAGATCAAGTGCAGATTTTGTCTTTTTTCGACTTCTTTAATTTATTTTATGATATTCGACTATATAAATTGTGATGATCACCCAAAGCTTCCTAATACATTATTGAAGTACTTTTCAAGGCGATTCCAATGGTGCTGATTGTAATAGGTATTTTGACTGAAATTATGGAGCAATTTGGTAAACTATAAAATGAGGTTTCTGGCCAAAATGTCGAAATTTTACATATCAAAATCCCATAAAGATAATTTCAAGGGTTACGTTAGATCGATAGAAACATTTTGATTCAATATATGCCATAGTAAAAGCTTCCATTATCAAGGTCAAAAACGCGATTGTTTGATTTTCGGTGAAAACTTTTTTTTTGTATGGAGGAAGGCAGGCTACCACTCATATTTATTATGTTATCAACATGCTGCCAAAAGACTATTCTACCTAAAACGACTGGTCTATAAGTGCGTGCGCAAGAGGGACAAGAAGGGCATGACTACTAATTTGAATTGTTACTGGGGCAAAGAGTGTGCTCCCACGAGAAAGATCCAGGAGATATTTGACTAAGGATAGTACTGTCAGCACTTGATCAGATGGTTATCGCGAGAGAACAAAGATACTCGACCGAAGCCGCAAGCAAGAGAGAGAACAATCAGAGCCATACCAACAACAAAACAAACGTTCACGTCAGTGAAACTCATCATCCACAGTTGAGAGCAGAAGAGACTCGGTATATGTGATAAATCACATACCCTGGCTACTCCTGACGTTATTCTTCTATGTTGAAAAAAATCTTGGTAAGGGAAAAACATAGCGACTATGTACTCTGTCAACTATCGAGATGGGAGAGACCATAATGTGCGCCACTACCGCACAAAACTAGGGAATCACCCCGTTTGGCCAAAAATTTCGTAGAAAAGGGTGATTTTCGGTGAAAACCATTAGGGGTACCTCAGGGGCCAACTGCGCACACATCCCAAAATTCCTTAGGGACACATCCTGTTATCCATATATAGTAATTTTTAGCGCTGGTGATTGTGCTTCTGAATGGCTTCATTAAACCGGTACAGAGCTCTCATTGCCTCAGTAGGTAATTTTAACATTAACATTATACCATTTTATATGATTAAAAAGCAGAGAATAGACGTGCTCGCTTCTCTAGACCTGCCGACATGATGTGTTTTTTGAATGCGCCATTTGTACATTCCATGGAATATATGTACTGTCAATGGCAAAATGTATTGTAATTTGAAATGGACATGCATAAGAAGTTCATTTCATTTGTATGTATATGCCATGGTAGTTTCAAGCGATGTATTTTTGGAATTTCTGAAATCAATCCTGGAGCGCACTTCAAGAAGTCTTGTTGCGCACACATCCCAAATTACTCTAACAATCACACAGAACATTTTAAAGAGCACATCTAAAGAATCTTGCTTTTTCACGACTGAAGCTGCGTTTTTCAATTCATCAATGTCATCAATGCCATCAATGTCAACAATGCTGTCTTTTTGGTAAGTTCTGTATAGTAGCCTCACTTAATAAAAATATATTATAGTACCTGACAGCCGTATATACAAGCTGGGGTTAAAGAGGTTAATCTCTCTCTTCTGTAAATGCAATTAAGAGCATTCCTATTATAATTGGGTCTACTAAACGCGGTGTACTCAGGGCTGGTTCATTTTAGACTATTCGAGTCAGAATCTGAGAAACCTACTTAAATAGCTTAATTACCATATATGGTTGACGGGATGTGTCCCTAAGAAATTTTGGGATGTGTGCGCAGACACCCCCAGTACCTCATGCTTTTTGGTCGATTTTTGAACATGTTTTTTGGATCCCCAAAAGGTTGAGCAAATGTGTCAGAATTTAACTGCCAGATGAGAGCAATTGTTTGGTGCTATTCTGGCCATCTATAACGGACTTGAACGCAAGAAAACGCAGCTCAAATGCACTCAGATTTTGCTTTATCAGGAACACTAAGGAATAAAAAGGGGGAAATACCAGTATGCTGCTTGCCCGTATATAAAGTAGCTACGTGTATATGGATGTAGATCATCACAAGAATCATAACCCCAGATAATATGACGGGGTTTTATGTGTAAGTGGAGGGTTAACGTGAAGGTAGTAGTATTCTGATAAGATATGCAAGGGCAATTGGCAGCGCAGGTGGGTTCTCACCGAAGCGAAGCGAAGATAGAGAGCCATCCGAAGCATAAACACCCGTACCCTCTAATAAATATACTGGAAAACTAGAAAAACCCTCGTCGGAATGGCCAACCAGAGATCAGGAGCCCCTCCTCCAAGAATAGGCCGCATCTAATTCAACATTTAGTAAAATCGATCTCAACAAAGAGGGTTTCACCGTAGCGAAGCGAAGGTGCAAAGCCATGGTATTCAAGCAGCAAATTCGGTTTTTCCATCTATTATTAGTGTGCTTGCCAACAACATAGCGCAACAAAATTTGCATGAATAAGCTTTACTTAAAATCAATATGCCTCCTATTCGAATTAGAAGTTTCACAGGCTGCAGAACTGCGTTTCCAATAAATTACAGTTACCAAAGACGTGGTTTATGCTGTGTAAATAAAAGCTATAATGCAAAACATAACCAAATTTGACAGCTTTCAAGCCTTCATATCTTGACATGTAGACCTTTATGAGCCACCGGAATGACACCAAACAATTGTACTTGAGTAGTAGTAACTTCCTGACACCTTTGCTCAACTTTTTGGGACCAAAAAAAACGTGGCCAAAAATCGACCAAAAAGCATGAGGTACCCCTCATGGTTTTTATTAAAAATCAAACAATCGTACTTTTTACCTTGACAATAAAGACTTTTACTATGGTATATATTGAATCAAAATGTTTCTATCGATCCAGCGTAACCCCTGAAATCATCTTTGTGGGACCTCGATATGTAAAATTTCGACATTTTGGCCAGAAACCTCTTTTCATATTTTCGTAAATTGCTCAATGAGTTTATTCAAAGCATTCAACTTACTTGGTACCATTGGATGCGCCTCGAAAAGCACTCCAAGAAAGCTTACAGAAGCATAGGTTGATTATGATATTTTTATAGTCGAATCTGGAGAAATAGTTGAACCAAATCGAAAAGCCATCAAAATCTGACCAATCTGAAGTAAGCTAAAAGCCTGGGTTTAAATTGATTTTGGCGGCTGGTGTGGCCTGCTGGCAAACTCAATGCCCTTTCAATCATCATGAAGGCAATACAGTAATAGATGTTTTTGAAGCATATGGAAAGTAGGTGGCAAATTATATAGCACTATTATTAGCTATGCTATTTTCCTTTCGTTCTATACTTAATAACGCTAGTCTATCAAAATACTTGTTAGGCCAACTTCTTTCCTTTTTGAGGCTTGAAGTGTCTAGGGACAATAGTTTATTATGATTTGATATTAGCAATCAATTTTCAAAACCCTGCCATCACAATCCCTAGCGCTATAGAAAGATTTTGCATTTCCTTACTAGATTTATTCTATTATGATATATGTTTGATAGGGTATAAACTGAGACCAGCCATCTTTTTGAATTTATAAAAAATACAAACTGTTGCGCACCATGTCTTCCTCAGCAACAGGAATCAAACCAAGCTTCTCTTCTGACAGCTTTTCATATACTTCTTCTTGTTCCTTCAATGTCAACTACCATCAAGTCGAGATTAGGAATGCTATTACATATCAAATAGGTGGTCTCTGTACTTACATAGATATAAGCAAACGTCTCATACAGCTTAATGCTGTCCATTCGGTTTTCGTACTTCAAAGGGATAGTGCATGATCTTGTCTCGACAACTGACCATTTGCCAGAGGGTCCCGGCGAGTACTTGAGGATTGTCATCTTATTTTGGATGATGTGCCCAGTCAGAACTACAATTTTCTTGGCTGTCTTGATACTACAGTCCTTGTAATCGCACAGAATGCTTGCTAAAGAGTCAGACCCGTGCTTGAGGTTTTTAAGAGTGTCCTCCAACGTGTGTGCAAGTATGTCATCCCCGACGCTAGCGATATTGTCAATTGTCAACATTTGATAGCGTGAAATTCGTATTCCAGCCTTACTTACCCTGATGATTCCAACATGATGAAGTTGACATCGTTCTTTTTCATTATCCCAACGCCGTCCAAGAGCTTCAATTGAACATCTTTCTTTTGAAAATCTTTTTTCAATAGCCAGCAATGATCACTGCTCTGCAGCTTCTTCTCGGCCCACTTGAAGTATAACAATCTCGTCATTCTTGAAAAGAGTTTGAACTGTTGCACAAAGGTCTCCACAAAGAGTGTTCGTTCCCCACTTCGAGAATAGTTGGGTGGATCGTTGAAATTAACACAAAGATCGTTGTATGATTGCTGCATAAACTTCATACAGTCGTTGCTTGACGTAGGCTTTATGCTGAATATTTCCCTTGCGAAATCGCTCATGTCCACACTGAAGAGTTTCTTCATGAAATCCAGATAGTCGTCGCCCAATACTGTCACCAATGACTTATTCAGTCGTAAATCTTCCATGTGCGAGTCGAATTCAGTCTGTAGAGAAGCGCTGCAATTTGGCTGTACGTCTGTGCTTAACCGTAAATCAAAGTACTGTGTGCAGGCAGCTCTGTCGTGGCTCTGAATGACTGGCTTTTGGGGCGAGAGAAAGTACTTCCTTGTTGGCGTGTGAATATCATAGCCCACGCCATTTTTTTGTAATTTGAATGATGATTCATGCGAGTCTGAAGTTAACATCTAATGTATATAGGATTGCTTGCATTAGCATAGAGAAGCCGAGTGATCATGCACTACCTACTTGCTCCTCATCTGTCAAAGGTCTGCTATTAAAAGGGTCTTCCACCAATTGCCTTTTATGAAGTATCATTGAGTCTTCTCTCTCCTTGCCTTTTCGTGTCATCAGCACAGACATTGTGGACTCTGCTTGTAGTTCAGCCTCTGCGCTGTTTCGTTCCACGCGTCGTCGTAATTCAGCTTGTTGATACAATTGGCAGACATCGTATTTGATCTTGTCATTTTTGTAATAAATGACTAAGCTTTTCACGTATTCTGCAAGAAGAGATAAGAATGCTGATGATGACTGTTGCTTAACCCATTGCACTATTTGGTTAAATGATGATTGAAGTAATGAGAGGAACTCGACGCCAGTTTTCTCCCAAACCACCGAATTGCATAAATAGCTATCAATGATCTCTTCAAGGTTTCCCCAATCTTTTGCTGCGTTTCTCAATATGCTACTGTTCAGCTGTGCGTCGTTTCGTAAAGTATCTGGTAATATATAGCTGCCCTTGAGTCTCTGTAAATTGGGAGGTTTTGGTTTAGAGGTAGACATGAAGACGGAAAGAAGATGAGGAATCAATTGCCGCGCGATTTCTTCTGTCGCGCCCATTGATTAGTCACACTTCGCATTGTTAGGAAGTTTTTTTTTTTTCTTTCTTCATTTAACCAATATATTGCTATCGCTCCAAATTACAAGCTTGTACTCGATCATGGTTTATTCGCGTCTTCGCACAGCTTGTATAAGTCTAATAACCTACTTGCCATCGTCCACCATAATGCCACTCGGATTTGGACCGGCCTTTACGTGTTAGCTTCAAGTACATCTTGCTCTAAGCATGTTTGCATGTTTTACATGCTTACATGTTAGAGGAAGGGCATTCTGAGCAGATGTGTGCTGAATGATGTCTTTTGTTATGGATCAAACTATTTGATGGTAAGGAATCTTGATGTACATGTATTTTCAGCTATACGATTAACTCAACTCATTGGTACGGATATTGCTCAACTCATATCATCATGGATCATCTATTGTTTCCAAGTACAGCCTACGTAAAGCTAGCTACTTACCTGCTGCAACCCACCACAATGCCACCCGGATTTGGGCCAGCATTTATGTTCTAGTAGTAGGTGTATCCTATTCTAAGCATGTTTACGTGTATTACATGTTAGAGGAAGGGCATTCTGAATGGACACAGTACTTGGCTGAATTCTTGAAATGTAGCAACTTCGCACAGCTTGTATAAGCCTAATAACCTACTTGCCATCGTCCACCATAATGCCACTCGGATTTGGACCGGCTTTTACGTGTTAGCTTCAAGTACATCTTGCTCTAAGCATGTTTGCATGTTTTACATGCTTACATGTTAGAGGAAGGGCATTCTGAGCAGATGTGTGCTGAATGATGTCTTTTGTTATGGATCAAACTACTTGATGGTAAGGAATCTTGATGTACATGTATTTTCAGCTATACGATTAACTCAACTCATTGGTACGGATATTGCTCAACTCATATCACCATGGATCATCTATTGTTTCCAAGTACAGCCTACGTAAAGCTAGCTACTTACCTGCTGCAACCCACCACAATGCCACCCGGATTTGGGCCAGCATTTATGTTCTAGTAGTAGGTGTATCCTATTCTAAGCATGTTTACGCGTATTACATGTTAGAGGAAGGGCATTCTGAATGGACACAGTACTTGGCGCTTACACAATTGAGTGCATTCGTTTACCACAGAATGCAATCTTATATACAAACATTGACCTGTTGTCAGTTTAAGCTTTTTGGCATATTATATGATCCTCAATCGTAGATTACGTTACATATCATCAATCGTATACTAATAAAATCATCTTTCAATCAAAATGCAAAGCAAAGAAAGAAAAATCAAGATGGCACAATGTCATTAGGGTGCTAAATACTGGCGTTCCATGATGCCGATCAAACAACGTCTGATACATTCATAGTGTCCAATGCTCGTTTTGCCTTTACAGAACGGAAGCCTCCGTCTCTCTTGTTCTCGCTGATGCCCAAGAAGCCTGAAGGCACGGATAGCAGTGTAGCCTACGGCCAAATGGACGCCCTGTCTTGTTCTGTACAAATGAGGCATGATGGTCTTTTGGGAGTATCAGAAATGTAGGCTATACCGAGTAATGCCAAACCCTCGGGTTCACACTACTGTTAGCGGCATGCACTTTTCATTTTAACATGTAGCTTTCTCAAATATGTATACAATCATAGCCATGCGACATAAATTGTCCGCGGGTACACTGCTAAATGAAACGAGCAGAATCTAGAATATCAACTACATCATAGTATGAAGATCTAGCCATGTGCTGCTTAATAGAAGCAATTAAGAATTGAAATGTAAGTTTCGTCTCATTTAACAATGTCTTTGATGGCATATTACATGTGCCATGTGTACCAAGGTGCCGACATGATGTGCCCCAAACTCGAGCCCTTCCACCCGTTCTATACTAGATGCGGTGATTGAGAGACAATAGAAACATCGCATGGGGTGCTCGAGAACACATTGACCGTGTCCCTTTTGTTTAGTTTGGACTCACCAGGATTTTCAAGCTGTCAAAAAGCAATTAGAGGCGGCGATCAGGCTATAAATAGAATTGTGTGGGACCCTCCCTGACTATCATTTCAAGGTATATACGCACATCATGTATAATTGCACATCATGTTGAGATGTATTATTTATTTCGAATAGATAAAAAGAGGGGGTATATAATTAATGGATGTAATGAAATGAGATTAGAAGCATACAGCAAGCGATAGTTATTTGCTTGATTTACGAGAGTGTTGAATGGTCGTCAAAAAACGCTTTAATTTAGATTTCTTTGGTTTTGATGCATGGGATGCTTCATCAACGGAATGGACGGTGGAAAATGAGTGCGTATACACCAAGGAAGGATCGTTGCTTTTGACGCTTGATTGTGATTTTGTCTTGAAATTGTACATATCTGCAGTAACAGTAGACGTTGAGGATATTATCTGCACATTGAGTGTTTCTGAGGATGAGTAGTATAAAGATTCGGATGTTGATGATGAGAGAGGGGAGCTTGGTTCAGAGGGTGAGAATTGCCAATCTTGATTGATTTCAAAGTGTTCTGTAAAGCGTGAAGCCATGGTAATTTTTATAAAAAGGAATGAATATGAGAGATTTTAGATAAAATAGTGATTTCAGGGACCTGCATGCTGTATTTATACTCGAAATAGGGTATACATGACACCTCTCAAGTTCAAAACCGATCGACTCGGGTCAATTTCTCAGTTTGAAAAAGGCATGGCAGCATAGAATTCTCCAAGGATAACCCAATTGGAGATGAGCTATCAAAATGACATTTTTATTGATGGCTTTTGACTCTTCTTTTTAGATGGAATATGTCGTTGATCTGGCCCAGATGTTATATTACCGTAACAAATTTTACGGTGCTCTGACTCAAGCTCTTTTTTTCTGGTCAATTGAGATATTGTTTCCATGCCTACCGGCATAAAGTTTTCTCATACAGTGTCTGAGATATCTTCTGGTTTAAGAAGAACCACAATACCAAAGAGCAAAGGTTTCTGAAACTGAGCATAACAGATTGCCCAAGCTGTCAATGGTAAAAAAAAAATGTCATCCTGTATATAAACGGTATATATGGTGATATGTGAGGCTTAGTAAACCTGCCCATTCAAAGAAGCTTCAATCGTCTAAAAAAATTTACAATGGCTTTCGATTCAGATACATGGCAGTTACTTGTTATCCACTTTCAGAGGGAAATAAATCATCAGTTTATTTTATGAAAATCAGAGATTTAGTGCCAATCATGGGGGGTGAAGGCATGGGACCTGATAGCCTCTCAATTTACATAGAGGACTAATTTTGTTATCATTAGCAGTAAAATCTTCAAGATATGATTATCGTATCATTCTGTTCTAGCTGGAATTAAGGTACCCATGACATTTCTTAAAGCTTATGGTTGTTTAATCAATGCTCTTTATGGAAATTGTTGCTCGTGGTATTGCAATCGTTGAAATTTAACCTTGTCTAGGTTGAGCACTGGGCAAATGAGCTTCCAAGAGAGTACAATTGCACCACATCAAAGGGCCCACATTGAAAACGCTCACACAGGATTTGCCTGTCATCAATGGTCCTATATCTTTTACTAATCTAACATTCCAGTCGATACATTGGTAAGATCAGTCTTTGGATCGCCCATACGGGTGCCAAGTAAGCTGCTTTTCGTAGTTTCGAAAGTGACAGCTGTACTTCGTTCTTAGTCTTACTATCAGATCCATCTGTCATTTTCTAATTACTCTCAACTGATTTCATCTCGCTGATTTGAACGATTAACATCTTTTTTTTTTTTTCAACCATGATAGCATTTCTGATTGATCCAAATATACATAAAACCAACACGATTATGAACAATCATATTTTTATCGAACAGAATGGTTGAAAATCTTGCCAGCTGTGAGTTGATCTAACATGTTAATGATAATATTTATTGGAATCCGTTTCTCTAACCCCTTCCGAAATTATAATACCCGAGTCCTATACAATCATAACAGTAACCAGGTATATAAGACATGAAAGGGAAATGAAACCTCATCTCCACACGTCGTGCTGGATGGTTTTATACAAATAATGTTAGCATTTTGTGAGTGTGAGAGCCTTTTAGGAAGATCAAGTACGCGATGCATTGGCCGCAATTAGTTTATGGCATCCATTCACTTACAGTGCATACTTAATTTGTTTGTTCGTTAGACAGCGACGTACCCGAATATCAAACAATACAGGAATGCTACGGTAGTTTGTTTAAGACTATCGTGAAAATGCCGCTAGTTTCACCAAATGCGAGGCATCAAAATCATAAGGTGATCTTTGTTAGTAGCAGCGATCCTCTACATGAACTAACTGTACGGTTTTCTTTGAAATTTGAGGATGGCAGATATGGAAGTCAATTGCGGTTAGCTGCCTCGCATGTTGTGCCGCAAGCAATAAGCCTTCGGTGGTTTTCAAGGAATTGTATTGTTTTTCGTGTTAGTTTCTGAATATGCGTTCCAAATAGCGATGCAGATTCACAGAATATTCAGGCTATGACTCTAAACCACATCACAATGCCTCTTCAAATACACATCCTTATCAAAACATATTGTTTTAAGGCAAAAAATACAATTGCAAAAGCTTCCGGCTATACTTGATCTCTTCTAGCTTTCCCAAAAGACATTTGGCCATGGAAATACTTCAAAGCTTACGAATTCAGTGCATCCTGGCCTTTTGTGCGTTGTATCAAGAGGGAACGCGAAGGAGATCAAATACAAATGACAGATATAGATTCAAGGTTTACGAGGAGATGGAATCTTGATATGCGTATTGGCATTGTTTCATCTAAATTAACCATTCAGGTCTAGAATGTTTCAAACAGACCCCATTGATTCATTGATTCAGCGCGTTACGTAAACTCGCTCCAAGATTTTGTCATTTACCTTAACAATACGAATAGTATATTGTCTACCGCATATGTCAACGAGCCGATCTATCTCGCTACGCTCGATGTCGGCGCCACCCTGCGGGCTCTGACCGAAGACACTTTAAATCAGATATTATAAAATTTTAGTATATCAAGTAGATTTTAAACAATTAATTATTAGTTAGTAAAAGAAAGGTTACATCAGAGCCAGAAGGAGGAGAGGAGGTATCTCCCTCAGCATCCTTTTTGCTTACACTGATATCAAACGAAGCCTATTATTGGGACAATGCGAAATAAATTCAAATTTTATGCAGCATTTGTACATCACAATCGCCATTTTCTGATAATAGAACTGCCATATCATTCACTGCTGCTGATGCTCTTAATAAGATGGCGACATAAAGCTGGTCATAAGTAAATACAGGACTTGTGTAAGTTCTACAGCGACTTTTTTAAGATATTGTCATTGCAAAAGACATCTTTATGAGGCAAAGCTCCCCAAAAGAGTATTCGGGCTAAGCAACTGTAATGTCATCTCCTTGGTCCCAATTTGATCGGCATCGCAACCATCATTGTTATCATCATTGTCATCATCAAAAAGACATTTGGGCCAGCTAGCAGCAGTGTCATCCGCTAAAATCGATTCAAACTCAGTTTATTTATTTCTGGTCAAGATTGGACAGATTTTGTCTTTTATCGACTTCCTTAATCTGTTTTTTGATCTTCGACTATATAAGTTGTGATGATCACCCTACGCTTCCTAATACATCCTTGAAGTACTTTTCAAGGCATTTCCAATGGTACTAATTGTAATAGGTATTTTGAATGAAACTGTTGAGAAATTTAATAAAATTTGAAATGAGGTTTTTAGCGAAAATAGCCATATTTCGCACATGAACACCTCATAAAAGTGGTTTCAAAGGTTGCTTTGGATCGATAGAAACATTTTGATTCAAGATATACCATAGTAAAAGTCTTCATTTTCAAGGTCAAAAATGCGATCGTTTGATTTTCGATGAAAACCATGAGGGATACCTCATGCTTTTTGGTCGATTTTTGGCCACGTTTTTTTTTTTTGGTCCCAAAAAGTTGAGCAAAGGTGTCAGGAAGTTACTACTACTCAAGTACAATTGTTTGGTGTCATTCCGGTGGCTCATAAATGTCTACATGTCAAGATATGAAGGCTTGAAAGCTGTCAAATTTGGTTGTTTATGGCTCTATAGAGTATATTTACACAACATAAACTGCATCTTTGGTAACTGCAATTTACTGGAAAGGCAGTTCCGTAGCTTGAGCAATTTTTAATTCAAATAGGAGGCATATTGGCTTTGGTAAAGCTGATTCTTCATGCAAATTTTGATGCGCTATGTTGTAGGTAAGCTTATTTACAATGGAAATGAAAATTCGAATTTGCTACGTAGATACTATGGTTTTGCATATTCGCTTCGCTACATTCAAGCCCTCGTATGGATCAATGCTATCAAATTCTGGATTGGATGCTTAGTTGCCATAGGTTTGCACCTTTGCTTCGCTACGGTAAACCTCCCCTATAAATCAATGTTATCAAGTGTTGAATTACATGCATTATTATGTTCTTGTATATATAGTGATGATGTTACAATAATACGTCCAAAGTCCATTTGCTGAATGTTGAAAACTATTTTTTAGCAGTAGCAACGTCAAAACACTCTGAAACCCCAAGTATACGGTGTTGGTAAATATAGTATTGGAGCTATTCTTTATTGATAGTCTTTATGATGAGAAATTATATAATACAGAAAGATGAAATAATAGAAGGGGAGATGTTTAAAACAGGTATACAGATTGTGTGAGTGGTAATGATGCAACTGGATCACAGACGCATTCTTCGCCATCAGCCATGACTTTATATGTCTCTGGATCAACAGTAATTTTTGGCATCGCGTCATTGAGTCTCATGTCTTTCTTGGTCACTTTACGACAGCCCTTGACAGGCTCAATCTTTTTACGCAGATTGTAACTTTGAACGATACCTTCGTCGACAGAGAGTTGAGATACAAATACTAAGCAGGAAACACCTAAACTGGATGCATTAGCACCATACATGGGTCTGGAAATAATGGGTTCAGTCGTTGGGATGGATCCATTGGCATCGCCTAGAGAGAAAGTCAGTAAGATGGTACCATTTTGATGTCTCTGTGTGTAGACTACTTACCCATTTGTCCCCAAACAATGACACCTGCCTTCAATATGAGCTCAGGCTTGGAACCAAAGTATTCTGGTGTGAAACAGACTAAGTCTGCTACTTTGCCAACTTCAATGGAGCCAACAGCATGACCGATGCCATGAGCAAGAGCACTAATGTGTATCGATTAGCCCTCCTACCCCAACACATATAGCCAAACAAACTTACACGTTAATGGTATACTTGGCAATGTAACGACGAATTCTAAAGTTGTCTCCTTCATCATTTTGATCCTCTTTGAGTTTACCACGTTGCTGTTTCATTTTACTGGCAGTTTTCCATGTACGCAAGACAACTTCACCTGCTCTACCCATGGCCTGCGAATCTGAACTGATCATACTGATGGCACCAATATCATGCAACACATCCTCAGCAGCAATGGTCTCTGCGCGGATTCTACTCTCAGCAAATGCAACATCTTCAGGGATCGTCTTTGATAAGTGATGGCACACCATCAGCATGTCTACATGCTCATCTAATGTGTTGGCTGTGAATGGACGCGTTGGATTCGTGGATGATGGAAGCACATTGGGCTCACTACAAACAGTGATGACTAGTAGTATTACCTGTATTAGTATCTCTTCAGACAAAGAAACAGAGCACACTTACTGTCAGGAGCATGCCCGCCACCAGCACCTTCACTGTGGTATGTATGGATTGTTCTGCCCTTGAAAGCACCAATCGTGGATTCGACAAAACCAGCTTCATTGAGTGTATCGGTATGAATCGTAGCCTGAACATCTAAATCATCACAGACTTGCAAACAAGCATCAATGGCAGCAGGTGTAGTACCCCAATCTTCATGCAGTTTTAGACCAAGACAACCCGCCTTGATATGCTCAACCAATTCTTCCTTATTGGAGCAATTTCCTTTACCCGTAAAACCGAAATTCATGGGAATATCATCAGTTGCCTTCATCATCATCTCAATATGATGGTTGCCAGGCGTACATGTTGTTGCATTTGTGCCTGTATTAGGACCAGTACCACCACCAATCAATGTAGTTACACCACTGGAGAGAGCCTATGGAAAGTACAAATACAGTAAATATTGCCATTCAGGATATATAGTAGAAAAGCTTGGCAGCTATAAATATACCTCGTAACACAATTGCGGACAGATGTAATGTATATGAGAATCAATAGCACCTGCTGTAAAGATCTTGCCTTCGCCTGCTAATGCCTCTGTGCCCGCACCAACGACCATGCCAGGAGTAACGCCATCCATGACATCAGGGTTACCCGCCTTACCAATACCAGCAATCAAACCCTTCTTGATACCAATATCCGCCTTGTAGATACCAGTATAATCAATGATCAGGGCATTTGTAATCACTAAATCAAGCACTTCCGCATCTAATTTCGCTGTTGCTTGGCCCATACCCTCACGTAGCACTTTGCCACCACCAAACTTGCATTCATCACCGTACACTGTAAAGTCCTTCTCCACACGTGCCCATAACTCGGTGTCACCTAATCGGACAAGATCGCCTGTAGTGGGACCAAAATGATCTGCGTAATATTCTCTGTCCAAAGTATTAGTTGCGGGTGCCGGTAGTAGAGGTGCAAGTGAATCGTGTTTGAATCCTCTCGCCATGACTGTATTGATGATTTCCGGTAATCGAATGAAATCAACAGGACCTGTAGCGAGTCCATTGCCGCCTGTGATGATCTTGTTGCCTGAAATCTCAACCAATGTCACTGTCTTGAAATCTCCCGGCTCAAAACGAACAGCTGAACCAGCAGGGATATCTAATCGCATGCCGTAAGCCAGGGCTCGATTGAAATGAAGAGCAGCATTTGATTCAATGAAATGGTAATGCGATCCAACCTGTGATTTACAAGAAAACAAGCAAACAAATGTTCAGTTGAAACGCCAACAAAGTTGCATTGAAAAACTAGTTTACTTTACCTGAATAGGGCGATCTCCGTAATTTGTTACAGACAACGACAATCGTTTTCTACCAGCATTTAATTCAATCTTTCCAGGTTTTACGATGATGGCACCAGGAGCATCTCTTGCCTGTACTTGGAGCGGTAGTGGGAACTTGTCTTGCGATGGTATAGGAAAGAAGGTGCCGTACAGTGCCATCTCGAGATTACCATTATCTGTGCAGATGGGGTCATGGACTGTGACGAGGTACGTGCCGTCAGGAAAGGTGCCTTCCACCTGAACTTCATGTAGTGTTTGAAATACATCGGACATAACGTGTCTTCTGCCCAACATCTGCTTGCCAATGTCCATCAATTGAGACACAGAATAGCAGCCATCTCTCATCAATTCAAGTAATTGAGATGCAATCAATGCTGTCGCTTCTGTTCTGTTCAATTTGACACCTCTTGCCAGCCTTTTTTGTGCCAAAAAACCAACTTGATTTCAAATGTGTTAACTTTATTTATTGAATGGTACATTGAATGTAAGAAACTACCTTGATGTAGCAAAAGTTTATCAATTTCTCTTGGTATTAAGCGCATGCTGGTATAGTGTGTGTGTCAGAAAGATAGAGTGAAAAAAAAAAAAAAAGGAGAAAAACAGAGAAAAAGTACATAGGCATTGACTCATGTATTTATATCACGTACTTCTCGGAATATCGACTGTCTCATTTTTTTGTGGTTGGCAAAAGATAAGCTGATAACCGGTTTATTCCCCATTTTCATTAAGATTATCCATTTTATTGTGCCTTGTGGTACTCTGTGTGTATTGTCAAATTTAAAGTATATGCCAATTGGAGTAAAAGATACGATTTTTCTTGTGCCAAAAGCCTTTAAAATATAGTCTTTTGTATCACCTGAATGGGCGAGTTTATCTCTGTCCTCTCCCACTTTCCGTATTCTCACATTTGAATCCCATCCTTATCTTGTATATGTTACAAATCCATATCCAAGTTACACCAAAAACACGGTTGGTTCCATGGAGCTCTTTATTGATAGAACGATGAGGATGACGACGACGAAGAAAAAGAAGGTGTTTCATGGTGTTGATGAGGATCGTGGATATCATGCAAGATCCACTTTTGAATGCTTAGCAATGCTGAATGCGATTGATCGAAATCAAACGCCTGAAAATCGTGAACCATGTCCTACAATTTTTGGGTGGGAAAATATTAGCTGGTAATCGTGTTCATTGGAGGCTGCCCATATAGATAAAGATACCTCGTACTCTTCGTGCTTGAAAATGGCGGCATCGCAATCTTCAAACTTGGCTGCAAATGACCGAACTTCGTCTTTCATTGTCTCACATCCACCTGATTGGATCAGAATAGGAGGCAAATGGCTGAAATGATCAGCAAACAAGGGCGATGCGTATGGATGTCTACTGAGTCCATGGTATGTGTCAGTGCCCAGGTAAAATCGTGCGGGATTCATGATGGCGCTCATGTTTGGCCGACAAGGCAAGTAGTCAAAAATCTCGGCCTCCACCCAGCTTGGATGGCCATACGTGAGATCTACCCAAGGCTATTCATCTAAGGTTAATCTTTGAACTTGCTGTTTATCTTGAAACGTTTAACATATACGAACTGATAGTAGGACAGAAGTTTCTGGAAGTGGGTATTGGTGATCTCTGAGGTAGATCAAGAGCGACATTGCCAATCCGCCACCTGCACTGTCTCCAATCACGGTGATGTTGTGTGGTTTGATTCCATAATCGTATATCAAATGAAAGTAGGCTTGAACTGCATCGTAAAGAGCGCCTGGAAATTTGGTTTCTGGTGCCAACCTGTAGCTGATGGCTACTCTCGTTCCATTAGTAACATTGCATGCTGTTCATAAAAGCATATCACGTACAAAACACACTTCGGTTCATGTATCTGGTGAATCGCTCGGTATAGGAAAGATAACAAAAGTGATCATAAAAGCAATAGCCCCCACCCTGAAGGTATAAGATGACCTTTTCTTGAGCCGCTTTCTGTTGTTTCTGTGTTTGAGTGATTAGAGGTGGTGGCGGTAAGTTCCATTGAGCCTCAATGACGCGAGTGCCGTCCTCTGCTGCATCAAACTCCTCCAAAATCCCTGGTAGATTCAATTTGAAGACCAAAAACGGGCACGCCACATACGTTGATTCATCTTGACGAAGCAACTTGGGTAGTATCATGATCTTTCTCCAGAATGCGAGGCTAGCACAGCGTAAACTAGATCGTAGAGCATGTAGCAGCGCCACGGTTACCGCTGTGAGAGCATCCCATGTGGGTCTTTTGGGCTGTCTGATCAAATGCTTGTACACATCCATAAAAAACACACCTACACTGATAGGAACGTAGTATAAAATCTGCCATAGGTCCCACCAGATACTGGGATAGTCGGTGCCCTCTTTGTCATTTATGCTGGGTGGTTGACAGAACATTTTGCTTGGTAAGCAGCAGCCCTCTATAGTACATCTCTTGCCTCTTTGAATTCTGGGCATCTTCAATTTGCGTTTGGGAATTCTATGAGCAAGTAAAAAAAAAAAAAAAAAAGACATTGTAGGATAGTATTAAGAGATGGTATATATACATGATGGTGCCAGCAACATGCTTTCTAAATGATCTACTAATGAACCGAGCCATATTCCGATTGTAAACTCGCTCAACTACATGCACTGTGAATTCAAGAGTCTGTTCTGTTTCCGGACAAGATCCCGAATCTCGAGGTACTAGTTTGCCGAGCACTTGATACTGTCAGATTTAAGTTTTCAACTGCCATCACTTACGGAATCTCGGCAGACTATGATGGAAATCCGTGCCTGAATCATCAATTCATCGAATTCTCACCTGATTGACATTGGTACACATGCTACAAATATTTAATGCCAGCCATTTCTATACTTGCTCTACAGATCAAGCCCTGAACAAATATTACTGATACGTTCAAAAAGCTCCTGTCAAGAACTTGCTTAAATCAAGCGACAAAGACGTGCTGTGAGGTTTCCTCAAACATCAATTTCGATGAAGATCTGGAGTTAAAAGAGGAAAAACGGAGAAGCTCTATGCCTAAACTTTAACTCCTTGTTCCTGGATCTGATTTGCATTGACAAGAAAAGGAGCTCATAGTGAACGATTTATACATAAGGTTTTTTAACAGAAAAAATTAAAGAAATAAACAATTCGAGTATCTCCCCGCATTTGCGTCGACGTGAAAATTACGCCTCCTCATCCTCTGACTAAAACCCCCTCTATCTTTCTCTCACACTCCTTCTGTTTTGATTCTTCTCCTTTGACTTGATGTAATCTAATAGTTAGATTTGTATTACCATTGTGTAAGTTGAAAACAGAGAGAGAGTAGACAATGAATACTAATTAATAAATGTCCAATAAATGCATTTATTAGATATAAAACGCCAGGAGAAATGCTCGCAATGTATTGATGCAATGCCTAATAAAGCTAGCAGATTCGGGTTTGTGTGTCTCCAAACAAATTTTAATATAAATCAAAGAACAAAAAGGGCACTGTACATTTAAGGAGACGATTTATTTGCTGTTGGCCTTTGGCTTTCATGTGGACGGCTGCTTTTCTTTATATACATCTCAAATGTACATGCACAGATAGCTGTAAATGTTTACATCATTTTTATGAAAGCGTTGTTTATGGATGTGGAATATTCTAGCATACATAAACATTGATATACAGCCGATCGTTTCTTTGCAATGATACAAGAATTACGGTCGAGGCATTCTAGGGCGTTTTTTTTTTGTTTATTATGAAAATGCAGCTTATGTATGTGTGTGAGTGTAAGCGTGTATGTGCGTGAGTGTGTGTGTGCCAGGACCATATTGTGGGATTTCATCAACTGTACAACTCGGAGGAAGAGGAGACAAGAACGAGAGGAGGATGGGAGAGGGTTAACCTTTATTCATTCTATCGATTTAGTTAAAATGTATTTTTACTTGTACAACCTTTTGTCAAGTCTAGTACTTTTAGTGATGAATCGCTAAAAAAGAAGCCTTGATCGTAGAATTGATTGGTGGTATGCAGCGAGAAAGAGGGCAGGACTTGGACCGTGTCTATTGAAGGGGGGGCAGTAAGAGAGGTAGGAGGCACCAGGGAGAAGACGAGATCAGAAGGAGAGTTGCCTAAATTAGCACTTCAAGGCAAGGACCACAGACAATTGACAAATTCAATTTTACAACATATTTAGATGGGGACGCTGATCCATAGTTCAACATGCCACTCTATCTGTCTTATTCTTAATTAATGTGTCTATATATACATGTCATGTATACTCATATTTTACTGCCTGCATGGGCCACTCATCATTTAGATCTGTCAATACGACAAGGTTGTTGCCATGACGATTTGTCAACAACAACAAGTGTCTTGGAAAAAAGGAGGCCTGTCCATGTACGATATAAATATCACATTTCAATGTCGCGTACTTACGATGCCATCTCATACGCAATGATGTATCATTTTGCCTACATATACACCAACATTTGGCCGTAAAATAGGGGAGTGATGCTGCTATATACTGTATCGTAATCCCATCAATTTGTATTACTCTTTTTGTCGTTATACATATCAAATAAATAGAATAAAGGAACCTTTACACAAAGGGGAGGAGGGGAGCACAACAACTACTACTATCAGTTAGTCATTATAAGACATCTCCCTTGCTACGGACTCTGACCCCTTTCTCTCTTGACTCTCTTTCTCTCTCTCTCTCTCTCTCTCTCTCTTTTGACATACCATTGCGAAATCTCTTGTCTTTATCTATCATGTTTTAACCTCTATTAGCAATTGTCAATATTCTTTTTTTTTCTGTCATTACGATAAGCAACTCCTTATCCATCTCGAACGAGAAAAACTTGATCGTTGTATGCTATAAATGACATTGCCACATTTTGGTGACCCCCTTTGGATTGTCTTTGCGTTGCTCTCTCGCTCTCTCTATCACTACAGTTTTTGACGATAATAACTTATATTAAAAATCTGTTTGTTAACGTGTAACAAGTACAAATTTGAATTGACTACAACCAACTTTAGTAAAACCTAGTAAGAATTGGTGCAACGCCAAAGCGAATATAATATACACATAGAAAATGGGCCATCCCTAGCTGTTGGGATGGTTATATAAAGAGTCGAGTTTCTTTTTTATTCTTTTCATTCTTGCTCTTCTTCTTCCTCCCTACACTCTTTTACGCTTTGACAAAATTACATGCTCTTCGTTCATTCTTTTGATCAGCAACTTTATCCAATTCCAAACACTGATATCGCTGAAATTGACGAAATCCAATCCTCATCTTCTTCGCTATTCTCATTAAAAGACACCAGGTACATGATTACTGTTTCTTGTGTGATGTATTTTTGTATATGCACAGGACGTAAAAAAAAAAAAAAAAAAAAAAAAAAAAACCTGTTTGCATGTAAAATTACATTACTTGCATGTAACACATTAGAATCTGTAATATAAATACTAATCGTTTTTTCTCTTTCATTACAGCCCTATTCAATATCACCACCACCACCATCACCATCATCATCCACCAGCAGCATCTGAAGAATCGCCATTCGATCATTTTCTTATGAACGACGATTCAGGACACCCATTATACCAGCAGCATAACATTGATTTGACATATCAACCATCTTCGGATTGGTCCATAAGCAACAAGTCTTCCTCTTCTCAGCAGCAGCATCCAAGTGTGGAAGTCAATGAGCACTTGTATATCCAAACACCATCACAGCCTTCCTTCATTCCATATGGCAGCACGAGCAGCGACTTCTCTGAAGTTGTGCCATCCCCTGACAATCTCTATCAGCAATTCAACACTTGGTCCAACAACAACCAACTCAATCATCAAGACGTCAAGGAAACTGACAGATTCAATCATGCAATGACTTCACCCGATTTTCTATTACATAATCACAAGAGACCATCTCCTTCATTTGCTGCCAACATCAGCAGCACCAGCACCAGCAGCAGTTATCTCAACTTATTCCCCTCTGCAACATCTACAGCAGCAGACATATATCAGAAACCCCATAATACGCAATTCAACAGCCCAGATGCCAGTAGGTTTCACCCTCGTTTTAAGAGTGCCAATGCTCGGCTTGATCCCTATTCTGCTGAACCCCAGCACCCATACCATCAGCAGCATCAGCGTCCACCACCACCACAATTCATGTCACCACCCTTGATTTCCAGCAATGTAATAGATCAAGGGCTATTCATCGACAAGCCAATCTCATCTACATCAACGGATCTGCAAGTATTTAGCAATCAAGATAAGGATGAGACTCTAAACAATGCTAGCAAAAATATGTAAGTAACATATTTAGGAGTGTGTTCCCTGAGTTTTAGTAAGGAGAGAGAGAGAGAGAGAGAGAAATACACAGGCAATATATCTCGAGTTTTACAAAAAAAAAAAAAAAAAAGGGGGGGGGGGACGCATTATATATCTTCGAGGGTTAAATTTATATATCTGTCAATTACAATTTGAATCATCCCTGTTTCTCATCTCCTTAATTACCTATAATAGGCCATTTCAATTCAATGCAGTGCTTCATGGTATGTTGTGTTTAGCAGCCTATACTACACCCTGTAACTCATCTAATTCGTATAGCTCCCACTGCGGTCACTAAAAAGCACGACGAACAGCCCGTAACCTATCTCAACAGAGGACAAGCGTATCTACTCGACCTCGAATCCTCTGCGACAGACAGCACACTCACTAGCACCATCTCCATCGCATTTCATGAGGCCAGCCATCGTCAAATAGCCGAAAATTACTGGAAATATTGGATTAGTCAACAGGAAAATCCCAATGAAGCAAGAGCCATTGATTTGGATGTAAATCAAACAACAGGTGCCTACAATATTCGCTTGGTGTCATTTGATCGCATATCATTTGACTGGCAAGGTCGATTTGGGGCTAAGGTCTATGTCCGATTCAATTGTCTATCTACTGATTTTTCCCGAATCAAAGGTGTAAAGGGTATCCCTATGCGCGCTATTGTGGAAACAACCGGCCTTCATTATGTTTCCTTGCCTAATGACTCTCAAACTTACAAGGGTACATTTGAAAGAACAACGGCTAATAACATTGAAGGCTATGATTACAAGGAGTCTTGTTACTGCAAAATTAAGCTCTTCAGGGATAAAGGGGCAGAACGAAAGAACAAGGACGACAAGAAGCAAATGGCCAAACAAATGGATAAAGTCATTGGTAAATGTATATAATTGCTTAGCTTTGACAGGCGTGTATATTAACGCTTTTGTGGAAACAGCCTCTACGAATGGTAAACCAGATCAACATCCATTATGGCCTATTATCAGTCAAGCGCATCAGCCAACCAGTAGTCTGCTTGAAATCCCTACTTCACCGGATATTACTCTTGATGAATTCAGCAATCTTGAAGATCTCTTTGCTGTCGATGAGAAACTCAGTTTACCACTACCTGCAGTAGTAGCCTCAGCACCATCAGCGACAACAACAGATGGCAAACCAAGAAAAAGCAACTGCTCGTTTCTGCCTAAACGCAAAAGATCGGCATCAGATCAGCCCAACAGGCAACAATTGGTGAAAAAACAACGCAAAGCCAATACCACAGCACCGCTCCCAACCGTCTTAAGCTTTCGTGTATGGAATCAAGACTTTGCTAGCGCGCCTTGTGAGATATTTCTGGATTCATTTACTACACACAATCTCAAGGTGAAGCTAGCGCCCGTAGTATCAGTTCATCCATCGAGAATCTCGGAAATCCTGTGGCGAAAGAAACGCACCAACAGCCAAGAGAAAGTCAGCGAAGTCTTGGTGTTGGTAGAAGATACTTTTATCTCTGAACATATCCTGGATGGCGAAAATATGACCGTAGCCTTGGAAATGAAAGTAGATGGCAATTTTCGACTTATACTAGAGTTCTAAATACGCTCGACAACAGCAGCATGGATGCATATGAACTTTTTATTTCTTATTTTATCGTCTCTTTGAATACTGCATACATATATACATACAATAGCAACTATCTCTTCTCTCCCTCTGCTTCTTCTTCCTATATATATACACACACATATACACTATACACAACACTCACACTTATGCCCTCCTCTCTTCCTCCTCCTTCTCCTCCTCTTTTTATGTATGAACCCTTTCTCTTTTTTTTTCTTTATCTTCTAAATTAACTGAACATATTATAATAAAATTGTATAAAGCAAGGAAATCTTGAAACTATTATATCCCGTGAGCTAGAATACGGATGTGTGGGGATTGACGGTGTGTGTGCTACACATATGAATTGCTCTTCTTTTCCCAGTGAATTTAGTGTCATTTCCCAGCGAAATTATAGAGTGCAGAAATATGTCAATGCTAAATCATGACACTATGAATGTGCCTTGGCTTCACTTCATGTGTAAATGGGGGGTAAAGCGAAGAAAAAACAGATGCATACATCTATCCCTATGAGATCAAATGATGACACTATACAACAGCATGAAGCAGCCGTCGATCGGTTGACAGGACTAGTGAAATAGTGAAATTGCATGTACCTGTAAATGAGTGGGGTTTGGGTCACGAAGGACTTTTTTCTTCTGTATTCATTGAATCAAACAAAACAGGGATTTACACAATTTGGAGCCACGTGAACTTGTCGACGACAGTTTTGAGTTACATGTGAAAAGAAAATAACAGGCCCGAGAAGATGTGGGGAGAGCAAGCAGACAGAGAAATTCATGCCGCTGCCTGCCATTGTGGCACCATAATGTGTATATAAAGCCCTGTTTTTACTATTTCCTCCTACAGTAAAATCATTCCTTTTCTTCTTCTTTACATTTGTATCAGAAAAATGACTTCTACTGCGAAATACATTGGTACTGGAGCACTTGCTACCATTTCTTTATTAGCTTGCATCTACAATGATAGAGCTGTATTTGATGAAAAAAGAGCAGGCATCAAAACGCAGGCTGGTTGGCCACTGGTTGGCAATCTACCCATCTTGATGGAATACTTGATGCGCATTCATGATTTCTTGTTGGAGGGCTTCACTCGACTTGATGATTTAACATTGTAAATGTTGCAGAACATTCATTACACTATCATGAATACTTATTTACTCTTTACTAGAACCATGTCTGCTTTGGGTATCCCAAGACACGTTGGTACCATTGATCCTCGCAATGTAGAGCACGTCCTGAAGAGTAAGCTGTTCATTGTGATGCTTTAATTAGAGAAGATTGCCTAACTTCTCAATCAAATAGCTAACTTTGAAAATTACATCAAAGGCCCTGAATTCCACAGTGGCATGATGGATCTGTTTGGTGATGGCATCTTCAATGCCAATGGTGAAGAGTGGAAGTTCCAACGTAAAACTGCAAGCGCCATCTTCAACGTCAAAAACTTTAGAGATCAATTCACCGAGTAAGTCGCTCTTGATCTAATGTGATTTGAACATTGATTTTTGACAATTTAATACAGTGTATTCATTAAGGAACTCCTCATCATGCAAGACAAGATCTTTGACGAGGCATGTCAAGACCAACAAGTCGTTGATTTCCACGATGTCATGTTCAAGTTTACGTTGGATTCCTTCATTGAATTAGGCTTTGGTGTCGAATTGAATGCACTCTCTACCAAAGGCAAGGTTCCATTCGCTGCTGCTTTTGATGAGGCGCAAAAGAACACTTTCCTTCGATTTGTCAATCCCATCTGGCCAGCTACTGAACGCATCCTTAGTTTCTTGATGCCCTGGAAATCTAGCATGAACGAGCACCTTAGTGTCGTTGATTCCTTTGCTCGCGAAGTCACTGAGAAGCGTCGAGTTCAAATTGCAGCTGGTGAAGTTCACAAAGATCTTTTGTCCCGATTCATGGATGCTCGCAACCACAAGGGCAATTTACTCAGTAACGATGAATTGAGAGACATTGTCTTGAATTTTGTTATTGCTGGTAGAGATACCACTGCTCAAGCACTTTCATGGACCTTTTACATGCTCATGTGCCATCCTCGTGTAGAAAAGAAGCTCCTGGAAGAAATTAATCAGTATATTTCTGATGATGATATCAATGATTCCGCTGGCTTGTATGAAAAAATCAAAAACATGACTTATGCTCATGCTGTATTCTACGAAGTTCTTCGTCACTATCCATCTGTACCTCTCAATCAAAAGTACGCTTTGAATGATGATATTTGGCCCGACGGTACTCACATTCGTAAAGGAGATTACATTCTCTGGTGTAAGTGCACTTGCATGTCATTGTTGCTTTCTGAATACTAATACACTCTGTATAGGTCCTTATGTGCAAGGCCGATCTGAAAAAGTGTGGGGTCCCGATGCCAAACAATTCAGACCTGAACGTTGGATCACACCTGAAGGCGAACTCAAGCGTGAATCACAAGGTCAATGGCCCGCATTCCATGCTGGTCCTCGTGTCTGTTTAGGTCAACATTTGGCTACTCTGGAAGCCTTGATTGCTATTATTTTCTTGGTTAAACGTTACGAGTTTACACTTATGGCAGGTCAAGAAATCACTTATCAGGTGTCACTTACTTTACCAATGAGGTACGGCATGAAGGTGATGGTTGAAAGACGTAACAAGGACTAGTTTCTGTTTTTGGACGTTTAACAATGACTCATTTCATATAAATCACATATATATATATTACTTATCCTCTTTTCTCATATAAATAAATGTAACAGTACATCTGAATTTTGACATCCTTGATGTGTTTGTTGTTCTTTGTATTATTTTGGTTGGGGTTAGCCATTTCCACAACAGGGCACTAAAATAAAATTGAAGCATGTCAAACACTTGCTTTGTTTATTTCGGGTTTCATGTGTCATTCCAAGACCAGCGATGCTAGTGCTTGTTATCATTGCTTTGTCTAAACCGATAGATGCATCTCGTTGGAGTATTTACGCCTACGAATAGCATCCAATCCAAGCCTGCCTTAGCCCCTTATCTTACAACTATACAGTACATCAAGCGTTTAGTTTCTAATGCGACATTGACATTTCAAAAACCACTGTAAACGAGATATAGTTATAGATCGGGCTCTTCTGAGATGCTCTATGTTTGTATCAATGGAAGCAATCCATATACAGGCATGCAGCATACTAAAATCGTCTCTTACTGCTCAAATGTATGCAAAACACGGTATAATTTGGATGCACTTGAGCCGTGATTTCTCGAGTTAAAAGCTGTTTTAGACGGTCAGAATAGCACCAAACTACTGCTCTCATCTAGCACTAGCTGTCTGACACCTTTGAACAACTCTTTTTGGATCGTCAAAATTCGACCGAAATCCGTGAGTGATACCTCATGATTTTCATCAAAAATCAAACGATCGCGTTTTTCACCCTGAAAATGAAGACTTTCTCTCGACCCAAAGCAACCCCTCAGACTTTGTTCGTAAAGCTTTTGTATGTAGAATCTCGACATTTTGGCCAAAAACCACATTTCACATTTTCAGGGTTTGCTCAATAAGTTTATTCAAAACAACTATCGTAGATACCCTCATTAGATTCAGCTCAAAAAAGTACCCCAAGAAAGCTTAAGGAGGTGTAGGATAATAAGCACATTTTATATAGTCGAATCGAGCAAAATAGATCGAGCAAATCGAAACTGGACCAAAAACGACCAATTCGAGGGAAGAAAAATAAATCGGAGATTTAATTGATTCTGGCAGCCAGAATGCCTTCTCATGAAAGCCATTGACGTTTTTGAAGCTAATGAGAAGGGAATAACAAACTAGTTCAGACTAAAGCTTAGCATGGCTACATTTTTATGCTTTTTTGCGCCTTTTTTATACATTTAGTGGATTCGAGCGTTGCAAATTGCTCGTTCAAATGCTAATGCATTTGTCACGTCCAAAGTAAATCCTAATACATCGTATTGGAATGCAATGGGTTCATGGTTCATACCTCATGACATAAAAAAGCGTATTTGTATCTGCAATTTAGCTGTTTAGTATGCCATCTTAACTATAAATGTGTTTATTCCACGGACGGTTGACAAGAAGATTCATATTCAATAATATTGTATTGTGCAGTTCTGGAATTTCAAATACGTCTGTTAAATCAAGATGGCTCGTTTCTGATTCTCATGTTTGAATGATCAAGATAGCAGGCCGATCTGTGTACTTCAAAATCTTAATGATATAATTTAACTAGGCAGCTAGCTCCTCTATTCTCAATTTTTTGTTACTATCAGACATGCAACCAGCAAGCCCTGAGATAAGGCAGTTTACCACTGAAGGGTTAAAAGAAACCTAAGGTGAACAGATAGATAATAGAATTTAGAAGATAACCACGACATATTTATCAAATTTGCAGTCGACATACAAAGCAATTCTTACTTGTGAAAGACTCCATATACATAATGTATGATTGAAACTGTTGTGTGTTCATCTATCAGTTTCCACAATGTAGATTGTATGCTGGTATGAGTGTTGAATTGAAGATTTGAATAAGATGATGTAAATCCAGCACTTTCTAAAAAAAGAAAACAAACAACACACACACACACACACAAAGGCCATTCCGCAATAATCTCACATGAAATGAAGGATAATAATATACAAAAAGTATCTCAATTTTATTAGCTTGGGCACAAAATACATTTACAAAGGCAATAGATGACAACCCAAAGTGCCTCTACCTCCCCATCCAGATCTTGGTCGTATCAACATTTGAAGTGAAATTCCATCCCTCAAGACAGACAATGTCAGTGTCTGATTCTCGCTGTGGCTGATCAGTGTATTCAAAGCTTGTAAACGGCTATGATTGCCAGCATGAATACCTCCAAATTGAACAACTTGATCATTTCTGCGTAATCCAGAATTGTATGCGGGGGAATCAGGTGCAACCGCATTTACCACTGCGAAAGGAATGGGCCTTTCATCGCTTCTGGTTGCATCTGATATATTACCGATAGAATCAGAGGTAGTCGCATTGGTACTCGAAGTGCTACTTGTGGATGTTGGAGCTGATGTAGTGGTGCCTGCTTCGTCGGATGCTTTCTTCAACTGATGGATTCGATGCAAAGTTGCCTCAATTTCAGACATGATATCTCGATGGTCATTTCTCAAACGATGAATCATATTGCGGCTGGTTCTGATAGTGTGAACATCAATCTCTGATCGAGGAAAGCCTGCATTATCAACTAAAGGTGTATCCATGCCTACACCAGCACTGATGAGGACATCTTCCAACTCTCTTAGTTCTTGCTCTAGCTTGTCTTTGCGAGCGATCAGCTCTTGCGCATCTTTCATCAATATATCATAATCGCCTTGTAGTGTTGGGCTATTTGAGACTGGTGGCATGAGACCCATATTCAATTGTTTCAGTGAATAAAGAGGGAAAGAGACATTACGTGTTGCATGCGAAAGCTGCGGCTCAAGTTTGTCACCACAAGCACAAGCCGTAGAGTGTTGCAACAGTGTTGCGCTTTATGGAGTTTCAAATTCCCGATGCCACTATGGTGCTATTCAACCGGAAATAAAGTCTATTGCCATGGTTACTACAAAAACGGAAATTAAGCTCTTTTGCCAACATGTTTGTAACAATAGCAGCAGATCAACAACAACAATAACAACAACAACAACAACATGCTCAATTCTTCCGATTATTACTTTTAAGACTAGCTTTGCTTGAAATGTCGGGAAAATATGTCAAGGATTATATAAAGGCTTAATATTGTAGTAAGTCTCACCAGGTTTTTCTTATTCTGATCCATAAACATTTAAATACTACTTCTCTTTTATTGAACATAACTATCCATTATATATTATAATCAATGAAGTCGTTCACTGCTCTTGCTATTACTGCCCTTTTGGCTACATCTGCTGTTTGTACGTACAAGACATCTACATCATCTAATTCAAAATTAACATTTCATTTTTAGCTGCCCATCCACAAGGAGGCCGTCAAGAAGGTCGTCAAGGAGGTCGTCAAGGAGGTCGTCAAGGTGGAACTCAAGGTGGACCTCAAGGTGGATTTCAAGGTGGACCTCAAGGTGGATTTCAAGGTGGTCTTCAAGGTGGTCTTCAAGGTGGTCTTCAAGGTGTTGCCCTGACCAACCTGCCTGATCTCTCTGGTCCTAATATTCAAATTGAAACCAGGCCTCCTGTCGTTGTTATGACAACAGTTACTCTTGCCAGACCCTTGAATGCCGTACCTACCGTAAGTTGAAATGCCAATTTTCTCTTTTCATGCCCACCAATCTCATTGTTTTCTGAAATCTCAAAGGCCAACCCTCTCTTGCAGACTAACGCAAACGTGAACGCAAACGTAAACGCAAACGTAAACGTAAACGCAAACGCAAACGCAAACGCAAATGCAAATGCAAATGCAAATGCGAATGCGAATGCAAACGCAAACGCAAACGTGAACGCAAACGCGAATGAGAATAGAGACGAGAATGAGGATAGGGACGAGCGTGAGGATAAGGACAGACGTGAAGATAAGGATGAAGATGAGGATGAAGATGAATATGAGGAAGACGATGAATATGAGGAAGACGATGAATATGAGGAAGATGATGAATATGAGGAAGAAGAAGATGAAGAGAAGGAGGACAGAAAGAAGAAGTGGGGTGGCAAGCACGGCGGCAAGCACGGCGGCAAGCACGGCGGCAAGCACGGTGACAAGCACGGTAGAAATGGTGGCGATGATGAGGATGGCGAGGGTGATGAGGATGATGAGAATGATGAGGGTGATGAAGACAAAGATGAACTCCATGCCAACTCTTTAGCTTCCGTTGACGCTGTTGATGTTGATGCTGCTGCAGCCTCTGGTCTCGTTGATTTTGCCGCTGCTCAAGCATCCAGCGGTATGGTGAGCTCTGCTGTTGCTGCTAGAACTTCGTCTGTTGCCTCCAGGTTCAGCAGCGCCGTCGCATCTGCTTCTTCTTCTGCCACTGCTGCTGCCTCTCCAAATGCTGGTGAGAGCGTCCGTGTTGGTGGTACTTTTGTTGCTGCTGCTGCTGGTATTGCTGCCTATTTGCTCCTTTAAGTTGTTTCTTGATTCAAGCAAAAGTCTAAAATCCAACTCTGTCACCCATCTCCATTTCGTACCCTATTTATTCTTATAGATATCATCCTTTTTCCCTAACTTTTTCTAATTTATTATACTTCATACGTATATTATATATCTCTTCCATCACGCGTACAACTAAAATCTTGAAAAAAAAAAAAATGCAGATTTAAGTCGTAGTGAACTGAATACCTAAATCTTTGATTAGTATTTTGTCGTAAACCCACAATAGAACCCACCTACACCTTAAAAAAATATATTATTTCTGATTCCCCTTCTTTCACTACACTCGATATCTGATACAAATAAAAAGTGCATGTAATGACACAACAAATACACTGGAAATGCGACGGTAAATATGTAGCTATACATATCTCATAAATTGTTTCATATTCTGTTTAAAATATCACTGATACTGCTTGCATTGTTGATTTGAATGCAAGCTCGTCACTCGGATCAAAATCTCCTTGCCTGAAAAAACTAAAGTTCGAAGTTTAGCGTGTCTAATCGCATATAGCCATCTTCTTTTTTTTTTTTTGCATTCAAAAGACTTGCTATCATACTAACTATAATAAACTTAATTTGAGCTCGTTTATTAGCATATGGGAGGGCTCGCTCCTATAATGAAAATGCTTTCTATATTCCTGGTAGAAAGCAACTGAAGAAACCAGCCAATCGGATTATCAAGCTTGTGGACACTGAAGAGCAGGTTGGAAGCACCACATTTGGTGACTACTTAACACGCTTGAGGAAAAGCTTTTTGGCTCCATCTTTCATTGAAAACTTATTACAATCACTGCCATGGAGAATCAATCAAACGCAAAGACGCCCACTGACTTTTTGAGCACTGTATTGGGTCAAACTGTCAAGGTCAGATTAAACTCTGGCATTGATTATAAAGGTAGACAATCGGAATACCAGGATGTGATGAAAGTTAATTTCTTACGTGTACTATGGGTGCATTAGGAACCTTGGCTTGTTTGGATGGTTACATGAACATTGCATTGGAAAACACAGAAGAATACGTTGAAGGAAGATTGAAGAACACTTATGGCGATACCTTTATCAGAGGAAATAACGGTAAGCACGATACAAATGTCGCAGACAACGACAACTAATTTGATGTGCATGTCTAGTGTTGTATATTTGTGCCGATAAATAAGCAGCTCTCTTTTTTTTTTTTCTCTATAACATCTAGTTCATTCTATCAAGTATCTTCATTTTTGTAATATTACCATACATTTCTTCGTCTGTAATCGGGAGAGTAGGCGGTTTTGGAGGGATTTTCAAACGTTGATGATGGGTATGATTTTCGGGTTGGGTACATTTAAACGCTTTCAATCAGGTATGGGCAGTTTCTTTATTGAAACCTTTGGAATTACATTTATTCTGTCCACGTATATTAAAGCGAAGATTCAAATAGCCATATATGCTATCTATTCAATAAACATTTTACTACAACTAATGCATAAATCCAACCTTCATCAATGTGAGATCATTATTAACCATGCTAAATTTCAACTCCTTTGTGCTATATGCTGGATTATCACATTAGTTGGCATTCTTTCAAACTCATAATAGTACAACGACAATGTATACAAGCTAAATGCTTGAGGCAATTACATCAATGGTTGTCTTGGTAGCCATGCCATTTTATCTTTAATCCCATGTTAAATTGCGAGGCGTTGCATCCTTAAATCACACAAACAAGACTTTCTTTAGCAGGTCTTTCAAATAGAATGAAAGGTGATCATCGTTTACGTGTTTCTCCTATACGCAATACGATTTTCATAAGCAAAAAACGGAAATCCCCGGATCATTTCTACAAGTTCTGTTGTCTGTGACCTTTTGTTGATGGTTACTTTCCCAGGATGTCCAACAGTTTAGTACCCAATTCATCTATCGGAAGGTTAAAGCATGGTATAACAGAAGGTTTACATCATTCAATCTCCAAAAGAAAAAAAAAAAAAAAAAGGTTTAAATAGGGGAGCTTTGGGGTCACTCATCAAAGTCCTCTTTTCTTCTTTTTCTTCATTAAATTAAAGTCGTATTTTAAAAATGGGTCTCCTCGATATTGTTCCTGCTGGTGTTGTTACTGGAAAGAACCTCTTGAAGGTTTTCGAGTATGGTAAGTGTTCTTTTCCTGTACCTTAAATGAAAGTCAACCGGGGATTCTGATTTGGCTACCCCGCGTTTTTCTTGTATGGCTCATGAATCGCTCACATCCCTTTTACTATAGCTCGTGAGCATAACTTTGCTATCCCTGCCATCAACTGTACTTCCACTAGGCAAGTATCTGCTCGCTTTTGAGGCAATTTTTTTTTATATATTTCGAGATACATCATGTGCGTATTTGTTTACAAATACAACCATTATGACACGGCCAATCCTCCCCCAGATTGGCGGTTCTTGAACTACAACATCTTGCCTCTTCAATTGACTCGGGATCCATTCTAACATCTCCCCTATAGTACCGTCAATGCTGCTCTTGAAGCTGCCCGTGATAACAAGTCTCCTATCATCATCCAATTCTCTCAAGGTGGTGCCGCCTACTTTGCTGGTAAGGGTTTAGATAACAAGAACCAAGAAGCTTCCATCATTGGTGCTGTTGCTGGTGCCCAGGTAAGTTTGAGAGATACAGGGTCTCGACCATTATACAAACAACTAACCTTAATCATCGCTAGTACGTTCGTGCTGTTGCCAAGGCCTACGGTATTCCCGTCATCGTTCACTCTGACCACTGTGCCAAGAAGCTCTTGCCTTGGTTCGATGGTATGCTTGCTGCTGATGAGCAATACTACAAGGCTCACGGTGAACCCCTCTTCTCTTCTCACATGTTGGATCTTTCTGAGGAAACCAAGGAAGAGAACATTGAGACCTGTCTCAAGTATCTCAAGCGCATGGCTGCTATTGAGTGCTGGCTCGAGATGGAAATTGGTATCACTGGTGGCGAGGAAGACGGTGTTGACAACTCTGGTGTTGATAACTCTGCTCTTTACACTCAACCTGAAGACATCTGGGATATCCAAAAGGCCTTCAGTGAGGTTACCAACTTGTTCTCTATTGCTGCTGGTTTCGGTAACGTTCACGGTGTCTATGCCCCTGGTAACGTCAGATTGCACCCTGAACTCTTGGGTAAGCACCAAGCTTATGTCGTTGAACAGCTCAAGTGTGAGAACCCCAAGCCTGTCTTCTTTGTCTTCCACGGCGGTTCCGGTTCTTCTGAAGCCGAGATCTCTGAAGCTGTCCGCAACGGTGTCGTCAAGATGAATGTTGACACTGATACTCAATGGGCTTACTGGGAAGGTCTCAGAAACTACTACGAATCCAAGAAGGGATACCTCCAAACTCAAGTTGGTAACCCTGAAGGTGAGGGTAAGCCCAACAAGAAGTACTACGATCCCCGTGTCTTCATCCGTGAGTGTGAAAAGACCATGTCCAAGAGAGTTAAGCAAGCCTGTAATGACTTGGGTAACACTGATACATTGTAAATATTTCCAAATGCAAAAAAAAAAAAAAATGTAATATTCTCCCTCCTTCTGCTTTAATGATTACCCCAAATCAAATATTTAAGAAGAACTATTACCTTTACAAGCGATAGTTTTTGTCAACATACTTTAATCAAATAAAATATCAAATACTCGTAATGGAACTGTTCGCCTGCTGGCCAATACGCCTTTTTTAGTTCAATAGTTAACGCTCATGCTCCTTGAGTAATAGTAAGAACGGGCCAGTTCCTTGTATCCACAGTCAACAAGGCGTGACGATTACAGCGACATGCAAGAAGATCATCATTCATATGGCTTCTAAGAGTTTTGGTATGATTTAAAATCACCCGGAGCTTCTGACTTTATCGCACACACTATAAAAGTACTAAAACTAGGTGTAGATGTACAAATACATACTAGAGCACTTGTGTCTTTACATTTGCATAAAGCCTGTACATCAAACCTGATTTGCTGTTCCATGACATCCTGCAAATGCACTGAATTTACGCCTTCAATTATACATGTTTTTTAAAGTGTGCAAGTGTAAGCTTTTTTTGTACGTTTTTAGCATTTGAAACTTGCACAAGATGTAGCCATTCACTGTATTTAAACTCATTGCAATTTTTCTCATCACATCTTGTTCTTTCGTTTCTTGTCAATCTTCATAAAAACATATAAATGGGGTTATTGAGCAAAGAAAAATTAGTTAGACACTGGCTGCTTATACCGCTCGCAGTAACAACGTAAATTGGATCCATCAACCAGGAATAAAGCACCAAAATTTAATGAAATGAACAGAGTTTTAGGCTTTGGTTATCAGGCCATCCCATTGTTTGCCTGGTTTTATATACCCCTCGTTCTATTGCATACTCGTCATAAATCATACAGCAATATTTTTACAGCATATGTTGTCAGCAGTATATCCATGGCACTCGCATTTTTGGGAAACTTCAAGATTGTAGATGAAGGACCGCGCTTCCCGGTTGCTTGGATTATGTTTTGTATGTGCATAATCCAACACATCGACAGTGTACTGACAATTTCATATCATTAGTGGCATCCCTGATCATTCATCTGTTGCTGCTGGTCATTTTATTTGCAGAGAGATATGTTTTGAGCCGTTCACATTGCATTTGGACTCGTGTTTTACTTTTGCCTTGTCTCTGGGCTGGGTTATGGATGTTGAATGCTAGATATGGACCTATTGGCGATTATCCCTCAATGTCAACTGCGTTGGTAACTTGGCCTGACTTTGCTCAGATCGCATCTCTGGGCGGAAGACCCTTAATTGACTTTCTTGTTGCTTTATTTGGTACATCGATACTGGAAATCAGTAGCTTACCATTGCAATGTCTTGCCACCAATGATAATTTATTACGAGATACTTCCATCTCTGGTAGCATTGACATTAATAACGCGGAGGAAGACAATAACCAAAATACTATCCCTTTGCGTAAGAGACAATACTTTTCGCTGTTGACCCATCCCGTCACCATCGTCAGTGGTATCATTGCTCTGGTTTTGACGTATGGAGGTGCTCGTGTGAATATTCATCCTGGATCCTTCTATCAAACAAGTTATCCTAAATACATCCCTAAAACTGAACAAGTTGGCTGTGTCGTTGGCCCTGGAAGTGATTTTCCTGACTTGCAAATGAGACATGATGTTTGGTTTAATCATTCAACGTCTTTAGTGGAGGTTTGTACCTTGGCCTGAACTGATGACAATTTACTCATTTTGCTGACATAGGCTGGAGCCAAGCTAATTATCTGGTCAGAATTAACATCATCAGTCAAAGACATGGATGATGAATTCGATTTCCTTGAAGAAGCCAAGAAGTTTGCATCAGTCCATAAGGTTTACTTGGGCGTTACATATGCTGCCGTGGAACCTGTTGGCCAAAACAAATTTGTCTTTATCACCAAAGAAGGCGAGATTGCAATTGATTACAATAAAGCCAACCCAGTCCCTGGCGTCGTAAGTATTCGCATCTATCGCTCAAGAACTTACTCGCTAACAACATTGTCCAGGAAACACAACCCGCTGGCCCTGCTAAGCTTCAATACGTGGATACAGAGGAGTTTGGTAGAGTGAGCGGTGGCATATGTTTTGACTTCAATTTCCCACATTTCATTTTACAATCAAGTTCACTCAACGTTGATTTGATGCTTCAACCAAGCTGGACCTGGGGACCTATTGGTACTTATCACCAACAGACAAACACTCTTCGTGCTGTTGAAAATGGGTTCACACTCTTCAGATGTGTATCTCAAGGTGTATCTGGTATTTATGAGCCTACCTTGAACGGCATCTTTAATCAGAAAGTCGCATCTATTAATGTCGAGCATTACTTATTCTCATTGCCTTTACAAAAACGAGTTGCTACTCTGTATGGCTACCTTGGTGATTCATTTGGCTTCTTGTGTTTGCTCTTTGGTGTATTCATCTTAGTTTCGGTGTATCGAAAAGACAGAAATGGCCGTTTGACACTCGAATAGTAATAAATCGATCAATATAATACATTTTAGTCTTTCGATATTTTTCAAGTTGTAAGATTTAGGAACCAGGCATTTTGGTTTGCTCGGGATCGATACAAAAACAATGAATCGTAACTTGGAGAGTGCAATAAGATTGCATTCTATACAGTTTAGCCATCCATAACCAAAAACTGGTTTATAGTATACATTAACTAGCCGATATACTTCGTAGGTTATATCAGAGCCAGAAGGAGAAGAGAAGGTATCTCCCTCAGCATCCTTTTTGCTTACACTGATATCAAACGAAGCCTATTATTGGGACAATGCTAAAGAAAATTCAAATTTTATGCAGCATTTGTACATCACAATCGCCATTTTCTGATAACAGAACTGCCATATCATTCACTGCTGCTGATGCTCTTAATAAGATGGCGACATAAAGCTGGTCATAAGTAAATACAGAACTTGTGTAAGTTCTACAGCGACTTTTTTAAGATATTGTCATTGCAAAAGACACCTCAACGAGGCATGATTCCCCAAAAAAAAGTATGGGCCAGCCAGCAGCAGTGCCACCCGCTAAAACCGATTCAAGCTCAGCCTACTTTTTCTGTTTAAGATTGGATAGATTTCGTCTTTTTTCGACTTCTTGAATCTATTTTTTGACATTCGACTATATAAGTTGTGATGATAATCCAACGCTTCCTAATACATTCTTGGAGTACTTTTCAAGGCGCTTCCAATAGTGCTAGTTGTAATAGGTGCTTTGAATGAAACCATTGATCAATTTGGTAAAATATGAAAAGAGGTTTTTGGCGAAAATAGTCATATTTTGCATATGAAACCTCATAAAAGTGGTTTCAGAGGTTACGTTAGATCGAGAGAAACATTTTGATTTGATATATACCATAGTAAAAGTCTTCATTTTCAAGAAGAAAAATGCGATTGTTTGATTTTCGACGAAAAGCATGAGGTACCCTTCATGCTTTTTGATCGATTTTTGACCATGTTTTTTGGGTCCCCAAAAAGTTGAGCAACGGTGTCAGGAAGTTACTACTACTCGAGTACAATCATTTGGCGCCATTCCGGTGGCTCAGAAAGGTTTACATGTCAAGATATGAAGGCTTGAAAACTGTCAAATTTGGCTATGTTTTGCTTTATGGCTTTTTTTTACACGGCATGAATCACATCTTTAGTAGCTGAAGCCTTCTGGAAGGGCAGTTTGGCAGCCTGTGCAACTTCTAATTCGAACAGGAGGCATATTGATTTCGGTAAAGCTGATTTATGTACATTTTGATGCGATATGTTGCTGGTAAGCTTATTAACAATGGAAATGAAAACCCGAATTTGCTGCTTGAATACTATGGGTTTGCACCTTCGCTTCGCTATGATAAAACCCTCATTGAGGTTAATATCACCAAATGTTGGGTTAGATGCTTATTCGCACCTTCGCCTTGCTATGATAAAACCCTCTTATAGGTCAATGTTACCATATATTGAATTAGATGCAATCTCGTATAGAGTGAAGATTAAAAGCAGGAGATACTAGCAAGAAACAAAAACCGCCCATAGGCAACGGGTAACTGTAGATGGGACTCTTCTGAGATGCTCTATGTTTGTATCAATGGAGGCAATCCATATACAGGCATGCAGCATACTAAAATCGTCTCTTACTGCTCAAATGTATGCAAAACACGGTATAATTTGGATGCACTTGAGCCGTGATTTCTCGAGTTAAAAGCTGTTTTAGACGGTCAGAATAGCACCAAACTACTGCTCTCATCTAGCACTAGCTGTCTGACACCTTTGAACAACTCTTTTTGGATCGTCAAAATTCGACCGAAATCCGTGAGTGATACCTCATGATTTTCATCAAAAATCAAACGATCGCGTTTTTCACCCTGAAAATGAAGACTTTCTCTCAACCCAAAGCAACCCCTCAGACTTTGTTCGTAAAGCTTTTGTATGTAGAATCTCGACATTTTGGCCAAAAACCACATTTCACATTTTCAGGGTTTGCTCAATAAGTTTATTCAAAACAACTATCGTAGATACCCTCATTAGATTCAGCTCAAAAAAGTACCCCAAGAAAGCTTAAGGAGGAGTAGGATAATAAGCACATTTTATATAGTCGAATCGAGTAGAATAGATCGAGCAAATCGAAACTGGACCAAAAACGGCCAATTCGCGGAAAGAAAATCAGAGCGGAGGCTTAATAAATTTTGGTGGTGGGTGGTGGTGGTGGTGGTGGCAGGCAAGATAAATGCCACACTTGTTATGATGGACTTGATAGCTAATAAAAAGGGAATTGTGAATTGAGTAGTAACCGGAATATTTTCTTCTGTGTTTGTGGCAAATGTTTTTTATATGTGGCAAATTCTTTGAGTTGGTGCGGATTGCTCATCAAATTACGAACCATAATGAAATGCCAATCCGAATTATATGCAGTGCTTTGAGTATGGGCTCTGATTCAGTTCAAGTTACTGGTGTATATTTACGGTAACGATAGCACCATAAATGATATACAGCTATAAAGCAGAACTATTTGTTTAAATTCACTTCATTAGAGTGGGATGGTTACCATTGCCTTTTGTTATGAAATATTTTCCATCAATCATATCATAAACATCAAATAATCCAACAACGAGATAGGACAAGGTTCTCACTGAGCATTAGCGAGAATAGATGACTGGCACGTTATACGTTGAAACAAATGTCTTGCACTGAATATTTCGTCAGGATATGATTTAGCCGCCAAATGTTATACCATTCCCTTCATGCTTTGTAAACATACGCACACATATATTTACCTAAATGTTGAATGCGTGGATTTTTAATTGACATGTAATGTTGTACATGTTTCTTTTATGCTCCATGCGCCAAACAAACCAAATGCTAAAACATGAATGCATTATACAGTCTGAACTGAGGGGCCAGCCACTATCCTGTCCATGCCTTGATAATGAACACCAATTTTTCTTATTATCTTAAGTAACTAGGTGTAACTCTTCTCGATCCAATAAGAGGGCTGGTAGAAAATAAGAATCGCTTAATTTCTAATTTATCATAACAACAGTTATCTTTGCAACTCGTTTATTCAGCTCAAAAAGGAGTAATGACACTACAGAAAAAAAGGAGGGAGAAAGGCAACATTCAGACTAAAAGATCAAGCTGCACATGGTCTAACAGTAGGTGGGTATGAATATGTGTTTGTTTTTGATTCTGATGCAAAAAAAAAAGAAGGGTACGGTTCCTCTTTTAAATTGACAAGGAATTCTGTGTTACAGCATGTATTTAATTGCTCTACCATGCTTTTGTTTTCTGAATCAATTAGCAATATGACAATAAAAGGGTACATGTCATATTCTAATTTCAGGGCCACACTCAAACACACCCATTCACATATCCTTTGTGTAAAAAAAAAAAACGAGGGAAACGTCATGGAGAATGATGATTAAGAATACATATAAAAGGACACGGGGTAAATCAAATGATATATAATTCCAAAAAAACGCCCTTTTTATATATATATTTTAATATTTTGGAGGTACAAAAAGTGGGTATCATGTATGACAATCAATTTACCACATGAGTTGTTTATTTGATTATTAGAGTGCTGGAGCCTTGAATTCAATGATGACACTTTGTTTTTAGTTTCTCTATAAAGAGCGTAAAGGGGGCCGCACAATTCATTTCTTTTCTTTCAGCTATATTTCTTATCATGATGAACCCATTAACGTTACCTGCAACTTGTGAATTATGTGGCAATTGGCTTCCTGGACATTCGGTATGTAATTTTGTAGTATCTTGTCTACATTGACTCACTCTTAGTAGGCTTCCTGTCCTCGAAATGGAGTACATCCATCGCAATGGAAGGATAGTCAATTCTATCCAGCTATTGAAGAACAATTCACTAGCGTGGAATGCATTGACAATGATGAACAGTGGTGCGCTGATTATCCTGATGTTCAATTTGACATCAATGCTGATTAAAACCCTGCAATGCCATTTTCTTCATGCCAGTCAGCCGCTCTTTCTATATTATCTTTGTCCAAGACGTTTTGATCCATACTTCCACACTCTTATGAGCCTCTGCACAGGTCCTCACCATTAACTGAATTGTTCATTCAATCAAATTTCATACATATATACTACAGCAATACCATTTCTGTCGATCTGCCCTTCTCTCTTCTATGTTACTGCAATCCTTTGGTTCAGCTGCCAGCAAATGACCACTCTTTATACATAATTTACAATATACATTGTTCTCTCCCTCTCTTCCAACAATATACATATATGCCTCGTCTTAATATATATATATATATTTATACATACAGTTTAATTCTATACAAGAGTAAAATCAACTTGCTTCTAATGTAACACATACATACACACAATGTTAATTGTCACTTATCCATATATTTCATTTGGATGATACGCCTCTTGATTCCATCTTCTTCTCTGCCAAAGAGCGAGGTTCATGAGACACCAATAATGCACCTTGCACACCAGCATCCTTTAAAGCAATCTCCATCCACTGAATAGATGTCAGTGTAGTCATCTTGTAATGGTCTCCACTACCAAAGATTTTTGCATGAAAATCGGAGAATCGAGTACGAATCTTGCGTCCATTATTCAGCTTGGATTTCTGGGATGGTGGATCGAGTAATTTGACAAAGGCTTCTGATGATGCATCAGGCATGATTTCTACAGACAACGAGGGCAATATAGTCCACAGCTCTTGGTCGAATTCCAAATCTAGGCCGAGATGCTTTCTGAATAGATAGTTGAATCGAGCGGTTTCATTCGGACCGCCCACAACATGTACGATATCTGCAAGCCGGTCATATGCAGTTTGTATGATACAAAGCTTTTTACCCGTGATGTAAGGCAAGATTTGAGGTAGTGCAGGTACAAGTGCTTCACGCTCGGCTTGTACTTGTATGGGAATAGCGGACACTTGTTTGGGTAAACACACATGATGAGATAGCTCGGATATAATCGCTAATGTTGAGCTGACATCCAGATTGATTGAAGGTGTTGTAAGATGATCCAGATCACCCACGTTTTTCAGCAATGGTAGATAAGACGATTGGAGCGTGCTGTGTGAGCTTTGCAAGTGGACAACAATACCAATCTCGGTTAATCGATCCATGATCCTCTGTACAAATACGTCTTCGTCGCGTTTGATGCGCATGAATGCAAATACAACAATGGGTGTGTGGAACTGGACGTGATGTGCTTGAGCTGTTTTGAGATATTCACGAGCCTTTTTGAATATGGGTAAACTGTCAAAATCACCAGATGATGCTAATAAAGATTGTTTGCAGTCATCATTGCCCTCTGATTCATCGTCCTCATCTTCATCCGAGGAAGAAGAAGAAGAAGAAGAAGAGTCATCCCATTCCAATCCCATGAGTTCATGTCGAAAAGCCTTCGCATTACGAGCAATGACCTTTATCCACACCAACCCATTTTCGGCAACAATGTCAACTTTGACACTATGGTTACGGATCATAGCAGCTCTGGACATCCACTGGTTATTGTTTTGCGCTGGAGCGCTCACCAATCTCATTACCTCGTTTCTTCTTTCACCAGCTTGCGACAGCGCTTCGAAAACAGCTTCCAGATAGCTCAAGTTTGTACTTTGGACGTGCTCTTTCTTGATCCTTTTGGGATTATCTAGTAGCTACTTGTGATTTTGTTCAAGGCAAAGTTTAGCCTCTCAATTTTCCCTTCTTTTTGTCGAGAAGACTTACTTTGTCTATAAAGTGCAATTCGGCTGTAAGGGAGTTTGTGTATCTATGCAATCCCTCAATGGGCTGTTGATCGTTCCAAGCCTTGCACTGGTCTAGTATAGTTGTGCATTTATCACGCAATAGTTGGATGGAGGGGATAAGGTTGACAGAGTTTTCGACATATTCTTCATCATTGCTGCTCATCATAGTCATTTAGTTGTAATGAAAGAAAATGGAAGAGGCTCGGACATAAAAATAGGTAGGAGTTCATTAAATGTTGATTCTTGCTGCTGTGCCTCATTCCAGGTGTGGTGCCTGAACGTGGCTATCATTAGTGATTCCCGCCGTAATTCTGTATCGCTTGAGCTAGTATTGGTAATAATGCTTGAAGGACAAGACTTAAGGCGCAGGCTTTTTATAGTGCTGTCTGAGGTTATAGCCATGCCAAAAAGCACCGAGTACTACAAGCTGTCTTGTACACATTTTATGGCAATGTCATGCCCATTGACAATGTATAAATCTAATCCTTTCCAGATACAGAACTCTCGTGTTACAAGCCTTTGAAGATGTTCACAATTGTGTCCTACGGTTTCTTTTGCCTCACGCCAAGTGAAGTGCATCCGTCAGTGTCAGAGAGAGCATTGAAGGACACTCTGGCTTCTATCACATCGTGCCATGTGCTTTGTATTGTCGAGCTCTCAGCCAGATGCCATTAAAAAAAAGTGTGCCAGAACATCTATTGCTTATGATATGCATTTTACAAATTAGTAGTGCAACTATTAGACCGAAAGCTCGACCGAAATTCAGCAATCTTATTACATACGATGGGCTTGTACAGCCATTGAAAGGCACAGTTGTTCCACCAAAGATTGCATGAATACCACTTGAAAAGGCGACGTTTTGATGGGAGGATGAATGCTAATTTTACGACGATAATCACTCATGTGTCCAAACAATTCAAATTATTTTGTTAGCCTCTAGACCAACTAATATGCACACTAAATGCCCTACTATGATAGCTAAAAAGGTGTGCTACTGTGAATGGATGAAATATCAAGGAGGTATTAGTATGAAAAGGAAACAGACCGATGCATGTATGCGAGTAGCAACGGGGATGCGAAAAAAAAAGAGTATAAATCACCTGAAATCAGAGTTTCCATGTACATTGAAAATCCCTTTTCTATCTTTAACTTGACATGTTCCTTTCCCTTTCTCTCTTTCTCTCTTTCTCTCTTTCTCTCGCTCACAACTTGATTTCAATTCAAACCTCATTCACACTTTCTCTCTTTCTATAGTCCATCTTCCTTCTATTTCTTTGCATCAAACATACATTACACTGGTACAAATAAGGTTGAATGGCTTGGGGCATTTCAAATCTACTGTACAGCAGCATCAACATGAGCCAACTACCCACATCAAGCGCAGATTATCCACCACCTTACAACAATGCAAAACAAAAGTCAACCTACTCGCAATTAGTTGATAAATTGATTGATACAACTACCTCCAAGTTGGGTTATCACTCAACCAGTCGATCAGTAGATAGAAAAAGTTTATCACAAGGTGTTAAGCTAGTAGAGATTGCAGTAGATGAATTCGAGACCGGGAATGAGGCCATTGGATTAGATGTCTACCTTGCTGGGTTGGATAAGATTATCATGGCATTACCAAGTAAGATACAGTAGGCTGTGCCTTTTATTGGATACTCAAAAGTGGATAGATTTGAGAGAAATCAGGACAAAAGAAGTACTTAAAGAGAGGTTGACAAGGTTGGTTAGCCTTAAAAAAGCATTGATGTTGATATGGCTTAATTGATTTATGATCCTCATGACTTACCTGCTTGTGTGTAGTCTAGAAGGAAGAGTAGGCATAGCAGCACAGCAGCAGCAAGAGATAGTAGATGTAAGAGATGACGAGGGCCATGCAGATGCAATCATCGATAAATTTCAAGCCATAGCAAAGCTTATCGCTCCATCATGGGTTATCGCAATGACACCGGGCAACATGAACAGCAGCAACACAAACACAGATAGGAGCAATACAACTGCGAAATGCCAACAAAACGCCCCTATTCAAAAGTTCAAATCGCTCAATAAAGCCATGACTGATATGATGATATACTGCGTCGTGCTTTTCAAGCGTTCCCCTGTGCCTGGTAACTTACACAGTTGGGGTTTGAAACAGCAGCTCATACTTACTACTCTGTTTCGGGCACACAGGTTTACTATATTCCTTACTGTCGTACTTTTTATTTGCAGTTCTTTGGTTCAATGATCAATTCCATATAGTCGAAAGAGTTCAAAAACTCACTATCGAATGTATCAAAATTGGATTGAAAACAGATGAAAAGTACCATTTGCATGAATTTGCTTCGGAAGCCGTCTCTTCAATCATCTCGGCATTTCTCAAAGCCATCATTGCGTACACAGAAGCACCAGAACATAAAAAGAACACTACGCCAAATTCAGGAACATGTATATAAGGATCACATTGGGGAATATACTAAATGTAGCGGTTCGGATCGTATAGGGTAAAGAAACAATTGTCAGAAATAAAATAAAAAAAAAAAGTCAATTGCTTGTTGGTGCTAATCTTTCTGAAAATTGCCAGTATTGCATTTAAACATATATTCTCTTGGTTTTTGTATCGGACAAAGCAATCAAGCTAGCTATTATGTACATTGTGTCTATGGAATACGACTCTTTACCATTGAAAATCGATCTACATTTTCCAAGGTGTATTTCACTTGCTTCTCTCCCATGATGTTGTCATCCGGATTACTGAGATAGTCTCGAATATAAGTTTTGTACTCTGTTTCATCCTTGCTCATGGCTTTCATCTCTTTATCTTTTTTCGCCTCTGCCTCATCGCGTTCTTCCATACCAGTAAATCTCTTGTATGCGAAACCAAGCAAATTGATGCCTACAACCACCTTGAGTGCAAGTAAACTAGAGCAACGCGTTAATGCCAACATAAACTCATCTCATTCTAGCCGGGTTATATTCTTACATGACAGCCAGCACAACCACAACCAACGTCCAAGTAATAAAGCGGAACAACTGATCCAATCCATTTTCCAGCCATCCTCCTTTGACCATGGACAACACGACTAATTGAATACGCGCGGGTAACATTTGATTCACCATGCCTTGATTGTTGATTAAATAATTTAACAAGCTATTAGTGATCATGGAAGCAGCTGCACTTGTGTTTGCTGTTTGACTGTTATGAGACATGAACATCATGGGCAGGATTTGTTGCATCATACGCACATGCTAACTGGGTCGTTAGTCTTTACAATATAAGACACATCTCAACACTTACAAGGCAGGCTAATGGCAGTACTGGGAACCCAATGCGACGAGATACGACAGGAGATTGATCCACAAAGGCATGGTGTCTACCGCTGATTCGTCCGGGACTTCCAATCACTAAATCCTTGCATAAGACATCAATGTACTTTCCATAGATGGTGGGTCTGATCTGATTGAACTTTGTAATGAATGCATGTTTTAACCAATCGACCATGAGCTCAGAGGCAATCACCATGACAACGGGCGTCATGAGTGTATTGAGCGACGTGGTTGCTGGTAGCTTGAACAGAGGCACAAATGTGGAGGGCAGGATGGAAGATGGCCCTGATTCGGATAGTTCAATGACATTGCGCAAGGTGATGATGAACAAGAAGGCATACTGTTGAAATCGTTCCACAATATCAGCGCATGTCAGTTGGAATAGATTCTCTTTCTCAAACTTTTTGAAGACGGATTGCTTGATTTCGACAAATTGATTTGAAATGAGAAGCGATAACAAAGCATTCGAGTAAAAGTTGATGGCTACATTGAGTGTGATCATTTGAAAGAAGAGAACAGTGGTATGAATCACTACACATAGTGTCAGTACCTTGCTATCAGTATCAGGTTCAATCTACTTGCCCATGTAACCAGCTGCTAGCACAAACAGCGTAATTGGCTTTAGTTGTCTCTTGGCATAAGCGGCACCACCCATGCCTTGCTCTGGATTGCCTAATGTGGATTTCGAGAATAATGCATCCAGAATATCAACGCCCACAGAACAGCATAGTTTGTCACATATTTCCAATACATTGAATACAACATACAGCTTTAAGACTGCCTGTCCTCTAATAGAATGGTAAATGCGCGATGGATCCAGCCAGCACATGACAATGCATGTAATGATGATGAGAAAACCTTTGAGCAAATCGCACTTTTGTGATGCTTTTAATCGCACAAATCTGCCATTGCGTTTAGTTTCTTGCCGTGTGTTTCAGAGCGCCAGTATAACGTACCTCTCTCTCTGCTTGAACAACACTTGTATGTTCTTGTATATGTAGATTAGAAAATTGTAGAATGCTAAGCAGAATCGAAGCGGAAGAATGGTAAAGGTATATAAAAAGGAATCCAGGCAAACAAAGAAACCGAATCCCATCAGCTATCATTGCATGAGTCCCTTGGCCTACTGGAACTAACATTTGCAGACTATACCTTTTCTATTGCTCCTGGAACACCTAAAAAGTTGGTAACACGCTCTCGCTTCAACTCTTGTGCACTGTCGAAATCTGCCACTGTCAACTCATCCTTTAGATAATCCAAGAACGAAATTTGGCGTAAAGAATCATCAGGCAATGGCAATGATGGTTGCTGCTGCTGCGAAGGTTGCTGAACAGTGTCTTGTGGAGATGCTTGTTCTTTCAGAGCTGGGCTCGGTAACGTATCCTCATCATTGATAGGGACAATATGATCATCCCAGTCATGTGCAGCCAGTTCTTGTGATAACGGTGAGTTTCTACTGCTGCTGCTATGCTGTGGTGTCTTTTTCTTCTTTCGGTGCTTATGCTTCTTTGTACTGGAGGATGAAGCAGGCAGTGAGGACAATGAAGGCGACAGTATTTCAAAGTGATTTGATTGTATCATGGATGGAGAGGAGGGCACAGATGATGCTTTTCGCTCTGGCGAGTGGATGAGGCGATGTCGAAGCTTTGGTGTCTCTACCCAGCCGCCATCGTCTAATGGAAACTTTTGTTTCGATGAATTCATGTATTTTTATAGTATAGAGAATGAAAGGGCAACTTGATGAAATAAAATTAAACACAAGAAATTGATGGCAATACGGGCATGATTCAACGGAGTTGGTATTCCTCTTGAAAATTTCTCTCATGAAATGCAGCATCCCGTTCGCTAGCACCCCTCCTTTTTACCATTTACATACCTGGAAATGAATCGATCTGCAGCAAGGCTCTCTCAAGCTGTCAAAGGCCTTTGTATCAACGGCAGCACTGTATCCAAGACCTCTCATCGATCATTGCAAGCCAACTTCGTACCTGCCATCGTCCATTGCCATGGTAAGCGAGCTGTCACATTAGGTGTGCACAATGCTCTCTGGCAAACCAAGCAATGCTACACAACAACAACAACAACAACAACAACAACAACAACGCCTTCCGTAGAGCCTACAATGGCTTCTACTGAGGCAGCTCTAGGGGATTGTCCCGGCTGTGGTGCTCCATTTCAGAAATCTAATCCTGCTCAACCAGGCTACGTAGCCGACAGAAAATCATCCAACTCCATTAACAAGAAGCAGCAAAACAAATCTCTGAATGAGGAAGCCTACCAAGCAGCTCTTGATGAATTGGATCCAGATACAAGAGCACTGTTGGAGGGAGAGCCTATCGACAACCAAGCTGAGCAGCATCAGCAAAAGCAACACCATCATCAGCTTAGTGAACGTAGCGTCTGTCAAAGATGTTATGCATTGCAGCATCACAATGCCAGCACCACTTCCAGTACGCCTGATTTCTTGCGCTCATCACAGCAGTTTGGATCGCTGGACTTTTTGAAAACCAAGAGAGACCCACTGATGGTGGCTGTATTCGATGTCACCGATTTGCCTGCTTCTATGGGCCATCTACCTCAGCTGTTACAACAAAATCCTGGTGCGCGCATCCTACTTGCTGCCAACAAGATGGATCTCTTACCAGCATCCGCTCGTCGTCATGAGCAGCGCATCCGAGATTGGATCATGCAACACATGAAAGCCATTGGCGTGCCTACAAATCAAGTGGTATCAGTGACATTGATTAGTGCCAAAAAGGGATGGGGCATTCCAACACTCATGCGTAAGATGGATCGCGAGAGATTACCTACAGACGATATCTACCTAGTAGGAAGCACCAATGTGGGCAAATCAGCCCTTGTGAATCAATTCATGTCGCAGATCAGAGGTACACTGGATGCAGAAGGACGTCGGTTGAAATCACAGCTCAAGGCTCAGTACAAGATCACAAGTTCAGCCGTGCCTGGCACCACCATGGGCACCATCAAAGTGCCGTTGCATGCGTTGGGAATGACCTCGGAGGATGGAGAAGGCTGGGAGAAGCGTCGTTTTGTGACAAGAGACAGATTCCTGATTGACACGCCTGGCATCATCAACGACCAGCAACTGATACATCAACTTGACTATGACGAACAAAAAAAGCTTGTGAATCAAAAGGAGATGAGCCCTGTTACCTTCAAGCTAGAGCCAGGAAAATCACTGTTACTGAAGCCTCTCGTCCGCATTGATCTCTTGGAATCAGACCATCCAGTCCTCTTCACCATGTTCAGTCCACTGGCACCTCATTTAACAAAAACAGATAAATTGCCCGCTGCGCATGCCTTGCAAGACAGAAACACACATCTTCGCCCTGTCAAGGATCAATCGATACTGCGCATGAGCTCTCTGGAACCCATGGACGAAATTGTGCGCGTACGTGGTATGCATCGATCGCACGCTACTGTGGATTTCAGCTTTGCGGGCGTGGGCTGGATCTCATTGATAGGCGAGTTTGATCGCGCTACCTTTAGAATTTGGCTGCCTAAAGAAGTGGATCCTCACAAGGTGTTTACGATGCGTGATCCTCCGTTGTTGCCCTATGAATACAGGGGCTCCATTAGAAAGTTTTTTGGTTCTGGCGAAAGAACAAGAAAGTGATCAATAAATATTTTATATAGAGAGATATGTGTAATTTGCATTAGGAAATAGCATCTATTCAAGATTATTATGCAGTAGTAGTGGTGGTAGTAGTAGCAGTGGCAGTTGTAGTAGTCATGGGAGCGGTGGTCGTTGTAGGTAGACAGAGGACGCGTGCCTTTTCCAATACATCCACTTGATTGGAATAGACCATGATAGGCGGTGAGATACAGAGACTGATGATGCCAGACGTTTGGCCATCCTCATCCACCATGGTCTTGGGATCAAAAGGCTCAGATCCCTCGCCCACAGCAGCAGCAGCAATCTCCACTTCCTGTCCTCGCATTGCATATCCAATAGCAGATGCCTGATCAACCATAGCCCTCAACATGACAGAATATTGCTTACTGGCATCCTTTTCCTGCAAGTCGTGCTGCTCAATGAACGGATATGCCTTGAGTAGAGATGAATACAACGAGTTGTACATGCGCTTGTTTAATTTCTGGATTTCTTGCTGTATATCTGAATCAGGCACATTGCCAGAGACCACGACTTTTGCTATTTCTTGTCGAAGACGAGTACAGAAACTAGGTTCGTATCTATCAAACCACATTTGGAGTTGGGTATAAGGTTGAGAGATCTTGAGGCCAGTGAAAGCATTGTAATTCATATTCTGAACCAAGACATCCATGAGAAACTTTTCAGTCAGCATTTCAATACGGTTGACAGGTAGAGGATCTCCCATCTTTTGAATGGCTTCATGAAGGTTGACCCAAAAGCCAATCACTGCCTTGGTTGCTGTGTTACATTCACATTGCTGGGCTAAAGCAACACTTAGCGTCTTAATCATCACCTTGAGTTTCTGTAACTTTTTGTGAATCGTGTTGGGGTCGTCTTGCGTTGCTCTTCGTGCTCGAATATGCTCGTTGTAATTGTCCAGAAGTTGCTTTTGGTCCTTTTGACGCATCACCATACGTTCCTGTATGATGCGTTCCTTTTCAGACAAATCGTGGTTGATGTGACGAAGGTAGTATAGCTCCTCATCCATACGACGAATCATTTCCTTTTTCTGCTTTAGTTCTACGAGTAGCTTTTCAGTATTTGGGTAGAGAACTGGAGGTGCTTGCGTAGGATGAGCAGCTGCAGTGGCAGTAGTGGTAGTGGTAGAAGGGATGGGAATTTCTGGTGATGTAGATGAAGGTGGTGGTACGACGGCTTGTTGTGCTGAAGGAATAGAAGCAGGCGAAATGGGTGAAGTAGGTGAGGCAACCAGCGCTGGCTCTGTGGCGGCGGGACCGTTGTGAGCATTTGGAGTGATATCCATGGATTTCTTCTCGGCATTTTCGTTGGCTAGCACTGGGTTGGGTTCAGGAACGCTACTAGACTTGACGGCAGTGGCATCCTTTGAGGCATCCACAGCAGCAATAGATGCAGTTACAGAAGGAGCTGCTGCTGTGGCGGTTGTAGGTGCTGCTGCTGTTGCGGTTACAGGTGGTGCGACATTGGCTGTATTATTCACTGTGGGAGATGTAGCTGAGCCATCTGTTACAGGTACGTCTAGTGTGCAAGGTGAGTGGGCGGGAGCTCTATAGACACTCGAGATATAACTTACTGCTCATAGTATGATGCGCTTGTTTGAGGAAAAGGGAAGGAGACGAGAGAAAAAAAGAAGAAAAAAAAAAAAAAGGAAAAGAAAAAAAAGAGGGGCAACTGAGAAAGACCTAAAATAGAGAGGAGATCAGGCTAAATTAAGGTGTCCTCCGACACACGACACATTTGGGTCAATTAACATGATTGAGTGTGCTATTTTTGTACAGCCTATATGCTAACTAGACTTCAAAGAGGCAGGATGGATGTAGAGGAATCCTTGTTCTCCATTCAGCAATAACACGATTTTTGCTGACCGTAGTGAGGCTTGTACTAGCAATAGACATCCACATTTGTTCTACATGCCATCTCAGGAGTCAATCCTCGGTACTCTCAAGAGGTAGTGTATGGTATCATCAATGAAATGAAGACATAGAGATCTTGAATTTCGATTCATATCGACCAAGAGCGAATTGGGATGAACAACGCTTATGTTTATCCCAGGAATGCAACCTTAATTATCTGTAAACTGCAGATCGTTTTTTGCTTGACGTAAAATGATACAGTATTGAAAATTATGACAGAATAATGTAATAGACATGAATGAAAAAGGCTGATTATACATGCATAGACTATTGAACTGTATTTAATAGATTCATTAATAGTATCCATCAGATGCACAAATCGTAATCACCCTGCCCATGATCATCTACAAGGCACTGTCTACAGATTGTGGAATCGTGATTTGTCTGCATGTCTTACCATGATTCAAAACTTGACATCAATCCGTGCTGGTCAAGCATCCCCCCTCCCCTCCCACAAAATTTCGTCGCCGTCAAGAAGAAATGATATAATTCAACCTCAAGGATTATCGCTCTTTGTCCAAAGGATACGCCAAGGGAAAATACAGTGTGGATTTGATGTAATATCATGTTACTAATTTTCTGATTTACAATCAATTTTTTATTCAGACTCCATATGATTTTGTATAATTCTGAAATGATAGTGAGAATTACAAATTTTGTGGCATAAATCCAACCAAAACATTAAGCTTAAATATGCAATAACTCATCGCTCTCGAAATGCTGTAATTCGATTCAGCACATCTGGACGGATATTTTCGTGCCTTGCCCTTTTAGTAGAATAATGATGGATCGTAATTGTGGAGTTTCTCTAAACTAAAGAATGAAGAAAGTGGCTCTATCTTTTGCAAACTGCGTTATAAGAGTGTATTTTGCTGCTATCATATTAACAAGTAGACCAAGGTTAAGGTTGTTTGTTTTGACAAAGCTCGGCTTAGGATAAGACTGAATGAAGCTTGACAAAACAAGCGAAGCTTTCTGAAACCAGGCTTGGGTAGAGCTGTCAAATAAGCCCGATATTGTATACAATGTCTTTCAAGAAACGTGGTTATATTGCAGATTTTACGGCCCTGGAAGCTTTTTAGGGAATCAAATAATGCGAAATCAGAGAATCAAGTTTTACCTGGGATGACCTTAAAGCAATGTCTGAGACTCCAATAGGGCAAATAAAGCTTTCAACGTATCCTCACACCACTGTTGTTACAAGCTCAAAAACGAGCATTGTTTTATACATAAATCGTATGTCGTGGTAATGTTTCACACTACAAGCCTTGAAACTTGAGCTGTTTTGACGATTCTTTGAGTAAACCACGTTAGTTATTAGTTACAAATCACTTGCTGGGTAAATAGTAAATCTTGAATCTCATAAGGTTGTGAGCAAATAATAAATTTATGAAAGGAACATACACCTGGTACTTAAAACTCTTATATTATAATGGATATAACATAGAGCTATCGAATGGTCTATGCTTTGTGCGGATCTGATGGGTATTTGTCGAGATACGGCTAAAAAAGGGTATCGTGCAAAATCATGGATTTTCCTTCAAAATCTACGTGTGATAGCAAGCAAAAAATTTGGATGACCTCTTTTTGGTCAGGACAATATTGTCAATATTTTATGATAGAATTATACTAGAGCTTCAAGCGATAATTCATTCGATAGGAAATTTTCTGGTCTACAATGTTTAGTAACGCTTAACAAAATGTTTTGATGACAAATACTGATTAATTTTTAGAAAACATTTAAAAAATTGCAAAAACAATCGTACCAAATATTAGGTGAACAATGTATACTAGATACTTGGTATGGATACCATTGTATTTCCCTTTAAATTCTCTACAACTTTTATATAAGTTTGAAGGGGTGTTTATTATCAAGAAACGCGTACATTTAACGGTCGATAGATTTTGGAATCCTATGGATCATCATTCAGAACAATAGAATTTGAATCTCCGTTGAGCTTTCGCATGTGTACACCACACATGTATGCATTTGACCAAACATTTTAAAAACCGGAGCGTACGTATTAACTTGTTAATTTTAATTTATCAATAGATACCTGACATGTTGAAGAATCTTGTTTTCAAAATTATACAGTTGTAGCTTGCTTTGTTTGATAATAATAAGATTTGCAATTTAAAGTATGCATGTTAAGCACAAAGAATAAAAGGATTATTATTTGTAGCTTAGAAAAAATGTTCTATATTATAAAAACAAGAAGAGACTTATTTGAATAAGATCAGACACAAAAACTAAAGATTTATTGATGAAGACAAGAGTTATTCTATTTATACTAAGTTCTGAATGCCAAAGTAGCAATCTATCTTGTACAATGCTTATCACATCTGGTGAACCTCAGTATTTAGATAGCTGAGATGCACTTCACTTATCATAGCTTGTCCATGTTGTTGCACAACACAGACATATCTACCCATCAAGAATACCTTAATCTTTATAGACAGTTGTAGCCCTTCTGGCACAACACAAATGTATAAATACTCTTCTTTTTGTACTCAATTCCAGGATCTTCAGTTCATTTTACACACAAATAAAACTCAATGATGTTGTATTCACACATATAACTGTTCCTGAATCATAATGTCGTAGATTGAATTGAGCAATAAACTATGCACATATGGAGTTTATGTAAATAAGCTGTTCAACATGTAAACGATAATCATGATATTCACACAAGCTAAGTTTCGATAAGCTATTCTCTATATGTCAAAAGATAGCAGATAAGGAATGTAAGTAATTAACGTTTCCAAGAGCTACTAAAGATATTTAGACTGATCATCTATATCTGAAATAATTACCATTTAGCATAAGTGAGGATTGACACTAAAACTTAGCATGAGAACACCATTCTAGACGGGTGTGTAAGCAATCCATAAATCATACATATAAATAGCAGTAGACATTCACCCTTCCCTTTTCTCTCTATCTGATTTTACTGAAAATAAAAAGACATATCCATTCTCACGTATTTCAGACAGTTACAACAAATGAGACTTTATTGTATTGTATTATTGCTTCATTTATTTTATGAAATCTATTATACCTGATTTCACTACAACACCTCCACTTTTGACCAAGTTCAGTCCAAAATTAGCCATTTTTAGGCACGAATAACTCATGCTACAAAGCGTTTTGAGCGCTTGGAATAACACCACACGCCTTCTCTTGGTTACGCTTTACTTACTGATGCTTTATCTCAATTTTTTTGGGTCGTTGCAAATTTAATGAAAATCGTCATTTTCACATGAGGATTAGCAAGAGAAGATTCTTGAAAATCAAACGATCGCGTTTTTCACCGCAAAAATGAAGACTTTTTCTACGATACATATTAAATCAAACCAATCGTAAAGATAAAATAAAACATCAGAAATTGTTTCTCTGGAGCTTTCATAAGCTAAATCTTGACATATTTACAGAAAACCTGTTTTCATATTTTTGCAAATTGCTCATTATTTTCGGTCTGAAAGCTGAATGCAACCAGCATCATTCGATGTGTCTTTATTGACTCTTTATAAATGCATTAGAAAGTAAAGTATAACAACGACAATTTTTACAGTCAAATCTAGCAAAAACGTTTAAAGAATATGAGATCAAGTCAAATTTGAACAAGAAATTACCCACTGCACAATTTCAAATTAAAGTGCAGCAGTTACGGCTGCCAAGGCAGAAGACTGGGACCAAATCTACTGACCGTGACGTCGGGTAGCTCGTTCTCTCATTTTTTTATATTCCCGTTTTTTTTTACTCATTTTGCAAAACGCGTTTAATATCAAATCATACTGATTTTGGAACACTTTTGATTAAAAATAACACTCTAGCTTCTGATAGCACGGCCTTACACTGTTAAAAGTACTTGATACTGCTTCTTTAAAGTGGAATATAGTATGTACCATTCGATAACGAGCACTGGAAGACGTAAAATCAGTACTAATCGAACTTATGTATTACGTTTCGATAATTTTTTTTGCCTGTTTGACGTTGGTGCTGCTGCCATTACTTCTCTGCTATGCTATTTGCTTCTTTGGTATATTATGTCTGGTGGTTGCTTCGTTGGTCTCTATCTCTGGTGGTTGCTTTTTTAATCTTTGTCTGGTCTCTGGTGCCGTTCGCTCTTTGGTTTTTCTATGATGCTGGTGTTGCTTCTGGTGTTGCTTTTGGTGTTGCTTCTGCTAGTCTGGTCTTTCTTGGTTTGTTGTCTTGGTTGCTTCTGGTGTTGTTGTTGGTGTTGTTTTTGGTGTTGCTGCTGCTAGTCTGGTCTTTCTTGGTCTGCTGTCTCGGTTGTATGTTTGTTCTCTGGTCTATCTCTGGTAATTGTCTATTCTCTGCTGGTCTATCCGTGGCTGTGGTAAGTGGTAAGTAACTTTCTTTCTTTTGGTCGCAATGATATAAAACTTCCCTGGACGTTTGTATAATTGCTTTTTTTCTCGTGATAATGCATTCATAATGTTTGCTTTGTTACGATTTCTTTTTCTTTTGTTGGCTGTGATATGATCAGTTCAACGGATGCTTGCAATGTTGTTTCTTTGTATGTACGAACAACAAGCACGATGTGCTGCTATATACCTGTATTGCCTTTGTAATACTACTTTGTTATATGGCCGTGGGTTGTTGTTTGTGTTGCCTCTGTCGCTTCACATGAAACAACATTAGTCACTATGTTGTATTGCACACATAATACTGCTGTTGCTCATGCAATTGTGCGTGTTTGTGTTGCTTGACATCCGACTATTACCACCATGCACGTTGCTCATGCATGCATTTTTGTTGCAACAACAATGAGCTGTTCTGAACATCTTTGATGTTGTATTTGTTGTTATGCTTTTCTTTTGACTCGCTTTTTTGTGGGAGTGTTCCTTTTTTTATCTACATGCTACTATACCCCTATAGTAGTATGTTCTTTTCTTCTTTTCCTTTTTTTTTATTATGTTTCTTTCGAAGCATACCTCTTTATTACGTTGTGGTGGATGTGCCTATCGCTGAAGCTCAACAAGACTTTATCCGAGACTAGGAGATGGATAGGCTGCCTCCACTTGGTTATCACTACTTACTTTAGTGATGATTGAGAGTCTCAACGCCAGAATCTAAAGCTAGGTGGTGTAAGTAAGGCATGCTCTAGCACCTGAGGGAAATTTGATGATAGTAACGGCTATATTGCTATATATAGCGGAGCTTAAAATTTTGCCTCACATCAAAACAGGGGGAAACCCTCGCAAAATTTTTTCTTAGGTCAACGGAGTTTTCTAACGATTTGATTGGCTAGAAGATTGAAAGAGAAAAGGTCTACAACTAGTTAATTTTCTGTTGATCTGCCATCTAATATGATTTTGTCATTTGTAATAATAAAAGCGTAATCAAATGGAAACAATTCAAATCCTTTTTTGTTCAAAAGTAGTATAAGGTGCAATCATTGAATTTATCATCCATTAAACAATTTTATATGAGTAATGATTTTTTCAAATCTATTATGTTTTAGGGAGGACTATAGAATAAGTATTACAGCAGTATCAAATACCCCGCCAACAAGTATGCGATGTACATCATTGATTGCTAACGTATATGCTTCATTTTTTTTTCATGTTTTGCTATCTCTTACCTCACATCTAAGACTGACTCTCGATGTACAAAAGTATTTCTGGCTTTGAAGTTTGGGCCATCCATGAAAGAATATCATCGATACTAGAGCTCTGACAATAGCATGTTCCTATAGGCAACTCTTACGAAGAAAACAATAGAGTAGTTGGATCTTAGATCAGATGGTGGGTTGTTGATCAAATACAGATGATCCCGAAAGTAGTCAATTTTGGACAAAGGCATATGTATAAAAGCTACTATTGAAAGCTGTTGTAATTGCAAGTGATTAAAGATACTGTATTAGATCGATGGATTAGGTGTTGTGAAACGCTGTAGTGAAAACTTGCTTATATCTCCCTTTGTCAACGTTTGGCAAAAAGTCAAAGATGTGCTGCGTATTTTAACAAATTTTCAGTAATGAGCTTCATATAGAAGCTTGTTAATTACGAGCGACTACGAGTAATAGACCGATGGAACAGATATTGTAAAATGTTGTGCAAAACCACTTGGTGATAACTTACATTTTTTGTTGTGTTATTGTGGCAAAGTTTTGAAGCTATGCTGCTCATTTTACGAAAAAAAGGAGCAGCTATTCTAATCTTTATGCTGATGCTAGAGCCTTTATAGCAGGGCTGTTATATCTTCATGTTGAAGAGCTTCTAAACATATAAAGTGATTTTTAGTCGCTACATTTGTCGTCAAATGATTAAGCGAAAAGAGTATAAAGGAACCAATATAACAAAGAAAACCAACATTTCGACATGCACTATTATATGCACAACTGCCAATTCAACCACGCTTCTTCTCTTTTAACTAGACTGTATTCCCTTGTGTTGCTCTACCAAATAAGGCCTTGTCTGGGCACCTAATACTGCGATACTTCCTTTCAAAAATTGGGTTTTAGCCTTCAAATTGGAGTTCACAGTGGCAAAACACGTTCTCCTTTAATAACAACAGCATGGAAACCTCCATACATACGGTGCCCAAGTTTATAAAGTAAGTGCAAAGCGTTGTATGACTAATAGGAGTGCACAAAAAAAACATGTGCGTTACTGTAACAAAAGATAGCATTCAGCAATCGTTTTTCGGCATTTTGGCAGGGGCTGGCCTATTGAGCGTCGTAGATACATGAAAACTAATGCTACAGGTTCAATCAAAACATCAAACAATAGGGAGTTTTTGATTTTACAGAATGAATAGTGTTACAGGTAGATTGGTTCAGTGTAGTATGTGTTTTGTATTTAAAATACTCAAAAACATGAAAAACTGGATTGTCTGAATACAAGCAGCTATGAGATAACTATTAAATGCAGTGCTATTCTATGCACATCATTATTTTGCACAAACTTACTATAGACTAAAAGCCATGGCTACCATTGAAAATCGAAAGTGTGCCTCATAGTACCGGTGTCAAACAAGTAGGAGATAGTAAATTTCTTGATCTCGTAGCGTAGCATATCATTCATTCACAAGCTCTTTGCTATTTCATGTCATTGTAATGACTCTCGCACTAAGTATACTTCATGAATCGCAGGCCTTCAATCACTTAAAAACGTCTGTTTTTTTCTAATTAGCAGATCTGGACGAAAAGAAAGATGAGGAGCATAGTAGCTAGAGTAAAGTAAATTTAAGAGTATATATACCAAGTAACAGAGTTAAGAGATCTCTATTAGAGGTATGTTGAATGAGTTACAAGGCGTATAAAGCTGTACAATAATAAAAGTCTATATAGTGATGATCTTTTAATTTTAAAATTCCATGAATAATATTTAGTTTAGGTAGATAGTAAATAGCTTAAATGAAGAAATAGATCAGAAAATATGATAGATGCTTCTCTCGAGGCCCCTCCACACGGCAATCATTGAATGAAATGTCAAATACTAAGCTTCATTATTCAGATTATCGTACATCATATCTAGTATTTCGATACTTTGACAGATTTCCCAGCATTTACAACTGCATAATTATTAAAAGTTTCCGTCAGGCTTTCGCCAACTGCAAGAAAAAGCATACACTCAATAAACACCATCCAACTTATGCTTTTCATAAGAAGGTAAATTTAATATTTTTTTTTTGTGTACCCACAAATATAATAATTAATCTCTTCTATAAAAGTTTTCAGGTGTAACACAATATAATAACGGATAGTTAAGATACAAAACGACGTGTTCCTAGTAGTAATGATTTGTAATAAAGGGGGGCAATGCGCTTGTAAATAAAAAGGTTGATCTGTCACACTAAAGATGACAATTCCTTTTATGCTTTTTTGATCTGGCAACGCCCATTTCATACGTTTGATTCATTTAGTTTGATTTTTACTCCCGATCAGTTTGTCAACAAAGAAGAGCAAATCAATAGGGGGGAGGACAAAGGAGAGGGGTTATGCCACCGACCTGATTATAGTCAACTAATTTTCTTGACAATTGATTTTTTTTCTTCCTCTTTTTTTTTATATATAAATATACACGACAATCTTTTGCTTACTGAAAATGTTGGATGATTGGAAGGCAGGTCGATCTCATTATCTTTTTCCACTGCTGAGTTGCTTTACTCTGATGTCGTCTGCGACCGCCGCTTACTACATGAATAAAAAGCACACCAGAATCTCGTTTTTGAAGAATCACAAAACTACTACTCACACAGAGCAGATACCATCTCCACCGAACAAATTTCCAATTATAGGTAAATCTTTAAAAGACGGGAGAAAGCAACAGTGCAGCGAGGAGATATCACGGTAGAGGAAAAAAAGGGAGGGAATGTGGAAGAGGAGATAATAGGTCGAAATCGAACATGTTGTAGAATTATGTAGATTTTCAGGATTCACTAAAAAAAAACAAACATACATACACTCTGATAGGTCATTTACTCTCGCTTGGAAAAGTGCCTTCAAAACAGGTCTCAAAATGGCACAAAGAAATAGGTGTGTGGTGCTTCCAAATCCCAGATCGAAATTATTGACATGCAATTCAGGGCCATTGTATCAGCTGCAATTAGGGAGCCAAACCTGGATTATGATAGCAGATCCAATTATTGCGCATGAGATATTCGTCAAGCAAGGCAGTAAATCCTCATCTCGGCCGTATCATACCTTTGCAGTTAAGATCTATGGCCGAAACAACAGGTAGTATTCGCAAAAGAGAGCTGTGTTTCAGGTGCTAATAATTGCAATAGAGGCATCATCTTCTCAAGCTACAGTCCTAAATGGAAGTGCGAGCGAAAAGCAGGTGAGACAATACACCGTATTACATGGCATGGACACCTGCTAATGTGTATTTATCTAGCCACAGCAGTTCTAAGCCCTAAATCAGTGGATCGCTTCAGTGAGATTTTAGAATTCGAGGCCGATTCATTTATAGAACGAATAGCTCAAGATAACGAAAATGCGCCTTACATCAATCCATACGAAAACTTGCAACTATGCTCACTGAATATTATCACAACGACATGTTTAGCTATTCGGTTCGACACTATAGAAGACCCCATTTTTCAGAAAATCGCAAAATTCGTTCACGGCTCCATGATTTATGCTGGAATGGCAGGCGACATGGGCTCCTTTTTCCCGACATTAGTATGGCTGGATACACTGATGCGAAAAGAGAAAGAGATGCAGAATTTTGTACATAATTACAGAGATGTAGTGTACGAAAAATTGGTGGCCAATGCACTGAATGGCGATGCAGAATGCTTGGTAAAGAATTTGTATCAAATGATGGATGAGATGAACCTGGATGAGGACGACATTCTAGTTTTTATGAGTAGGCGTTGGAGAATGGATGTCTGTATGTCATTTGCCTGACCAGTCTAATAGGTGATTTCATCGGTGCAGGTGCAGATACCATTGCCGTTTCTTTATATTGGACATTTGCTATTCTATCACAAATGAAAGATGTTCAAGACAGGGTGATAAAAGAGCTAGATGATTGGAGGGAAAAGCACAACAAAAAGATCGAGTTTCCTCAATTTAACGTACACAGAGAAGAGTTTCCATATACAATATGCGTCCAAAAGGAGATTATGCGATTCAGACCTACTACTAATTTTGGCATCCCTCATTCCGCCTCTGACGAAAGTAACTATGCTCTATAGCATGGCAACACAGCACAGCATACTAACTACTTTTGATAGTTGTCATTGGAAATTATGTGATTCCAAAGGATGCTATCCTTGTCAGCAGCATGGCAGCAATGCACATGAACCCTGAGTTCTACGACCAGCCTGAGGTGTTTAATCCAGACAGATTCATGAACAACACGCAAAAGATGTCGAGGGCAGCCAACTGCAAGCCACAGGAAAGAGATCACTTTGGATTCGGATGGGGAAAACGTATTTGTCCTGGAATTCACTTGGTAGGTGCTCACATCAAATACCGGCCTACAGCTTTACTTAGAATCCATTATAGGCCGAAGTTGAGATTTTTAATATTTACGTGCGCTTGTTTTCCAGGTTCACCATTGAGCCGCAACTGGATGAGTCAGGAAACCCAATTCTTATCGATTTGAATGACTTTGACGACTATGGCATTGTAGCAAAGCCTCTGCCATTTAACGTACGACTAATTCCTCGCGACAAAAACTAATGCCACTGTACATATTTCTATTTATTAAACTGCATTGCAACTTCTTGATAGTTTCAAAAATAAAGTCCATTTTCCAGTGATATACTTTAATGACTCGTCAAGAGGATGTTTAAACGCTGCTCAGGGCAGCATGTATTCCGTACATATACAGTATATAGGAAATGATACACAGTGTTTGTTCGTTTTCGCAGAGGTATGTTTATTATCGACGTTTTATGGACATGGTATAGGATATTAAGAGCATGTGCCATTTATAATGTCAAACGTCAGCCAGAATGCTTTTGATATGCTCAAAAGCAATGGGATCCATTTGCGATGTGATGTAGTTCCACTCTTCGTCACTGGTAATGCTACGATAGCCTCTCACAACCTACGTGATACAGATTAGCAAAGCTGTTATTATAGTACGCACGTACAAACAGCACTCACATCACTTAGCTCTTGCACCAATGCCTTGGATGGTGCTCTTAGAGTAGAAATGGCAACCAATAGCAAGTATAGCTCCTATCAACGTTTTAGTGTGTGAGAATATATAGCAACAATGAGTTGCTCACCTCTTGTGCGTCCTGAGCGTTGAACTTTATCACAACACACAGACCTCGAAAAGCTGAATCTTTTTCGTCTCCCTCTCGGACCGATAGCGATTTTTCCAACCAAGGCTTCACAAAGGATCTTAGATAGGGTGCTACAAATTGGGGACAAGCTAGACCCAAACGGCCCAATGCAATCATGGCATTTTCATGAATCGAAGCTGGGGCTTGCGGATGAGTTAAAAGGGGTAAAAATACATCTATCAATCCTGGCACATAAGGTTGTGTCCCGCTTCCCCAACGCATGACCATCTCTCCTACTGCCCAGAGTGCATTGTTGTAGACAGATATAGACATCAAGTAATCGTCATTTCGTAGTACCTGTATCAACTCTACAACAATGTTTTGCAGAAAGGGAAGCAGCAGCTTGAAACTGGCAATGGCAATGTCGCCTATTAAAGCAAATGTTGACTGAAGCACCTCTGACACAGGATCCTTATTGTTATGCGTTAGTTTAGTGCCTGGGAATATTGAGAACGACTTACATGGATACACTGTTGCAAGAGAACTAATAAGGGGGGATTTGTCTGCGCAATCAATGGCTCAATAGCAGGGCCTAGGCCTTGCACAATGCCAGATAGTAAATCTAGCGCTGCTATCAGGAATTCGACATTGGGTGGCATCACTTCGTCTGGGTATTGATCTGCAAGCATCTGCTCTTGCAGTGTTGATGAGATTAGCTTTACGCATCGTGACAAGACAGGTTCGACGTATTGTATGAAACCGGGCCCCAAGGCAGCTGTGATGTTTGATAGGCACTAGGCACAAATATGTGAGTGTGTGTGTGTACCAAACAGAATCACATTTAGCACAAGCTATTATGTATTTACCTCTAGCAATGGAAACAGGTCTGTGTCTTTGTCTGACAGCTCGTTCCATTTACTGATCAGTGGAGGCATGAGCAAGTAGATGAATTGCGGTTGATTTAGTTGAGACCCTACAGCATCGGCCAATGTCCCCAAGGCATCATACAGTATCAATCGATTTTTTCGGCGATACAAGGCGAATGCGCCGTTGGTTTGTGTAAGGATGGGATATATATACGGCACAAGCCGAGTTGAAGCATTTTCACCAAGAATGATGAATGCACTGCAAGCAGATTCTTGTACTCTTCGATTGGAATCTAACAGCCGTTTCAGTAGTCCAAAAAGCACGGGTTCAAAAAATCGTTTGCGACCTTCCTCATTCGTATCGTATTGATCAGCTAACCAATTGGAGAATCGACTTACTGCCCAACATGAAATGGACCTAACCAAAGGCTGTACATATACACGTCAATACGATAAGGTCGAAGGGCGCTGCTATACAGTGTGTATGTGTGTACCTTTTGATCTTCCATACAAGTGAGTAGAAATGGCATTAACCTATGCAAATGATGACTAATCACTTGTATACCTCCTGAGTAAAGTAGACATGTGCAAGTTAATAGAGTTGTTTGTGTGTGTGTGTGTGTGTGTGTGCATGCATGATAAAGCAAGATTTACCCTCAGCCGCTGCACCAAGAGCCAGAATACCGCTTTCTCTGACAAGCCAGTTGTCATGGACCAGCGTCTCGTTGAATAGACGGTTCAGTATAATGGATGCTATATCATCACCAAAGGAGACAGACAGGGCGTCAAGCGCTGATGCACTGCATTTTCGCAGAGAATCTTCCGAGTAGAATTCATCGTCATCAAAGTCATCATCGCTATCTAGATCGTCACTGTCTGAGATGTTGCTGTCATGATCCACATTGCTATCATTGCTGCTGTTGCTGCTGATCTCTTCAATCTCGTCTTCTTCAGAGGACTCTTCTTCCAAATCGCTCAATTCATCACGATCACCGTCTGCAGCTGCTGTCGGAGCAGGCTGGTTTTTCGGTCTGTAGTATCTTGGCCGAATAGATTGGTCTTCCAGCAGCTTTAGTTTATTTATGCAGGCTGTTGTTGTCCCTAACTGATGGTCATTTCCAATATCCAAGAGATCAGAGTCCGAATACACCATGAGTTTGAGCAGATATTCAACTAATCTTGGCAAATATGGGATGAGTTCTTGATGGTAATGCTCGCTCTGAGCATATTGCACCCAAAAATCACATGCGCCAAGTAGAATCTCTTGGTCTTGATCTGTTGTTGCTTGGACCATGTATTCTATGGTTGGATATAGATAAGGCTCTAGCTTGTCTGGAAAAGCTTCTAAAACAACCGCTAATATCTTGCCTAGCTCTCGTCGTACACGAGGGTCTGTATCGGATGCTCTTGGGTATAACTCTGCTAAAATATGATCCAACTGCAATACGAATGAAGCTGGTTTCAATAGCACAAATTGGCTGGTGGCGTTGATGGCTTGCACTCGCAATGTTGGGTCAGGATAGGAGTAAAATTCAATGAGTTTTGGTATAAGATGTCGTAATGGGCGTATGCCGTTGATTTCTTGATCCAGTTCGTCAGCCGCATCTTCACAGATCATGACAATGGTATCAAATGCCATCTATACATCAACACGTTAATTTTATGAGTGACACATTGGAGATAACGCCTTACATGAAGCACAGTTGCTGGCTGCTCTGCGTCGAGTTTTTCGATCAAAAGCGAAATGACTTGTATCCAGTTGTGCACCTGTCCTCTCCTGACAATGACTGCAATGACAGATGATACAGTTTTTGCTATACTGGGTTGAGGCATCTCTATGATATCGATGCAGCATTGCTTGATATAATCGAGTACAGTCAAAGGTATACTGTTAAAGTTGTTTTGAATGTTGTTCTTCAATTGCAATCCGGCAACCCGTCGTGTATTGATATCTCCATTGCTTAGCTTGGTGAGAATGTAAGCTAAATATGAATTATAATCTGGATAGTCGTTGAATGACAAAAGCCGCTTTTAAAAAGTAATTTAGTTTGGATTCCAAATGAACACATGTTGAATTCAACAATTGTTATTTACTTGGTTTATCAACCCTTGATCTCGACTGTTTGGATTAGCTGCTTCTCCTAGCAAAAATAAAAGTTCTCTCAATCCTTGTTGCTGTGGTTGCCATTCTGTCATTGTTGCGTTGTATTGTATCGCTTTGTATCGAGTTTTTGGTATATATAGAGTGGAGTGGCAAGCTGATAATTGAAATCTAGTAGGATCGGATGTCTAATGAAATGATTGAATCGACTGATCGATGGTTGTCGAGCGAGAAACAAGAAATCGCTGCAAGTAGTATGAAAAGATGTAAAGAAAAATGAAAGAAAAGAAAAGAAGCAAAGGTATTTATACCACAAAAAAATTGAGTTTCTTTTCGCACCCGTGATCACGACGTGGTAATTGTTAATAATGAACGAGTAATACTCGTTTTGAAAGCCTTTTTGTCAGGTGTTTAAAAAGAAATGATACGAGTGATGGTGTAGCCAAATAACAGTAGAAAATCAAGGAGACTAGAAAAAAAGTCAAAGAGACTCGAGTTTCTATTGTTATCGTCTTATAGGATGATGTAAAAAATTAAAGCTCTCTTTCTTTTAGGGACAAGCTAAACTTCAAGTGACACCAGAGCTATTTTTTTACCTTCTCGAGTATTTACCGTTCTATTCCTTATTTTGGATATGTATATATCAAGGCATTACATACAGACCTCCTGGATGTTGATGTTTGTTAGTGAATTTGCAGAGATTTAAGGAAGCATCCAACATTTGGTGACCATTTGGTGACTTTCTTCGTGTACATTATGAAACAAATGTTTAATTAAAAGCGTTTATATATAAAATGTAGAAAAACCAAACTAAGCCAAATTCTAATATAGAAACACACAGACAAAAAAGAACAACCGCAGCTGTACAAGAGTAACAATGAGATTTCAACATGTTGTTACATGCAACCTGAAAGTTGTGATTGATCGGAAGTTGAACATGTCAAAAATTCAGGCACGAGATTTTCGATTTAACTCTAAAGAAGCATCCCAATAGATGCTACATTTCCCTCTCTTTTAAGCTTCAGCATGCATTCTGTTTACTGTTTCTGAAGAGAGAGGTGCTTCTCATATATCGTTCCTAAACAAAAGGGGTAAAAAAAAAAACGCGCGCTTATGCATGTATGATTATGTATGATTGATATTTATTTACAAATTAATTCCAGCCATGCGAAATGCGTTGTGTCATTACAACTGGCCGTGGAGATGTCATTGAAAAGGCAATGTAGAGAAGTGAGAAGAAAAACTTTATTTATGTAAATATAGGCGTACTATGTATTGATTATGAAATTACGATTGTGGGTAACATGGATGAATGGTATCTTATATACATTGAATGATAGAATAATGCCTTTTGAGTGTATGAATGTATATAGTATTTCTCCTAATTAATTGGCTTCAAGGAATGACCCACTAATTGATAAAAGCAAGAATCACATACACGTGAGAAAGTAGGTTTACAAGCGGAAGCATTACCCGTGAACAAGGGCAATCGATTGCTGCTATGTGTGCTACAATAGATATTTCCACAGCTAAAGAAGAAGAAGAAGAAAAAAACAGATGAGCAATCAGAGCACAAACAAATGCACAAGAAAAAAAAGATTTACCCTCTGCAGTGATGCTTGCGTTGAAACCAATTAAACCCTTGATCGCATTGCTTGTCTTGGCAGGTGTCTACCTGATGGTCGGCTTGCCATTGATTGGATGGCTTCAATACAAATTTGTTTAAACGGTCTTGATGAGTGAGGTTCAAGGTATAAGTGTATTGAGTTGTACTCTTGCTAGCAGCAGATTTGATCTATAAAATATCATACAATCAAGTTAATTAATATTTGTTGTTGTAAACATAAACACGAAACACTTTACCTCGTCAGGGATGTAGCATGTATTTACCGCTGTCGTACAGGCGCCTTCCAACGAGAAGATGGTATCTGCTTCATTCTTATCTGCTGTTTGTCGAATCACTATTTGTGGCTTGGGTCGCAAGGCAAACACACTTTTCAACAGATCCACAGAGGAAGAAGAAGGGGGTGGAGGTAAAGAAGAAGAAGGCGTTGGTTGATGTGGAGCCTCTGGAGGTAGTTCCTTGTCCAATGCTTCCAATTGACTCAATAGCTCTTGTTGTTGTGCAATAAGTTGCTTGCATGCCTGGATGTTGTTCTCCTTCTTGTTCAACATTTGATCCATCTTGGAGGAATAGTCGGCCATACACTGATTCAGCTCCTTGATGATAAAAGCGCGTTGTGGATGACTATCAAATGTGTCTTCATTCTTGTAGCTGCTTAAACTAGAGCAACTTGAAACTGTACTGTCAGAAGAAAAGGATGCAGATGTAATGCTGGATGCCGCTGCTGCTACTTCTGCTGCTGATACTCCTTTTGATGCAAGGTTGATCTCTTTCTTGTTTTCATGACAAGCAGCACACTTTCTCAGATGATTGATCACTGTTTCTTGATGTTTCTGTTGCTGCTCTTGAGAAAATGGCGTTGGCGATTTACATTTCCCCTTGTTTTTCTCATCCAATCGGATTCTACCCGACGATGCTTTCTCCATGTTTGAAGCATGTGTGGCGGAAGGGGAGGTGGCAGAAGCGGCAACAGTTGTAGTGGCATTGTTGTCTGTGGTATATGTTGCAGCAGCAGCAGCATTAGCAGCAGCGTTTACCTTGAGATCACTATTTGACATGGTGCGAATGCGTGATGGTAGATTGGGCTTCTTGGTGGTAACTACTCGATTGGACATGTTCATCATGCTGTGTCTGCGTTTAAGCATCATTGAGGATGTGTCCACATCTCTTTCTTTCTGCTGAATGGCCTTTTGTTTCTTGATAATCTCTACAAAGTCATTGACTCTGACATCTTTGGAGAGACTTGAAATAGTGCCCCGTCTAATTGAAGATCTGCGTTGAAAGCAGGGCAATGCTGGAGGATTTGTGGTTGTTTGACACATGATTGAGCTTGTAGAAGGCGACATGGTATAAGTAATTGTGGCAGTAGCCATTGTATATATCTTTTTTTTTTTAAAATTAGAGAGTAGAGGTATATATAAAGAGAAAAAAGAAAATAGGAAACAAATCAGAAACACATTTGGGCGTTTTTATATACTCACCCAATTTTTTTTTTCTGTGTACATGATATCATGTTATACTTATTAATCCAAGGGGCAAAACTGTTTCGAGAATTAATGTCAATTTATTTTATTTACCTACAGCTTCATAGTAGATTGCATCTAATTTCTGTTCAAAAAAGGGTATTGTATACACATTCTATCTGTTGAATCAAAGGGAAATGTGGTCCATCGCTCCCCATTTCGACTCTCCATCTGTCGGTTCTCCTCTTTTATGTTTCGATCTATTTATTTGTTATTGTTACATGTAAAAATGTTTTGACATTAGTAATTTTTTGTGAATGTTGAAATACTGCAGCAATTAATAAATAGCAAGAATCCTGATAGGTGTAGATGACCGAATGAATATCAAACAATGATAACTGGAATCAACACACCCTTTGACTGTATGGTATCCCTTTCTTGTATCAGATTTATCCTGGTTACAAGCACATGTAACATCTATAATTGAAAAGAAAAACATTCCATTTGTTATTGTCAAATGATTATTTGTATGTAAATATAGGGTGCCAACATCATCCCCTTTTAAAGATGCATCATCAGCATCATCATCATCATCATCACCATCATCATCATGATCACAAAGCTTATGTACCTTCTAATTGTTTAATTAATACACACACACACACACACACACAGTTAAAGCAACGAGGATACTTTTTCTTAATATGCAGATATGCCTTGAGCTCTACTTGATGAAATCATGACTTCAGGCAAGCAATTGTTTCTCGATTTATAAATCACCACAACAAACTCTAATTTTTAGACTTTTAATGAATTTGATACCAAGGCTTTTAAGGGAACACAAAGATAACCATGCTACGTCTGAAAGGGAAATCTCTCGCTCTAAAATAGCTCTTGCGCATTCAACAGTAGCATGCTGTGCTTGTAGCTGCTTGTAATGCCAACTGCCTGAGCATTTATCCAAACGAACGAATGTATGGGTATCAGGTACAATGAACCGAAGCAGACGTAACAATCCAAAGTAATCATCAAAAGTCTTTTCGATACTTCCCATGATTGCAAAGCAAGTAGCACAGACAACAAATTAGTGAGTACAAAGTGTAACAAAAGGGCTGGAGATGATTAAGAATGAGGTTTAGTGCAAAAGAATTGTGTCATATATATATATATACGTATCTGGGGATGCCTATTTTGACACTATTCAATTGATGTTATGGTAGGCTATTCTTGTGAGTGTAAGCCTCATTTCAAACGGCCATAAGCACATACAGTGCCCCATGCGTTGTAGATTTGGTGCCTTTGTTTCAAACGAGGTCCTGAACCATAAAATTAAGATTAAAAATAGATCTGCAACAGATGAGATACCCGCAGCATAATGTATATGAAACGCAAACGCATCATTCCATGCTAAAGACTTTTGTATGTACTGAACTCATACTATCAAGACTCTCGACTGTATACTGTAAAATATAGCACTCCTACCGCATCAAAATCCCAAATTGAACGGAACATGTATATCTGATCTCAATAGAGCTCAGTATCTAGATCATGCCATAAGCTAAACCTTTGTTCAATTCTACGAGTGCTTATGCTTCGGATGGCTCTCTACCTTCACTTTGCTTCAATGAGAACCATCGTGTGCAGCGGCAGTTTGCGCTACCGATTGCCCTTGCGCATCTTACAAAAACACTGCTGCTTTCATTTTGACCCTCCACTTACACATAAAACCCTTTATATTATCTGTGGATCTGATTCTTATGTGATGCTCTACATCCATATATATGTAGCTAATTCATATACGGGCAGGCAACATACTGGTAGGACCCTTTTCTAGTCAAGAGTGTGCCCAATACAGCAAAATATGAGCGCATTTGGGCTGCTTTTTCTCGCGTTCAAGACCGTTTTAGATCTTCAGAATAGCACCAAACAGTTGCTCTTATCTGGTAGTTACTTTCTGACACCTTTGCTCAACTTTTTGGGGATCAAAAAAACATGGCCACAAATCGACCAAAAAGCATGAGGTACCCCTCATGGTTTTCATCAAAAATCAAACGATCGCATTTTTGACCTTGACAATGAAGATTTTTACTATGGTATGTATTAAATCAAAATGTTTCTATCGATCTAACTTAGCCCTTGAAACTATCTTTGTGGAAACTTGATATGTAAAACTTCGACTTTTTGGCCATAAACCTCTTTTCATATTTTCGTAAAATACTCAACAAGCTTATTCAGAACATTTATTTTATTTGGTACCATTGGATGCGCCTTGAAAAGCACTCCAAGAAAGCTTAAAGAAGCATAGGGTGATTATCGTACTTTATATAGTCGAATCTGGCAAAATAGTTCAATTGAGTCGAAAATGGTTAAGATTTGACCAATCTGGAGCAGACAGCGAGTCGAGACTTGAATTAATTTTGGCTGGTGGGCTGGCAGGCAAACTCAATGCCCTTTTCATCGTGAAGGCAATACAGTAATAGATGCTTTTGAAGCGTATAGGAAGTAGGTGGCAAATCACATAGCATTATCGTTAGTCATGCTACTCTCTTGTATTCTATATTTAATAACGTCAGTCTATCAAAATACTTGTTAGGTCAACTTCTTATTTCCTTTTTGAGGCTCTGAAAGTGTCTAGGAGCTGAACATTTATTATAATATGATGATATATCACTAATGCCACCATCTCTGCCATGCTTCCTTCTCATTGTCTGGTCCATCAAATACAAAATTGATCCTTTTTACTTCTTTAAACCCTTCCACAGTCGATGGCTCCTGTAACTTTGATTTAAAGGTACGGAATGCAATGCTGCTCAAAACATCTCTCTTTTCTTCAGGTTTATGCACAGCTCTATAGTAATTGTTGTGTTGGGATAGCTCTTCGTTGTCTCCAAAGTAAAAGCAGCGAATAGGCACTTTTGCATTCTGAGCAAGCTTGATGTATAATGCACGAGTAGCTCTTTCAGGGTTCGTATTGTCGATTACTACTGATTTCTTTTGATTCAAAGCGGTTTGACATGCTGCAATGCACTTGTCTCTGGTCTTTAGAGTATCTTGGTTGATGTAGACATATCCCTTGGGAACCAGATGCTTCTTTACAAAACTGCTCTTCCCACTTGCAGGGTATCCAACACAAACAATCACTTCGTTTTCTGCTTCTTTTGCTAACGGTGTCGACTCGGGTGTATGGAGTGGCACTAGATATAACTGTCAGTCGACATCTTTGCCAATGTATAGAGCATACCTACCTGAAGATGCCATATGTTCCTTGGCATTGAACCCTCTCCATTGAAACTTGGCCTTGGGTTCCTTTAAGAAAAACTCTTCGGGTGTATGGAAAGCAATGTTGATGTTGTCAGCAAACTTGCGATCCCCGCATGAATGATCCTTTTTGTACTTTGGCTTCCAACCATCCTCTCTGCCAGCAGCATCACCCACATAGAAACTTTGGCTCTTATCAATAGAGACATTGTCGTTGTTGTGTTCAAGCCATTCCCACATGCCTGTCATGGGCTTGCGATATTTGTCCTTTTTCATTGCTGCCATGACTAATACGGGTGAATTAATCTGTCTCAGCATGCTTTCAGTCTTGTTCTGGAATCCCTTGATCTTGTTATCATTGTTGAGGCCGTTTTGATTAGAAAAGATGACAATTTTGAACCTGATGTCCCTGCATTAGAACGGGTCGCGCCAATGAGCTACTGGTCCTTACCCTTCATCATGCAAAATTTCCAGGCGTTTAGGAACAGCTGGATCCCACCATTTCCAATCATGCTCATCTTTTGCAAAGACACGTCCAGATTTGGTTGCAATCAGCGTGCCATCGAGATCAAATGCTGCAATCTTGCTTCTTGCGGTCTCCTTGACTGACGGTCTTGCAATCAATACTGAGTCTAGTGCGTTTATCCATTTAAACGAGGACTTTTTGGGGCTCATGTCAAAGAAGGGGTGCTCTGTTGCAGGCGTAGTCAGCGCACATGAGCACTCATTGCAATGATTGATGTGTACCTTTTTTTCGCATTTTGCTGTCGTTTGGTATGGCTTCTGGTCCTGCTCGTTTCATAAAGATCAATGATTGTGTAAAGAAACAAAGAATTTATTAAAAATAGAGAGATGGAAAGAGACAAGTGTTTGAATGCGCGGGTATAAAAATCAAACGGGCTTATTTAGTGTCTTGAGGATGATGTAGTTGCTGCGGATGCTTGGCTGCTTTCAAGCTCTTTCAGTTCTCTGATCACAGTCTAATGTGTGGATATATCTATGAGTCTATGGCCGAAAGATGGCGATGGCTTCACTTACGGCAAGTGCTTCTGGATTGACGCCTCGCTCACACAAAGAGACGCATAAGCTCACTGTTTCTCTGTCAAGACCTGTATTCAGCATGTTGGCCATTTCATAGAGAACTTGTACTGATGAATGATGATTTAAATTGTACAGCTTGCTTTCAGGTACTTACTGTCAATTGTCTCTTTGACGTCTGTTGCTCTTGTTGGTTCCATTATTTGATTGCTGTTGTAATGAAAGTCGTTGGTTTGCGCAATGTTGAACATTCTTTTAGTGGCCATGGACTGCTTTTAGCTGTAGATTGACAGCAAATCAAGCAGATCAACACAGATAAAGCGAGCTTTGAAGGATGGATACTGTCATAACATTGTTTCGACACTTTATTCAAAGGATTTGTATACATTTACACACACAAGAAATGGATTTAAATCAAGGAGCATGCCTGTTCATCATGTCCATTTGCAGATGTGCTAAAGTTGCTTCTTTTGCTATTTTTCGTCGCTTCGAGTTCAACAACTGCTGGCCTGTTCGCTTCACCTGCTGTACAATGTCTGTCTCATCTTGACCAAGTGTGCTGTTTAATAAGAAGTTTCGCAGCAATCGTGGCCTTGTTTCAACAATATTTGCTGTTTCCTTCAATGTCTGTTTCATGGCTGATGTTGCTTGGGGTGTATAGAACGTCTCTCTCTTTGCCTGCTGATACTCCAAAGCCAATTGCTTGTACTCATTGAGCAAATCATTTGAGCATAATTTGATCTGTTTTGATGATGGTGAGCTGAAATGAGTTCTGTTCTCCTGCTTTCCTACTTACTGGATCACTGTTCATTTTGGTCTTTTTGAAATCCTCCAGCCTTTGATTCATTCTAGACAACAGACATGTTGGTCAATTTGGCTTTCCTTCATATACTCTAGCGACTTACTCTATGGCCTTTCTGAATTCAATTTTTTCCTCTGTAAAACAGCCATCCGGGTCTTGTTCTTCCACAAACAAAAATGCTTCTGATTCCCGCAGCTTATCAAATATCAATGCAGCCTCGACATTGGTATCTGTATCAATGCTCTCCACATAAAATTCGAAGAGATTATGATATAAATCTAGATAAAATTGAATAAGGATGGCTTGCATGATGTATGACTGAGAAGGTTTCCTACCTCTGGTAACTCGGATGCGATTTTTGCCCCATATTGCTGGTTGTGAGATATACATGAAATACAGTGAGAAGAGGACGCCGCTCTTCATTGGTGTAATTGTGCTCGGGAAGTAGTCTACGCATGTAATAAGTATGAATATCATGCTATCAAGCACCCAAATCTTACCAAGAAAGCTCTTGTAAAATGCATTCATGTAGTTGGCACGAAACTCTCTCTTGACGCAAGCGAAATGAACATGATTAAAGTGCAGTTCATGCCATAATCGATCAAAGTCATGAAAGGTTTGTGTTGGGTGCTACGAGATGTTACTGTTGTGCCATGTTGCTTTTCTTTCTCTCTTCAACTTACACTTATAAAATGATACAACAGGTATTCTACGTCGTCTTCAATGGCTCGTCTACTGATGCCAACAGTCTTTGAGACTCGTACCAAGCTGGATGCCTCCAATGGTGTGCTTGGAAATCGACTTTTGGATGGCTTTTGTGCCATGATATTGAGTAGGAGGATTATAATCCGTAGACGAATTGTGGGTTTGAAAGAAACGTGAAAAGTTTTTGGTCATCCCAACCTACAATAAGCCGCTCAATGCGGAGCATAAAGGCTTCTTATCAACATGAGATTCAGGGGCAACATATTCAGCTGATCGTTATGCGTTTCGACTGACTGTATACCGCATCTCTTCAATAGAATTGCTTTCGACAATCAAACCTCAATTAGCTGTTTACATTTTTAAATATAAAATTCTAGGCGTTGCAGCAACACATGACTTGAATGCTTAGAGCATTCAGGGAATAATGCTCAGATTTGCACAAATTTAGCTTGTCTACACTATCTCTCGCGCTTTATTCTTATTAAACGTAGACTGAATACTTTTTCTGTACATGGATAATCCATCGTAACCTTTTAATACCTGGTATAAAATGATGGAGCCAAATGTTGCGACACCAATGCCATCTAATTGAAAGTTGCTCACCTGCAATGGTGTCTGCATGACAGTGGCAAGGATAACTGGTAACCCACCCACAAATATGTTACGAGTGTCTATTGCCAAAGCATTAAATCCTTATAATTCGGGCTACTTGTTGTAACTCACCATTGAAATCCACCTTATTCACAACCCAAATTCGAACGCCAGTAATAGCAATCAATGTATACAAGATAATGGTAACACCACCCAACACACCTTGAGGTATAGACTTGACGATAGCACTGAATTTGGCAAAGAAGCCTAGCAGCATGGCAAACACGGCTGCAAATAGAATGACCAATGGAGAAAAGACCTGCGTTACAGACTGTATATATATGATACATAAGCTCTGCTCTATTGTTCATTAAAATCATTTGCATACCAAGACGCCGATGTTTTCGGCATATGTTGTAAATGGAACGGCACCAGTTAAACTTGCTACAAAGCAACCCATAGCATCGCCAAGATAGGCTCTTCCAACGTAACTAAGCATGGGTCTATGTGTGATGGAGCCAATTGCCTTCATGTGCCTGTTTTATATTAATAGTAGCACCATTGACCTTACTACACTCCTCGATGTACGCACCCTAAATTCTCTGCCAACAGCACAATCAAGATTGGCATAACCATACCAATCGAGCTAGAGTCAAATTTCAAACTGAAATAAACGGAGGGAGCACGAATCCAAGGATTTGAAACAATTTCTGAATAATCAATCGAAGGTCCTATTCCTTTCAAATTGCACATGGCATGTATGAAGTAGCCGGTCATGGTACCTAGTAGAAGGGCGCTGTTCAATATAAAGACTGTCAAACACATGCTTTATATGACCATGTTCAAAAGAGCTGTATTACATTCTACGCAAGGCATTTGTTGGAGCATACACTGAAATCAACATGATGGCACATGCAGTAGCGATAGCCATGTAGGTATCAAATGGCGACTTGACGGCTTTGTCATAGGACAGGAATGAAAGATGTAGTCCTATGCTTGTGATGATGGATCCTGTAACAACTGGTGCCATATTTAGTTGCGACACTGAATGATTAATAAGGACTATATTATGCTACTTACTAGGTGGCATGAAAAACTCCAGCCATTTGTACCCAAATACCATGACGACAAGAGCTATAGCAGCATAAGTAAGGCTCAGTACAAAAATGGCGCCTTGCACTGTAGCCGTATTTGTATTCATCTCTAAATTGGATGTACTCGCATAGTTTGATATCGTTAGTATGATACTTACAAATGAGCCTGAACATCCTAGATACGATGGCACTCTTCCGCCTGTTACAATGAAAAAGATCATGGTTGATACACCAGAAAAGAAGAGGGATGCTGTTGTGTAAGATGAGTCAGACATAGATCTAACTCTTGGTACAGGTAACTTACTGTTGGAATCATAACCCAAGATAAGGGCTATACTATGGACGTTGGATTTTAGCATTCTTCATACAGATAGCATTTGATCCTTACGCAAGACGATAACACCACTGAACATAGCTAATACATGCTGGATCCCATACGCTATGCAATAAAGCCAGCTTGGCCGTTCTTCTATTTGCACAGCGCCAATGGGCTGATATGTGTAATGAGGGAAATAGTATTGTAATGTATATTTCCAACCATGGTGATGATGTTGATCTGTGCCAGAAGGCGATCCCAACTCTTGATTTGACGGTTCTTTATCATGGAGTATACGGATCGACGAGTCCTGAGGTTGGCTTGATGTCGACAGGTTCATTGAATCAAGGATAAAAGAGAGAGAAAAGGGAAAAAAAAAGAGCCTGTATGTATGAACATGCATTTACACTTGCTGAAGTACTCCTGAAAATATGATTCAAGCCATTAAAAAAAAAACAGAGAAATTTTTATTCATATCAAATACGCGTATATACATGTGTGTGTGCTTTCAATAGATGTTATTAATCTAAAAGTCTTCATTTGCCTCTCTGATTTCATTCATGAGCGCATTATCAGGATTAAGGCTTTCAAATAAGCTATAGTCAAATTCACCGTTGGCCATCAAGCGAGTAGCCATGCGATCAATGGCAATTACCGCCAGGACGGTCTGGATATAAGCATCAATCAAATCATCAATGCCTAGACCAAGCTGGTTAAAGTCCTTTCTGTCCATCAAGATCAGTCTTGAAGTATCTGTTGTCCATCCACCGTCAGGCAATTTAACAGACAGGTTTGTGCCCAGCATGTCCCAGGTGTTGGCATCAGGCTGCAAGTCGCCAGTCAGAGGTAGTCTTGCCTTGCGTCCGTATATACAGATGGGCCTAAATCCATGCTCGCTGCCAGTCACCATCATACGGAGATCACTTACGTATGTATTACTCTTCTTATTTGGAATTGTGCCGACATGATAGAATTTTCCAGCCGTTGTGACACTTGACCAGGAGGCGTTACCCACAAGTGATTGAACAATAAACTTGTCGTAATGATGGTCTTGGCCCATGAAATCATCTAGTTCCGTCTGATTCGTGATTGTATACACCCCTTGTCCTGCATTGCTGTAAGGCACCTTGAGCACTGCATGTCCTCCCATTGAGCTGATCCACAGAGGTATCTCACCGCGTGTTACATTGTTGATGGTCTCTGGCGTTTTTATACTTAGGCCCGTACTAACAATGTCCTTGTTGTAAAAGTCGTAGGCTCTTGCTGCCATCATCTTGTTACGACCACCGGCGAGACAGCTGATGATTTGGTTCATGACAATCGTCTTGGTCTTGAGAGGGAATCGGTTCCAGGGCTTCTGAGTGAGATAACGGAAACAGGCGCGTATAGGATGCCACACTTGGTCCTTGTCACGTATATACAAGATACGATCCTGCCATTTGATATCTGGATCTGGATCATCCACGTGCCATTCAGCAAGCCAGACGTGCTCTTTGGCGACATCAGCCAACACCGCGGCATAACCGCTGGATTCCATCATATTCTTGTCACATACCACAGCTAATCCGCCAAGACTGGGATCTGCCTTTGAGAGTTGCTCTTGAAAAGCAGATTCAATGACCAGACGATAGCCACCTTGCTCGTTGTGTTCATCGGTTTCAGATAGCAATGGCATTGATTTTTGACCAGATGGACACGAGTTGGTTTCAATTACAATCATTTGACGATGGCCAGAAGCTGTAGTGACATTGAACAAGTCAGATCCTAGCAAATGCATGGTTCATTAGGTCAATTGGGTCATTGGGATAACGGTGTGCACTTACCAGCCCATTGAAAGTGTTTGGGACTGTACGACAAGACTTCCTTCAAGTCTTCTGCCTTGACCTGAGGGTTCAAATGTGTGTAGCGCGCGATGATTCTTTCGTTGCCCAGTGTAAAGAAGGATTGGATCAGAGGATGGATTTGTGCATTCAGTACGCGAGGATAAAAGTGCTGTTCAGGCTCGAATTCACCCTGAGAGATCCGGCGTGGTTCACCCTTATGGTGGAAGCCTTCACCAGCAGAGACTTTCTCTCCAGGCGGCGTTTTGGGCGGGGTGGTTTGGATCTTCTTATCTTCTGATGGAGCCACTATACTTACTTCATCTTTGGAGAGCAATTCAGTCGGTAAAAGGGGAGGAGAACCCAATGTAGCAGTAGACATGATGTAACAAAAAAAAAATAAAGTGTGTGTGTGTGAGAGAGAAGAGATGAAAAAAAAAAGGATTTGAATTCAATTTATATACAACTTGTCCAAATGTGAAAAAAAAAAAAAAAAAAAAAAAAAAAAAAAAAAAAAAAAAAACTCTTGATGAATCTAAATAAAGCAATTAAAATTGCAAGAGGACCAGTCATTGAATTCGATTTGCTCTCATGCAACAACAAGGTCAACGAAATGTTTGTAACACTTGTTCGCAGAATTTTTTTTTTTTTATCAAGCACTCTTGGACGCACATGTTCACACTTCTCGCGCTCCTTTGTCTCCCATCCCTCCCTCCTTGCATGCATTCATTGGCTGTTGCCATCATGCAGCCTTGCTTGAAATCGCCCACGTTATGATGGATTTGGTGGAAACCCTGCTCTTTTTGACAATTGGCTTATGTTAGTGTCTTCTGATCCCGTTGGCTATTTAAACTTTTCGCTGGAAATGGGATCGACGTTTTACACCCGAAACTTTAAAAAAAAAAAAATGCCAGAGTGCAGATAGTATATGTAACACCCCAGAGAGAATAAACTCTCTTGGCCACATCTCTCTGCCTATGACACGCTCTTTCGGTTAAATCCCTCGCTAAAATGCCCATATTCCGTTCGGTGGTCGTTTGCATTAATGGTGTCTGCTGGCCCTGAAATGTGGGAATTTTTTGATCTGGATAGATTCATTGCATATCCACCACTATCAACCAAAGAAACTCATCTTGACCAGAACTCAAAATGTACCAATACATTTGCATTAATGCAAACTTTATGAGCCTTATCTGAAGACGATGACACTCTTTTGCATTTACATCAGAAAGCTTGAATCTCTCATCCGGGTTCATGGATGGACGCCATGGTATCTTCCTAATTATGCATTTTAAGCCTATTAGATGAGGATACGCCAACACTTGATACAGATTAGCAACGTTGCTCATGCGAACCACACACATCTGTTGAATGAACAACGATTGTATCACACGGCAATAAAGCTCCCCAACAACATTTAGCGTCACAGAGAACTGTGTCTATGAGACACGTGTTTGTTCGAAACAGGGCAGATATCTCTCCTTTTTTTTTTTGCTTGCTCAAACAGTTTATTTTCATTGTTCAAGCAAGCTTCATTAATATGCAGATGCTAACAAAGGTAAATCTCGGAGTAGCGGTACCACGTATCTCTCACATCTCATCCAACATGTACACTAGTTTGAGTCGAAAAGCAACCGAGTCAAAGGCATCTCGTTCCACACCAAGAGGCCCTGGATATTGGCCTCTCTTCACAATGGCTGCATTCAACTGTGGGATTACCGAATGGGCACTTTGATCGAGAGATTTGAGGAGCATCAAGGTAGAGCATGAATTGGAACTGAGGTTAAAACAGCGTATTGAACCCATACCTTAGGACCTGTGCGTGGTGTTGCATTCCACTCTACACAGCCGCTGTTTGTGTCTGGCGGTGATGACTACAAAATCAGAGTCTGGAACTACAAGACGAGAAAATGCCTATTTACACTAAATGGCCATTTGGATTATGTTCGCACAGTATACTTTCATCATGAACACCCCTGGATCATTTCAGCTTCAGACGATCAAACCATTCGCATTTGGAACTGGCAGTCCAGAAAATGCATTGCCATCTTGACAGGCCACAATCACTATGTAATGAGCGCACAGTTTCACCCAACACAGGACTACATAGTGTCTGCTTCGATGGATCAGACAGTGCGTGTGTGGGATATCTCGGGTTTAGTCAAGAAAAATAGGGCTGGTCCTGGCACAATACCCTCCTTGAATGACCCCTTTGGTAGATCCAGTCTTCAGGCAGATGGGTTTGGGATCAGTGAAGTTACAGTAAAGTACATTTTGGAAGGACATGATCGTGGTGTCAACTGGGCAACATTTCACCCTACGTTGCCACTGATCATCTCTGGCAGCGATGATAGACAAGTTAAATTGTGGAGAATGAGCGGCAAGTTGGCATGAACTCGTGCCTTGAAGGATCCTGACTGACATGTGGCAAAATAGAAGCAAAGGCTTGGGAAGTAGATAGCTGCCGTGGTTCAACAAACAATGTATGGGGCGCCATCTTCCACCCTCGACAAGATCTCATCATTTCAGCAGGAGAGGATAAGGCCATTCGTATGTGGGATCTCACCAAAAGAACAGCTGTATCTTCATTCAAGAGAGACCACGATAGGTTTTGGGTATTGACATCTCATCCCGAGCTGAACCTCTTTGCAGCGGGCCATGACAATGGCTTGATTGTGTTCAAGTTGGAACGCGAGAGACCAGCATTTCAAATCAGTCAAAACCAACTTTTTCACATCAACAAGAAGATTCTGCAAGTGCAAGACGTTCATGATGCCTCCAAAAGCCAAGAGCTCTTGAATCTCAGTAAATTGGGGTCAAAGTACGTACCTCCTAGAACATTATCATACAACCCTGCGGAAAAAGCAGTGTTAGTGACCACAGTAAGTGTGTCATGGTAGACAGACGACTCGCAATGCTGACATGTTACTTAGTCTGAAGACGGAGGCTTGTATGAATTGTACAAACTACCCAAAAATGCATCTGCTGGAGCCCTTGGAGAGCCTTACGACGAATCAAAGCGAGGAGCAGGCTATAATGCCTTATTTATTGCTCGCAACCGATTTGCCGTCTTTGACAAAGTGCACCAACAGATTGAGATTCGAGATTTATCCAATGCAGTGACTAAATCATTCAAAGTACCAGTGGCAGGCGTAACAGATATATTCCATGCTGGCACTGGATCGTTGGTTTTGACTACTGCAAACAAGGTCATTCTATTTGATATTCAACAACGACGTATCTTTGCAGAATTACCGGTTCCTACTATCAAATATGTCATCTGGTCCAATGACTATTCCATGGCAGCGCTGTTGAGCAAACATACCATCACGCTTATCGATAAAGACCTGAAACTGCTTTGTCAAATCCACGAAACGATTCGTATCAAAAGTGGTGTTTGGGATGAATCAGGTGTGTTTCTGTATTGCACTTTGAATCACATCAAGTATGCTTTGCCTCAGGGGTAAGATATTAGGCTCTTTAGGACATGTGCATCACATACTCTGATACGCTTTACTCAGTGATCATGGTATTATCCACACCTTGGACCAACCCGTCTACATGGCCTCTGTCAAGGGGAAATCGCTCTTGGTGCTTGATCTCGAAGGCAAAGCTGTCAAATTGGCCATTGATCCAACTGAGTACAAGTTTAAATTAGCACTCACGCATCGCAAATACGAAGAAGTGCTATACATCATTCGCCATTCCAATCTGGTAGGCCAGGCCATCATCGGTTATCTGCTACAAAAGGGATATCCTGAAATCGCACTGCATTTTGTCCGTGATGACCGCACTCGGTTTGAATTAGCCCTCGAATGCGGTAATTTGGACGCTGCCATGGAAACTGCACAAAAGCTAAACACCAGAGAGAACTGGGAAAAGCTGGGATCAGAAGCACTGAAGCATGGAAATTTCAAAATGGTGGAATTAGCATATCAACGTACCAAAAACTATGATCGTCTTTCGTTCCTTTATCTTGCCAGCGGTAATGAAACCAACCTGCGTCAAATGATGAAGATTGCAGAGCTGCGCGCCGATCCAACGTCTCGATTCCAGAACGCCATGTATTTAGGTGACATGACGGAACGCATCCAAGTTTTGCAAGATGTTGGACAAATACCATTGGCTTACATGACAGCAAGGTCTCATGGTCTCTATGAACTAGCACAATCTATTTTAGCAAGAGCAGGAAAGACGGAAGAGGATATTGAATTGCCCAATCACCATGCCAATAGTGCTACACCTCACCTCCTGCAATCGGTTACACCTCTGCAAGATCATAATTGGCCATTATTAACTGTATCAAAAAGTTTTTTTGAGGGCATATTTGCCGCAAACAACAACAATAGTCAAAAGCATACAGCCACGCCCATGCCAGCATTCAATTATGACCAAGGCATCGACGGCATTGAGAAGGCAGAGGGTGATTGGGGAGATGATGATCTCTTGGGCATCCCATCCAACAAGAAGCATCAAGAGTTGCTGCAAGACGACCACGATACCTACAGGGAAGATCAAGACGATGATGAGGGAGGCTGGGATGATGATGATGATGATGATATTCACGCTGAAATCACTGCTGAAATCAGCAACGTTGCAGCCAAAGAGACGGCCGAATTTGTTGTTCCAGCTGCAGGCTTCAATGAGGCCTTCATGTGGATACAAGCATCTCCTTTGGCTACAGACTGCATCTCTGCTGGATCTTTCGAAACAGCCATGCAGGTTTGTGTATTCGTATGAAACTTGCCAACCATTGCTAACCGATTATGTGATGGTAGATTCTGAATAGTCAAGTGGGCGTCGTCCAGTTTGCGCCACTCAAATCATACTTTTTTACCGTGTACCAAGCGTCTCGTGCTCTTGTGCCTGCCATTGCTTCCAATCCATCCTTGTACGTCTATTTGCGCCGTTATGGAGCAAGTGCTCGAAATAGTCGTCCAGCTGCTGCCTACAACTTTCAGAACCTATTAACTGTACAACTTCAACTTGCGTACAAATACTTTACCAGCGGAAGATTGCCAGCTAGTGCCACTCAATTCAAGGCTTTGCTGCATTCTGTCTTGTTTACTGTTGTTGATTCTCAATCAGAGGTAGATGAAGCCAACCAACTCGTGCAAATATGCCGCGAGTATGCGATGGGTCTGGCGATCGAGCAACAACGTCGATCAATTGCAGCTAACGATCCGAACAATACAAAGCGAGCGCTGGAATTAGCTGCTTACTTTACACATTGTCAAATGCAACCACCCCATTTGCAATTAGCTTTACGTCAAGCTGCTAGACAGGCATTCAAGCTCAAGAATTTCAGTACGGCAAGTCATTTTTGCACAAGATTATTGGAGCTAGCTCCATCCAAAAAGATTGCTGATGAGGTGAGTGAGCACGTATATTCAATCAGGATGTTTATAGTAATTGACATGATGGATACAGGCACGACAAATCTTGGCTGTTTGCGAGAGAAATTTGGGGGACGAAGTGCAGCTTGATTATGATCAATACAACCCTTTCGTTGTATGTGGTATAACCTATACCCCTATTTTCAAAGGGTCACCCAAGATAGCATGCCCTTTTTGTCAGGCCTCTTATAAACTTGAATTCAAAGACAAGATATGTACTGTTTGTGAAGTCTCTCAGATTGGATTTGCTGGATCTGGCCTTCGCGTGATGATTTAACACTATTATGAGTAGTGTTGTTTACTTTGATGAATAATAAACTGTTGTATCTCATTAAATTGAAGCACATAATCTTGTGTACATGTACACTAGAGCTCATGCTCAAAGTGTCAAATGCAATTTTTGAGCATGTAAGGTCACAATTTTGCAATACTCAGTAATGTTTGCCTATGGAAGAGCAATTTGCAATGACTACACCTAACAAAGATAAACTTGCAAAGCAATAGTAAAGGGAGATGGTTAGGCTAGCCTTCTGTACTTTGCAAGTCGCAACACCCTTCTTGCCAGCTTCAAATGCTTTGCCATAAAGAAAGGCATCACTGAATTTACCAGCAAGCTGCAGCCGCCGTCAGAACCCATTAAACCTCCGTTTGCCATTCTGTCTTGATTCGTTCATTTTCACAAGTTTTGGATTCGATTCGACCTATTTTGATAGATTCGACTATGTAGACTGTGCGAATCACCCCATACTCTCTTATGCTTTTTAGGAGCACTTTTCATGGCGCATCTAACCGTGCTAATTTCAAGAGGTGTTTTGAACAAGCTTACTGAGCAACCTTTGAAAATATGAAATGCGGTTTTTGGCCAAAATGACTAGATTTTGTATACAAAAGTCTTGCAAAGGTGCTTTCAGGGGTTGCTGTGAATCGAGAGGAACATTCTGATATAATATATGCCATAGTAAAAGTCTTTGTTTTCATGGTGAAAAACACGATCGTTTGATTTTTGGTGAAAATGATGAGGTATCCCCTCATGGTTTTTTGGTCGATTTTTGACAATCTCAAAAAAGTTGAGCAAAGGCCTCAGTAAGTAAGTGCCAAGCCAAAGTAATTATTTGGTGCTATCCTGGCAGTTTAAAACGGCTTGTAGAGCGAGAAATCGCGGCCCAAAGGTAAGCAGGCTTTGCTGTGTTTTGCATACTTTTGAGCAGTGAGAGGCAATGTTAGCATGATGTCTGCCCGTACATCTACTGCCCCATTAATTAGACGTGGAGTATCTTGGTAAAGTCATATTTACAGTTACAGATCGTGTATAAAAATCATTTGTTGTAATGAAATGTTATAACTTGAATTATTTTAATAGAATCAGAGTATACTATGACGTATTTCCCCTGTCTAGTCAATGCTACAGAGGGTTGTGTATGCCGCCTCACAAATAGCACTCTTGATTTACAATTTGTTTTTATCGACGGACTACATTTCAGATGTCGATACATGGTATTCTCTCACGGAGGTCCAGTCATCATCATTGCACAACATGAATTTCTTATCAGATCCTCAAGCCGCTGCAATGTAGCGTCGAGATTACCCACTGAATGTTTTGCTCTGCCTTTTGCGCCGTCGTACCAGGTACATCTGCTTCAAATCAATACATTTCATGGATGCAGCTGCTCATTTATGATCAAAAGCAATGCATTTTTGTTTCATAAACATGGCGAATGTTAACCAATATAGTATTACAAATATTCAATTTTATTGGCCAATTTTTTTAGGGGGATGGTTGGAAGACGAGATATTGCATTGCCGGAGAGGTAGGGAATTAAGTTTTCATTAAACATTGACATTGAGCAACCATTAGTCAAGTTATACCCGGAAAGAAAGGAACATAGGTAATAGATTATCAGTTATACCTAGTAAATAACTCAATTTTGTTATCAGATGGATTGTCGCACGAGACATCTTACTAAAGAAGAAGGGATGCATTTATATTTGTATTTATAGAGAGAATAAACGAATGTGATATAAAAACATCTCCATCTGATAACACTGTTCAACATGATGCGGATTGCCCACGATTAGATGGCATGCAACCTTGTTTGACTTGATCATCTCTATGATGTTGTTATATCAGATTTGTATAATCAAATCTATTGGACAGGACTCAATAGACAAGGGGGGGGAAGGAGAGGGCTGTTTTGATGAAAAATTTTTTTTTTTCTGTTGTACAACAACGCGGGGGTGTACGGACGATGGGAGATGGGCCATGAAATATTCTTATCAGATAGACTTTGATTGGTTTGTAACATGTATTTATTTACTTTTTAATAGGAGGCTACTTTTTGTAATCAGATTTTTTGTTGATTGCTTCTATAAAATAGCCTTCGCTTATTCCGCCTTGCTTTCTCTTTTTCTCTATTTTCTGATTAACAGCCTCTTCTTTCTCAATAACTCCCCTCTCCTTCTTATAATAACCATCATGTCAGACGATTACGATTACGAATCTCTTGGAAGCAACGCTACACTTTCTCAAGATGCTATGGCTGGTGCTCTCGCTGGTATTGCTGAGCACTGTGCCATGTATCCTGTAGACAGTATCAAGGTACACTCCATAGCCAGCTATATATTAACTAGTCTTACTAATACATTTGCCCCTCTAGACTCGCATGCAAGTCATTCAATCAGTTGCTACTACACCAAATGCTGCCGCAACCGCTGCTGCTAGATCTCAAGTGTTTGGCTCACCTCACCACAGTAAACATCATCGCCATGTGCATTCTTCTGCCATTTTAGAATCAACTTCAGAACCTTCAGTCAAAAACATCAAATCAGCTTCACGCAACCTTTGGCGTGGTGTTAACTCTGTTGTGTTGGGCGCCGGCCCTGCACATGCAGTTCATTTTGCTACTTACGAAGCCTGTAAAGAAGCCTTTGGTGGCAATGCTGGTGGACATCATCCTTTGACCAATGCTGCTGCTGGTGCCTGTGCTACTCTAGCCCACGATACCCTTATGAATCCTTTCGATGTGATCAAGCAACGTATGCAACTTGGTGATAGCGCCTATCGCTCTGTCAGGGAATGTGCTCGCAATGTGTATGCCAAGGAAGGTCTCGTTGCCTTCTATATCTCTCTTCCTACCACTCTAACCATGTCTGTGCCATTCCAATCTATTCAATTTGCTACCTATGAATTTTTCCGTAAAGTTATCAACCCTACTGGTGAATACGACCCTAAAACCCATGCTATTGCCGGTGGTTTAGCTGGTGCCATTGCATCTTCTGTCACTACACCACTAGATGTTGTCAAGACCTTGCTGCAAACCCGTGGTACCAATACCGATCCCCGTATTCGAAATGCATCAGGATTGATGGAAGCTGTAAATATTATCAAGGAAAGATATGGAATCAGAGGTTTCTTTAGAGGATTCAAGCCTAGAGTGCTCACCAACATGCCAAGTGCAGCCATTAGCTGGAGTGTGTATGAATATTTCAAATGGTTCATCAGTAGCTCAAATGATGTTGCTATTCAAGACAAGAATATTCTCAGTTTGTAAATAACTCGACACCCCATCTATACTATATTAACACCCTTACACTCAAGATACATTCTCCTCATATTAATACAAAATGTAACATAATATTATTCCCCCCCTTTGCTACTCTTTTGGATTCAATCATCCAGAAAAAAAAAATCAAAAAACCCCTACTCTTTTCGCACACACACTCTCCAAAACCCACAAATTTGCACTAGTTTTTGCTATTCCTGGTTCCGTTTAACTGTACATAATAAATCATACACCAAATCAAGGATATTAATAATAACACAACTATTTTATCAAAATAGAATCTTGAGATGAAATCTAATCAGATCGTTTCCAATGCTTACAGCTTGATAATGAATCATCTGGTCATTGATTGGGTAGATTGTAAGCTCAAGAGAGATTTGGAAATTATACGTAATCCTACACAATGCTACACAAAAGACACTGGTCTTATCTTTCATGTGTAACATCTTGTCACCATACCAGCCAATAATGATCATTACATAGATCAAATGAATCTGACTACAGGGGCAAACAAGTGCTATGTGTTTGTTTGTACAACGAACCATCTTACACATGGAATGAATTTAAATCTTATTTAACAAGAAGAAGCGGAAACGCGCTCTTGCGGGGAGTTGTGGAGTATACAGCGAGTTTTGCTGACAGGAAATAATATTTTTGATACGGGTAAATTGATTTATATTTTGGGAGCGACGAGCAAGATGTGCCTGTTGCCCCCCCCCCCCAACGCACTCGCTCCGACACAAAAGGGACTACACCAAGAGGCCCAACAACGAGGGTTACACTATCTAATTTGTTCTTGGATCTTAAATATAAATGATGATTGATAAGCCATATATATACATGCTGCCGGCATCATGGCAAGGATAAATACCATTCCTTTTACATGAGTCACAATGGTAATAATAAACCTTTCAAACAACACAAACATTTTCAACAAACATTACAGCTGTTTGATTATCATTGTAACACCTTGAACATATTACACATGAGTTTCCCATTCAATAGTATCTGATAAGGCAAATGTAAATCAACTTTTATGGGGATATCATGTTTCCTATCATTATGGAAGAACAGTTTTAGATCATGTTGCACAGACACCTTTGCAGATTCGGTTCATCCTTCCTTCAAGTAAGTTACCATAGCCCCGCACCTCCTCTCGCTGTAGAGTTCCTTGTTTGTCATCTTTTAGCCCATCAATTAAGTTCTTAATCAGATGAATCCAACAGCATTCATTGGGTATTCTGTAAAGCATGAGTTATCATATCGGTCAAAGCATATATCCTTTCAATAAATACATCAAGTGTAATGTACACTCTATGACATTTCACGATGCCTAAAACCTTTCGTAAGCAATCTATAGCTGCAAATCTGACACCTCTAGGATGTTCATCTCTGTCTTGATGAGAACAATTCATATACGGATAGATATCATGCTAACATTGCCTCTCACTGCTCAAAAGTATGCAAAACACAGCAAAGCCTGCTTACCTTTGGGCCGCGATTTCTCGCTCTACAAGCCGTTTTAAACTGCCAGGATAGCACCAAATAATTACTTTGGCTTGGCACTTACTTACTGAGGCCTTTGCTCAACTTTTTTGAGATTGTCAAAAATCGACCAAAAAACCATGAGGGGATACCTCATCATTTTCACCAAAAATCAAACGATCGTGTTTTTCACCATGAAAACAAAGACTTTTACTATGGCATATATTATATCAGAATGTTCCTCTCGATTCACAGCAACCCCTGAAAGCACCTTTGCAAGACTTTTGTATACAAAATCTAGTCATTTTGGCCAAAAACCGCATTTCATATTTTCAAAGGTTGCTCAGTAAGCTTGTTCAAAACACCTCTTGAAATTAGCACGGTTAGATGCGCCATGAAAAGTGCCCCTAAAAAGCATAAGGGAGTATGGGGTGATTCGCACAGTCTACATAGTCGAATCTATCAAAATAGGTCGTTTTTTTTTAAAAATTTTGTTTATTGATTGATTCGCGTACACTGAGAGTAATAGGTCAGAGTGAAGAGGCGAGTGCAATTTAGATAAAGAATTGGATAACTATAAGCTAAAATATGAAGAATAATATACTAAACTAAACTATATAAAAAAAAAACTATCTAATAATTGGCTTTGGATTACAGGAGGGAATGGCACTGATCTTCCGCAATGGTCTGACGAACACTGGTTCGAATACTGGCCAATATCGCTGTATGGCCCATAGGAACATTGTCATAGATGAACCTCATGTGGGCAAGCCACAGTTGACCAAGGGTGATGATGAGGATTCGGAAAGGCTTGATTCCAGCAATTTGGCAATACCAAACGTTGGAGAAATCAAGTTGCAGAAGAGCCTCTTTAATATCTAGAATCGAGGTGGTAGGCCACAGAAACTCGAAGATGACTCCCTGCCAAACTTTCTCTTTAGAAGGACAATGAAAGAGGAGGTGACTTGGGGAATCGTTCATAGACAAACAAACTGGACAGAGAGGAGACTCAAAGACTTTGGGCATAATAAAATGCAAAAATCGGCGGTGAGGAATTCGACCCAGAATGAGACGGTATATCACATTACGTTGGACAGTGGTAAGAGACAGGGACCAAAAAAATTTCCAGCTGGACGCAGAGATTTTGCGCAATGCCAAAGGAGAGACCACAGACGAAAGGACAGCCCGACGAAATGCCTTAGCCGAGGCCTCAAAATAGGTCGAATCGAATCCAAAACTTGTGAAAATGAACGAATCAAGACAGAATGGCAAACGGAGGTTTAATGGGTTCTGACGGCGGCTGCAGCTTGCTGGTAAATTCAGTGATGCCTTTCTTTATGGCAAAGCATTTGAAGCTGGCAAGAAGGGTGTTGCGACTTGCAAAGTACAGAAGGCTAGCCTAACCGTCTTTTTTTACTATTGCTTTGCAAGTTTATCTTTTTTAGGTGTAGTCGTTGTAGATTACTCACCCAAATGCCAGATGCAAAATTAGCATCCTAGTTGTTAAGATTCAATGATAGGATGATTCACAGGCCTTAGTTTATTGATGATTGAATCAATAGTACTATATAAGAAATGATATGCGGCAAAGTAATTTAAAAAAGGATTTGTATATATGTATTGATATTCTATTGATTGATAAGCCCACGAGGACCATATGGACAAATGCCCTGAAGAGGAGCATCCATGAATTTAGGGAAGCCAGGAACCGTGGCACTATGGTGTAACCCAATTCTCAAGTAAGGCTCGACAAAGAGAGGCGCTGTGTACAATACCCAGAACCAAGTCAAAGTACGAGCCAGCCAAGTAGGCAACCTTGGGCTCATGACAGATACAAGGGTAGCCAGTGCTTGCAGCATAAAGAACAGTGTTTGATAGCCAAACACTCCAGGCTGATTATAATTGCTAGGACCCAATGAAGCGAGGATAATATAGTCGTGCATCAACCCCGAACAAGCAAAGACGGCAATGGTGCCAGCAATTCGGCCAATGTGTTTATACTTTTGACCAAATAAACGACGAATTGGATTATATGCTACCTGATGAAAACCAGGTCTAAAAATTTGATGCCAACGATGCGACCAGAGATCGTAAACAGATCGAGTCAACCAAGGTTTGTCAAATAATGGAGGCTGTGCCACAAAATGAGCCAATTCAGAATGCAGTTTGACCAAAGTCTTGTAATTCATATTAGGAATCCAAGCAATGATATTCAGTTGAACAGCATGTGCAATGAGATGCACAAGAGGAACAATGGCAATATGAAGTGTGAGTGTAACGCCCACCCAGATGTAATAAAATGTGGAAGCAAATGGAATAGGCGCAGCAAACAGCCGTCTAATGTAAGGTATAGCTGTTAAAATTTCAGGAGGCTCTCGGCAGGCACGGATAAAGCCGTCCATGGTAGAGAACACGGGAATGTAGAGCAGAGTATAAACGATGGCCCTCAGCAGAAACTTGAAGGCATCCATGCGAATGTCTGACAGCATTAACTGTTTTTGTTGCGTGGCGTTATCGTTCTTTTTATGATCGTGAGTGTTAGTTGCAGTGGTTGAAGGTGCTTCATTCCAGTGAGTCAAGATGTTATAGAAAGGTTGTATCTTGCCACCTTCCGGAGTCTGTTGCCGATCACGAACGTAAAAGAACATGCCCGATGTCATGACGATGGCCATAATAGCACATATAACACGATCAAGCACAGTACCTCTACCATCATACATCACAGGCACAACCACTTCGACAAAACCGATAAGCACAAGCACCCAGTCTGGAGGTCCATTGTTTGCCCGTTTAATCGTCTGTTTCCTCGTAACAAGGTAAAAGATGATGGAAGGTACTGCACAGCCTGAATACAATGCTAGCTTTTGAACCAGTGCTTCCAGCATGTGTTGGTAATTTTGCTGTTGTTGATGCGATGGGAGTAGATGCAAATATAAAAAGAAAAAGAAAAAAAAGAGTGAAAGAGATGAAATTACTTTCAAGACAAGATGCAATCTATACTGTAATCTTGTGTATCTCGAACGGTAGAAAAGTTGAGGGTCCGAGTGCTTCATTTTTCGGATGGAGCATCTACCAGACATTTGTTCCTTTTCCGTGTTTTCTCAGGGCACACCTAATCATGCTAATGACATACATATACCAATGGAATATAACGAGAAATACAGATGATTAGGTTTAGTGAAAAGGCCAGTCATTTATTTAATGAAACGTTAGGATAGAGCGTACGGGATGTCACATCAAAACTCAAGACGCAGCTAGATTTGGTATGTACAGCAATGAATAATGTCATTTTTACACTGATGTAGTCAAATGATTTGTTTATAGCAATCATTACAAACCTTCATATCTTGACATATAGATCTTTCTGAGCCACCGGAATGACGCCAAACAATCGTACTTGAGTAGTAGTAACTTCCTGACACCTCTGCGCAACTTTTTGGGCCAAGAAAACACGGCCAAAAATCGGCTAAAAAGCATGAGGGGTACCTCATGGTTTTCATCAAAAATTAAACGATCGTGTTTTTCACCTTGAAAATGAAGGTTTTTACTATAATATATATCAAATCAAAATGTTTCTCTCGATTCAAAGCAGCCTCTGAAACCACTTTTATGAGGTTTTCATATGCAAAATATGGCTATTTTCGCTAAAGACCTCATTTCAAACTTTATTAAATTGCTCAATAATTTCAGTCAAAACACTTGTTTCAGTTAACACCATTGGGAGCATCTTGAAAAGTACTTCAAGAATGTATTAGGAAGCGTAGGGTGATCGTTACAGTTTATATAGTCGGATATTTCAGAATAGATTAAAGAAGTCGAAAAAAAAACGAAATCTGTCCAATCTTGAACAGAAAAAGATAAACTGAGCTTGAATCAATTTTTGGCGGGAGGCATTGCTGCTGGCTGACCTAAATGCCTTTCTGTTGAAAACAATGATGATTGCGATTTTGATTAAACGAGAATCATGAATTTGAAAGAACAATTGCTTAACTCAAATACTTTTTTGGGGAGATTTGACTCATGAAGGTGTATTTTGCAATGACAATATCTTAAAAAAGTCGCTGTAGATCTTACACAAGACCTGTTTTTACTTATGGCCAGCTTTATGTCGCCATCTTATTAAGAGCATCAGCAGCAGTGAATGATATGACAATTGTGATGTACAAATGCTGCATAAAACTTGAATTTTCTTTCATATCGTCTCAATAATGGGCTTTGTTTGATATAAGTGTAAGCAAAAAGGATGCTGAGGGAAATACCTCCTCTCTTCCTCCTGGTGGCTCTAATATAATCTTTCTTTTACTTGTAATAAATTGTTTAAAATCTACTTGATATACCAAAATTTTATTATATCTGGTTTAAAATGTCTTTGACAAGAGCCCACAGGGTGACACCGACATCGAGCGTAGCGAGATAGATCAGCTAGTTATCAACTACTCAACAGCTTGTGTACCTGAAAAATTTGTTAATAAAAGAAAGGTACATTACCATCATTCAAGTTTATCAGAGTACTCATCCATAACAAAGCAAACATAATCATAAGGAAGACGACTTTTTGCAAAGAATATTGACAGTTGTTTCTAATAAGATATATCGTAGTTTGATAATGGATCTTGCCGCCTCTGAGGAGCAATCATGCTCATTTGATTTGATCCAATTCAAAAAATGGAACATCAGTTAAATGTGTTGATCAATACAGCAACGCCGTAATCTACACTCTCTAAAAAAAAACTGACAAATGAGAGATATACGATGTTTATGGGTAATAACTAGATCCATCCTCCATTCAAGCAAAGCCGGAGAATATGAACCCATAAAAGTAAATGAAAGTTTTTGCCAATCGGATAAAACAGCGGGGTTGGCTCTGTCAATTGGAAACCTGCTAAAGTCTATAAAATAAAGCCATCACTTTCTCTCTTTTTTAACCTCATCACGCATGATACAAGATGGAGCACTATTACCTCGGCCTTGATTTATCTACACAGCAATTGAAATGTACTTTAATCAACGAGAAACATGACATTGTTTGGGAGAAGGCTGTGAATTTTGATAAGGATTTGCCTGAATTCAAGACCAAACATGGCGCTATTGTAAACGACAATGTAGTTACGTCGCCTACGTTGATGTGGGTAAAAGCCTTAGATCTGTTGATGCAAGCACTGAAAGACACGCTGTATGTTGGATCCATTCGAGGCATCTCAGGCGCTGGTCAGGTAAAGGGTTACCAACGTGTTTGTGTACGAGGGCCATTAACTCGCTTCTTTATTAGCAACATGGAAGTGTGTATTGGAATAAGTCGGGCATTGACAAGCTGTCTCAGCTGAATGATAAAAGTACTCTGGCTGATCAATTGAAAGACGCATTCTCAATCAATCAATCACCTATTTGGCAAGATGCTAGCACAACAACTGAATGCCGTGCCTTGGAGGATTTGGTTGGCGGTCCTGCAGAATTAGCCAAGCTCACTGGTTCAAAGGCGTACGAGAGATTCACTGGAAATCAGATTGCTAAGGTAAAAGGAAACAGTTCGCCTGACGTAGCAAGTCGAAACCAACTTGGGCTCATAGATTTATCACCACAACAAGGCTGCTTATAATCAAACCGCGCGCATTAATTTGGTGAGTTCGTTGTTGGCGACTCTTTTATTGGGTGAATTTAGCCCTGTAGACGCGGCTGAAGGTTCAGGAACAAACATGATGAACATTGACTCTCATAAATGGGACGACAAGCTATTGAGGCAATGCGGTGGCGAGGATTTGGCAGATAAGCTAGCAAAAGAGCCTGTGGAGGGTGGCACTGTGCTTGGCAAGATTAGTAAATATTATGTAAGGCGATATGGATTTGATCCAGGTACATTAGACTTTGATTTCATGGGCTCCATAGAGTGTGTTGACTCATTTGAATGAACAGAGTGCAAAATCATGCCATTCACTGGTGACAATTCAGCAACACTGGTCTCTATGAATTTGAGTGAGGGTGATTGTGTGGTGTCATTAGGCACATCGGATACGGTTCTTGTCTACCTGAAAAAGGGTGCTGCTACAACCACAGAATCTCATTTGATGGCTCATCCTACTGACCCAGAAGGCTTTATGGGTATGCTTTGTTACAAGAATGGTTCCTTGGCTCGTGAGTTTATTAGAGACGAATACGCTGATGGCAACTGGGACACATTTAATGAGTATCTCAACAACAAGGAGGCCATCTTGGATGGCTGTGTGGGTTATTATTACTGGATGCAAGAAATCATTCCGTTTGCCAAGGGCATATATCGATTTGAAAACAACAAGGGCGTAAAAGAATTCAGTGATAAGACGGTCAATGTAAAGGCTATTGTGGAATCGCAATTCATGTCTATGAAAATCAGACTTCGACGTATGGGTGGCGATCATGTCAAGCGCGTATTGGCTTCAGGTGGTGCTGCTGCAAATCCAAACATCTTGCAAGCACTGTCCAACATCTTGGGATTACCTGTGTATAGACAAAAGGGTATGAATGGTGCAAGTTTAGGTGGTGCTTTGCTGGCTAAATTTGCCTTGCAAGACAAGTCGTTTGAAGACATGATGGCAGAGCACCCCTTTTCAGGATTAGATTTGATTTGTGAGCCTGATTCAAACAAATGCAAAAAGTACATGGATCATGCTGATCAATTCACAGAGTTAGAAAAGAGCATTGTACAATAAAACGCATGTTTTTAAATGGAAAGAGTAGATACTTAGCGTGGTAATTTATTAGTGGTAAAGGGTTTATATAGACTAGACGGTGCATGGTACATTTGGTATGTTGACAGTAAAATACAGCTTTACGAGGCATTCTCTACTTCAGATATTTGCACCTTATCTTCCTTGATCTTGCTATCATTGGCACTTGAGACAGCTTGGTTTTTCTCAGTGCCAGAGCTGCTTTCAAGATCACTGGAAATGCCTTGTCTATCCTTCTCCAATTGAGTATGTTCCAGTTCGTCTTTGGACAAATTAATGACTGGGCCAGTGAACCATTTGCGGGCATCCACCAAGAATGCGCCTCCAGCACCAAAGAACACCAATCCCACAGCCAAACAAGCATCTAAATAACAAATCGATGAGTCAGTGCTGTCAAGTGGTAACGAATTAATCTTACAATTCATGCTAACAGCCTCGATGGGATCTATTCGGTGAATACTTGGTTAGATATGTACATAGACCATATTAAATATACAACACTTACAAACTGGAGGCAACACAAACAAGACTGTGATGAGGCAGATCCAAAAGATTGAGATTCTACGCGATAGCATGGCATCATAGATTAACAATCAAGGCGTGCCCTGATGCAAATACTTAACTTACATGTTGATAATTTCAGAGAACCGGCCCAGATGAAGAGGACCTCTGTGGAACTGTTTCTTGTTGACGAGCTTTGCAAAGATGGGGACAGCGTAGGAAATGTAAAGACCAATCGTGGCAACGGATGTGATGGCTGAAAAGGCGGTGCTGTTGCCCAAAGCTGGTAAAGCTAGGAGAGAAGCAATCAACACTGATAACCAAACAGCATTTATGGGAGACTATGGTATTGCCAATGACAAATTGTGTATCAATTAAGCAAACCCTCACACGCTCATTTCGGGTTGTATTGTTACATACCTGTCTTTTTAAATCAATTTTGTGCCAATATTTACTGCCTGGCATGGCATTATCGCGCGAGAAGGCGTAGATCATTCTTGAATTGGCTGCTACACTAGCAAACCCGCATTGCCAGCAAGCAATGATGAGCATAACCATAAGCACAATAGCACCAGCATGTCCGACACAATCATAGATGATTTGCATTACAGGGAAGCCTGTAGCACTGCCTACGGTAGCTTCAAAATTTTGAATAGAGAACAAAAAGGCAATGATAAACAAGAATCCCATGATGGCACTGACTATAAGCATTTTGATTAAATTACACAAATTATCGCCATGAGGTTACACTTTCAACGCTATCTATCGAGAGAGATAGGCTTTTTTTTTTTAATCTTATTTCACTTACCAAGTACAGCCATTGTCATTCCTTATGCGTGTGTATATACATGTTAGTATGCCTGTATTCAGTTAACAGCAATCAAAGTACAACTTACCCACGGGACCACTGATCTCTGCGTTCTTGGTTTCCTCTGACATGTGAGCACTGGAATCAAAGCCTGTGAGAGTGAACTGAGCTTGTAATAGACCAACAACTGCAACATAGGCAGGACTCGCCCAACCGCTGTTGTTGTTGAAATGTGTAAAGACAAATTTAGCTGATTGATGTGTAGGTGCTTTGGCTACAATGGTGATCATGATGACAGCAGGAGCAATAACTTGCCACCATGTGCTGAACGCTATAAAGTTTTCAGTCCGTCATCACATACCAGCAGAGCAACAGACATGTACTTACAGTTGATGCCTGTCATTACTTTGGGGCCCAAGGAATTAGCTATGCCGTGTGTAACACACATAGCGATATGGATTCCGACTGTGGCACCAACAGTTGGTGTCCAGGCACCATCAGTTCCGACATATATAGTAGCTGCGATCATTAATGCAATTCCGTAATTGATGCCTGCAGTTACTGCAAATTGACCGATCAAATTGAACCATCCAGTCATCCATGATGTAAAAGGTGCATATCTCTTGGAACTTAATCGTGCTGCCCACCAATAAAGACCACCTGAAGTAGGGTAAGCTGACGAAATTTCTAATGACCGAATTTTAGTTTCTGATCTACAACATACATACATTCTACCTACCAGCCATAGATAAAGCAACCGTCATGGTGAATACAGCAACTATAATCCAACCCCAAACCATCACGACCTATAATAGCATCATACAGCTAACTTTAAATATGTGTGCAACTATATCCACATGAAATATTCTCAGAGAACTTACTGGGCCACCCGTATTCAAACCGTACAGAAACAAACTGGTCAATCCAGAGGAGATACATACAACACTGAGAGCCAACCCGTAGTTACCAAATGACTATGTATAGTACACAATCTAGTATCTGCCTGTTTGCAATGTCTCGAGCCATTCACTTACTGATAGTTCTCGCTTTAGTTCCTAAACGATCCAATTTAACACGGATCAGAGTTACATTTGATTCACTACATTGCTAACACAATACCTGTTTGTAACCCAACTCGTTCAAACGAGCAGCATCGTTTGCTTCGATTTCAGCAGCTGTCAATTTTGGTGGCATTCTCAAAGATATAAAAGGAAGAGCCTTGCAGGTGGAGAAAAAGGAAAACGAAGTTGTGATTTATGCGATGCGCATCTTGTTTATAAACACCATCTTTTGATTCCAGTGACTATGAAACCTCGAAAAGATGGTAGTGAATGTATGACAGAGATATTAACACAAGGTCCATTTTAACCTTTTCCTATCTTTTGTGATTTGCATTGTTATGTTGCACAGTGTGATCAGTGTTGCTTTTTGCTAATTTGGCAATTGTTATAGATAAGTATCACACAGATTCATAACCTGAGTGATTTGTAGATTGCATTTCTTGACTGTATGCATAAATATGTGCAAACTAAGCTGCCTTAGTTGCTTCTTTAATAGAGGTGAATGCAAACCATATTTGGGCAGGTGTGTGATGTACTCTTATGAGCCTGCGGTCGTTGCATTTGAGAGTTAAAAGTAAGTTTTCGAGTAGTACGTGATGTAATAATATTAATAGTCAAATGCACAACCGAGAGTAGTATCAAGCACCTTGATTACCGATGAAAAGTCAAGCCTAAAGTGTTTATTGATTGAGACTTGAGACGCTAATAGAAAAACTGCACAACCTCACGCTAAGCAAAACAACATGCCAAAAGCAAACATAAAAACGTCAATTTCACGATTTGGAAGAGAAAGTATTAAATATTTCTGTAATCCTTAAACACATACAGCTTCTACTGAATGATGGTGGTCTTGTTCTGTCGATATATGGTCTGTCTTTTCCCAAAATTTTTGGAAAAGCATGTAAGAGAAATAATGCAAAGATTGTCAAATTGCACTTGGTTAAGGTCTGACTGACCTGATTAACAGTGGTCATCTCAAGAAGTAGGTCATTCCAGATACTGTCTCTAGATACAAGAGCATTTCGAAGAGATAATTTTTTTCAGAGCAGAGCTCGGTTACTGGGATGGCCTACATCGCGCAATAATCCACATTTCAACAAATCTTGCTTTTTCTTAAAATGGTGAGAATGTATACCTTAATTTGAAGCACTCAATGGAACCAAGCAGAGCAATATACAACTATGTCGTCTTAAAACCAAAGCTGTTTAGCATTTAAAATGTTCACCAATAGTTTGAATACAAACTTCTTGTACATGGTGACCACAGCACATCCCAAGTTCAAAGTCGGCTACATATTTTTGAAATGAGAATCTAGAGCAGCCATTAGCCCACCTTCAGAAACCGAATGCTCTTGCTGGCTTGGTAACAGCATGGTATACGTCCACGTTTACTTTGCTCAAACTTACCATCTTCAATTGTAGTCAGTGCTTTAGCTTACAGTGAGTTTGTACGGACTTAAAATGCGCATCGAATGGTGCCACTCTTAATAGTCATCTCACAACTTGTGTATAGATAAGCTTGATTTTCAAATATTTTGAGGATTTTCAAAGAAAAGCATGTAAAAGATCTGTACTAGCTCATCTGTAACAATTTTCATTGCGTAATCCCAAGCGTTACCTGTCGTTTCAGGTCTTACTCGAGTCTGTAGCATCAGTTCTCATGAATCTACAGAGTCCAACAACTCAGCCTCATACATGGCCAAAGTAGGCCTCATTTCATAGAGCAAACAGAGGGGAGCAAAGATCAACTAACGAAGAAGCCTTGTTGAGTTGGCAGTTGTTCAATAAATAGCGTCCAAGCACCGTTCTTTATATATATATATATATATATATATTGGTTTTGTTAATTATTTGACAACCAATTTAGCGACTGAAAATCCGTTTATATGTTTAGCAACCCCTCTAGAAGTATATAATGATCCTAATATAAAAGCTCTAGCATCAACATAGAGCTTGAAATAGCTGTTTCCCCTTGCACAGTACACCTTCGAATTAACGTTTTACCAAACCACATTGAAGCATCTTGCGATCAAGCGGTTGCTGTAAACACAACGTTTTTCAATATCTGATACATCATTAATCTATAAACAATGCGTAGCAATCAGTTGTAACTAATATTTTTTAATAAGTTTATATATAATGACTTATTAGGTATAAAATATTTGTATAAAAGAGTATGAAGTTAATCAGGTAAAGAATATCGTTTATTACATTGTGTAATGAAATAGCCACTCAAACGCAACTTGATTGAAAACCGAAATTCACCAAATAGCACTCATTCAAATTCATGCTATTTGGATCTATTAATAAAAGCGCTCAAATGTACATCAACAACCATTTAAACATACTAAAGTAAAGATACACGCTTAAATCGCACATCGTGTGAATGAATCACTCCTGATCACAGTGTATTCAATCACACCCATGATGGTCGTAAAAAGAGATGTTATCTTTATCAAAATAACATCAAATCAATAACAAGCATATTCAAATATGACAACTATGCCCTGCTGCCATAGTTGCACAATACTTCAGATAAAGGATTCCATGCTTCAATAACAAACATCACACTTTAAACTACCAAGGTTACATTAAATCATGTTATGACGATAGCTCACCCAAGCCCATCAAGATTACTCAAACCGACCCTTATTATGGCCAGTGCTCTTGCATTGATTACCACCACTCTGCGTCAAACATCAACAGCATTTACCAGATACTGCAATAACATCACCTATTGCTCTCTATCATCACTAATCCTATAAGCTAGTTGCAAATGTATAAATACTTTTCTTTTTTTACTCAATTCCAGGATCTTCAGTTCATTTTATACACAAATAAAATACGGTTGATTTCTATTGTATTTCACTATTGCTTTATTTTTTTTTGAAATCTATTTAAACCTGATTTCACTGCAATTTGGATAAAGATAACATCACTTGTTGTAAATGCCTGATAAGTACATGAGAATGTATATAGGTTTTTATTCAGTAAGAATCAGATGAAGATGAAAGGGAAGAGTGAATGTCTACTGCTATTTATATGTATGGTTTATGGACTGACCCTCCCATCTAGAGTGGTGTTCTCATGCTAAGTTTTAGTGTCAATCCTTACATATGCTAAATGGTAATTATTTCAGATATAGATGATCAGTCTAAATATCTTTAGTTGCTCTTGACAACGTTAATAACATTTCTTATCTGCTATCTCTTGACATATAAAGAACAGCTTACTAAAACTTAGCTTATGTGGATATCATGGTTATCGTTTACATGTTGATACAGTTTATTTACATATACTCCATATGTGCATAGTTTATTACTAAATTCAATCTACGATACTGTGATTCAGGAACAGGTATATGTGTGAATACAACATTACTTGTTATGGCCATCATGTGTGTGGTTGAATACATTGTGATCAGAAGTGATTCATTCACACGATATGCGGGAGGATAAGTATGCATCTTTAGTTTAGTATGTTTAATTGGTGTTTTGATGCACATTTGAGCGCTTTATTGGTACGATCAAATAGCATGAATTTGAATGAATGATATTTGATGCATTCCGGTTTTCAATCAAGCTGCATTTGGGTGGCTATTTCATTAAACAAATGATTGCATTATAATTTGGTTATAAATAAAGACTTAAATTGTTTCCATTTAATTACACGCTTATTTTTACAAAAGACAATATCATATTATATGGCATATCAACAGAAAATCAACTAGTTGTAGACCTTTTCTCTTTCAACTCCAGAGCCAATCAAATCGCTTGAAAACTCCGCTGACCTAAAAAAAATTTTGCGAGGGTTTCCCCCTGTTTTGATGTGAGGCAAAATTTTAAGCTCCGCTATATATATAGCAATATAGCTGTTACTATCATCAAATTTCCCTCAGGTGCTAGAGCATGCCTTACTTACACCACCTAGCTTTAGATTCTGGCGTTGAGACTCTCAATCATCACTAAAGTAAGTAGTGATAACCAAGTGGAGGCAGCCTATCCATCTCCTAGTCTCGGATAAGTTCTTGTTGAGCTTCAGCGATAGGCACATCCACCACAACGTAATAAAGAGGTATGCTTCAAAGAAACATAATAAAAGAAAAAAGGAAAAGAAAAGAACATGCTACAGTACTATAGGAGTATAGTAGTAGTATGTAGGCAAAAAAAAAGAAACACTCACACAAAAAAGTGAGTCAAAAGAAGAGCATAACAACAAGCATAGCATCAAAGATGTTCAGGACAGCTCGCTGTTGTTGCAACAACAAAAATGCATACATGAGCAACGTGTATGGTAATAGTCGGATGTAAAGCAACACAACCAACAAAAGAAGAAGAAAAACGCAACAAAGCAAACATCATGAATGCATTATCATGAGAAAGGAAGCAATAATACAAACATTCAAAGAAGTTTTATATCATTGCGACCAGAAGAAAAAGATACTTACCACTTACCATAGCCACGAATAGACCAGAGAATAGGCAATCACCATAGATACACCAGAGAACGAGCATACACCACAGATAGTACACCAGAAGAGACCAGACTAGCAGCAGCAAGACAATCAGCAAGACCATCAGCAAGACCATAAACAAGACCATAAGCAAGACCATAAGCAAGACCATAAGCAAGGCCATCAGAAACACCAGCAACAGCACCAGCAGCAACAACAACAACAACATAGAAAAACAAAGAACGAGCGACACCACAGGCCAGACAAAGATTAAAGAAGCGGCTACTAGACATAATAATCCAAAGAAGCAGGCAGTAGAGATAGCAAAGAAGTAATGACAGCAGCACCCACGTCAAACAGGCAAAAAAAATATCGAAACCTAATAAAAAAATTCGATTAGTGCTGATTTTACGTCTTCCAGTGCTCGTTATCGAATGGTACCTACTATATTTTACTTCAAAGAAGCAGTATCAAGTACTTTCAACTGTGCAAGGCCGTGTTATCAGAAGTTAGAGTGTTATTTTTAATCAAAAGCGTTCCAAAACCAGTATGGTTTGATACTAAACGCGTTTTGCAAAATGAGTAAAAAAAAAACGGGAATATAAAAAAAATGAGAGAGCGAGCTACCCGACGTCACGGTCAGTAGATTTGGCCCCAGTCTTCTGCCTTGGCAGCCGTAACTGCTGCACTTTAATTTGAAATTGTGCAGTGGGTATTTTCGTGTTTAAATTTGACTTGGTCTCACATTCTTTAAATGTTTTTGTTAAATTCGACTAAGAAGATTGTAGTTGTTTTACTTTACTCTCTAATGCATTTATAAAAAGTCAATGAAGGCGCATCGAATGGTGCAAATTACTTAGAGCTTTTAGACTGAAAATAACGAGCAATTTGCAAAAATATGAAAACAGGTTTTCTGCAGAATGTCAAAATTTAGCATATAGAATTCTCAAAAAAGTAGTTTCCAATGTTGTATACCGTCTTTACAATCAATTTAATCTAATATGTATCATAGGAAAAGTCTTCATTTTTGGGTGAAAAACGCGATCGTTCGATTTTCAAAAATTTTCCCTTGCTAATACTCATGCAAAAATAAGGAATTTCATGAATTAGCAATGACCCAAAGAAACTGAGATAAAGCATTAGTAAGTAAATTATACTTAAGAGAAAGTATTTGGAATCAGTTTGAGCGTTCAGAATGGCCTGCGGCAAAAGATATTAGTGGTAGAAGACCACCAAATTTGGAGCTGTTTTGGCGTGTAATCAAATAGTGGGAGGTATTATTGCCAGATCCCCACGTAAATCAAAGCTGTATCCAATAAATTTAAGGAGGAGCCACAATGTATGAAATCCAGATTTCAAGTAAATAAGCTCTTGTAATGTGATTTTTGAGCCTTACTTATATTTAAAAACGCACGATAAAACAGAGCACAGCAAGAAGCGTTAATCAAGCATCAGCAGATAATCTAATACAGCTAAATCTTTCCAAAGAAGCGACATAATATCTTAAAAATGTTTTCAGCAGCTTCTTTTTGGTTTTCCTCTGCTGGATGGCCATTTAAAACTCTTTAAAGGGTAGTGTAAACGAGATGTAGAATAAGTTCTAATATATATGCAGCTAATCGATTTTCTTCGTAGAGAATCTATTTGTATTCATGATATTCTTTGGAACCGGCAAGAGTCTCTTTAGTGGCGTAAATTGGCCTCTTGTTCAGAATAAGGTTTACTTTGCATTAATTATTATCACTTTGGGTGAAGCCATTCTTGTCAAATGTTAAACACAAAGAATAAAAGTATTATTATTTGTAGCTTATAAAAAAATGTTCAATATTATAAAAACAAGAAAAGACTTGTTTGAATAAGATCAGACACAAAAACTAAAGATTTATTGATGAAGACAAGAGTTATTCTATTTATACTAAGTTCTGAATGCCAAAGTAGCAATTTATCTTGTACAACGCTTATCACATCTGGTGAACCTCAGTATTTAGATAGCTGAGATGCACTTCAATTATCATAGCTTGTCCATGTTGTTGCACAACACAGACATATCTACCCATCAAGAATACCTTAATCTTTATAGACAGTTGTAGCCCTTCTGGCACAACAGCTAGCTTTGCTGTGGTTTGGGAAAGTTTTAAAATAGCTGTTCTGCGCCACTTACGAAAACTGTGGAACAGCTAGCTACCGGCACAAGCCCTATGTTGATGCTAGGACTTTATATTAGGACTCTTATATTATGCCCATTTTAAGGGATTGTCAACAATAAAGAATTTTTAACCGCTATATTGCTTGTCATATAATTCAAGGAGGAATTATTGCTTAACAAAATCAACATAAAAAAAGTGTTTGGACGCTATCATATGTTAAAATGTCTGTTTAACCCGGTTTCTCCATTAATTAAGTTAGATTCCCTGTGTTTGCCCTACAAAATGAGTTCTTGTTTGAACACCCACGATGTTTCCTTTCAAAACCCAATTTTTCACACCCAAGTTGGAGTTTATAGTGGCAGAAGCACGGTTTTATTTAATAATAGCGAATCTACCAGAAATAAACTATACGGAAAAGATAGTAGTATTAAAAAATAATCAGGTAAAGAATATCCTTTATCATATTATTGGAAACTAGAAAGCTTATTATTATAGACTATTATTCGAAATGCTGAAAAATTTAATAATGTAATGAGGATAATAAGGTAGTATTAGAGTGAATGATTTGGGTGGTAAGTTAATAGACACAATCTCTTATCCGGCACATGCCACAACTGGGATTGTTGTTATGTCAAAACACAACGTACAACTGAACCTGCCAAGGAACTACACTACTGCTTTTATTATGACGAATGCAGCCAGAGGATGCTTTATATAGTTCTCATTATGCTAGAGTTTACAGCATGATGATGAACTATAATATAAATAGGTGTACTGTTTACTCAACAATTAATGATTGTAAATCACGAAAGGCATGATTTAGCCAAAAAAAAAAAAAACCTGAGAATAGCTCCAAAACTCTAGTGGTGCTGTGAGACCTTGCTAGAGAAGATTTGATACAACATTCGTAACCGAATCAGTTATATGTCAAAATTTATGATCTGATAAGATCTGTGCTTCAACTGAGCATTTATTTACGTATGAAGATCTGGCTTGGAAATGACACATCAGTGTATGTACAATGTCATCTGATGCCAGGGGACATCTTCTGTTGGTACAACGAGGTGTCGCCAGACAGTTGTTGAATAATAGCCTATAATATAATATCATCCGCTATGCAGCAGACAAGCGCGCATTAGCTTGAAAAGAGGATTGCAGAATACGGCCATTCTTGAAGAATACTAATACTTTTGAAAGAGGAGGGAAATATACCTCTCAGCTGCTGTTACGATGCTTACTACAGCTCGCAACTGGACGTTTACATAGTCTGTACGAACACTTCTTCGAAGAATTCCGTCTCAGCTGGCCATTCATTTTGCTTGCATATGGCCAAAGAGCATTATTTTTTCACTCTTCTCTTTACAATTCTAAATATGAAGTTGAGCGTATCCTATATATTCATTCTTGCTACGTCTGTATCTTTTATTTACTGCGATGATTTTCAGCAACATGTTCTTCAAGACAAGGGCACTCCAATCGTGAAATCGGTTGCTATCATTGGTAAGTGGTAGTCAATTTATTACGACATACTGTTGCAAGAAGCTTATACAAAAGTTACTGTAGGTGGAGGAGCAGCCGGCACATCCACTGCATTCTGGCTAAGCAATGTGTTTCCTCATGAAGACGCTCTACAAGTAAATTGCACCATTTTCGAACGTAACAGTTATCTTGGAGGTCGAAGCACTGTTGTACCCATCAAAAATGATTACTCTCTTGGCACCATTGAATTGGGCGCTTCCATTTTTGTAGAAGCAAACAAAAACCTCATGATGGCCACCGAAAGGTTTGGACTGAACAAAACTCGTCTTACTGCTTTTGAGGAGGAGATATCTGTAAAGAACCGCCCAGGTTTAGGTGTGTGGAACGGCAAGGAATTTCTGTTTGAAGAGTCTGGGAGTTACTGGGATAGCATGAAAGCATTATGGCGATATGGCTTTACGCCCCTCAAGGTGAAAAAAATACCAGTTTTGTTGATTACGCCATGAATAGTCATTTGACTCACAAACAAATGCAGTTTCAACGTAAACAAAAGGAAGTTGTTCAACGTTTTATGGAATTATATGATACAGACCATGGATTTGAACACGTATCCGAGATTGTCAAAAGTCTTGATTATCAGAGTCTGCTGAATATGACAGCAGAGGCTTATTTGAAGGAATTGGGAATCAATGATCGCTTCGCGCAAGAAATTCTACAGACTGCAACAAGAGGAAACTATTGCCAGGATCTGAATACACTTCATGCTTTGGCAGTGATGGTATCCATGGAAGCTGGCCATGGGACTTGGGCTGTTGAGTCAGGAAACTACAATATATTTGAAGAGTTTGCCCGTCGATCTCAAGCAGCCATCCAACTGCAGACCAAGGTAATTGCTGTCAATAACATCACCGAAGTTGATACAGATGGAAACACAGCGCAAAGATACGTAGTAGAAACATTGGATGGCACCAGTCAAGTATTCGATGAAGTAGTACTTGCTGCTCCCATCAAGTTTTCTGGAATACACCAATTTCCTTTCCCAACAAAGCAAGAAGAGAGACCTTATCATCCTGTGTATGTCACTTTGATTGCTGGACATCCAGATCCCTGTTACTTTGGTAAAACGATGGAAAACATGCCAACATTTGTTGTCTCCACAGGCGTTCCTTTAGGTGAGTACATGCATATGTGTTTTATGTAAAACCCAGTGACCCAATACGTCCCAGTCGATGGATTCGAAAATGGACAAGCGCCGTTCAACACCTTTTCTGTTCATCGCTTTTTAGAAAATGGCGAGAGTGTCATCAAGATCTTCTCCCAAGTAGAATTGCATGACGACTATTTGGATAAACTCTTTTTAAACAGAAGCTGGACATATCGCAAGGGCTGGCACGCTTTCCCTCAATTGGAGCCCATTGCCAAGGACCAACCTTTCCCGTCGTTCATTCTCAAGACCGACGAAAATGATGAATCTGGTATTATTTACACAGGAGCCTTTGAAAACTTTATTTCTGTAAGATGACCATGCGATGTATCATTCGAATGAGGATGAGGACCTAATGCGTTTTATCTGTAGACCATGGAAACACAAACGATTGCAGGCAAGAATGCAGCAAGGTTGCTCTATGATAAATGGTGCAATTCAAAGTCGGGATTCAACAGAAATTGTCGAGAGTTTGGTGATGGATGGGGGAGCTATGGATTGACCAAATAAACATCAGACATATTCTCCAGCTCGATATTTCGTCTAGGCATGTTCTTTCCAAAGAATGTGTGAATTAAGCGCCATTCTCTCTCTGAGGAAGGCATGGTATGATCCTTGTTCATGATGAAGATTTGAGAGATTTCTGCTGAGGCAGCGCATTGTCTTTCGACTGCCTTGAACTATAAGACAGATTTGAGTGATCAGAAGTGGTAGATCAGTCTATTACACGTACCCTGTTTTCTGCCTCTGCCTTGCCTCCAATAGTTCCGTCCTTTTCGCCTTGTGTGATAAGAATATAACCAGCATATCCGTCCCCTCGTTTGCGATCCACACGCTGCTCCTCTAGCAAATATCCACTGATGCTGACAACACCGCCCAAATTTCTCACTTTACCAAAGCATGCTGCGTCCAATGCCACTGTGCCACCTTGCGAGAATCCAAAAAAGAAGATATTGGAGGGATTGAATCCACAATCATTGATCAAGTGTTGCAAAAGCTCATCCATCATCTGGCGGGTACGAAGTAAGCCTTTCAACCTCTCTGGGTTTGCAGGCGTCAATACTATGCGTTTGCATTAGTCTATGATATACAAGACTGGTCTGACCAACTTACAATCGCCTGTGAGCATGTCAAAGCTAGGAAACCATTGATAACACCCCTCCAGATAAGGTACTGGTTCTGGAGCCTGCACAGAGAGCGTTGCGGTTTGAGGTAATTTGAGTTGCTGTCCAAGCTTTGCAAACGGCGTCTTGGAATCACCTAATCCGTGTAATAGAATGAGTAGATTCTGATCAATACCATCTTGACTCGGTGAATAGTCAAACTGAAGCTTAACTTTCTTTGTATTTGGTGGCGTAGCTTTGTTTCGCTGGCTTACAGAGGGCTGCTGAACGTTGATGGATTGCATGTGTATAAAGAATAAAGCAAATATATGAATGCATTTCTGCAATTTAGCCATTTGAATTACCATTTTCGGGACTGTAGAGACTTTTTTCAGCCACTAATCTAGCATGTTGCTCTTACTCAACGACATCTGCCGCATGAGTCAATGCTAGTTCAGGAGCCATTGCTGACGATGAGCGCATATACAGCCAGCGCATATACAGCCAGCGCATATTTTGCTTATACCATGTGCTACTTTGTCACAATGATAAAGAATTCAGATTGATTATCTTATCTAGTGCATTTCTTGCTGGCTTATATACCCAGCAAACAGTATGCCTTTATTCAATTTTCACATTATGTTCGACAGTGTGTGCGTTGTAACCAATGATTGAACTATAAAGGACTAAATCTTACATAATTGCGGGCGCCTGGCTCAAGCTAAATAATGTAATCAGCGTCAAGAAGGGTGTTGACGGCGAAGATACCGTGCGTGAAGCAAGCGAGCATGAATTGTAGACGTACGTTTTGCCTTTGATTAGGTAGAGGAGGGGATGCATAGGAATAAAGTGAATTGAGAAAAAGCGTTTGATGTGGAGAGCATATCCTTACGCTCATTTACTATCTGCTGAAAGACTGAACCATGCTAGCCCTTTGCCACCCTCAGATCAAGCTTCCTACTACTTTCCAAACTATTATTAACAGCTTGAGTAAGCTCTACAATCAACAATTACCACTTGAAATCAAGCAGATTATAACCTAAATAATGCAAATTGCAATAACACTCTTGTCTTTATTGACAAATGAACACTACTACTCTCTACCATCTAGCCCATTGACAGTTTGGAACACAAAAAGCATTACATTTGCAGCCAATTGCATGCTAAAACCTCTATACAGACCACGAATACCCCACGCACTTGTCACAGTTTTGGCACTGCTGCTTGTTTGACGTTGAGGAAACAGATCAGCATCGCTATCTGACGAAGCATGATCCTCCATCCAATGTTTAGCATTGCTGTTGTTGTGGTTTTTAGTTGGTTTCGCGCTTCTCTTATGACGAGTTCCTTCCTCCTTCATGATTTTGTAGAGTGCATCCAGCACACCACGGTAGGGTTGAGGCCGAATAGCCACAGTGGATTTGAAATCACCAGGCACTTGACAATGCAATCGCTTGCGGATGGTTTCCAGTGGCAGCAAAATCAACAAGCCCACAGTAGACAGTGTTAATTCGGCAGCACCGTATAAGATAGGTGAGTCAGCAGCTGATATGCGTAAAATACGAGCGATTAATAGTGGCGTACTGCAGGATATCAGTGGTGTAATCAAATGGTAAAAGAGCGTTGGAAGCAAGTTTTTCGACAGATAGACACCACGAATACCACCTTCTTCAGAAAACATGGTTCTGAGAGCATGAAGAGGTCCATTGTATTTGCTGCAAAGTGGCGATGCCGATTGAACTACTAATCTTGTTCTGACAATTTCAAGAGGACTCAATAAGACACCTACCACAAGATGCGAGGCGAGCAATGTAGTGATATTGGGTGTGACATTATCCAGGTGCAAAAGTGGAATTGTATCATCATACAAACCAAATAGGTCATTAAGCGAGCTTTCTAGCGTTGGCCGTAATAAGGTACGAAGCATCTCGTAAACCCAGGTAACTCTTTGGCCTAATCACAATATCCAGATCAGCCAACTAGGCAACCGTTTGTCATTGGCAGGGAAACACTTACCCTTAAATAGTGATTTCCATCCTTCTGTGGGTTGCTTGACAATGGAACTAAGAATCTCCAATACGCCTCCACCTTCCATGGGGGCCATTTGGTAAATAGGTCTACTTTTATCGTCAAAAACACTGACTGAAGACAGTGAACTACTATCTGTTCTAATGCGAATAGTATCAATAGAAGTTCTATCTTCTGGTCGTCGATAAAATCCATCATCTTCTGAATCACTATCTGCGTCAAACTGATGTATCTAGCGGAAATGGGAGTTATATGAGCATGGCCGGGCAGAAAAATGCAAGAGACCTACCGAAGAAGAAAGTCTGGAGCTGGAGTCCAGTTGAGGCAATCCAAATACCTCGACATCTTGATGAGGTGAGTATTGCACTTGCAAAAGAGTGGTGCCCACTTCAAATGGACTTGTCAACATGGTAACAAAGTATTTCAAAAGGGCAAAACTAGTGCATCGAGTAGTTAGGCTCTTGAATTGAGCATGGTCGGGCTCGTCTAGCAATAGCAGTGGAATGGAATCATTGGAAGGTAAAGAGGTATAGTTGTGATGGTGGAGTCCTGGTGTATAATAAGGTCGATGTGGATTCACCTTGGCTGTGGTCATGATATATATATATACGATTTTTTTTTTTTACAATGTGGACATGTATTTACAAGTAAGAGAGAGAAAAAGAAGCATTTGCAACCTGCTGTTTGATTCTCAAGCTTTTATTTTCTGTGTGTGTGTGTGTGTATGGTTAAACGTTGAAGATTAAGAACTCCCCTGGCAATTGCCTTGTCTTGCCAATTTTACGTATGACTTAAAAATCACATCGATACATAGTAGCCCTAAAATCCGTATCGAAAACATCTTTCGATATTTAGCATAGTATCACAGTGCCGCTGGAATGCCCCACTCTTCGAGTATGATGTTGTAGTATAAATTCTACTTTCAAATGATTTACATGGTACACATTTGTGCGACTTGATGGTTGTTTTTTTTTCGCAGGTTGCTACGCAAAAAGCAAGTGTACCTGAAAATCGAAACAATGTATCATAGCAATCATATCTCTATTTTGTATTGATTTATTGGGTATCGTAGTGCTTTTGAAATAGGAGTCTATGGTTAAATGAATGCCCTGATATCGCCATGTGTATACTTCCCTAATTATCGAGCGCGTGGTGTATTATCAACGCGTGTCTCGATGTGATGATCTAGTGTGTGTGTGTGTGTATGTGTGTGTGTGTGTATGTATGTATGCTGAAGCTCTCACTTTTATACAAATGGGTGCATCTCTGGCTTTTCTCAAAAATATAATGCTGATGAATGTATAGATTGCCATGTGAGTGTGAGTGATTTGTGAGCGTGTCATTTCACGTTTTGTAACTGGTTAGACTGATACATGTAGTTTTTTAAAAGATTTTTTTTTAATCGTTGAATTGTATTTTGATTGAGTGATAGTGAAAAATTGAATTGGTCTTTATCAAATGTAGTAGTAACCGTGTAGCAGTTTATAGTTTTTTTTTAGTAAGGTGATCTTGTACGAGGAGGGTAAGGATCATATCTTGGTGGTGGAGGACGGCGGTCATAACGATCATAGCGGTCATAGCGATCATAACGGTCGTATCTGTCATAACGGTCGTAGCGATCTCTCTCATAGCGATCGTATCTGGGAGGATCGTAACGGTCCATGTAAGATCTTTCATAGAAGCGATCATATCTAGCATCGCCACCACGAGGAGGTCTACCGCCATCTCTTCTATCACCTCTGGCTATTGGATTCAATGCGTATTAGCAAATAACAAGCTTATACAGCAGTAACAAACAACTTACGTCCTCCAGCACCACCGCGCTTTGGTGGGCCATAATAACGGCCAGGAGTGGGTGTTCTGGGTCTAGATCTCTTTGCCTTTTCAACTGTAACAACACGGCCATCTACTTCAGTGCCACTGATACCAACGATGGCTCTTTCAGCGTCTTCAGGGTTTTGCATACGAATGAAGCCAAAGCCACGAGATTCACGAGTATGAGGATCAAACATAATCTCAGCCTTAATGACCTAGAGAGAGATAGGATGTTGTTGAGCATCACGCCCTCTTTTTCACACCTTGTTAATTGTCATTTACCTTGCCATACTTTACAAAAAGCTCTTCCAAATCAGCGCCATTGGTTCTAATAGAAAGGCCGGTGATGAACAGATTGTCGCCAGGGTTGATGTCTTCCTCTTCACGACTATTTTTATATTATGAATGTTTGTGAATATCAAATGTTGTTTTCATAAGTAATTAGCAAAACAAAAATACTGTGAAAAGCTGTAGGTGTGTATAAGTGTGAATGTGGGTTGTGTAAGTGTGTGTGTGTGTGTGCGTGCGCTGTGAGCGTGCGTGTTCATTGTGTGAAAGAGTGCAGATGCAAATAGCGAATAGGTGAAAAATGGCTGAACTGTGCTTACATTGGTTCTCTTGAACGAGAGCGGCTTCTGTATCTGTGGTCGCTGTGATCACGACCAGGAGAGCGTGATCTTGAACGACTGCGAGAGCGACGTCCTCTTTCGTCTGAAACGCGTTGATCGACTAGACCATCATTTAGTATCCATCCTCTGCCGATATCTCTGTGATTTACTAACCTGTATTATCAATTTCACTCATATTTTGCGATATAATAATGAAATTAAGAACAAAGAAGAAAGAAAAGGAAAAAAAGGGTGAGGTGTGGGTTCAAAAATAGGAGTGAATTGCAAAATTTTGTACATTTTTACATCTGTACGTCATCATATCGTTGATGAAACAGTCCTATCTGCACTGGTATGATTGCCTAGAAGCTCTATGATGCCTCCTTTATTGCTCAGCATGTTGACATGTAAGGCACATTGCAGCCTCTGCTTGCCTTGAGGATGACCATGATATGGTGTTATAATCCACGGTGTTTCCATATCCAACATGTCAGACGGCATGTCCCGCTTGACTGATCTTTTAACATTCCACCATTTTGAACTATACATTAACCCAAGTTTATTGTCCTCAAACATTGACAAATCGCTTCCAATTTCTGTTTGTTGTCTCTACCACTTGCTTGATAGTCCAGCCTCTAGCTTCTGCTACAATTTTTGCCATTTCTACCATGCATTCATCGATGCCCAAGGGTGTATTCAAATCAGATTCGATCAGCAGACGATCCTCTGGCACAGTTTTGATTAGCTCTACCAGCTTTTTAGCAGGAACCAGCCTTGCATTGATGGCCACCGAAAACGAAACGTATATTTCGAATCCCTTCAGCTCCATAAATTGTGTGATAGTAGCAGGTGCTCCTCCGTACGAGTGCAAACACATGCGCAATGTGTTGGGCACCACTTTGAGCTTCCTGAGTTGTCTCGCACTGAATTGAGTAGATATGTTTTTGAGATGTGTGAACAAATGGCCTTGGCCTTGAACGCAGTGCACACTGATACCACGATTCAAGTCTCGTGCAAGCTGGCATTGGATGTCGAAAATGGCTAATTGATGCTCGATGGATGTTTGGACGCTGGTAGGCTTTTTGCCATGCCAATCAATAGAGCCACCAGGTAACAATCGTGCTGCTCTGTCCACACCTACCTCTCCCACGAGTGCATTGGGATGCTCCTCCAGTCGTTGCTTCAAGTTGTTATACCATACATCATACGTATATGGCTTGTATAAAGCACAGATCATGTCATTGAGTTCGTCCTGATTCGATGACTTGAGAATGCCCTTGTAGTAGGCGTCTGGTTCTTGCTTTGACTCCTCCTGTGCCATGACAAAATGCGAGAACCAAGGATGGATGCCTATACTCAATGTCTAGTTTCAGGCTACAACCACTCACACAGCGTACTCACCAAAGCAAGGGATGCATTTGTTGCTGGTATTCTGGTTGCAATCATGAGCTACCCTGGAGACCATATCCCAGTCGTCTTGTCTGACACCCATGATGGTGATGTGTCCTGTCTTGAGCTGTGGTATGCGTGACAAGTACTCTACATCATCGTGAGGATGGCAGTGCGAGTCGCATAGATCTTGAAATAATGCTTCGTCAAAAGCCTCGTTTGTGGTGGGCACGCCGTGGTTGAGAAATTCTGTAGATTGACACATGCTTAGTAGAAAGAGATGTTTATGCTACGTATACAGCCTTTTGTAATTTGCACAGACGGAGTGGTAAAATGTAGATTGCTTGCTTGTGGCCCAACCCCAATTTAGATTTTAAATGGGCTCCTTTATTAAATGATGAACACTACACTCTTTTCTTTTTTTTCTCTCTCTCTCTCTCTCTCTCTTTTCCCTTTCCATAGCTCACCATGTCTGACGCAAAGTACTTTCAAAGAGGTATGTTTCAATGCATTGTTCGCCATTTATAGCACAACTCACGCAAATCACTAGGCAAGATTCAGGAGCTTCGAGCAGAGCTCACTTCTGAAAAACGTGATCAGAAGCACCAGCGCAAAAAGACGGTAATGAAGAAGATTGTAGCCAATATGACCATGGGCAACGACATGTCGCCTCTGTTTCCCGATATCCTCAATGTCATGCAAGTGCCAGTGCTTGAAATCAAAAAAATGGTGTATCTCTACATTATCAATTATGCCAGAACAAAGCCTGATATGGCCGTAATGGCTATTTCCATGTTTATTAAGGTGAGGGCAGTGCGAGCTTGGAGACAAACAGCTTGTTAACACGGTGGCAACTGTTAGGATGTAGAGGATCACAATCCACTTATTCGTGCTTTAGCTATTCGTACAATGGGCTATATTCAAGTGGAAAAGATTGTGGATGTATTGGTGGATCCGCTGAGACACAGCTTGAGGGATAAGGATCCCTATGTTAGAAAGACGGCTGCTACATGTGTTGCCAAGCTCTACATGTACGACCGTGTGCTGGTGGAGAGCGAACGCTTTGTGGACATGTTGAGGGATTTATTGGCTGATCCCAATCCAACAGTAAGGCACTCTGAATGTCAAAAGCGGGCAGAACAGTAAGGCTCATCTTGATGCATAGGTCGTAGCTAATGCTGTCGCTGCCTTGACTGAAATCTCGGAGCGCTCTGATAGTATTCAATTAAGATTGAATCATTCCATTGCTAGTAAACTCGTTGCTGCTTTGGGAGAATGCTCAGAGTAAGTTGACAGTACCATATAGATGTATACATGTTTAACATTCGCTTATAGATGGGGCCAAACATACATCTTGGAAGCACTCATGTACTATGTTCCTCAAGAATCTGAAGATGCCGAAATGCTCGCTGAACGTATTTCACCTCGTTTACAACACGCCAATTCAGCTGTGGTCTTGACAGCCACCAAAGTCATGATGTATCTCATGAACTACATGAACAATGAGGACGAAATCAACCAACTCTGTCGCAAATTAGGGCCTCCACTCGTCACTCTGCTTGCTTCAGGCTACGAAGTGCAGTACGTTGCTCTGCGCAACATCCAACTCATCATTCAGCGAAGACCCGAGATCCTCAAAAACGACATCAAGGTGTTCTTTTGTAAATACGATGATCCTATTTGTGTCAAATTGGGTAAATTAGAAATCATCTTTCGATTGGCAAATGACAAGAATGTGGATATCGTGTTGAATGAATTGAAAGAGTACTGTAGAGATGGCAAGCAAATGAAAAGGGTGTTTACTCATAGCGTTTTGTGTTCATAGATATGCTGCTGAAGTGGATGTCGATTTTGTCAGAAAGGCTGTCAGGGCGATTGGCAGATTGGCTGTCAAAATTGAGTCTGCTGCTGATAGATGCATTGCTGCCTTGCTGGAATTGATTCAAACCAAGGTCAATTACGTTGTTCAAGAAGCCATCATTGTCATTAGAGACATATTTAGAAAATACCCCAATCAGTATGAAAGCATCATTTCTACACTTTGCGAGAATTTGGATGATTTGGATGAACCCGAAGCCAAGGCATCGATGATCTGGATTATTGGTCAGTATGCGGATAGAATTGAAAATGCAGATCAATTGCTAGACGACTTTTTATACACTTTCTTGGAAGAGCCTTATGAGGTACGTGTTGGTCAGCATGCTCTACAACATCTACAGTACTCAATCGCTTGCTGTAAAAACAGGTTCAATTGGCATTGTTGACAGCCACTGTCAAGTTGTTTGTCCAACGACCTACAGTGGGCCAAGAATTAGTCCCCAAAGTCCTTAAATGGGCTACTGAAGAAGTTGATAATCCAGATTTACGTGATCGTGGCTACATCTATTGGCGTTTACTGTCCACAGATCCTGCTGCAGCCAAAGCAGTTGTCTTGTCTGACAAACCCGCTATCACCACTGAAAGTGATAACCTGGATCCCAACTTTTTAGATGAGCTCTTGCTTCATGTCGGCTCGCTCGCCTCCATCTACCACAAGAGTCCTACTGCCTTTATCAATCGTTATAAGCCTCGCTATTTGCTACCCTCGCCAGCTCTTCAAAAGAGAAGTGATAATAACCAAACAGTGCTTCAGCAACAAGAGCAACAATATCAATTGCAACAACAGCAACAACAGTTATTGCAACAACAGCAGCAGCTTCAACAGCAACAGCTGCTCCAACAACAACAACAACAACAGCAGTTGCAACAACAACCCAATTTGATGGCTCAATTCAATGATTGGAGCTATAATGCTGCAACAAGTAGTAATCGAGTCGTATCGAATCAAACCAATAACCCATATTCCACAGATCTGCTACAGTAATTTATAATCATTAAACTGTTTATTGAACTGAAAAATGTAAGATGGTAACGTTATAAGTATGACTTTTTTTTTCAGTGCATGTCTGTAGGGCATCACATCATGTCCTTTTGATGGTGTCCTGGCAGGTCCTGAAATGTCCTAGCCGTGTCATGGCTCCATGATTGGCTGACAACATGCTCAGGACAAGCTTTGCACTGGTCGAGCATATTGCTTTCCACCAATAACAGTAATTGATCACTGGCTTCCACTGCTCCACATGACGTGGACTGTGTAAACCTTTTGAGAGAGCTCGTTTTATTTCTTTCTTTTACCTTTTCTACACCTTATCATACCATGACCTCCTCCGCAGAACTCGACGGACTCTCGCTAGGCCAGCTCTTCAGCCAAGGCCAATCCATATTGACAGAATTAGAAGACTCACCTTTGTCCAGCATTGACCCAGCATACCAAGCACAAGTCGCAAAAGGGTTTCAAATGCTCTCACGCGCTGACGACTTGGTGTCCAAGCTTGCCATCTTTAGTGATAACGAGCTACTAGACGATATCAACACCAACGATCTCAAGTTTCTGCTGATCCCTGCCTACTTGGGTAACTTGACATTGAAGATCAATAGCCCAGACAGACGATCTGTATTAGACAAATCCAGAGACTATCTACAAAAGTTTTTGAGTGCCTGTCAAGATCATGCACTGATTCAAAAGCAAGACTTGAGCCTGATGGAGCAGTTACAACACAAGGCGCCCAACGTGGCGGCATCACAGCAACGTGATCAAAAGATTGCTCGATTCAAGCGTGAACGTGCTGTCAAACAACACATTGCGCAACTTCGTCAGCAGCTGGATGCCGTAGGCAACAAGGAAGATGAGGACCGCGATGTGGATGATATGGAGCGAGAGTGGGTAGAGGCATTGATCGAATTAGAGATATTGAAGGCATTGGAGAACTGGCATGCGATCGAACAAGAGATGGTCATGGTGAAAGAAATGGAAGCTATGAAGGAGATGAGAGAAAAGACAGGACGAGATACATCCGCAGACAGCCGAGAGGCACCGCAGACAAGTCGAGCCAACTGGGGCAAAGATAAACCCATGCTGAGCAAGGAGGGCAGACCACTTCAACCCTTTGTGATTATGAACAAACGAGAGCAGCTCAAGAGCCAAGTATTTGGATATGGTCATAATCTGCCAACCATGACCATTGATGAATACCTGGATCAAGAAATGGAAAGAGGCAATATCATTCAAGGAGGGTAAGCATCTTGTCATGGCCCGAGACATGTAGGTACTGAAATTAATTTCTAGTGGAGAAGAACCTGAAAAGCCAGAAATTGATGATAACGATTACGATGCTCAAGATGCCGAAACCATGAAGAAGCGAGAGTGGGACGAATTTGTCGAAGCCAATCCCAGAGGAGCAGGCAATCGAGGCAACAAAGGATAATGGAAATATAGGAGGTATAATCTCTTTGGATGGCTTGCTAGAAGAGATAAGCATTGTAGAGATAGCCACTTTATATGTCTGCTGTTGAATCAAGCCAGAAAATGATGTGATCAGGTTGAACAATCGAGATGCTGCATGCTGATTTCCAGTCACTTTTTTTTTTCTGCTGGCTGGTTTAAATAAACTTTTGATCATCTTTCATTTCCTTCCTTCCTTCTTTTTTCATTTTCGCAAACAACATTTTCTAGTAATGAGCAACCACGACATTGAACGCATCAAGAGCTTGCTTGGTACACACGAGGATTTTCCTCAAAAGGTACCGACAATAAAACAGTAGTAGGAGGCTTGGACAGATTGCTAACATCTTAAGCGTATTAGGGTATTGTGTTCAAGGACATGTTCCCTGTTTTCCAAGACCCCACTGCTGTCGAAGCTCTCATCTGTAACATCGTTCATCACATCAACTCTACCTATACCGAAAATATCGATGCTGTTGTTGGTAAGTAGCTTAAAGAAAGTGCTCTCAAATGCAATCAAAAGATTGAACCATATGAAATGGCGGCAGGTCTCGATGCTCGTGGTTTCTTGTTTGGCCCTTTGATTGCCCTTCGTTTGGGTGCTGCTTTCGTTCCCGTTCGTAAGCAAGGCAAGTTGCCTGGAGAGTGTGCCCAAGCTACCTATGTCAAGGAGTACGGAGAGGTAAACGATAGTTTGGCATTGGGTGAGATACGGGAACATAGGGATTAATCGAATTGGGATGTGTAGGATGTTTTTGAGATCCAAAAGTCTGCTCTTAAGGAAGGCCAAAATGTCATTGTCATTGATGATTTGATTGCCACTGGTGGTTCTGCTGCTGCTGCTGGTGAACTCATCAAGAAGTGCAATGCCAAGACCATTGAGTACGTCTTTGTGATGGAACTTGACTTCTTGAACGGCTCCAAGGTCTTGGATGCTCCCGTTTACTCTTTGATTCACTTGTAAAATGCCTATTATATATTTTATTCATAACGCCATAAAGAGAGTGTATTTTTAGATAAGGTTTTTTTTCGATAATAAAAAATCGCACGCAAAAAAACATGTAATACAATGCCTAGTTGTTCAAGTAGTACACTAATTCATTTGTTGCAACATTGCTGCATTCGAGTATAAAAAATATCCAAAAAGGAAAAATCGTCCTTGTTTAAGCCCCTCTGGGCATCTGGATTGTGCGCAACCAGAAGCATTGCATGCAAAAGATCGATCTTATGGCTTTAATGAACATTGCTCGAGCCATTGCTAAAAGAAGGAGGCATTAACGCCTTGAATCCCGTCAATATAATCAAGCTATCCGCCTGAATGTGCTTAACATACACATTGGTGAACCTGCTAGCATATTAAAATCAGGACTGTAGCCTAGTGTTATCATCATACTCGACTTGGTATAAATAAACCTGATGAAAAACTAATGTATTTATTATGTACTACTGTATATTTATTAACTATCTAGAATACCCTATTCATGTAGACAAATACCTGACCCCTTTTCCAATAAAGCCATTTCTCATTTTCTTCAATGAACGCCCATCTGTTAACGGTGTACCATTATACGGGAACCCTGGAAACGGCCTGTAATGATGAATTTGACTTTTCTCGGATACTCCACATCTGCTTTAGTGGAAACAGCTCATGTCGAGCCAGACTATATACTAGCGTTGCGTCTTACCATTCAAATGTATGCAAAACACAGTGAAATCTGGATTTATTTGAGCAGCAATTTCTCGTGTTAGAAGCCGTTTTAGACCACCAGAATAAAACCAAACAATCACTCTCAACTAACATTTACTTACTGGCACGTTTGCTCAACTTTTTTTTGGGGCCTAAAACAAATCATCAAAAATTGACCCAAAACCATGAGGGGTACCTCATGGAGAACATCAAGAAATCAATTGATCGCATTTTTCGTCTCAAAAATGAAGACATTTACTAAGGTATATATTGGACCAAAATGATTCTCTTGATTCAAAGAAGCCTCTGAAAACCCGTTCTTGAAATCTTCATATGTAAAATCTCGCTATTTCGGCCATAATCGTCATTTCGTATTTTCGACAATTGCTCAATAGATTTATTTAACATAACTCTTGTAATTAATACCATTAAATGCGCCTTGAAAAGTACTTGCAGAAATCTTAAGGGTATACGACTGAACCATCACAACTTACATAGTCGAATTTAGCAAATTAGTCGAACTCGAGTCAAATTATATCAAATCTGTCCAATCTGAATCAAAAAGTCGAGCGGTAATTAAACTGGTTCGGGTGGCAGCAGCTGGTGGCTACACGCCTGGCTCGTGAACGCCATCGATGATTGAGTAGCTAATAAGAGGGGGATCCATATGGAAAAAGGCTGTTTTTTGGCATGCAATAGTTATAGGAATATCACGTATTGATTGTTTACATTTCCCTTACCATATTTATGTGCGAATCAAGCAACGTAAGCAAATGCATTTTACTTGGATTTTAGAAATACACAGCCCATCGCATCATCATGCTTGTATGCGTTTTGGTAGATGCGATTACAAACATAGATACACACATATACATATATTCTTTTCAGATAGATGAGAACGAATTGCACGTCTTGAATTCTTGGTTGTAGTGCACAAGATGCAACATCTCGACCTGTTACAAAAGTACAAACTAGATAAATTTACATATAAAGCAACATGTTATTGGCCAAAACGCAACCACACAACAAAGATGGCTCTCCTTTTTCCCCGCTAGTTTTTGGTAACTATTTTTGCGTGTGCTTTTTCTTTGGCTTGGGTGTGAATATTTGCTCTTTCTCTCTTTCTTTCTTTTCAAAAAAAAAACACAGCTTTCAAATAAGAAAGATACAAGAACAAATGGATACCTCACGAAATACGCATTATTCCTCTTATCCTTATCAGCAATCCAGTAGAGCCCAAGGCCCAGCACCACCATCTAAAGAAATATACCAATACGACGCACCTTGGTTGACTTATGCTTTGGATTGGTGCAAAACACCCATAGAACAAAAGAGCTTCAGGCTTGCTGTTGGTAGTTTTATTGAAGACAGCAACAACAAGGTACGGATATACAGCCTCATTAACTCCACATTTTTATACTGACTATAATATCGTTATCATCCATCATCAGCTTCAAATTATTTCACGTACCGATTTACTTGATGCCAACTCACAAATAGATCAACGAAACGATTTCACACCTGTTGCTGAAGCAGATTCTTATTATCCTATTACAAAAGTGCTTTGGGAGCCACGAAAGGTTAGAGCTTGAAGAAGGGGAAGAGCGTGCATTGTTGAAATTCCATCTGACATCTTTTCTTTTTTGGTTTGATATGCTAGAATGATGCCAGAAACAGTGATCTTTTAGCTACTACAGGTGATATTTTACGAATTTGGGAACTTGTTGATGATCCTAGACATGGACAAAGCAACTCGATCAATAGCTCAAGCAGAGCCAACAGCAACAATCATCACCACATGCAACAACTAGTCAAGAAGGCAGAACTTGTTAATGTAAACCACCACCCTCACTTGTATACACCACATTTCGATTAACTATTTGTTATACTGTAGATGAAACAGTCTGATTTTTGTGCGCCCTTGACCTCGTTTGATTGGAATGAAACTGATCCTTCTCTGGTTGTAACATCCAGTATTGACACAACATGCACAGTTTGGAACGTCGAGACTAGCCAAGCAAAAACGCAACTTATTGCCCACGACAGCGATGTGTATGATGTTGCTTTCATGCACGGTTCTGCTGATACATTTGCCAGTGTGGGCGCTGATGGCTCGGTTCGGTTGTTTGATTTACGTTCATTGGAACACTCCACTATCCTGTACGAAGCTCAACCTACACCCAATACCCGCATTGGAAACAATGCTAGTATACCTTTATTACGTCTCCAATTCAGTCGAATGAACTCGAACCTATTAGCGACATTTCATATGGATTCTGCTGTGGTACAGATCTTGGACATTCGCTATCCTAGCGCACCTGTTGCAGAGCTCTCAAAGAGCCATAGTGGAAGCATCAATTGTTTAAGCTGGTCTCCTACCGAGTCAGGTCAAATTGCAACTGGCGGCGATGATTCTCAAGTGCTTGTTTGGAACATCAACCAAGGCTCAAACGACAGTCGATCCTACTACCAAAGCACACAACAGCGCTACAGCCATCAGCCACCCCGTTCAGTTCAAGATCCTCTTTTGGCCTATGTTGCTGATGCAGAAGTTAACTCGTTGACATGGAGCAAGTCTGCTCCCGAATGGATCGGCGTTGGTTTTGGCAAAACGATTCAAGCACTCAGAGTGTAGTGTAATTTGAATGGAATAAAAAGTTATATATTTATATGAGATGTATATATGTAAATGTGTGTATGAGTATATTTTACAAGGCTAGTTATTAGGTACAGGTGTTTTTTGATATTACTATGGTACATTATTAGGATTGCCATGCAATGATGGATGCGATTAGAAAAGAGAGCAGCAAAACTGAAGACACATTAGCCCATCAACCATAGACGCATGCAATATCGCCTGCTTACCTGAGAGAAATCCCCAATCTCTTATACCAGTCCAAATCTCGTCTCTTCTCCAAGCAGCTTTGATCTTTTTTTCCAACTCGAATAATCTTGTGTCTATACTGATAGCTTTGCGGTATTTCTCAAATCGATATTTCTGCATACTGTTCTTCTTTTTGTTTATTTTTACTTTCTGTTCGTTTTCAACCACTCTCTCCTGGACGGATCTCATCTCTGGTATATTATCCTTGAGCAATGCTGAAATGGAATAGTAAATAGCGTCCATCTGTGTCTGCATCCACTGGCATTCGTCCTGATATTTGATAATCTCTTCTTGCTTGATTGTGATCTTTTTCATCTCCTTTTCAATTGCATCTTGCATACGTTCAATGTCCTGATTGATGTAGACGACCGCTTCCTGCATTGATCTAGTTATTGCTAGGTGAGGACAATCAAGCCATAAACACAATGAGTCAAAGACTTACACATATCTATCGTTTGAAAATGCACCTTGAGGCTCATTGAACACCTTGACATGGTTACTATGCTGCACTTGATTCGCACTCTCATTGATGTACACCTTTTTAACCGGTTTCTTCTCCTTCTTTTTTGATGACACCACAAGATTGGCAACTTCAGAGTCATCAGATAAAGCTGGTTGAGGCGGTTGCTGTTGACTATTGTCACGTGCAAGTTCCCTGGAAGGATCAATAATGCGAATAGATGCTAATTGTAGAAAGTCTGTTACGGCTTGCTCTTATTTTTACAGTAAACAGAATATACCATTGTCGTCCATTAAAAAATCGTCTCCATCGCTCATATCCGTTGCATTCGACATTTTTTTGTATTTCTCAACAAATCGAGTTTTGCTGGATTGTTGCTTTAGTCGGTTCACAAAGTTTGAAAGCGTTGGCTTCCGAACGATGGGCTGGATAATGGAATTGTACGGATTGGAAACGACATGATCAAACGGCGGGATATTATCCAATGATGTGTTTGAAATGTTGCTATTTCTACCTCTATCTTGATTGATATAGTTGCTGACTTCTTCAAATTCCATCGCTTCTTGGAGGGAGAATACTAAAAAGAGAGAAGGGAAAAAAAGAAAAAACGTAAAATCATTGGTCTTATTTATATTCAAGTTGCTTACACTTAAGCACACGTGAAATAAAAATCGATGATGGTAGTTACACATGGTCACAGAGTCGCTGCTATGAAGCTGCTACTAGTCGTGTATGAAAGACATCACAACTGATAGCATCAACATGGATGGAACAGCGGCACATCTAAACAAGAGCCGAATCACTTTTGAAGCGTCTATTGAACAACATTTCCTATTGCAGGAAATGTTGTTGATGAGATCAAGGCACGCATTGTTTAACCTAAATGTTGAGTCTCAATTCATTTAGGAACCACTGTGAATCATTTCCAGCAGGGTCTCTGTAAATGCATCCTATAAAGATCAATGTAAAGCAACAGTAAAGCATTACAGACACGCGTCTAGTTTTATTTTTGTAATAAACCTAATAATTCAACTGCTTGATCTATGATATTCCAAAAGATGGACAATCTCTTGATGGGTATGAGCAACACAACCTGCTAAAGAGACGAATGCTCTGCTTTGACGATTCAACACGGCACCAATGAGTTGTGGAGAAAATGAAGCGTTTGTCTCTAAGCTATTGACCGTCTGTTCAAGCGTGGATACTGTCTCTGATAACTGATTTATTCTCTTTTCCATGTTGATGGTTGTGTTTTCAAAGAGTTTCCCATTCTCACTACCACCGAGCATGTTTCTTGATTGCAGGACATCACTAGCACTATTAACTTCCAGACGATGCCCCATGGTTTGCGAAATGAGATGATCTATGCTTTTATCTGTAGCTTCCAACTTCTCGCTTAAAGTCATGACATCCTATTCAAGCGAACCAAGTTGATTTATGCCCTCATGATCAGCGTAAAATACTTACTCTGTTCAGCATGGTGGTTTTATCATTTATTGACTTCAGTGTAGACCCAAAAGATGAATCAAAATTTTGCTTTACTTTGTCCTTCTTGTCAATCTGCTCTTTGATAAATTGAGAAAGCAATGCCAAGTCATGTCGCCTTTCATCAGGAAGCTCCCAGTAACGGGTTTTGTAGGTGGTTTGATCGGTGTCAGGAACTGGAGATAGGAATTGAGGTTGTAAGGCAACGCTAGAAGCTTTTCTTTTAATTGCTTTGAAGACTGTCTTCAAATCGCTGTATCTTACCTAAAGGTATCCATTGTAGCGCTTGGAAGTGGACTGATCATTGAAGATCGGGCATAATCATCCGTATAGCTGACTGCATTGAAGGCAGGAGATGCAGTTGTAGGCTCGCATGGCTGAGTAATTATGCTTGGATGACTGAAGGGCTATAGAAATGAGGCCTCTGCTATACTATAACTGAGTCTATTGTCTGTATTAAGTTGAGATAAGGCTGTTGGAATATGGCAGTTGACTGAACTAGACGCAAGCGACGCATTTGGGATCCTATAACTGCTTTCATTGTCTGCACAAGGTATAGATGAAGCCTTTGGAGTATTAAAACTGATGCTATTGTTTACACTAGGTTTGGAGAATTTATCAGCACTGTGGTCTTTTCTAATAGCCACGGAATTCATCTTTGAGGTAGCCTGTACAAGTTGTGTCTTCTTATGACAATCTTCCAATGCTGCAGTTCGTTGACGCTTTCGCCTAGTATCAGTTCTCTTTCTAGGAGCACTTGAGACGAAAAAGAGGTAAGCTACAGCATCTAATCGAAAATGCTTTACGGTACCTCATTTTAAACTGATAGTCGAACGAAAAAGAAAAAACGAAAAGGTTATAAACATTTAGAGCAGTGTGCTCGTATAAAACGACTGCCCGAACAATGATAAGTGCAAGATGGCAGAGATCACCGCCTTGGGTTAGCTGTCTCTCTCTGAAGATGATGTTTATGTTGAACCATCTGTCTCTGTACATGCCAGAAGCTTGAGGCTTGCATACGCTACAAATAGCTCGAGTTGCACAAGATGTTCGAAATTAACGATATTGCCGTAATCTCTTATACGACAAGGCAGAGTATATGCGTACGCTTTGCATTGCTTATTTCTGCAAACCTTAAAAGCCATCTATTCAGTAAGGAAAATGCTACAGTTGCATTCGTTAAAACGCTGGCATATGAAATGACCATGGCAAAACGAAGCTTGCGTTGTGTTCCTGAGATGCTCATGAAATATGCATTATTAAAGTGAACCATTCGCCATCTTTGAATTGCGAATCTTCCAGACATCAATATCAGCTATCTCTTCTATAGCTTTCTACAAATGTTTGAGCCACGGCTGTTTGATTAGACAAGTTCGCAACAATTTCAATCATATGATGTCTGTAAAACGTGAAAAACGAATCGAGATGATACTAATCGACAATCACAACAGCCATAGAAGGCAATTTCGGGAAAACCCTTGTTTGCCATTTGATTTAATCAATGCAGATTTCAAGCATATTACACAGCTCTTTCGGTATTCACCACAACAACCAAGGAATTTTTAAAGAAACTGCTTTCGCATCAAATACCTCATGTAGCCTCTATAAAAGGAATTTATTTTCAAAAATCAAATAGTGGCTAATCCACCTGGAGAAGCATTGTCATACACAATTTAGGCTTTAGGCAAAGTTGTCCAGACTTTGCACTTTTCCATGAATGTGTCTAGGCTTCCGTATTACACTTGATGGTACCAACAGCACGCAATCAATGAGCATTTAACAATTGATCTACCGACTGCATCCACATAGAGGCAAAAGTATCAAGTAATTGGCTTCCATCAAGCAATATAGGATTTAGATGAGAGCTTTTTGATTCATACTGTCGCTCCTTGTGCAACATGAACTTGTGTTTGGAACTCTGTCTAACCAGATCTGTCTATAGAAATGAAGGATACACACAAATCCTGTATTAATAAATCGGTAGTGCAATGTAATGTCTACTTTGGTCACAACAGCCAGAACCTGTAGCTCAATGCAATGCACCATGCGCTTGTGTATTTGTATTTATGTTCATGTCATGTACTTTCAACAGTGGCTGCAAAGAGCGGGAGGGGAGGTGTTGTGTGAGTTACCTGGTTTAGTAATTGCATTTGTATTACATTCAATGTGAAGCGGAAAGGCAAAAGAGTTAAATGATTTGTATCGCTTTTAATTGCCACCATAACAAGAAACACTATATGTTATAAATGAGATACATATATGAAAACATGGATTCTAAGGAAAGAAGAGCCACCACGGATGGAAACACCAGAACAACATGAGAAATCCCTCTTTCCAGGCCCTTTTTATAGCAGAAACACAAGGCGACATTTTACTGGGTTCACAATAGATTCCCCATCTTGGCAAGAGAACAGCATTTCAGTTTATAGTTGTATAAAATACTGTACGAATAAAAGGGAGAGCCTGCGCTATGTGCTTGTATTAATAGAAGCTCTTATTTATCTACACGTGGTGAGTTTCTTTATACCCTTCGAGGCTGGTGAGCTACATTTGTATTTCAACAAATGACATCGACACACTCCTTGAACCTCGCTTGTTACACATTCAGTGATTAAGAAACTGCCCTGAACGCCCGATTTTTGTTTTGTCTGTTTCTCTCTCTCTCTCTTTTCTCACCCTTTCTTTCTTTCTACCTTCCTTTACAATCATCTACTACTCTTACCATTCACCCATCACCCATCAACATGGACCAATCAGCACCGACTGCAGTGATGGAAAATATGCGTTCGCCTACGCTGGAAGCGCTGTGCCATGATCTGGATATGTTTATCAATGAATTGACTGTAAGCTCTGCCAAAAATCGGTCTTCAACCTCTATCAGCGAAACGAAACACCACAATTACAAAGAGATAACTCCTCTTGAACTCGATAAATCAATGGTTTGTAACCCCAAATGAAGAAAGTTGTGTGTTTAATAACGAGTAGTTACAGAAGGGATTCCAAGATGACTACTACACAAACAACACACCCGCAGCAGATCAAGACGAGTCAGAGTTTTATCAAGACGAAAGTCCTGGATACTCACCTGTATTGGAAAACTACACCAGATTCAGTGAATACGCACCTGTGAATGATGTGGCAGCTACTGTACCCAAAGTGTCCCACACTCCTCCAATGTCACCTAGTTTTCTACGAGTTAGCCACAATAGTACTACCAGCAACAGCAGCAGCAGCAATAATGGAACCGACTATTTTAGACAATCCAATGACGAGTATGTATTCACTACTCGATCTAGCTCGCTGAATCGTGCTACTTCCTCCTCGTCAGGAAGATCCATCGTCCACTTGAACAACAACCGCATGGTGCCTCCGTCACCCAACAAGGCAATCTTTTCAAATCCAACATCTCCATTAGCATTCGAAATCAACACTATAGAAGAGTCAGTCAGGGAGATACCCAATCACGCCTTATTATCCTACATTGCCAGCCACTTTATCAATGCTGTTGCATTACTCAACCAACGTAGACGCATCTACTGTTCAGCAGAATACCCACTAAGCTTTACCGGAGAGGAGGCCATTGTAAGTGCTGCATTCTATTTACACAAAGTAAGAGAACTGACAAGGTGCTCTATAGGACATGATCCGAGGGTTTTCTCCTTCTGGATTGAAAGATAGCATCTACTTGGACGTGGCTCAAAGTCTCATGTACTGCAAACCTGCGCTTATTGTGCCTACTGATAGCTCGGAAAAATCTATCCGCAAAAAGCGAATTTATAATTCACCTACTGAAATGTATACCTTAGTTGAAGCCGCCTTGGATGAGGATATTCAAGGTATTTATACCCCTTTTACCCGCTGTTATTCCATGAGCTGTCTGCCTGGACAGCCTGGTTGTTACTCTGCATCTTGTCCAAACAAGGTCTATTCCTTGAATGGCTATATTTTCAAAAAACCAACTGCTGTTTCGGTCGTGTCCTCTTCTTCGCATGATACGGTAAGCAGTAGCTCTATTTGTGGGGGGGGGTGCAATTTGATTCTAACGCAATGTATTTAGACTCTCTCACGTGCTTGGTCAGCTACCATCGCAAAGGACATTTTGAAATCCATGCCTGATGATGAAATCAAGAGACAGGAAGCCATTCATGAAGTAATTTACACAGAGGATGATTATGTTCGAGATTTGAAGATTTTGGATGTGGTGAGTGCTTTTAAGGCAAGATGCAGTGTATCAATCACAGGCACTGATAATTGTTATACAGGACTTTGCCAAAGAATTGCTCGCTTCCCAATCGATTGAAGAGTCTCGCAAACAAGAGTTCCATGACAAGGTGCTAAATAACTATCAAGAGATCCTTGAGATCCATGATGCGCTGTACAAGGAGCTGCGAGATTATCAAGCCGTGTGCCAATCTACCAGCGGCATTGGGCTGGTAGACAAGATTGGCGATATTTTTTTACGTCATGTTCATCGCTTCATGGATGCCTATCTCAAATACGGCCCACATGTTGTGTTGGCTGAGTACTTTGCCAAAGTGGAATCTGAAACTAATATGGTGTTTAGACACTTTATCAAAGCCCGAGAACAGTTAGCTCAATGTCGTCGCCTACCGTTTCGCCATTTCATCATCCTACCAGTAACTCGACTGCAGCGCTATTCCCTGCTCCTGGGTGCCGTATTGAAAAAGACACCAGATGATAGTCCAGACAAGCAATATTTGACAGAATGCATTGACATTATCAAAAGTGTGGCATCGAAAATGGATGAAGGCACACTAAAGACCAAAAACACACTTCGCATCTACGAGATCAACAGCCGCATTCGATGCAAGCCAGATGAACCACATAATTTGGACTTGTTGAAGCCAGGTCGTCGTTTGCTACAAGAAGGCATACTGACTCGCAAATCCCACATGGTAGTGGAGACCGTAGAATTGTCAGTGTTTTTGTTTGACCATTTGCTGCTGTTCACCAAAGCAAGGAAATCAGCTACCAAAGAAAACGATGTCGAGTATCATGTCTCAAAGCGACCCATCCCAATGGAACTACTACATATGCAAGAAGCAACAGAAGGATTCTCTATGGGCATGCGAAATATGAGCAGCACCTACTCGACTCAGTCTAGCACCACCACCATGCTCCCTTCCTCCTCTCCATTCGGCGTGAGCTACCCCATCCTGCTCTCTCATCTTGGACGCAGAGGTGCTGATTATCTGCTGTATGCTGAAAGTGCTGCAGCTCGTCTGGAGTGGAAGGAAAAAGTAGTTGAGGCAAAAGCAATGTTGGAAATGGCAGACTTGGAAAAACGTGTGTTTGAAATAAGAACATTGAGCGATACAACATTTGCTGGTTCAAATCATCAATCGCCTCATAACCACGGCAAAGTCACTTGCACAGTTCCGTTCAGTAAGTAGTGGATAGAGTGGCAAAGGAGCATCATTAACTTTATATGATAGTGGGTCCAACGGGTATTCGCATGATTGCAGTGGGCACTCAACAGGGAGTCTGGATGGGCATTGAAGGAGACACCAACACCATCAAGCTTGCTTTGGCTATTTCTGACGTGCAGCAAATTGCTGTCTTGGAAGACCACCATATCTTTTTGATTTTATCCGACAAGACCTTGTACGCTTATGCCTTGGACTCACTCATACCAAAAGACAACACGCGCAAACTAGCCAACGACAAGCCGCATCAAAAGATTGCACAGCACATCTCCTTCTTCCATTCAGGCATTTGCAATGGCCGCACCATCGTCATTGCAATGAAGAAGCGAGGCGTGGATAGCAACTTCAAAGTGTTGGAACCTGTGTGTGGTGATTTGCGAGATCCCAAGAGCAGCAAGTTTTTTGCCAAATCTGGTCTATTCAGCAAGATGCCATCTTGGTTCAAGAGCTCCATGGAATTTTACATTGGCACTGAATCTTACGCTATGCACTTTTTGAAAGCGCGTGTCGTAGTGGTGTGTGCTCGTGGCTTTGAAATCATCAATCTGGAAGCGCTCAACATGAACCGCAATTTGCCCGACATGACAAACCCTGATTTTGCGTTTGTTCAGCAACGTGGAGAAGATTTGCGGCCGTTGGGCATGTACCGTTGTAGAGAACACTATCTGCTGTGTTATGATGCTTTTGCGTTCATGGTCAATGTGCATGGCGCCTTTGTGAAAGATGCTGCTCTGATTCAATGGGAGGGTGTGCCCCAATCTGTGGCATTTTATTACCCGTATGTCATTGGGTTCGATGCTCGATTTATAGAAATTCGCCATGTTGAGACAGTAAGTGAGATACATTCCAGTGAAGACTTACAAACTAACGTGGGGCTTTAGGGTGAATTGATTCAAGTGCTAGCCGGTAATCACATGCGTTGTCTGCAGTTCATAAACAACAATATTGCACCAGTGATCCATGGCTGCATGGCTCATCCATTCAAGCCTGAATTCCAGTATATTTTCCAACTAGCTGGTACCTTTGAACCACCTGTTTAATTTCTCCCATCTAGCTATTATGTATTCTTCTCTTTTTCTTCTTTTCAGTTCATCATCATATCTCATATTGTTACTTTTAATATTTATTTACCAAAGCTTGTAATTCAAAATGTGCCTCTTTTGTTGATTCAGCTTCTTGCTGTAATTTGGTAGTCCTTGAGAACGTCTCTAAAAATTGCTTTTTTTCAGATGTATGTTGCTTTAGATACTGAGTGTAGTATGCAAGACGATATATTGTTCTTGAATGAAGCCAATATCTGTACGCGCAATGCCTAAATTTATACTTGTTTAATATAAACAATGGCTTGATTTGTAAATTATTAGGCATCTTGCCATGGATTTGGATCTTGACAGCACCATGTAGGTATGAAGACTGTTGGAAAGATCAGATTACGAAGAGCACTGGTCATTATCATCAAATCAGAGAAGAAAGTACATAATCCACCCTGCCTTAACTCTAAAAAGTTCTTCATTACGTGATCTAATGTTGAATTTTATATACACAGACCTATTCCAAAATTATGCATAATTTTGATAATGCTTGCAATTTAAATTAACTGAAGAGGATAACGTTGTATTTATTACACATCAGTAAAAAGCGTAAATTCTGGGCTACCTACCTATATAGCTCTTATACAGCAATAGAAGAGGAAAAGAGTCCATATTGTCAATTTAATAGCGGGTACCTTTACCATGACTCTTCCTCGATGGGTCAATGCTATCAAATACTAAAAAAATCAATTTCTTCTGAATCAATCGAACACAGGCATTTCATGAACTGAGCAAGCTTATGCAATTTTATCCCTTGGCTAAGGCCATTTTAAACGCTATCTATTCACAAACTGCGTGAACATTGACAAGGGAATTTAGATTCTATCTTTATCAATTCATGGTTTTGTTTGCATTATTTCTCTTTAATCACTAAACTGATATAATCCTCTACTGTAACGAATGACTTTTATTAGTAGCATCTGCTCAAATTTTGCAAATTTCAAAAATCTCTCGTTTCTAATCATCAACGCATTATATCTAGAATCCAATTGCACCATCGTTTTTTACGCAAAAAATTGCTATAGAAACATGCTACTTTCAAAGCTCTAGCATCAATATTTCGAAAATCGATTTTCGATCGTCCAAAAGTTGAAAACCTCAAAATCAAAAACCTTTTGTACATCCAGGTCCTCATAGGTAAGAAAAATTAGAATCATATAAAACTGAAATATGTTGTATAATAATGATATTGGAGCAAATCCTTAGTGGGAACATTATATTGGAAATGCATACTTCATGAGATAATCAACATTGGAGATGCTATTTTTAAGCGGGGGAATATATATACTTTAAATTAGAAACGTTATTATTCTTGAATAAAGCAAGCTACAGTTGTCTAGTCTTAACAACAAAATTCTTCAACATGTCAGGTATCTATTGATAAATTAAAATTAACAAGTTAATATGGCCCTTTTCGTACGCTCCGATTTTTAAAATGTTTGGTCAAATGCATACATGTGTGGTGTACACATGCGAAAGCTCAACGGAGATTCAATTTCTATTGTTCTGAATGATGATCCATGAGATTCCAAAATCTATCGACCTTAGGATTACGCGTTTCTTGATAGTAAACACCCCTTCAAACTTATATAAAACTTGTAGAGAATTCAAAGGAGAATACAATGGTATTTATATCAAGTTTCTGGTGTACATTGTTCACTTGATATTTGGTACAATTGTTTTTGCGATTTTCTGACTGTTTTCTAAAGATTAATCAGTACCTGTCATCAAAACATTTGGTTAAGCATTACTAAACATTGTAGGCCAAAGAAATTCCTATTGAATGAGCTATTGCTTGAAGCTCTGGTATGACTCTGTCATAAAATATTGACAATATTGTCCTGACCAAAAAGAGGTCACCCAGATTTTTCGCTTGCTATCACAGGCAGATTTCGAAGAAAAATCCATGATTTTGCTTGATACTCTTTTTTGACCATATCTCAACAAATACTCACTGGATTCGCACAAAACAAAGACCATTCGATAGCTCTATGTTATATCCATTATGATATAAAAGTTTTAAGTGCCAGTTGTACGTTCTCTTTATAAATTTGCTCAAAATTATATATTTTATGAGCTACAAGCAGGGGATATTCAACTTTTTTTATATTTACCTATAATAACCATGCCATCGTATAGAGAATTGAAAAAGAAACAGAAGCTATTAAGTTTGAAGCTCTCGTTCACTTAGTAAAATTCAGAGATATGGCCATTTGAAAATCGGTCATTTGGAACATTTTTCGTCATTACTCATTGGCATCACTTTCCATAATCTCACATCATACATGTCCTAACCAAAAGCTGTACCCTCTACAACTTTCACTACACATACATCTCACATTCATATAGTAATTTAAAAAGTTTTGCTAGCAGCATCTATTCAAAATGAACTATTCTTTTAAATCTCCCTTTTCTCAACAGCCATTGTTAAGCACAAAGAATAAAAGGATTATTATTTGTAGCTTATAAAAAATGTTCAATTTTATAAAAACAAGAAAAGACTTATTTGAATAAGATCAGACACAAAAACTAAAGATTTATTGATGAAGACAAGAGTTATTCTATTTATACTAAGTTCTGAATGCCAAAGTAGCAATTTATCTTGTACAGCGCTTATCACATCTGGTGAACCTCAGTATTTAGATAGCTGAGATGCACTTCAATTACCATAGCTTGTCCATGTCGTTGCACAACACAGACATATCTACCCATCAAGAATACCTTAATCTTTATAGACAGTTGTAGCCCTTCTGGCACAACAGCCATGCTACCTACGCAAATTTCAATTGCACCATCGTTTAGAGGGCAAGAGCGGGAACTCAAATCAACCAAAAACTCCAAAATCGAGATTTGAAAATTTTCTGTGCCCTGATTGGCCTGTCTGCTTTCTTCTGTTGGAGATCAACATATTTATTATACACTCATCATCTCATTTTTGTTGTTATATACTCGATACAAATTAGTCACCGAAATGGTTACTGTTTGTCTTTATTTTTAAGAAATTCGAAAACCCCAATAAATGTTTGAATGCTTCAAAATCATAGATCTCACTACTTAACCTAATTTAAAGTTTTAAATGAGTATACATCAAGATCAGGTCAATCGACAAGCCAAACCTCGTCTTTCAGAATGGCAAATTGGTGGTATAGTAAACTGCCACAGAGCAGGTGTCAAAGAAAGTGTGATCTGCAAGACCATGAACCTGTCCCCGTCTACGGTAAGCACCGCGATCAAGAGGGCAGGCTCTAAAGGCACCGAATTGCTTCCAAAACGTTCTGGAGCACCATTGAAGATGGATAATAGAGATCAGAGACGGCTCGCACGTCAGCTTCGCTCTGCACCGTTGTTACCAATGAAGAACCATTTGAAGTTATGATGTGACGCCAACCCATCAATTTCAATGGATCCGTTCAGGAAGTATATGAAGCTAATTGACTTTCAATCTTATAAGACTGCACACAAACCAGCATTGACACCTGAGCACAAGCTGAAAAAGACTCTCCTGGTGCTTGGACAAAGTCGAATGGGGGCAAGAACAGTGAAGAAAGGTTGTTTGGTCCGATGAGTCCATATTCATGGTTCTCGGTAATGATGGTGGCTCTAGGGAGATCCGAAAAGAAGGTGAAAGGTACAATGATCACCACATCATCAAAACCAAGAAGTTTGGAAGTGGCTCTGTGATGCTTTGGGGATGCTTTTGGGCTGGAGGCTGCGGACCGTTAGTAGCACTTCATGGCCGAGTAAATCAGGACAGATACATCGAGTGTTTGAACAAGAGCTACTTGCCATGGATAGCTAATGTAATGAAGGATGAGGAAGGCAACTTCGTTCTTCAAGAAGATGGTGCTTCCTGTCATACAAGTAGAATTTCTACAAGTTGGAAGGAGGATCAACCACTGGTCAACAGTTTTAGCTTCTGGCCGGCTCAAAGCCCCGATTTGAATCCAATCGAACATCTGTGGGCCATCATGGAGAAGCGAATTGAGAGCAAGAGGCATCTCATTGATAATGCAGAACAATTGCTTGCATGTATCCATGAGGAGTGGAATAACTTGGATCTTGATCTGGCGGAGAGATTAGTTGCAAGTATGCCATCTAGATGTCAAGCTGTAATAAATGCAAGAGGCGGAATAGCACGCTACTAAAAGCATCGAATATAAATAAAATACTATTGTAAATAGTATATATCCAAATTTCATGTACTTCTTACGATGTTTTATTAATGACGATTTGATGTCAAAGATCAATGAATTATTTGATGCCAAAAAAAAATTGAACCCAGTTACGGTGACCAATTCGTATCGAGTGTATTTATACAGACATAACACATGTGTGGTTCGTCCTGGAATTGCGCATAATCCATATAGTGTATTGAGCACATACACATCACAGCCGTAAACACACAGACCTCACACGATGAAAATAGAAATTACCAGTAAGCTTCATCAATAATGTATGTATACGGTGTATTGTACTACTGCTTGCTAGTCTCTTTTCGTTGATGCAAAGATTTTTAGAATTAATATCATTTGTCTCGTTGGTAGTGAGGCTTCTCTACTAATGCATTGCCATATATTCAAAAAAGTTTGTTGAAATACATAAAGAAGGTAAAACTTCATTATCGTTGTTATTAGGGTATAAGTTATAATTTGACGGCAGTTACTCATTTCTTTCATCGCAGCTCAAGTAGAATGTCTTCTTGGTTGTTTTTGTCTTGTTACGGTTTTGATAACATTTACACGAGGCAAAACAACATCAGCATAGGTGGGTGGTGCAGTGGGTATATATACAGGAGACGAGGGCGAGGGAGAAGATACATCCATATCCATTATGCTATCGACATGGTCGTTTTTCAACATCTCTTCTAACGTAGGTGCAGTAGGTGTTATTGTATTCATTTCATCTGTGAATGGGTGAAGGTGATTAGTAACATAATAGTTGCTGGAGCTACTGCCAACACCCAAGTCTTCACTTTCTTGAAAATAAAATGGGATGTCTGGGTTAATGGATGGTGGAGGTTGTGGATGGTATTCCTGATTCTGCACTTGAAGCTGCTTTTCGCAGACTTGAACATCCTGTATTGATATTAAGTTCGTAGTTGAAGTTGCAGTTTCTGAGGTTGGTGTTTGCAGTGTAGTAGTATCCATACTTTGAAGGTTATCTTCAAAGCTGTAAAGAGTTTGGGTGATGCGTTCTTGTTGTGGATGATCTTTGTATACCAGGGGAATAATTTGTTTGATATCATCGTAGATCATTGGCTTCCATAACGGTTCATGTATACAAGGGTCCAGATAAATACTGCTGATAAGCTGGGCATCACGGTCAATCATACTTTCTGGAGTCGCGTTTGTACTGTTCTGCGATGCCATTACATAAAGTTCGACACCCTCATCTGGCGATGACTGTTCTGTGTTTGATGGCCCATCCACGCTGGCATTCAGATCCACCCAGGTCTTGGGCTTTTCGTTCCTTTTGAGACGCTTTAAATACAACAGATTGATGATAAACGTGATAAAAGGTAGCGGAATAAGTATGTATATCTGATCCATACCAGCCTTCAAGCTTAATATCAAGATCATCATAGCTTGGAATACAATCAGAGAAAGCATGACGATACGATATAACAGGGGCCATATTCTTCCGTACGTTTCGGTTTTCGTAACGTAAATATACATCAGCTTGTATTTGAAGGTAGTAGTGGCTAGTCCAAAATAGACCAAAGCAAACGGCAGTACAATAGGAGCAATAACCGAGTAAACCAGAGCAGCAGTGAAAAAAGAGATAATGAGTCCATAATTTTTAGCGTACTGGAAAGGAGGAGGAGATCCTATCAGATTGTCCAACTGACGAGGCGTGTATCTGTAGCTTCCCGCATAACGATTCGGTAACAAAACAATAAAGAACAACGGCGCCACTTGGAGCAAATCAAATACAACACCAACAGAACGCAGACAGACATAGTTGATCCAAAATGAAGACACGTCAGACATGTTCTTTGCGATTTGCACAATGTAATCCGAAAAGCTTTTGCTATGCAGAGTTCCAACCAAGGTCAATGCAGTAATCTGACCTACAATGCCCAGCATAATGTTGACGAGCGTAAATACCATCAGATTGTTGACTACAAAGAACATGTAGAACTTCCATATAATCTTTTGTTCGACTACTGTGTTGGTTTTGTATGCTTGCTGTCGAGATACTAGTCCAAGCAGTTCAGATAATCCCACATGGAAAAGAACCATCAACAGTGGTGTGAGATAGGATTGGATCAACCCCATAAGCAGCTGATTATTTTTGATAATTTTGTTGGATTCCTTGAACAATCGAATGAAGTTGATCAAATTCGAACTGACAGCCAACAAAGCAATAGGAATTCCCCACACAAAGAGGATAGAAAAGAAGAGACCGTATCCAAACCATCGCTTTAGCTCTGCAGTGTGTCGTTCAATGTTCATATTGGGCCAAATAATATCTTCAGGTTGTGGGGCTAGTCGTAATCTGACACATTGCCGTGTATCTACAGTTGCTCCAACCTTGTGTTGTCGCGCCATGTTTTCTTGCATAGAGATGAATGCTTTGTGTGCTGCCGATACACTGGGATACACAGCCCATCCATAGTTGCAGTTTTGTAATCTGGATCTGCTTCGTTTGATGGCTGTGCCTAATGAGAGAGCACGTTCAGTATAATAGTTGATTGCATCGGTCTTTCTTGATCTCCAGTTGAGTCGAATCGTGGGTCTCTTCAATTTAGAGATTGCCATTGCCAATTCTTCTACAAGTTGTATTGTGCTTTAGACGATATAACACTCAATTAGAATATGTCAAATGTTGTACCTGAATCGAGATTCTTATGTTTGAATTGCTCCTGTTTGACCAAAGACATATATCTGTTCATCACTCGCTCCAGGGATTTAATGATACGATTGTAGTCATTGACAAGCAAATAAAGCCGAGTGTTGTATTTCCCAGTAAGCACCTGCTGACAAGGCAATTTTGAAGTAGCTTCGACAGCCTTTTTCATTTCCACATTGGGGGTATAGATCACATTACTGCTGGATCTTCGAGGCGGCGCTTTTGACAAAGAGCTGAAATGAACGAGTAGTGTTCTATGTATCAAGTCGTCCTTTTGATGTTGTAATAATTCCGTCGCTGACATGGATGAAAGCTGTGTTTTTACTTTGGCTTCCTGCTGTGTGTAGTACTTTCGACAAAATCGAAGGAAGAGCTCGGACGATCTGCATAGCTGCAAGACGACTATGGCCGAAAAAAGCCAAGTTGCAACCGTGGGCGACCAATACCACAGCGTATTTGTCTTTTTGCTCTCTTTTCCGTACTGATAATTCATTGCTGAAATTGACATAAAGTCTAAACCGGGGGCTGGTGGCCAATCACTACATGTTGGTGTAACAAGTGGCGAATTTACAGTTAGTAAACATGAGCCTAATTTGCTACATCTCAAGTTGCACTGTACCCGGTATTGTATGTTGCTAAAATATTGACTGGAACAAACACAAACATAGATATGATAGTCAACACAATGATCAGTTGTCGAAGCATCCTTGTAAAGTAGATGAATACAAATCCATCAAATCCAATGTTTTGCAGCAGAGCATCATCCTTGATTTTGAACACAGGCTTTATCCAATCAAACCATCCTGGGCCCAGTCTTTCAGGCCTTCTTAGACTATAACATTTGAATATAAGTCAGTGGTCGGCGGCTCGTATGTTACTATGATGGCTTACTCTGATTTAGACAATTTTGTCTTGGGTGCGTATATAAAGGCGTGTCTCGGCCTCAACCAACTGAATAGAATCAGGACTGATACGGTGAAGAATAAATTAATACATAGCTGAATGATCATCGCCTTGAAGGTGACAGCATCTTCCAGCTTTTGCTGCTCTCTGAACGAGCTATCAATGTCATTCATGAACTATGTTCTCGTTTATGATTGTTATTATAAATTGCGTAGGAAAGAGAGGCAAATTGTACAGGCTCGAATTGTAGAACATAAGAAACCTCGAATCATAATTGTATGGGGCGAAGGACACTGCTGGGACACAATTTGTGTCCTCGGATTATTAAGGCTCAACCTAACTCAACTTGTCGCTTTTTGGTGGCAATAAAATGTTGCGGGACACAATTGCATTCTAAATTGTATGTGTGACCAATTTAGGAACACAACAAGCTTTCATCCAAACATTAACATAAAAGGTGATTACTCTTCAAGCAGTGGTTTCATAGAGCTATAAAAGGTGATTTTTGTCAAGACCTACCCTACTATGTTCAATAATGTTGATTTGGTGCCTGAAAAAAGCTGCGAGATCTCTTGAAGTAAAAAAAAAAAAAAAAAAAAAAAAAGTAGCATGCACTATTCAATAACCATGAAATGTGCCTCGTGTAAATGTTCAGGCAAGCAAAATACATGGGCCTTGTCAATACCTAACAGTCATCATCAAGTACTATGCTTATGGAATCAAGTACCATACTCTGTGACAAGGTATCATACGAAATCTGAGCTGTGGTAGCATGATATACACAATACATTGCCTATACGGTATTCTGCTATATGTCCAATCTCAGAGATGATAATGTTATCCTCATCAATGCCAGCTTGATCTTTCGTACTTTTCATACACATCTCAAGATTGATTTGGAGATCAAAGTGCATTGCACAACAAAACACAGCATAATAGGGCATAACATTGATCAACGAGCTCCCTAGTATACTGGTAGCATAATAGACATCAAAGCTGTTGATTTATTTGATTGTGGTTTGAGCAAGAGTGTCAAGCCCGTTGCAATTATTGACGACATCAGTGCCAGTGTTCAGGAATTATTCGTTTATAGTGGCTTCTGGAAAACCTTATCATTTTGTATTGGACGAAAAAACGAAGACAAAACAAAAATCCCGTATGCATATACAAGGGCATTTGACGGTAATGCATGAGGTACTAACTCTTCAATCCATGTAGCCTTCTCACAAGAATTCAAGAAGACTTGGGACGCACTGATTACGTCGACTTTACCACACGACATGCCCTGCAAGAGGCATGTAGAATATATCACACAAACTTTTCAAACATTTACTCCAAAAGGAACTGCCAAGCGGTGCTGAAGACAGTGATCAACTTGGTGCTCAAGGTCAACTTGTGTCGACAGCGCATTTTTGGAGAGAAGAAGAAGAAGAAAACATATAAACGCAAGCAGAGAAAAAGACCAAAGCCGCAGTCAGAACAAGCAAAGAAGAAGCAAGCAATGGAAAAGCTTTTTTGGCTTTTGGACTGTGATCATCGGGTGGATCAATGCATTGACAAGCAATTAGGCATCATTTTTTCAAACAAGAAGAAGAAACCAGAATCAAAGGAAGCTGCTGCTGCCAAAACTACTGGTGCACCATCTCCAGTTTCCCGTAAAGGCAAATCGCGCATGTCAGCATCATCTTCACCACAACCATTGTCTACTACGGATGCTGAGCAAGACATTGAGTTACTTGATAGTGACGGCAGTGATTTGGAAAGTGTCATGGATGATGGGCTACAAGAGGAAGAGGAAAGTTGTGATTTGACAGCCAAGGAGATCAATGTTTTGACGTCTGTATCCGTGATGCTTTGCCAACCCCCCTCCATCAAAGGTGATAATTCCTCTGAATACATCAAGACGCAGTTGTACCCCGATAAGAGAGACTCTATTCCAGCTAGTGCCCTTGATTGCTGCTGCACGATCATCAATGCCATCGAATCTCTTGTTCCTAAGGAAGATTTCCCCCTTCCATACAAGTGGTTTGGTTTGTTTCAGTTGCGCAATATTATTGTTACTTTCCGCCCTGGCCTTACAAGGAAGAACGCGAGAAGTCTCTTTTCAACAATAGAGGACACGCCGAGTCAAAAAAAAAATGGCAATTGCGTTCGATCCCGTAACCTTGTACTTATTATTCAGCAAACAGTACCACATTTACCAAAAGGACAAATCTGTATTCACCTCCTACTCAATGATCAAATCAATGGAAACAAAGGAGGATATCTTTTCAAATTTTTTTGACGTGCCCAAGATCAAGAAAATTCTGAAAGAACAAAAGCTCGACTTCAAGCATTATATCAAATTCAAAGACCAATACAAAGTTCATCTGGTGGGTTCAAGAGTGAAAAAACACAATAATGGCTCCAATGGCTCCAAATCGGATGAGAACAGATCCAGTGCCTCCGAGTCCAGTGTAAACAGGTCAAGTGCCTCCAAGTCTGATGTGGACAAGGTGAAAAAATTCTCCAGTGATATCAAAGAAACAAAGAAGCAGTTGTCGTCACTGTCAAGGCAGCTTTCAAAACTGCAATGACATCGCCTGGACTGTGGCAATGAATCGCGCTCCTGGGAGAAGAAACACAACAGCATGAATTTTGAATTATACAAAAAGTTGAAGGATGCTAGAAGTGATTACGATGAATTGTGCATGAAAGTGTCAAGCTTGAAGTCATCGATAAAGCAAATGTCCAGTGAGATGTACATTTTGAACAAAAGGATCCACGGTCAACAAGTACATCAAGCTGCTGCTGATGCCATGCCAAAGCCATTGGCTGTTGACAGTAAAACTATCGTTCAAGGCACTGACCCTGGTGTGTTGACCACCGCCAGCAGTGTATGGTGCTCTTCTCTCACTCTTTTTGAGTCGATCAATCAGTTTCAAATGCTGCAAGATTATTCTGATACTGCGACCTCTCTTGGAAACGGAAAAACACTCGTCAAGTATGAAATGACAGCCAACATAGTCGATAATGCTGTCCTCTCCAACAGGCGAAAGAAGAGGAAGAAGTCGTCAGTCAAGAAGCTACAGAAAGGAAAGGCAACTGGATGAATCCGCTTGAAGAAACTTCACCAACATTTGGTAGCCAGTGAAGCCAGATCAGCTGCAACCATGTCCACCTTCAACAAGCCAAAGATGGTTACCTTCATAGGAAACTGGCATCGCAGTACTCAGTACCTCCGTGGCCACAGCACTCAAAGTATGAAGCCGTACATGTCAACGCTGTCCACAAGAAGCACAGTCAGATTGGTGGACGAATACAATTCTACAAAAATTTGCTGCTTATGTTTCAAGGAGACACAGAAACAACTGGTGCGTGATGAGGATAATAGAATGAAGAGGAACCTCGGTGCCGTTACATGCTTTAACCCTGAGTGTCCAAAAAGGCTGGCTAAACAAACTACCATGAATCGTGATGAGCAAGGAGCGAGTAACATTGCCCTCATTGGTTTTCCGGCACTGGTCTCACTTGGCAACAAGGTGTTGCCTCCTTTCAGTCGAGTTCAAAATCCTGATAGGTAAGTTGGCCTTTTCACTGGGATCTATCAGCAGATTTTTTGACCTCTTACTTTTTTATAGGTACGTCTTATCCCCCACTTATTCACATGTCTTTGCACGCCAGACTGGCAATATGAGGACACCCACTTAGTTGGTGAATTATTGCAATAAAACCAATTGTCGAATAGAGTCATTCGTATTACAGTTACACTAAACGGAGGTGTGGTAAGATGGAACTGATCTTGTTCTGGACAATTTGAATATAAATGTACATTTGTCTGGCAAGGAAGACACACAATGGCTGTGTGCAGAATTTGAATATATTCAAGAGCCAAATGTTGATTACAAAATGGATTTATAGGATCGATTCAAAGCAGTAATACTTGCCGTCTCTAGAGATAATGAGTTGCAGACAAGCTGATGCACCAGTGCTGTAGTACAGACTACAAAGTTTTTGATATTGCAGATGAACATGCCATGCGTTAGGTTCAGTCCTGTATTTGCGCAAGCCAATATGAGGCAGTTTTGAAGACAAATTCAGTCATTTTCTTGAGCGCTTTGTGAGATATTAGTGGAGAGTGTGATAATTGACTTGATTTTACCTTGGCATTGTGTCAGAAAACGAATACATTTGCACAATTACATTACTGTTCAAACAGGCTTCAAGCACTACATTAGGTGTGCATGAAACAGTCTCCTCCAGAATGCCCTACTGATGCGACAGTTCAATGACAACTTTGAGCTTCGAAATAGAGTAAAGACGTTACAGTATCATTTGGTTGGTAGATTATCGATTGCTCAGATCAAAGCGCTCTCCGAGAGATTTTATAGCCTCCAGCATTTCCAGTACTTTGTATGTGAAAACTACATTGCCAGGCATCTAAAGCAATCCAAATCATGGCCCTTGGATCTCAAAAATTTACAAACCTTATACACAACAGCAAGTTTCTTTGACAACCCGAAATACAGCATATTTGATGGATGGTCGGAACTGAGGAGTATTGAAGAAACAAGCGATCGCATGTACACATTGTTCATACTGAAGAGCACACAGAATCCTTTTCGTCAATTATCAAGAATCTGGCTTAATTTCACCCATATCAACATGGCAGACAGATTGAGAGCAACTAATCAACTGGTAGAGGGTTTGGTGAACTCACCCAACTTGAAAGTATTGACAATGATAAATGCTCACATCAATCTGGAACACATGGACCTGATTATTAAACAATGCGGTCGACTGAAATCATTGACACTGACATCCACACACTTGGACAAATACCGATCCGTCAGACACCAAGACGAAGAAGAGAAGCCATTTATCATTGACTATTACGGCAAACCCAATGCAACCGTGCCGACTGGCAGTTTGAAAACTCTAAAGATTACGGGGTCAACATTCGAGAGAGGTTTGCCCATCTTTTGTTACATCGCTGAAAACTATACAGATCTTCAGGAACTCGTCTGTCAGGCGAAAGTTGTTGATGGCAATCCCACTTTCACGGTAGATGAAAGCAGTGCGAGAGGGCTCTTCCACCATTGCAGCAAGCTCGAGAAATTTGAAAGCAATCTATTTTCATGGATAGGTCAATTCATCGATTTGATAGATCAGCACACCACCACCACTAAAGAAGAATTCGACATTGACATTTCCGACATAGCAGTGAGTACATTCATAGCACTATGCAGAAGCAAAAGACTTCGCGAGGTATTGAAAAAGCTAACATACAACTTTAATGAAGTACCTCAAGCACTCGAATCCAACCTTTTGATATTCTCTAGTTTGGTTGTATTATATTTGAACTATGATTGCTCCCTAGACGATGAAGGCGATAACTTCAATTTAGATGAAGAAATGTCTGTGCCGCCGCCCATACCGGTCGTTTCGCTTCTGGAAGCATGTAGATCATTGACATCTCTCTCTGTGGGTCACCTCCCTATCCTCATTGACAGAATGCCAACTATAAATCACAACATCCAGGTGATACAATTGACAATATGCTCACTGGAAAGCTTCGAAAGACGCTATGGCTTTTATAATTATGTATCTGATCATTGCTTCGAATTAGAGGCATTGGAATTAGATGAAGGCAATTATCGACATTCACCGAGCATCAGGGAGCTGACCCCAAGTCTTTATAGTCATACAAAGCTTCACAGTCTGGTACCTTTGCACAATCGAGTTTATCACTATGTCAAGCATTTAGATCAAGCAGGAACTAATGACTGGTATCTTGTTCGTCGCAATAGATCTACGAATGAAATCCACCACACCCTGCTTGTAGAGCCATCCTATGCCATGGTTAAGTCTACCAAATATGTCACAATCAAGTGCCATAATGCCAGTATATTCTACAGAGACAAAATTGTCGTTTAGAGCGCTTAGATACCCTTAGCTGGTATATATATATATATTCCTAGAATCATATAATAAATGTTCAGTCCCTAGACACTTTTACAGCCCTAATATAGAAAATGAGTTTCCAGGCATCTATCAGGCCTGGCTCATATATGATTAATGATTTTACAATCAACCAACAAAAACCACTTTTATTTTTACCCTCTTTCCTCTGCTCGATGCCCTCAACGTTTTTTTTTGAACGACGACCCGAAGCCTCAAAGATTTTACCAGTTACTGCAGACATGTTGTGCAGCCCATGAATCGTCAATGTCCAGATTAACGGTATTAAATACAGAATGCAAGAGAATAGCATGATAAACGATAACGTTATGCAATTTTCCACCTACTTTCCATACGCTTCAAGGGTATTTACTACTGTATTGCCTTATTTTTAAAGGTTTTTATTACTTGCTCCGCGTAGACAATAGTAGCAGGACTATAATCAAGCGGTGGGCGCAATTTTCTGTGATAGTATTATATACGTTTAGATAAAGTATGAGAACGATTTAAAAGAAGGACTATTATAGGCTGGCATGAATGAGATCTTCGTCGATCATCTTTTGGATGTCGAGTCGGATACTATTCAGCACAGCGGCGGGAGCGAAGGAAGTTTGATCGAAGATAAGACGATAGTGGGCCTTCCAAATGTTAGACATCGCAATGACGACTATATGATGAGAGGAAGCACGAGGCCGCTGACTATATCGAATATTGTAAAAGTCGAGAGTGAGGAGGGAATGGCGGATATCATCAATGGTTACCGTGGGCCAGAGGAACTCAGAGATTGTATTGCCTTATGAAAAGGGCATTGAATTTGCCAGCCAGCTTCACCAGCCAAAATAGATTCAAACCCAGACTTTTAGTTTACTCCAGATTGGACAAATCTTGATGATTTTGGACTCGATTGAACTATTTTTGCAGATTCGACTATATAATATATGATGATCATCCTCTGCTTTTTTAAGCTTTCTTAAAGCGCTTTTCAAGCGGCATCCAATGATACCAAGTAAAATAGATGTTTTGAATAAACTTATTGAGCAATTTACGAAAATATGAAAAGAGGTTTCTGGCCAAAATGTCTAAATTTCACATATCAAGGTCCCACAAAGATGATTTCAGGGATTGCATTAAATCGATAGAAACATTTTGATTCAAGATATATCATATTAAAAGTCTTCATTTTCAAGGTGAAAAACGCGATCGTTTGATTTTCGACAAAAACCATGATGGACACCTCATGCTTTTTGGTCGATTTTTGGCCATGTTTTTTTTGATCCTCAAAAAGTTGAGCAAAGGTGTTAGAAAGTAACTGCCAGATGAGAGCAACTGCTTGGTATTATTCTGGTCATTTAAAACGGCCTTGAACGCGAGAAAACGCAGCTCAAATGCAGCTATATTTTGCTGTATTAGGCACACTCTTGACTAAAAATGGATAATATCTGTATGATACTTGCCTGTATATTGAGTAGCTACGTGTATATGGATATAAAGCATCACATAAGAATCAGATCCACAGATAATATAAAGGGTTTTTATGTGAAAGTAGAGGGTCAACATGAAAGTAGCAGTATTTTGATAAGATACGCAAGAGCAATCAGTAGCACGAGTTGCCGCTGCGCTGTTTGGTTCTCACCAAAGCGAAGCAAAGGTAGAGAACCGTCCGAAGCATAAACACTCATATGATTAGTGATTTTATATCAATCAACAATCAGGGTTCTTCTAACATTTATCTATATTAATTTTGCGATACTAGCCAAAGGTCCACGGCAGCGCGAGCTGTTTGAACGTAGGTTGGTTTCTACCGAAGCGAAGCGTAGGTCAGGAAACCACCCGAAGTGTCGAAAGGCTCGTAAACATAATGCCGATTAAAACTTTCTGTAAATCTTGTCGCATCCCAACATGGCAACTATGTGTGAAAAGCAGTTCGTTTCAAAACATAGAAGCAAGTGGTCTGGAAGAACAATTTCAACAATGGAACGGTATCATTCATTTCTGCAAAAAACAACAAGAGTAAGTCTAAACAGCTTCCTTTTTCAATGATTATTGCTAACAGCCCATTATTTTAGCTGTGCATATGTACACTTCGCAAACGATGATATGGCCTCTGTCCGTTATCACAGCCGTGACAATGCAACACTTAATGGTGAGAAAGTTAGTATTTTACCTGTCATTAAAAACAATGAACCAGTGCATTATGCACAACCTCCAACTTCCCTCCCTCCCCCCTCTCCCGCACTATCAACTTCGGCTATCGAGCTTCAACAAAAATCTCAACGGCAACAATCTCAACACAATGCTTTCAATACCGTGATAAAGAGAAATCTTGTTGAGGTTGATGATATGTTGAAAGCTTATGAGGAAGAGATTCAGAGACTTAAAAAAAAAAGAAAGATCATACAAGAGTTGTTGTACACAGTTTCAACAATTGTGTTTGAAATCATATGGCTGAAATAAGAACTTTTTCATGGTAAATTGATCAAACTTATTTTTCCACGACAGATCAATTACATCTGTGCAAAATAAATGATTTTAAGGAGTAAAAAAAAACTATTACAGAGTGCACCTGACGACAAAGTTAAGAGTATAGTGCTTTTCAGCTGTTACACCATACAACCCCTTACTTTGTATCATTTAACCGGGTAAACATATATTGTGGCCTTTTGAGAATTAGTTTTCTCCAAGAGATTTAGCATAATGATGATAGAGAAAGGGATATTTATTTATCAATGCAAGCAGTGTCAGTTCATTGATAACTTTGGAGCAAGTATAATGGGATCATGTCATGTAACGTACATCATCACAGCCGTATTTGCTGATGCATTGCGTAAGCCGAGTATTGAGAAGTGGCAAAATCAGCAGATGAGCATGTACATGATCTTGGAAAAAACGAGGACATGCATGTTTTACGGCCAGTTCTCTCTGTATCACTCAAGCATCGAGAGTATTATATTTGTATGAATAAGCAAGCGCTCTGCACGATCCATTGAAACTGTAAATGCAGTTTAATGAGTTGTTTTTTCAGAAATCAAATACCTAAACTTCTTGAAACAACACAAAAGTAGATTACATGCATCTTTTTCTCGACAAAGAGGCTATAAAACTCGTATATGGATCAACCGATTCGATCTAAATCTTATATTAAAAAGAGCCACGCAACTTTTCCTGAAAGCAAGTGTTCCTGATTGACATTGCTCTTTATGTGGAACCTCGTTCCTGGTTACTATGCTGTATTCGTAAAGCCGAGAAACTCGAAATGGATTTTTTTTGACATGGCCCTCATTCAACCGAAAAAAGACAGGCAAGAATATGCGAGCAGTATTTGTATTCATCAGGTTTTTTTTGTGCAAGAAGAAGAAAAAAGTAACATAGATCAATCACAATACAATAATAACAAGTTTTTTTTTTTTTTTTTTTTTTTTTGGTGCTTGAAAGGGTAGATTGTCATATTTGGTTTGATTGATTTTCTTTTGTTTATCGTTCTAGTGTTTGGGTTTCACAAGTCTACTGAATTTTTGCTTTTCTAAATGTTGTAGAGCATCATAAACCACAGGAAATATATTTCATAAACTCGATAGCATGTGATTGATGCAATCACAATACTGCGCCTTCAAGCCCAAAAAAAAAGACAATGGAAATGAGAGATAAGCCGGCCAAATCCTACCTGCTATTGCATTGCTTAGCACAGTGGTATGTGAATAGTTACACAGGCATTGGCTCATTATAAGAGTAAGGGTTTCTATCAGCAGGATATTTCGCTATTATTAGAAATAGAAAGATAGAAACGCCACACGTAAATATATATATCGAACATTGCAGGCAGCACTTTTCAGTTTTTATTATATGAGTATAGGCGATTGTTTTATCTGATAAGGTGTATTGTGCATACATGTGTATAAATAAAAGCGAGAGAGTTCTGTATAGATTAAATAAATGAGAATGGCTGGTAGTAATAAATATGTAGAATATGTATGTATGTGTATATGTATAAGAAATCTATCGAGAGATTTTAGTGATGAAATGTGCGGATCTTTTGTCTTTTCTGTCGAGCAGCATTGGCAGCTGCTAAAGCACAAGGTGATAAAGTTATGAGAACTGCTGTGGTGGTTCTAGTTTTATTATGATGATCGCCTTCAAAGGATATACCAGATAGCTTTTGAAGTGTCATTGAATACGAGTCGGAACTGCCATACACATAATTGTGTTCATTTTCCTCGCAATCACTGTCTTGTTGGTTGAATCTGTTGCATGAAGAGGAGGAGCAGGTAGACGAGGCAGAATCAAAATCTTGCTCTTGTGACGGATGAGAGGGGCGTAATATGAAATCATGGTTTGAAATGAGATTGAGCCTTGGTGGCAGTGCCAATTGAGTGGTATAACGAAGAGACCAAGACGAGGGAGGAGCCGCAGGTTTAATGGAGTCCACCACTTTGATCTTCTCATTAAAAGCATCTTCATCACCTTGCTCCAAAAAGTCATCTTGCATCAAACATTTTTCTTGAAACAGATCATTGGGCAATGTTCTGTGTTTACGAATTTCTGTTCGCATTTTCATTAATTTTGAAATACAAGTGTAAAGGCTGCTGGATCGCTTGGATTCGGTCTTTATACGACATCTTGTTGTTGCTGGTTCGATTTGAATATGATTTGACATTTTTAAATATTTAGGGTGGATAGTAAACAAGCAAAATGAAAGAGAAACATGGCCATTAATGATCAAATGTTGGGCTTTATATACAAGAAAAAACCGGGCCGCCTCAAAATGGAAAAAACTCTATATGAAATGTCTACAGGCTCATCATTTACAGATAAACAAACAACTGGATACACGCACGCGCAATAAAGTTCGTCTCCACTACGTTTTCCCCCTTAGTGTATATGGTGTAGTGTTCATTTTTGTATATATATATATATATAAAAAAGAAAACTGTTTCATAATAAGCTCCTAAATGAAGCAAATTCCCCTTTCCTTCTTTTTTATATGGTAGCATGGCACGTTATGCGACAGAAAGAAAAAATGCATCATGTTGATCTTGGGTCAGTGATTTATTATGATTTATGTAGGATGACTATGGTTCTATGAGCAATGGCGCTTGCTGTTCGTTTTGCTGCTGCGGATGTGATGGTTTTTCAGTGATAAAAGTGATATCTCGTTTACATATGGGGCACTGCATTACAAATAAAGTTGAGATTCGGATTACATTATAAAACAAACACAATTAACTTACGAACTTCTTTTGTGTGGTGAGCCAAGCATCGACACAAAACGTATGAAAATCATGCTTGCAGGGTAATACTCGTAATTCTTCGCCATTGATATAATCCTCTAGACAAATGGCACACTCCTCGGCTTCATTTTCCTTGACCTTTTCAGTAAAAAATTGCTTCATCAATAGTCGAGATACTACATCGACAGGCGCTACTTCTCGTTGTTTTCGATGTCTCTGTCGCAATTGCCATGAAATGTATATAAAGATCATCATGACGCTGGGAGAAACAAATATAATCATCAAGACATCGAGAAGTGGCCTACATGAATGCATAAGCATAAGATGGACATGAGGATGAATATAGTCCATACCATGTAATAAAGTCATCCAACTGTAGCAGTATCATCATGGGTGCATCTACAATTTTCGACAAATAAAGCAGTGCTCTGTACTCGTTCTTGGCCAGGAAGACGCTTGGGATGGTGATGTCTGATGTATCACCTGTTGAAACGAGTTAGCATCCAATCCAACGCTAATTGAATAGTACTTGCCTGGAGCATACATGGTGATCCATCCCGATTGATGCTCTGGATCACCTACAGCAACAGCAATGGCGCCAGATTCTTGCATGTTTCTAACTTTTGTTATAAACGAACATCCACCTCTCCTCACTAATGCTACCCAGTCCGCGCATGGAGCCTCTACTTTTTTACAACCTGTTGGATCAGCTAACGGCTCGACTAGGTAACCTACTTTTCCATTAGTTGATAGTCGGGGGCCAAATGAAGCTATACGGTCTGCATAGGTTTCGTTTGTAGCCTAATGCAGAGACTAGAGATGTTTAGTAACATGCTGATCGGGGATTATATCGAGAATCAAACTGACAATGACTAGTAAAGAGGCATGAACTATTGATATAATCGAGCTTCCAAGCAATAGAGGATAGTGCCACCTCATTTCTTGAGCTTTTGGATCAAGAAAAAGAGAAGAAAGGGAAAAAGAAACGGAAAAGAAGGGTAAACAAATCATGATCCTACAATGATATTTAAATTATCTCGGAATAAACACTGCCATTTTGCGTGTGTGTGTGTGTGGGTAATCTCCCCCCCCCCCTCTTTTGCCCTTACAACCAGACATTCGCTGAGCAGAAAATTAATCAGAAAAGAAAATCCCTTTCGAAAGCAACTGCCTTTTCTTTATTTTCCCTCTTTCTTTCTGTTTATTTTATTTATTTTCGTCTTGTTTCGTCTAACGTTTGTTTGAAGCAGATCAACAAACAAAATACTTCAGTAACTATGGAAGCACAGTACAATGACAAGAATACGTTGACGCAAGTTATTACAACAACGACAATAGTCAAAGACTACGATCCTAACACTGGAAACAAACTGCTAAACGACTACATGATACTTAGAGAGATAGGAAGAGGAGTCCATGGCAAGGTCAAGCTGGCTCAACACATGGGAACAGGAGAGCTAGTGGTAACTATACAACACTTATATAACCATGCTAAAAGACACCATGCTTAAAACTCAGTATCGTAGGCTATCAAAATAGTAGATAAAAAGAGTCGCAGACGACAGATGGGATACAGCTTATTGAGAGATCATGGACCAGGAGGAGGAGGGACGGAGCCAGCATCTAAAGAAAACGAGCAAAAGATCAGAAGAGAAATTTCAATATTGGAGAAATGTTGCCATCCAAATGTAGTAAGATTGCGTGAGGTGATTGACGTTCCAGAGAGCCGAAAGATCTACATGGCATTGGAGTACACAGAAAGTGGAGAGATTGAATGGAGAGATAGCAAAGATCAACCAGTAATGACAGTCGATGAAGCAAGGCGAATATTCAGGGACATTGTAAACGGATTAGATTATCGTGCGTATATTTCAGTTGTTGTATTATGCATGATTTATTAATGTCGTATGTGCAGTTCATTTCCAGGGCATCATCCACAGGGACATCAAGCCAGCCAATCTACTATTATCGCACGATGGCGTTGCTAAAATATCAGATTTCGGCGTGTCTTATTACAATCCGTACCTTGCATCAACACACACCGGCATAGCACTGCATCCATCTGACGAAGAACTCAATAGAATCGACAGAGAACTGGCAGAAACTGCAGGCACTCCGGCTTTTTTTGCTCCTGAACTGTGCTGTGCTGGTGATCAATCCACTGCGCACACAAAAAAATCTCACATTTCGAAAGCGATTGATGTGTGGGCTCTGGGAGTTACACTTTACTGCTTTATATTCGGGCAATGTCCATTCATTGCAGCAACAGAATTCGAATTGTTTGATACAATACCCTCTCAGCCGTTGACGTTCCCTCCTGATTTCAATATTGATCCAGATTTGAAGGATTTACTGATTCGATTGCTTGCCAAACATCCCCAAGATCGCATAACATTGGATCAGGTAAAACGCCATCCGTGGGTGATTGCGGATTTAGATGATTTCGAAAATTGGATTGCTACAACAGAACCACATCACTATTTTACCACCGTCATTCAACAACAACCCACAGATGATGCATTGGACGACAATCCAAACGTTACCATGATGGACCGTTTACGTCAATCTATTAGAAAGCTATCATTTTCCTTTGCTGGTAACAGTGGAAATCAAAATTCAAGCCGGCGTAAATCATCCAAGCAGCAGCAGCAGCCACCAGTATTACGTCCAGTTTCCTATCAACCGCCTCCACCTACAGGCTCTTCACCCAATCTACACCAACAGCACAACAACACAAACTTAATGCATCGTCTATCTCAACCGCTGATGAGCAAACAGCCTTCTTATTCCACATCTCTATTACCTCATGCCACAAATTCAGTCATACCCACTGTATCGTTATCAACAGGACATACATTAATATTTAATTCTGTTGGTTTTTCTAGCAGTACTATATCAACACCACCTCCACCACCTCCCACTCATCCGCTAAGGCCTATATCCCCGTCCTATCTATCAGACGACTCTTATTCCATTGCCGAACACCACCATGAGCTCTACGAAGATGAAGAAGAATACAGTCATGCAAGGGCCTCAACCTCTTCATCAAAAAGACCTGATCTCAGCAGAAGAGTCTCCTCTGCTTCCTCCTCCTCTGGTTTAGGATTGACATTTGGCCGATATCGTGGTGGCATGACGCCTATGGAAGTGACAAATAAATAACACTGCTTTTTTATCGCTTTTTATGCCGTGCTGTCAGTCTCATATGCAATTGCGAATAGGGTGACAATTTTGAATTTTGTGCAGTAAAAAATGTACTAGCCGATCTATCTCGCTACGCTCGATGTCGGTGTCGCCCTGTGGGTTCTCGCCAAAGACATTTTAAATCAGACATTATAACATTTTGGTATATCAAGTAGATTGTAAACAATCAATCATTAGCTAGTAAAAGGAATGCTATATTAGAGCCACCAGGAGGAGGAGAGGAGGTATCTCCCTCAGCGTCCTTTTTGCTTACACTGATATCAAACGAAGCCTATTGTTGGGACAATGTGAAAGAAAATTCAAATTTTATGCAGCATTTGTACGCCACAATCTCCATTTTGTGATATTGAATTGTCATATCATTCGCTGCTGCTGATGCTCTTAATAAGATGGCGACATAAAGCTGGCCATGCGCAAATACAGGACTTGTGCAAGGTCTACAGCGACGTTTTTGAGACATTGCCATTCCAAAAGACAGCTTTATGAGGCAAAGCTTCCCAAAAAGTATTTGCGCTAAGCAATTGTCCTTTCAGCTCAATTGTCCCCATTTAATCGGTATCGCAATCGTTATTGTCATCATCAGAAAGGTATTTTGACCAGCCAGCAGTAGCGCTACCCGTCGCCCCCGCCAAAGCGTATTCAAACTCAGTTTGTTCTTTTCTGCCCAAGATTGGTCAAATTATGTCTTTTTCGACCTCTTTAATCTATTCTCTGATATTCGACTATATAAGCTGTAATGATCACCCTATGCTTCCTAATACAGTCCCTGGTGGTAGGGCGAAGTGGTAGAACTCCCGTATGCCAACGGGAGGATCCCGGTTCAAATCCTGGTGAACGCAAGTTGTTTGATTTTTTGACGTAGTACTGATGTCCTCGTTTGGTGTTTTTGTACTCTTATCCATGATCTATATTTTGACGATTTCCGCAAGACTGTACTGGCTCTAGGAGTCGCACCTTATTAGTAGTAGATTTCTTTCCCAACTTAGTTCAAAAATATCTTATTCCCCTTCATTGCAGACATTGGGTCCACCAACAGTCTTTTCTATCCCTCAGCATGACATTTAAAGGACTTTAAATAAAACCTGGAGCTTGACTCCCCTACAAAAAAAAAAAAAAAAAAAAATGCTTCCTAATACATCGTCTTGCTCGCTCTCTTGCTCGCTTGGATGCCGAATTAAATCTAGATCCGTAAGTATTTAGCTTTCACTCTTTTATACATCTTCTTCTACATTTTCCATTTCTGCTTACCATTCGATCCTCGTGACTATATATCCAGTCTTTTTTTTCCCTCATAACGACATTTAAAGGACTTAAAATAAAAACTGGAGCTCATCTCCCCCTACAAAAAAAATGCTTCCTAATACATCCTTGAAGTAATTTTCAAGGCGCTTCCAATGATGCCAAGTGATATAGATGTTTCGAATGAACCTGCAGTGCAATTTAATAAAATTTGAAATGAGGTTTTAAGCGAAAATAGCCATATTTTGCATATGAAAACCTCATAAAAGTAGTCACAGAGGTTGCTTTGGATCGAGAGAAACATTTTGATCTGATATCATAACATAATAAATGTTCAGTCCTTTTGCACTTTACAACCCTAATATGGAACCTGAGTTTCAAGGCATCTATCTGGCCTGGCTCATATGAGAATAATGATTTTACAATCAATCAACTAAGACCACCATCTTTCCTCTGCTCAATGCTGCCAGCAACGTTTTCTTTGAACGACGACCCAGAGCCTCAGAGATTTAGTCAACGGCTGCGATCGAGACAACAAAACGAACATACTCGACCATTGAGAAGACCACGTCGTAATAGAAATCTAGGTAACATATTGTTTGAATTACTAAAAAACATGGAATTAATTTTTATTTTGTTACAAAGTTGATATTACTGATAACACCCAGTTTAAAGAAACCGACCATCTTTTTGAGCGAAATGTTGATTATGATCCAAATTCCCCTACTTACTGCAGACATGTTATGCAGCCCATGAATCGTCAATGTCCAGACTGTAACGCATTGTTGTATACTGAAGAGCTTTTAAAAAACAAATTTTCGATGTGTTGTAGACAGGGAAAGGTTCAATTGGAAGCCCTGCAAAATCCTCCCCAGCCACTACGATCTCTACTTACTGATTCAGACCAAGAAAGTCAGCATTTCAGAAATAGCATTAGAGCCTACAATAACAGCTTTGCCTTTACATCACTTGGTGCACAGCAAGATGAGGGCTACAGTGGATTCAACAGTGGCACTTACACATTTCGAGTTCAAGGCTCAACATACCATAGAATTGATCCTATCTCTCCTATGCCAGGATTTGCCCCACAGTATGCTCAAATATATTTTACGGACCCTCAATACCAAGCTGGCATGCGCAGAGGTATATTTTCGCAGCTTCATGAACCTCTGCTTGAGCGTCTACAAGAAATGATGATGAGAGAATGTCCCTTTGCGCAGACTTTTGAGATGGCAAGACAACGTTTCGCTCATAATGAAGACAGTTTTCACATCATGATCAATGGCCGGGCAACAGCGACATTAGGAAGAACTTATTCTGCCCCTACTATAGATGAAGTGGCGGCCATTGTTATAGATCCAGTCTCCACAGACGATCCAAATTATGTCCCTCATCTAAGGAGAGATGTGGCAACATTTCGTAGAAATGGCACTATGGAGCATATTATGAGTGAATGCCATAGATCCTATGATTCAATGCATTATGTTTTGATGTTTCCGAGAGGTGAGAACGGATGGCATGTCAATATGCCACTCAGCATTACTACGAATGCCTCCTTCGAAGATGATGATGAAGGTGATGCAGTTAATAGCGAAACTGATGACGATAATACTGCCAATGCAGTTGAAACTGAAATCGATGGCGATGATGTCGAACAAGAAGTTACAAGGCCTATTACCACCATTAGAAGAGCCCAGCAAAACATTAGCGTAATGCAATTTTATGCTCATCGATTGCAAGTAAGACCCAACGCAGGAATGCTGCATTATTTCGGCCGGCTATTCCATCAATATGTAGTGGACATGTATGTGAAGGTTGAACATCGACGTTTGGAATATCTACGAAATAACCAGGGATCGCTACGAACAGAGCTGTATTCAGGGCTTACAGATGCAGCGGTATCTGATAGCACCATCTCCACTGAGGAGATTGGTAAGCAAATTATTTTACCCTCATCACATACTGGATCACCAAGATCAATGCAGCAGTTATATCAGGATTCAATGGCAATGGTTTCTTCATTGGGTAAACCAAGCTATTTCATAACATTTACCTGCAATCCAAACTGGCCCGAAATTGTCAATGAATTACGCAACGGTGGTTTGAGCCCAACTGACAGACCGGATCTGTGTGCACGAGTTTTCGACATGAAGCTCAAGGAGTTGATTTCTGATATTAAGACAAAGCCATACATCTTTGGTAATGTCATTGGCTTTACTCATGTCGTTGAATTTCAGAAACGTGGCCTGCCACATGCTCATATGGTGATTATTGTGGATGAACCGAGCAGACCTACTCTTGAAACGTATGATAAGTATGTCAGTGCCGAACTCCCAGATCAAAGCAAGCACCCCAAAGCGTATGCTACAGTCGTTAGAAACATGATGCATACTCCATGCGGAAAAAACATCAATAAGAAAAGGCCATGCTTAGATGATAATTTCAAGTGCACCAAGCAATATCCAAAGCAATACGCCGAAGAGACTTTCATCGATTCTAAAGGATTTGTTCATTACAGACGACGAAGTCAACCAAGAAGCATGCCTGTCAAATTTGGGGATTATTATGCAGATAATCGATGGGTCGTACCTCATAACTTATACTTGGTGACAAAGTATGATGCTCATATCAACGTTGAAATTTGCGCAGGAGTCCAGGCAATCAAATATCTTCACAAATATATCACAAAGGGTAGTGACAAATCTCAAGTCAAATTAAGTAGAGACCAAGCCCAAGATGTCAATATCACAACCAACGGCAATACTGCCACTTCTACTATGACAGCAGCATCCACCTCTACGGCCACATCATCTGCTCCTACAGTAGGGCAGCCTCAAGAAGATAATAGCGATAGAGACGAGATCTCAACTTGGGTCAATGCCAGATACATTTCCGCCTCTGAAGCTTGCTGGCGCTTACTTGGAAAGAGTTTACACTCTACTTTTCCGTCAGTTACTCGACTGGCAGTTGATCTTCCAAATCAGCACAGGGTGTACTTTAACAACAACACTACTATTGCCAATGTAGTAAATGCTGCCACAGCAAAGAAGACTACTCTGCAAGCATTTTTTGAATTGAACGCATCAGGAGACGTCTTTGCGCAGAATTTGCTTTATATTGATGTCCCAAGACATTATTCATTCGACAAAAAGCAGAAAAAATGGGTAAAAAGAAGGCGAGGCATCAACAGCCAGAACCGTGTTAAAGGGATAGGCAGAATGTATTTCGTGCCTCCAAGTGCTGCTAATATGGAGAAATACTGCATGCGTCTACTTTTATTGCATGTTCGTGGCCCTCAAAGCTTTGATAATTTAAAAAACGTCAATGGTGTTCAATATGTCACATTTCGTGAAGCTGCTCAATCCATGGGACTCTTAGCAAACGAGGATGAATGGCATTTTTGTCTGGATGAAGGATATGCGATGATAAGAACTGGATCCTCTCAGGTGCGAGATCTTTTTGTAACCATTCTGATATTTTGCACTATCTCCACCTACAAACAACTATGGGATAATCACAAGGTTCAACTGTCTGAAGATTTTATTCATGAAATTCAACAATCTCAAGCTGTTCCACAAGAATTGACTGATGCTCAGCTGGAATCTTGCTATCAAAAGGCATTGATTGACATTAGTAGAAAATTAATGACGCATGGAAAATCAGTCAAGAATTATCCAGAGCTGCCCCAAATCGATGAATCTGTTTTCAATCAGGAGGATGAAGAGCTTCGATCATTATTTGATCAAGAGTTAGTTGGGTATAATCTGGAGACTTTGGCTACTGAAGTTCGAATTTACGAGGAAAGGATGAACGCTGATCAGCTTCAAATATACAACACTGTGCTTAATTCTGTAAACAATCCTGGCCTTGGTATCCCTACATGTTTCTTCATTGATGGTCCCGGTGGTACTGGAAAAACGTATCTGTATCATGCTCTTCTCACTAAGGTTAGAGCAGAATCAGGAATTGCTTTGGCAACTGCTTCTTCAGGTATCGCAGCAACTCTTTTACCAGGTGGTCGTACTGCTCACAGTACTTTCAAGATACCTCTCAAGACAGACCAAACATCAACCTGCCACTTCTCAAAACAATCAAACACTGCTAAACTTTTGAAGGAAGCAAAGCTGATTATTTGGGATGAAGCACCAATGACTCACAAGCACGCATTTGAGGCTGTAGACAGATCGCTTCGTGATTTGATGTCCTCAGTACATCCTTCTTATGCTGGAAAGCCTTTTGGTGGAAAAGTTGTTGTTCTTGGAGGGGATTTTCGTCAAGTTCTCCCGGTAGTCAAGAAAGGTAGAAGGGCAGATGCAGTTGCAGCCTCTTTGAAGGCATCATACTTGATGTCTCATACTAAAAGTCTCAGACTGACTCAAAATATGAGACTCACCAACGATGAAGGCCCTTCCTCATCTCAATTCGGTTCTAACAATTTCGCTCAATACTTGCTCCGTATTGGTGAAGGATCTGACCAACATCAATTTGGTGATACTCTGGCCATTGACCCCCATTTGGATTGTAGTTACATTGAAAGCTACAGAGAGATTATTGAAATTGCTTTTGGTGATGTATCTATGATGTCTTCACCGACGTCCTTTATAGACACAACTATCCTGGCAGCAACGAATGCGGTGGTGGATCAGATAAACGATCTAGCTCTGGCAGCGTTTCCTGGAGAATCTGTTGTATATCTATCCAACGATGAACATATCATTGATTCAGGGTCTCCGTCTAATACACCTGTTGAGTATCTGAATAGGTTGAAACCTTCTGGAATGCCTCCACATGAACTAAAGCTGAAAGTCAACCAGCCTATCATGTGTCTTCGAAACATCAATCCAAGACAAGGCCTATGCAATGGAACCCGTCTTATAGTCAGAAACTTGATGAGAAATACGATTGAAGCCGAAATTGCATGCGGTAGCCACCAAGGGAACTTTGTATATATTCCAAAAGTTTCGCTGCACAGTGACCAAGACACCGCAGAACTCGAGGGAAAGCTGTCAAGAACGCAATTTCCAGTGCAAAGTGCCTTCGCTATCACTATAAACAAAGCTCAAGGGCAAACCCTCCGCAATGTTGTCGTTTCTTTGCTGGACCCCGTTTTCTCCCATGGACAGTTGTATGTTGCTCTATCAAGAGTAACATCATTGAATCATCTCAAAATTGTTTTACAAAAGGCTGAAAACGAACAATCAAGACAAACTATAAACGTTGTCTATCAAGAAATTCTTTCTTAAAAATGCAAAGTTTTTCATTTAATAAAGTTTCTTACATTTTAGCTTTTATCTATTCGTGATATTAGCCAAAGGCCCGCGGCAGCGCGAGCCGCCTGAACGTAGGTTGGTTTCCACCGAAGCGAAGCGTAGGTCAGGAAACCACCCGAAGTGCTGAAAGGCTCGTATACCATAGTAAAAGCCTTCATTTTCAAGGTGAAAAACGCGATTGTTTGATTTTCGATGAAAATCATGAGGTACCCCTCATGCTTTTTGGTCGATTTTTGGCCATGTTTTTTTTTGGTCCCAAAAAGTTGAGCAAAGGTGTCAGGAAGTTACTACTACTCGAGTACATTTGTTTGGCGTCATTCCGGTGGCTCAGAAAGGTCTACATGTCAAGATATGAAGGCTTGAAAGCTGTCAGATTTGATTATGTATTACTTTATAGAGTTTATTTACAGGGCATAAATCACATCTTTGGTAGCTGCCTTTTACTGGAATGGCAGTTCTGTAGCTTAAGCAATTTTTAATTCGAATAGGAGGCATATTGATTTTGGTAAAGCTGATTCATGCAAATTTTGATGCGCTATGCTGTAGATAAACTTATTAACAATGGAACTGAAAACCCGAATTTGCTGCTTGAATACTATGGTTTTGCATATTCGCTTCGCTACAATCAAGCCCTCATATAGGTCAATGCTACCAAGTGTTGGATTAGACTCCTTATTACCATGTCTTTGCACCTTTGCTTCACCACGGTAAAACCGCCCTATAATTCAATGCTATCAAGTGTTGGGTTAGATGCGTTATGTTCTTCCCCCAAACCCCCTCCTCATTGCCGGCTTTGCTGGTGGGTTTATTCACCTTGTACGGCACACAATTCTTTTAACTTTTGAGAGGATATGATTTGTTTGTCTACTTTTTTTTTTGAATGTTTTACAGTAATATTAGACAGTTAAGACCACCTCATTGCCGTCTCATGTATCTGACCTGGTGCTCAGTTTTTCAATGAAAAGCTGAAGGTATCCCTTTTTTTTATGTGCGTATTCATCTAAAATCAAGTGTTTCAAGATTTTATTGCGTAAAATTAAATCATATCCTATCTATATACATTGTGTGTGGCTTCTTTTCGAGTTTATATATAATCTTGCTATTTAGCAGTAGATTTACGCTTCAGCATACAATAATCTCCCCATTCTAAACCAGGAGAGCCAGGAACCCAGAATGCTCGTGACAAGCGATTGGAGTTATCAGCATCCAAGAAAGGGAAACACTCCACCACTTCCCAATGCTCAATATCTTGGATATAACGAGGCTCAAGAGGAGAGGAAGGGCGAAGAGGAAAGTCCACATCGACTAAATAATCGCACTCTTCAGGCTTGACATACACACTTGGGTTCTCCTTGTTCAAATCATTGAAACCCTCTGGTGCCTGACGAGCACCATACCAACCATAAATACGCTTTCTGTAATATTGCTCTTGTCCATCCACTTCATATGATCCAACACCCAAATCCTCCTCAAATTCTTGAGGCAACTGTCCTTCAAAGTTTGTCTTGAGGAATTGGAGGCGAGTGTCACTAGGTAAAAAGAATTGCGATGGGAATCGATACCATTCTTTGCCAACGCAGACGTTTTTCAGTTTGAGATCGACATTATCAGGGAAATCTTCTTGAATATAGTTGCGATTGACGAGTTGATCCGGTGCTTGCTCCTTCCAAAGGGAAGTGTAAACTTGGAAAGGTGCACGATAGCGAGTGAGAAGAGCAGTGATACGAGAGATGGATAAAATACCGTAGACAAACAAGATAACCAAAGAAGTGTAACGCAGGACAATGACACGAGTATTGACATCAGCGCCCAAGAAGCCGGCAAAACGACTAGCCCAAGAACGGATCAAGAAGATGGAGATGGCAGCATTCAATGCGACCAAAGGATAGGCAACATACATGAAACGTTCTTCCTTGTGTGCTTGCAAAGAGAATACAGTGAACCAGAGGTAGAAAGGAACCAACTTTAAGCCCAATTGAATGTATGGCCAAACTTGATCCATTCTGGTGGTACCAGGAATGCGATTACGATCAATGAAAGCGGTAATGAGAACACACACAGCAGAGCCCAAAGCCAGAATAAACACAATATTGAAGTTCAAGATACCGTTCACAATGTAATAGTACCAAGGCTCCACACCATACAATTCTGGTCCACGTCCTTCGGCATTTGACAAGACATTGTATTTGATGATATTCCAAGCAACGATGGTGTATTTGCGATAGAACATTTGGTCCATTAACATAAGAATGAATGACAAGCCTCCACCACAAATGACAGTGGCTTCAATCAAACGAATGATGCGTCTGACACGCCAATTCTTACCAGCAACCGAGCGAACCACTGTGCCACCTTCTCTAATCATAGTATCACGACCATAGATGAGAACCTCTTCAGCGGCAAATGGAACACCAATGAGAGCAGCAAATGGCCAACCACCTAAGGCACCCAAACCAATCCAGAAAACCACCTTGTAAGTACGTCTCAAGTCAATGTCAGACACTGGTCTCAAGGCATATGAGAATGCCATGAATACACAGTACATGGCAAAAGTGGAGGGTAAATATGCTACAGAGCATGAATGAATATCTGGATGATTTGACCCGCATTTTTTCCAAGATGACTTACCAGTAGAGGCATTAAACATGCCAGCACCGAAAAACAAAATAGCGTATACGTAGCGACCGACGTGAGGGTTGATTTCTTCGGTAACTGTGCGATAAAATCTAGCTTCGACATAGGAGGATACAGCAGCAAGGAAGAGGCGAATAAGATAAAATGTTTGGAGCTACATCGATTTACTGCTTAGCTCTCCTACTGTTCCCCACTCATTCACGCGATGGAAATGCTTACCTTTGTCGAAGTCAAAAGCTTAGTAGCGAATCCCACAACAGCATTGACAAAGATGAAAGCCCAACTTCTGATTTTGTAATCAGTCGAGTACTCCCAAGTTTCACGACCATAACCTTGTAATAAATAATGAGTAGGTTCCCAGTAGTTGTAAACCTCATCGCAATCATCAATAATGCGGTATAATGCTGAGCAACAACGGATGATGAACAAAATTCTGAAGGCAGAGACAAGACTCAACGAGACTGTGCCTTGCTCACTCAGTAAAGCTTGAGCAGCTCTACAAGTAAGGTGTCAGCACCACCATCCTTCACAAGCAGAAGGCCATACAACTTACTTGACAGAATTGAGATCCGAACCAGTGGCAGGATTGGGAGCACCAGTACCAGTACTAGCAGCGGGAGGTGCTTGCTTCTTGTTCTTTTTGTTGTTTGTCGAACGTGAACGTAATTCAGAAGAAGACGCCATTTTTGAACGAGATGAAAAACAAAAGAAAAAGCCTTGAAATAACTAGAATTGAACATCACGTTTTTAATCAATGTTTGTTTCGCCTTCTGAATACCACACACTTTTGACCTTCTTCTCTGACCATATCGCAAAAAGATATTACCGCTCAAGTTTATTCGCATTTTCCCGAGAACTGAAACTTGTTGTATCGTCGGGGGACCTCACGTGGCATGTAAAGCTTCAAGATGAGGGATTTACCGTAGTGAAGGAGATCCATTTTCCACGTTTTTCAATGACTCTTGCATGGTCTTGGATCAAATCGTTGCATGCCACTTCTTCTGTTTGCGGTAATGACTGATTCTGATCAGGAACACTACAAGACCCGGTAAGAGAAAGCAATGGTATACTGAGGCGAATGATAAATCCTACATACATACACAGGAAGCCTTTCTTACTTGAAACCATTTATAGTAAATGAAGGCATTATTATGTATAAGCAGTGTCGAATTTCAAGCTAATTATTGGGCATCATTCATTCGAGAACTAGAGTATTTGCTTTGAGATTGGTGATTCTGATCACAGCAACAGAATTCTAATAAGAGCATAGCTATAAATCAATGTTTCCTGACCATATATATATATATTCGAATAATTAACTTACACCAACTCATAGCCCTGGTGACATTAAAGCCACTAACTTCCATCCAATGTTGATGAAGTTGATGAAATTGAGGAGGAGGTCTGCTGAAGTGTATTGCAACATTTGATCAATTCCCAATCTAAAGCCTTGAGCTTTTCTTCTTCTGGCCGGAGCTCTGCTTTTGTTCTTCAAAATGTTGCCTCTTCTTTGAAATGTTCTTTCAAACGCATAAAATCTTTAGCTCAATGTTCGAGGAAGCCAGTCTGTCGTTCCGATCTGTTTAGCAAAGATGAGGCATTGACTATTTCTGTATAAGCAGTGGCATTGCTAGTTTGGGCTTCAAGGACTGGATTTGCTAGTGATACTTGCTTTGTTCTTTAAGTGAATTTTCCAAATCATATACCTGGCCATCATAAGAGGGTATGACTGTACTGAGTCTGTTGATTTCCAGTCTTTAATTATTGGCAATACGTCTAAGAGATCTCATTATAGATGTAGCTTATTACGCGAAAGAAATGAAGAGAAACAGACATCAATCAACAGTGTATGGCTTACTTGAATATACTGCACGCCGTGAATAGTGTCATATGTACGCTTTAAGATATCAAGTAGGAGATGCATTGATGTACATTGAGTTACATACAACGAGACATTTCTCTGAAACAGGAGGTAATTTTCAGTGCCATCTGTTCAATGTAAGCATACTAATTCAGCGGTTGGTACCATGTGCTTACTGTCCAGAATAAATAGTGCAATGCCTGTGCTTGAAGCTTGCACATTGATGGCAATGTATGTGGTTTTCGAAAATGGGCGACTCAAACCCTAATCTTTCTAATTGCACTTTGAACTGTAGATCTCTGGATGTCAATGATTTCATTAAATGTGTGTAATTCGTGCAACTTCACTGAGTGATTTCGCCATGTTCCTGCACATTGCTGCATCTATTTCAGAGCCACGTTCATTTAACGAGGCAACTTCCATGAAGTCTCAAGATCAAAGATGGGTTCGAATATCTCATCTCGTATTCCTCATCCCTCGTTATATACAGACAGAATGCAAATGTCACTATGTCGACATGTGGATCCTATTAGCAGTTTCTCACATTAGCTATTACTTCAAATCTGGAACCACCAATTGGTCAGCTATTTATTCATGAATCAAGGTTTAGCAAACCGCTAACATTTGAGTTGGGAATCCGCGAAAATGGTGTACCGCGATGATAACTCTTTTTGTAACATACAGGAGATAGGTTATTCTAATGTGGCTTCCAAATCATGAAACACATCATTGGCGAACGAGATGATAGATGAAGATATAACCCCAGTTTTGGGTGTGTAATTGGGACACATTTGGAGTGATTATCTGATCTGAAAATCAGTTGTCATGGTGAATGCCTCTAAAACATCTTGGTTGTCAGGGGTAAAAAAAATAGAAGAAAAAAACAGACAAGTAGATCAAGCTTTTTGCTTTTTGCTTTTTTCTCTTTCCATCTTTTTTGATTTTCTGGTTTGCCATAAATAAACTAAACGTATCGGTTACTTGTACGGTACGAGACGATAAAAACGAGTGGTCTTTATCCAAAACAGTGAGTATGGCAACACATCTTGTAATAAAGGAGAATGAAATTGGAACCGTATCACTCTCACTCTTTACGACGCTCACAACGTCATACACTATTTGTTCGCGGTCTGGGAGAGGGAAAGAGAGGGCAGGAAAGCGGGCAACTGAAAGAATGAGCATTAAGCAGCTATAGTTTCTCAAAACACACTGAATTATTTCACGTGTTTTTTGTAATTTTTATTAATTATCCTTTTTTACACATCTTTTCTTTCTTTCTCTCTTTCTTTCTTTTTCCTCCTTTTACCTTTTTTCATATTTTCCTTTTGATACTTTTCATATTATGCAATCTATCAAATGTGTAGTTGTTGGTGATGGGTAATTTTTTTTGTGAATTTGTGCTGATTTTTTTTTGCACATTTTTCTCATCTTGCTGTCGTGTAGTGCCGTTGGTAAAACATGTCTGTTGATATCTTATACCACAAATGCCTTTCCGGGCGAATATATCCCAACTGTGTAAGTATTTTTTGCTGGATCCTATCGCTTGGAAGTCGTAAAGTAACCGTATTGTGATTTAGATTCGATAATTACTCTGCAAACGTGATGGTAGACGGAAAACCCATCAACTTGGGTTTATGGGATACAGCAGGCCAAGAGGATTACGATCGTCTTCGTCCTCTCTCTTATCCTCAAACAGACGTATTTTTGTGCTGTTTCTCTCTTATCAGCCCCCCTTCATTTGAAAATGTCAAAACAAAGGTAAACATTTGAGACACGCAGACATGCACACACACGCACACATACACATACAAGGACAATTATTTATTCGTTCATAGTGGTACCCCGAGATCAGTCATCATGCACCCAACATACCCATCATTCTTGTCGGTACCAAGCTTGATTTGCGTGAGGATCGAGACACAATAGAGAGACTTCGCGAAAAGAGGATGGCACCTATCTCGTATGCTCAAGGTTTACAAATGGCAAAGGATATCGGTTCAGTTAAATACCTCGAATGTTCAGCACTTACTCAAAAAGGATTGAAGAATGTGTTTGATGAAGCTATCAGAGCCGTTCTCTCCCCTCCTGTTCGACCAAAGAAGAAGAAGGGCTGTCTCATTCTCTAAGCAATCAGTATGCCTACTCAAAATCCAAAAAAAAATTGAAAAAAAAAGAAAAACTCTAGTGTTTATTTTACTACCATCACCAATCTCTCTTCCTCCCATTATTCCTCACTACGACGTCTACTCTGAAATCTTTATCATACTTTCCCCTCCTTCTCTCTAACATTACCCTTTTATCCTTTTTTTTCTTTTTTAATTTTTTTATAATAATACAAATGACCTATATTTCTTGACCCAAATGTACATCGAGTTGACGATAGCTTGCTATACAATATATGAGTGTGTGAGTGTTTGTGCACTATCCAATCTAACTCCGTCATGATGGTAATGAAAATCAGTCTGTAAATTACCATGGTTAAATTCAATAGATCAAGGAGTTTTATACTTGCAGAAAAGCAAAACGCACGTTTTAAACAGGAGCAGCGCACTCCCTTTTGTATCCATGTGTCTAAAACAGCATGGTCATACAGCGCAATGAAGTTTATTGCTTCTGGGTACAGAATGAAACGGGCTAGATAAGCGTCATCTAAGGTTCGGATTTGAAATCCAATGTAAAGTAATCTGACACCATAAATTAATGGAATCATAAGGCGCATCTGATTGTAAAAGAGAAGGAAGAAGGATGTTGCGTGAATCCAAAAGGGAACTTCCCCTAATTAACATTTCGTATTATTAAATTTAACGAGTAATTATCAAATCAATGACGCAAATGCATTCATATAAAATATACAATGAACGTAATAGATCATGATACTATAACTCGACGCTGAATCAAGGCCGATCATTAAAACCATGTAGATCAGTCTTTGAAACTAGACACATCATTGCTTCCAGCAAACGAAACGCACGTTGCTGTTTGTCAGCGTACAATTGATCCCAATTTAAAGCATTGAATGTGATCATGGGTCTGGTTATGAGTTATTCTAATGATGTTCTAGTATTTTTTTATATGTAATACAGGATTGTTTTGATGTAACTGTCTCTGATTACAAGTGATATATGGATTTGAACTAAATAATTCGCTTAAAGATGCATTGTATTTGGGATATCTCTGGTTTTCAATGAAAACGAACCTGGCTCTTCATCATCATCAGCCTCAGGGCCTATGAACTCCAGCCTGCCTTACAACCGCTATCGCCTTGCTAACAAGCTGTATTATTGTGCTATGATGCAGCGATACAACAGTGCCACTCCATCTAACATTTCCGGCTGAATATTTGAGTGTAACAGCATACTCTAATGTTGGATTAATGAATACAACGTTTTTACGCCTACCATCATAACAAAAGCGCGTCTATTGACAAGCAAACGTACAAAACACAGCCAAATTCGATAGCTTTCAAACCTTCATATCTTGACATGTAGACCTTTCTGAGCCACCGGAATGACGCCAAACAAATGTACTTTAATAGTAGTAACTTCCTGACACCTTTGCTCAACTTTTTGGGACCAAAAAAAAACATGGCCAAAAATCGACCAAAAAGCATGAGGGGTACCTCATGATTTTCATCGAAAATCAAACAACCGCATTTTTCACCTTGAAAATGAAGGCTTTTACTATGGTATATATCAGATCAAAATGTTTCTCTCGATCCAAAGCGACTTCTGAAACCACGTTTATGAGGTCTTCATATACAAAATTTCGACATTTTGGCCAAAAACCTCATTTCATAATTTCGAAAATTGCTCAATAACTTTAGTCAAAACATCTATATTACTTGGCACCATCGGAAGCGCCTTGAAAAATACTCCAAGAATGTATTAGGAAGCATTTTTTTTTTGTAGGGGAGTCAAGCTCCAGGTTTTATTTAAAGTCCTTTAAATGTCATGCTGAGGGATAGAAAAGACTGTTGGTGGACCCAATGTCTGCAATGAAGGGGAATAAGATATTTTTGAACTAAGTTGGGAAAGAAATCTACTACTAATAAGGTGCGACTCCTAGAGCCAGTACAGTCTTGCGGAAATCGTCAAAATATAGATCATGGATAAGAGTACAAAAACACCAAACGAGGACATCAGTACTACGTCAAAAAATCAAACAACTTGCGTTCACCAGGATTTGAACCGGGATCCTCCCGTTGGCATACGGGAGTTCTACCACTTCGCCCTACCACCAGGGACCAAAGCTTAAAGAAGCATTAGGTGATCATCATGTTTTGTATAGCCAAATCTGGCAAAATAGTTCAATCAAGTCGAAAACCCATCAAAATCTGGCCAATCTGGAGTAGACTAAGAGGCTGAGTTGAGATTAATTTTGGTGGCTGGTGGGATCGGCTGGCAAACTCAATGCAGTAATGGATGCTCTTGAAACGTATCGAAAGTAGGTGGCAAATTACATAGCATTATCATTAGCTATATTATTTTGCTTGCATTCTATATGTAATAACGCCAGTCTATCAAAATACTTGATAGATCAACTCCTTTCCTTTTTGACGCTTTGAAAGTGTCTAGGGACCATAAATAAATATATTACGTTACGATGAACATTTCGATTATTCGGTTGGTTTCCACCAAAATGTTAGATGACACTTGATTGATAGTAATTTAATATAAAATTACTAATCATATATGAGCCATGCCTTACAAATGCCTAGCAACTCAGTTTTCATATTAGGGTCGTAAAAGTGTCTAGGGACTATGCCATAATACCACTATCTGATATCGGATATCCATAAGAAACAGACCCAAGTGATGCAGTTGAAATGAACGTCTAAGCACACGAAATTGTCATTTTCATTAAAGAAGCTAATTAAAAATCAACAAAACCACTATTTCATATTGTTGAGAATCGATGTTTGTGAAGCTGATGAGACGGGGCTGCAATCGCAAAGTAATACCACTTAACCTAACTACTTCTCTAATGCTCGTGCTGTAAGATTCTGTATCTCATGGACTGGATCGTTGCAAGCTTAAGATACTCATGTAAATGCATAATGCAAACTTGTTTCTTTAATAAGCAAAATTACACAAATGCAGATCCTGGTTTACTTTTAGTTTTGTGGTCTCTAAAGTAATGATAATGATTTACATAATACATATATAGTAAAAGAGTATAGTCAAATGTCTTATGTCACTCTATTACAGTGTGCTGAACAATATTATTGTTTGTTATCAGAGAATATCAGTATCCCAGTGCCACACTCTTATGAAACGTCTACTCTAAAAGATAGAACAATATTTTGACTGAACATTAGCGATATCAAACGGCTGGTAGAGGTTACTGATCTGTATAGCTAAATCGGCCCACTATACTCGTGTTTTGGTGATCATATTCTATGCGATCACTGTATAATAAATAAAATATGATCATGATGATACATAGTGCTTGAGTCTCCAAAAGAAATATAGCAATTTTTATTATCTCTTTCTTTAGTGTCGTATTTTTTTTAGATTTATGCCATTTACAATTGCTATCTACTTTTTGTTTGTCCCTGTTTGTACCTTGATCGTAGCTGTACGGGGATTGAATACAACACTCTTTGCATAATATTACCTATCAAGCTTCTTACAAAAAGCCTGGGGTCAAAGCTCAAAGTAAAGCGGCTGATGGAGGTCATACTAGGAATCAAACCCGTTTGATATGTAGCTTGTATTATAAAGCATGCGTTTGCCGGCTATTCGAGGTGGCTTGAAGGAATCTCACTGGCTAAAAGTCTTGAATTTAATATGTTTTTGTCTAATTTCTACAGTTCCATGAAAGTACACAATGTTGTTGCTTAATTTTTATACGTACAAGCCATCCCTCTGTAATTGCTCCTTTATCTCTCGTTAGATACAAAATGATACAGACATTACCTCAAGCGTTATTGCTCACAATTGCAGATATCCTGACTTCTGAAACAAGATTGAACTTGGCACGCACGTCGAAATACATGTGGAAGTCATTTACAACATCTGTTGAGTCAGTATATACACTTAATAGCACTGTTCCTACCTTCCTGCTACATAAGCTAAAGCATGTGTATATTCGAAACAAATATTACTGTAGCAACGAGATTTCAAGATTACTCGACAATGCTTCTCAACTCGAGTCTGTTCATTTCGCATATCGTGATCACTATGATTATCAGTTTTTGAGCCTCTTTATAGCAAAAAATATCACGCGTAAACTTGCTTACCATGTTCCTAGTAGCGCGATTAACGTGTTCCAAGTGCTCTTGGAGTCACAGCAGCTCAAAAATATTACTGTTGTCCCTCTTCAATACGATGCCGAACAAGCAAGCGGTATTGTTACCCCTGAGCGCATCAACAGACATGTACAGCTCATCAAAGAGAGAATGAAGATTGATTGGGCTCGCTCACGACTCACGTTCAAGGAAAGAGCAAAGTTGAATCACCATCTACCTGTATATGTCAATCAATTGATGTGCCTGCATGATTACTCGCTGTTGAAAAAAAAACAATTGTTTGCAGATAAATATATGAAGAAAGCAGCCAACGTCGATATCGAGCAAGCAGATGCTCTGATTAGAAAAGTAGCACCAATGTTTGTCGAGGCAGTTATCATCATCAAGGACAACTGGTACATGATTACAAGTTTCTCTGTTTTCATTCATGATCCACAGCACATCGATGATTGTGCCGACAATTCCAAATTCGCATACCAAGACAAGCCTATTGCCTTCATCATGCGTAAAACGGCTTTCGGGTCGTCATCTTATGAGCTTGTCATCAGATTTGGATTCATAGAATTGCTGGCTGACAGTGGATTTATGGGATCAGTTGAATCAAACACATTCTTGCCCTTTGTTGGTTCAGCATTAAAGAGCCTTCCTCTTGAAGTCACCGGCAGTATCAACACTCTGACCAGCGCCTCAATCTTCGTCAACAATGATCAGCGGCTCTATGGCACGCACCCAAGACTGATCAATCAATATTACAAGGATTCATCAACTCTAGATTGGCATTTTTACAGCGCTAAATTTGATGAGGCGGGCTTTAAGCCATTGCACCCATTGAAGTTGGTCGATGCCCCTTGCCTGGTGGAAGCGTCTTCGTTCATTATCAATTCTTTTGCTCATCGTGAAACCAAAAAGAGCATAGCAAGAAAATATCAAAAGGCTTTGAAAAATTCATCAGTTTCCAAAAATCTGGAGAGGGAAGTATCGCTTGTTATGAATTATCTGGATGCTATTATTTCCCATCGTCGAGGCGGGCCTGCTATCTTCCACGAAACCAAACATGACAAAGCTTTGGTCAAGCGAAACTTGTTGCAACTTTATCAAAAGGTGTTGCAACCCTATATCAAAGCACAAAATCTGAAAACAGTAGCAAGGGCCCAGGATGTATACAAGCTGAAGAAAATCAACTTGTTTGATTGAGGCAACATTTGCGGATCTAAGAGCTTTGGCAACACGATAGTGTTCATGTTGTGGTCCTTTGTATTATGCCACTTCCCCCTGCTTTTCGCTTTGGCCCCTTCTTTTTTACACCTTTTATAATTCATTTACTGTTGCCTTCTTTTACTTTTTTTTTTATTATTAGAATTAAAACTTTGTATATTTAAGTGTGGTAAATATTCCATTTTTCTACATGGGTGAAATATTGCTTCGTCTAGTTGCGATGAACATGTTGCATCCATGGCAATCAATGTGCACATAATTGAGTCTCAATCTACCAGCAAATATATGTTTCCAAGGATTTTCAGTACCTCTTTCAGACATCTCGTGAATTTATTGAGTTTGATGCATTCATTTCCATGCTACAGAGGAAAATCTAATCACAACAGAAAATTGCAAGCATTGAATGAGAAATCTTAAAGCCATCTACTACAATGGCCGCCTTTCAATCGCTACGATTGCCACTATATTTCAGGAACACCCCACTATAAATATATAGGTATTAAAAGGCTTTTATTGAATCAAATCGCACATCATTATAAATCTAAGTAAGTCTTAAACTATAAAGCTTTTCTTCGTTCTCATTAAAGCACTTGTAGCTATAACGAGTAAACAGGATCAACCACGAGAAGGTGAAAGCTAACTTGATCCCAAAAATAACGAGGAGTCAGGCGAACCATGTATTGGAGCAATCGTGGCAAATTAGCTCGTACACTTACAGTCCAGATATATAATCTGGGGTAATGACCCTCTCTTGCTAAACAACTTCAAGACCACCGTCGTTTAGCTCAGAGTTAACGACACTGAGTTAATGCGGGCCGAAGTCGCGTCCAACTGGGCACTGTGCAAAATCCCTAATCGAGAACCACCCATCCTTTAAAAAAAAAAAAAAAAAAAAGGAATAAGGAGAAAAGAAACAGATGGAATGTGGGCAAATATTTTTATAGAGAAACATGTGATATTTTTTTTTTTTTTTTGCATCTTGCGTCATTACAGCAATTTTTTTGTATCACCATTAGTCCCAGCATTTGATAGCATTGATCTATATCAGGGTTTGATCATAGTAGCGAATTCGATTTCTCTACTTCCCATTAATAATTGAGGGCTTAAAAGCTACTTATATAGTAGATTTTTATTTATCTTTTATTTGAGTTTGTCTACGGCCGTCATCGAGCATAGCGAGATTGCATTTAATTCAACATTGGGTAACACTGGCCTATAAGAGGACTTTACCGTAGCGAAGGTTAAAAGCCATAGCAATCAAGCATCTAATCCAACATTTAGCAACGTTGATTTTTATGAGGGTTTTTGCCGTAGCAAAACGAAGGCCCTAAACCCTAGTATATAAGCAGCAAATTCAGTTTTTCATTTTTCCATTATTAATAAGCTTACCAACAAGATAACGCATCAAAATTAGCTTTAACAAAATTAGTGTGCCTCCTATTCGAATTAGAAATTGCACAAGCTGCAGAACTGCCCTTCTTCCAGACAATTTTGGCTACCAAAGATGCGAATTACACCATGTAATTAAAAGCTATGAAGCAAGAACATAACCAAACTTGACAACTTTTAAGCCTTACTATCTTGACATGTAAACCTTTCTGAGCCACCAGAATGGCACCAAACTGCTGTATTCGAGTAGTAGTAACTTCCTGACACCTTTGCTCAACTTTTTGGGGACCACAAAAATATGGTCAAAAATCGACCAAAAAGCATGAGGTACCCCTCATGGTTTTCATCGAAAATCAAACGATCGCATTTTTCACCTTGATAACGAAGGCTTTTACTATGGTATATCTTGAATCAAAATGTTTCTATCGATCCAAAGCAACCTCTGAAATCATCTTTGTGGGACTTTGATATGTAAAATTTCGACATTTTGGCCAGAAACCTCTTTTCATATTTTGATAAATTGCTCAATAAGTTTATTCAAAACATCTATTTTATTTGGTACCATTTGATGCGCCTTTAAAAGCACTCCAAGAAAGCTTAAAGAAGCATTTTTTTGTAGGGGAGACGAGCTCCAGGTTTTATTTAAAGTCCTTTAAATGTCATGCTGAGGGATAGAAAAGACTGTTGGTGGACCCAATGTCTGCAAAGAAGGGGAATAAGATATTTTTTGAATTAAGTCGGGAAAGAAATCTACTACTAATAAGGTGCGACACCTAGAGCCAATACAGTCTTGCGGAAATCGTCAAAATATTGTATTAGGAAGCATTTTTTTTTTGTAGGGGAGTCAAGCTCCAGGTTTTATTTAAAGTCCTTTAAATGTCATGCTGAGGGATAGAAAAGACTGTTGGTGGACCCAATGTCTGCAATGAAGGGGAATAAGATATTTTTGAACTAAGTTGGGAAAGAAATCTACTACTAATAAGGTGCGACTCCTAGAGCCAGTACAGTCTTGCGGAAATCGTCAAAATATAGATCATGGATAAGAGTACAAAAACACCAAACGAGGACATCAGTACTACGTCAAAAAAATCAAACAACTTGCGTTCACCAGGATTTGAACCGGGATCCTCCCGTTGGCATACGGGAGTTCTACCACTTCGCCCTACCACCAGGGACGTATTAGGAAGCATGGGCCGATCATCACAGCTTATATAGTCGAATCTTGTACAATAGATTAAAGAAGTCGAAAAAAGACACAATCTGGCCAATATTGAGCAGGTAAGAATTCTCTGAGTTTGAATCGATTTTAGCGCTGCTGGCTGACCAAAATACCTTTCTTCGGATGATGACAATGGTGGTTGGGATGCGAATGGGGATCATAAATTTGAGAGAACTATCGCTTAGGTTGAATACTTTCTTTTGATTTTGTTGGGTGTTTAAATAACTGATAAAGTCAGTTAGGCTGGCTCACCGCCAACCTATATGTAATCGTAACTTGCTAACCGTGATTTGCTTGCTTCATAGTACTTGATTATATTATATGATGTAATACAGGATTGTTTTGATGTAACTGTTCATAATTGCAAGTGATATATATATTTGAACTAAATGATTCGTTTAAACATGAATTGTATTGGGAATATCTCTAACTTTCAAGGGAAATGGATCTGGCTCTTCATCCTCATCGGCCTCAGGGTCAACGCCGTAAATAGTCTTTGGGTATTCATCTTCATCTTCATCGTCGCCATAGACTTCCTTTCCATCAATGAACTCTGGTTCAGGATCTGCAAATACTGGAGCTTCAGTAGGTCCATCCTCCTCTTCATCTTCGTCTTCATCTTTGTCTTCATCATCGTATTCCTCGACCTTTTGCTTCATATCACTTTGCTCAATGTCCTCATCTTCTTCATCATCGTCATGAACGAGGTACTCTTCAGGCACATCCTCAAGAGGAATACGGTTTCCCTCCCCATCCACGTAAACGATACCTCCCTCGGACTCAAGTCTGACTTCTTGCTCAATAGGCTGATCGATATTCATGATATTGGGCTCATTCGACTTGTTTAACGTCACTCTTCGAGGAGCATCAGCGTTATAGTGAGCGCAATTCAGATCCCATGAATCCAGCAGCGTAGCTTGCTCACATCCAGCAACACTCCAAGGTTCACCATAGGTAATGGGAGAGTAAACATAGTACGTGTATACAATACAAGCACTTGCAATGACAGCAAATACAAGCTTGACGATACGAGGGGATCTCTTGAAGATCAAATCGATGCCGACGCCCAACGTCAATACAGCCAAGTACAGAGCAGGCATGTAATGCTGCAAGAATAACTGACGATCCATATAGTAAAAGGGGACATAGTGCAGCACCCAGCCCAGAGCAAAGAATCCAGCAGAGTTTTCAAAGAAAGCACGCTTTCCATTGAATTGATCGTGAAATCCTCGTTTATCGCGCAATTGGAAAAAGGCAAAGATGATGCCAAAGGTGAATACAGCAACGGTAGAACTCCAGTAGACCAACGGGTTGCCCAGCAGGATGATCTGAGCAGTGTCTGAGACCCAGTAGTTGATGCCAGAGCGGAGTACGGGCCATGCATAGGGACGTGTTTGAAAAGGATGTGCTTCCACTGAACCGACGTTGAAGTTCCACATGGCATAATGTAAACGAATGAATTTGGATACAAACCCAGGTCTATGTTCAGGCTCGATATCGACATCAGCAGGCAAAAGAGGGTTCTCTGTTTCGTCAATGATCCACATGATCTTGGATTTGATGCCTTCTTGGATGCAGGACACTTCTTGCTGTTCAAATCCCCAGTCAGGCAATCTTTCATAAGTAGAATACAGATGACAATCTTGGTTGGGATGTTCGAGACGGAAGAGACTACGACGAGCTTCTAAATATTGACCAGCTTCAGGATAAGCAGTATTGTTGTCAATTTGAATACGCCAAAAGTCGTTGGAATCGCCAGTGTGGTTCACAAAGCCGTAGCCACTCACTTCAAAATGATAATCAGTATCTGTCACAGGGGCAGGCACGTTATGACTATGGAGCTTGCGAGGAGCAGTGGCTACATGCTCAAGTCGAACAATATCACCATTGCGAACATATTCTAGATAAGTAGTATTGTCACTGCCCAAAAGATCATGCGTGTCCTTTTCATAGACATCTGCTTTCAGGATTCTCCACCAATTGTTCTCGTCTCTATAAGGATATAATGTCACTTGTTGCTGACCAGACCCATCTACATAGTTGGCCGCGTGAGAATGAAGATAACCGCCTGTTGTTTCGCGATGGCGCATGGTAATAAGCGAGCCATATGTAATAGGCACCGGCGTATCCACAGGGTCGTATCCTCTCAATTCATTCTGTGTCTCAATCTCCATATAAGTGTCACCAGGACCTGACTTTGTAAGAATAGCAAAATGAGCGTAAAATGTTGCCACGTAGATGGAAATGGGGATGATGCAAAGACATGTCAATCGTGCAGTAAAATGAATAAAGTATTTACGCTAAATCAAACATGAAACCTCCAAAATTAGACATGTGTTGCATAATGCCAGATGAGCGCTCTTACTTTTGTTACTCGCACATTTCCAAGAATCTCCCATAATTGCTTCAGTGTAGACACACCCACAGTAACCGTAGTGAAGACACCTACCCATTTACTACTACAGGCACAACCTAATCCAACGCCTGTCAGGAATAACCAGATCCACCAGCTCCGACTGAACGCTCTATATTTATCACACATATGCGACATGTCAATTTTCTGTAGAAAATTCGTAGGATGAAAACGCACTGACCGTTGTTTATAGAAGGTTGTATATGCGTACACACTAAATGCAGTAAAAAACACAAGGTATGAATCCAGTAAGATGAGGCGGTTGTTGGTAATTAATCCGTTTTCTAAATTACATTATTAATTTGACAATCAATGAAACGTGTTTTTGATTTGTATTACCAAAACAGATTGCCAAGGCAGTCATTGTACCAGCGATTCTTGAATGCCCAGCATTGCGAATGGTCAAATAAGCCAAAGGTACCACCAAACAGCCTAATAAAGTACCAAGAGCACGGATAGTAGTGTATGGCACGCTGGAGGGATATTCACTGTCGTTGTCATGTCAGCACTCTATCAAGATCCAAACCAATGGCATTTGTGTACCTTCCAATCTCCTTAAAGTCAAACTGGCCATTGTATCCTGCAATCCAACCAACCAACGCAATCAGCATCTTGGCCAACTGCACAACATCAAATCAGAAGGTTTTTTTCCTGTTTTTTTTTTTTTCATAATTTATACTTACGGGCGGGTGCACATCAAAGAAGAATTTCTGTGTAATATAGTAGGAAGCTTGCCGGCCAAAATGAACCTCATCAAAACTAGTATGGATGAATGTCAGTCCATCAGCCTTTGCACACGCAACAAATACTTACACTACTTGGTTAGGATGACTGAGGTTTTTGAATCGAATTGGCAGTGACACGATAAACATAGCAAAGGCAATGAGTGCATCATTACTGCTTGTAGCCTCATGAGTTGCTGGCTTGACACATTGCTTGTGCTTTTTCAAATCATCCTGTTGGTGATCCATCACCGAGAAAGCATTTTTCGCTTTTCGTCGCCTCAATTCCGAAGAGGAAATGGACATGCTGGCAATTTAATGAAAGGATTAAAAGATGAAAGAAAGACGAGAAACATGGACCCAACTCAAATCTTTATTTCCCAAAAAAAAAAAAAAAAATCAATATCTGGAAATTAGAGTTGAGTCTCCGTTTTGTATCATGAAAAAGTACTGAACAGCAGCTTTAGGCAGCAAAGGATGCCTTCATGGTATCCAATAAGATGTCTGCATGTTGGCGTTGGAAAGTCAACATGGGACGAAGACGCACAGTACGGTCTCCACAACCGCCAATGTTGACACCGCGTTGACGCATGTCTACCAAGAAGGCGTCTCTCTGTTTGGCATCAGGTAGATCAAATGCAATGAAGGCGCCCTGGCCACGGATGTTCTTGATAGGGGCAGACTCGGTCATCTTGGCCAGATTGTCTTGCAAATAACTACCTACATCTTGTACATTTTCCAGCAATTGCTTGTCCTTGATCTCTTGTACGATGGCAGCTGCTTGCATGGCACGAACAGGGTCACCCATCCATGTATTGTACAAGCGATAGGCTTGTGTGGGACGGAGACGAGGGCTCAGGTAGAATCCGGCTGCTTGAAATTTTTTAGAAAATGTAACCATATCAGGTGGTGTAGGTAATTGCCATGCTTCATGAGCCCAGAATGTTCCGGTTGCACCAACGCCTGTTTGAACTTCATCTACAATGAACAAAACATCATTCTTTTGACAGATGGCTTGTAAGCCTCTAAAGAATTCAGGGGAAGCTAGTAGTAACAGTGTTAATCATCTCTATCTTCATATTTGAGTCAGGGCGCCAACATTTACCATGGTTATCACCGCCTTCTGATTGAATGGGCTCAACAACAAGGCCAGCGACAGGTTTCTTTGCTGTGGTAATCATGTACTCAACTTGATCCAATGCCTGTTGCTCCACTTTTCTGTTGTGCTCCTTGTGATCTTGCAAAGGATACTTGAGCTGAGGGAAAGGTGCCTTGGGCCAATCGAATGCAGGAATGTCGACTTTGTGGATGGCTTTACTGGCAGTAGCTGTCAAGGAACCAAACAAGCGACCGTGGAATGCTTGATTGAAGCTCAAGATGGACATGTCGTCAGGAGATCCAGGTGCTTCGTTCTTCATGCATGAGTTGAGCTCCTCCAGGTTGAAATCACGATCACCACGTCTCTTGGCTGCCTTGTACATGAAGGCCGTTTTGAAGGCATTTTCATTTGCGCAGGATCCACACATGACAGTGAACACGTTGGTCATGCCTTTGGGTGCCACTGCCATGAATGCCTTTTCAACTGAATCCACCCAGTCCACATTGGGGTTGACACCAAGAGCAGCTCTGTATAGTATCCATGTCAATGCTCCATATCCAATTGGGCTTGTATTATGTTGCCTACCTGTTGGCTAATGCAGTTTGAAAAGCAGGCTGCTGAGAAAGAGCCAAAAAGGCAGGATTGTTGTAACCAACAGGAATAGACGCAATTTGAGCAAAGACATCCAGCAATGTGTTTCCGTCTGCATCCACAATGTAGTTTCCCTTGGATTTAGCAAAGTCTATATACGAGGTTACTATAAAGCAGGTATCATGTGCATTGTTCAACGTTTGCTTACCTGCCACGAAAAAGATGGATCTGGTATCTTGATATCTATCTAATCTTGACATGATCTCCTTTGATGCAGGGCCTGGAATAGCAGTAACAACATTGGGTTTGGCTGGCTCGTCTGGAAAAAAGGCTGAAGTGGCAGCTTCTTTGATGGGAGAAGCGACACTTGCCAAGTAGCGAGCGCGTTGTGTTGTTGTCAATGCAGACGACCAGCGAGGCAGCATGGCATTTTTACGTAAGATGGCGGGAATCATATTAAGGGATCGAGAGTGGGGAGAGAAGAATAAGAAGGCAAAAAGGAAATTTAAGGGTTTAAACGTAAAGAAGAACATCAGCATGCTTGACAAAAACGTTTATATATGATGGTTGGACTTCCGTGGGAAATTCCCATTGCCTTGCCTTATACTGTAATGATATTTGTCATGTTGATACAAATACATGAACCGTATAAGGCTATTTCTGACTCTTGATAGTGATTGGAAAAGATTAAAATTCTAGAGCAAGCACACAATTGTACATTAGCTGTATCTTTACAGTTGCATCGTTTCACAAGCTACGTTATCAGTTGATGTGTGCGGTATCATCTTCGTATTTAGGGTTACATCGATAAAGAAGATCTCGGTGTTTGCTACAGATATACATCGGGGTTTATGCTGATCAATCTTGGGGAGATCCCATAAACTGCAACTGTCAAACGCTAAAAGTGGCACATGCAGCTCCTTTAAAGACCAATGGTTGTATATAGCTTTTTTGTTCATTTGCTAGTACTGCAGAATCAGTTTTATCTTTTACAGTTATAATTCGACACAACCATCGTCAGTGGTCAACGTTGAGATACTTTTGCAGTAAATGCTGACGGAAAGAGCATCTTTGCCAATCTTGCTGGCAAGTCGCGTATATTTATCCAACAGAAATGAATTTTGAGTTTTTAAGGTCACTCCTTGAGTGGAGCTACTTGTTATCGATTCCTGTAAAGGCCATCATTATACTAGCGCCTCAACGCATATGCAAACAAAACTTATTAATGGCAGTATATATCATATGGAAATAGATGCTATTTGGGCGTAAACTCAACTCTTTCAGTCGTTTCCGATTGCATGCTTCAAGGTAATCGACATGCTTTTTTGGAACATTCGAGTAAGAACATTGAATTCGACAGTTCAGACGAACCCACACCACTCAAGGCATTCATCAACAATTATAAAATCACAATCACCAATTCCATCTTACCCGTGCTATATGATTTTCTTTTGAATTATATATAAACCCTCACAAAAAACGTGCAATCTTATTTACAATTACCATACTGGCTAAATTAAATAAATACCTAAATGTCATTTAACTGATAAATGTACCTTTCAACAGAGTAAATTTTATAGTACTTCGCTTTGATTTACCACAACCTACTATAGGAGCATCTGTTCCATCATTATGCACTGAGTAATAACATGGTAAATCCGTTCCTGTTTCATATTTATTTAATGGCTCATGCGATCGTGAGTTTCAGGTTGTCTTAATTTTACAAGGATACTCTTGGTATTGATGGCAATCCATTGCACTGCGAGTTACGTCTCAGTGCCGCCGCAATCAAGAGTAACCGGTTTTACCAGCACATGACCCCTAAAATTAGCAGGTTCGTTAGTAGACATGAGAAGCTGCATCTTACCATGGGTGATTAGAACCTACCGAACGTTCATCAATATCAAGAATCCATCCCTTAAAGAGGTCTTCTTCGCAGAATGTTACGCTCCTTTGGTTTCCGTATACCGCTCATTAACGAGTACATGACTTAGAATACCTGCCCCCCCCCCATATATTTAATACCGCCACTGGAGATGATGAGAAACATTAGACTTGCTCCTAATCCTCAACCAAACCACAGACAACAACAAAACTACAGCCAGTGAGACTCTATTGAGGTCTTGTTAGGTACGTAAATGATGAGGCGGCTGGCGAATGCAATCTAGGTTTGTGTTAAACAAAGCATGTGAAGCTAGCACCTTGATACTAGAACAACAAAGCCAAGCTCGTGAGCTAAATGCTGAAGCAGTGCCTACAGTGTATAGTAGGCTTCCTCACGCACATAATAAATTTAACGGATATCCCTAACATGAAACTACTCAATGGATGCCAAATCAAATGATTGCACCTTAATTGACCTTTGAATAAGGAAGGGCTTCAATTTTATACATTTGATTACGCTTTTATTATTACAAAAGATAAAATAATGTTAAATGGCAGTGTTATATCAAATGTTATAGCAAGGTCTCACACTAAAGGTTTTAGGCTATTCTTAGGTCCTTTGGTTAAATTATGCTAATCATGATTTACAAATCAATTGTTGGGTAGATAGTAAACCTATTTGTATTATAGTTCATCATCATGCTGTAAACCCTAGCATAATGAAAAAGTATATAAATGCATCCCAAGGATGCATTCTCGATAAAAGTGTAATTCTTTGGCAGATTCAATTTTACATTGTATTTTGACATAACAGGCAGATCAACAGAAAATCAACTAGTTGTAGACCTTTTTTCTTTCAACACCAGAGCCAATCAAATCGCTTGAAAACTCCGCTGACCTAAAAAAAAATTTGCGAGGGTTTCCCCCTGTTTTGATGTGAGGCAAAATTTTAAGCTCCGCTATATATAGCAATATAGCCGTTACTATCATCAAATTTCCCTCAGGTGCTAGAGCATGCCTTACTTACACCACCTAGCTTTAGATTCTGGCGTTGAGACTCTCAATCATCACTAAAGTAAGTAATGATAACCAAGTGGAGGCAGCCTATCCATCTCCTAGTCTCGGATAAAGTCTTGTTGAGCTTCAGCGATAGGCACATCCACCACAACGTAATAAAGAGGTATGCTTCGAAAGAAACATAATAAAAGAAAAAAGGAAAAGAAGAAAAGAACATACTACTGTAGGAGTATAGTAGCATGTAGATAAAAAAGGAACACTCACACAAAAAAGTGAGTCAAAAGAAAAGCATAACACAAATACAACATCAAAGATGTTCAGGACAGCTTGTTGTTGTTGCAACAAAAATGCATACATGAGCAACGCGCATGGTAGTAGTCGGATGTAAAGCAACACAAACACGCACAATTGCAGGAGCAACAGCAGTATTATAAGTGTGCAATACAACATAATGACTAATGTTGTTTCATGTGAAGCGACAGAGGCAACACAAACAACAGTCCACGGCCATATAACAAAGTAGTATTACAAAGGCAATACAGGTATATAGCAGCACATCGTGCTTGTTGTTCGTACATACAAAGAAACAACATTGCAAGCATCCGTTGAACTGATCATATCACAGCCAACAAAAGAAAAAGAAAGCGCAACAAAGAAAACCTCATGAATGCACTATTATGAGAAAGGAAACAATAGTAAAAGCGTCCAGAGAAGCTTTATATCATTGCGACCAGAAGAAAAAAGATACTTACCACTTACCATAGCCACGAATAGACCAGAGAATAGGCAATCACCATAGATACACCAGAGAACGAGCAAATACCACAGATAGTACATCAGAATAGGCCAGACTAGCAGCAGCAACACCATCAGAAATACCAGCAGCGTAGAAAAACTGAAGAACGAGTGACACCAGAGACCAGACAAAGATTAACGAAGTAACCGCCAGAGAAAGAGACCAAAGAAGCAAACACTAGACATGATAAACCAAAGAAGCAAACAGCAGAGATAGCATAGAAGTAATAGCAGCAGCACTTACGTCAAGCAGGCAAAAAAATTATCGAAACCTAATAAACAAATTCGATTAGTGCTTGTTCTACATCTTTCTGTGCTCGTTATCGAATGGTACCTATTATATTCCAATTCAAAGAAGCAGTATCAAGTATTTTTAACAGTGCAAGGTCGTGTTATCAGATGATAGAGTGTTATTTTCAATCAAAAAGGTTCCAAAACCAATATGGGTTGATACTAAACGCGTTTTGCAAAAAGGCTGAAAAAGGGGTAATGTAAAAATGAGAATGCACCCTATTCGTCGACGTCACTGCTATCATATATAGCCTCATCAGTCTTCTGCCGTGGCAGCCGTGGTTGCGGTGCTCAAATTTGTATTTGTGCAGTGGCCATTTTTGTGATCAGACTTGACTTGGTCTGACATCCTTCGAACGTTTTTGCAAAGTTTGACTATAGAAAATGCCATTGTCGCGCCCAAGTTTCTAATACATTCATAGAGAGTTAAACATGGCCCATCGAATGGTGCTAGCTACATTCTGCTTACAGACTAAAAATAATAAGCAATTTTCAAAAATATGAAAACAGGTTTTTTGTGAATATATCGAAATCTAGCATACAAAACTCTCATAGAAACAATTTCCAGTGTTGCATTTTACTATTACGATTAATTTGATTTAATATGTATCATAGAAAAAGTTTTCGTTTTTGGGGTGAAAAACACGATTATTTGATTTTCAAGAATTTTCCCTTGCTAGTACTCAAGTAAAAACGATGATTTTTATGAATTTGCCATGACCCAAAAAAAAATTGAGATAAAGCGTTAGTAAGTAAGGCGTATCAAAGGAGAGACGTTTGGCGCTATTCCAAGCGTCCACAACGCTTTGTAGCATGAGTTATTCGTGCTTCAAAACGGCCAAGTTTGGACAGAATATAGCCTAAAAATAAGGCTTAGTATGTTGTGCTGCCAAAGAAGTGGGTAAATTATAGTTCTGTTGTCTAATGTCCCTGAAGTTCTGCACTGTACGGGACTCGATCCCTAAGTTAGAAAACTATAGCTCGATTGTGCGGAGAAATGGCTGATACTGGACATGCAGAGCCGGCACTAGCACGATGAGAGAAACAATCAGCGAAATCACGTATCAATATCGACGGAACAGAGATTCATGGTAATAACAAATTCTGTAATGTAATAATTGACATCAGTAAGCTGTAATGAAATCTGGTTTAAATGAATTATCCACGATGCTGCACTGCCAAAAAGGTCATCTTTAGGCAAAATTATCCAAAATCAATCGCTCAAACGGTATCTTTTGCTGTAGTAGTCGCGCATATACGTTTTCTTTTGCGCTCCATCACTAGTCAGTACGCGCCCTGGGTTTATTTTATAGACTTGAGCATCGTATGGATGCTTCTGTCCTGTTGTTATTGAAGAAGAAAGACCAATTTTTGAAAGATAGCATTGCAATAGATGTCCAAACGAGGTCCTCCTGTTTTGTAGAGCAAACACGAGGAGCAAAATTTAATCAATCGAAAGAAGCCTGGTCGAATTGGCAGTTGTATACGAATAATGGTGTCGAAACACTGATGTTTTATATAGAGTACTTTTACACTTTACTCGGCTGCTTAATTATTTGACAGCCAATGTAGCGACTTAAATCCAATCATATGCTTAGCAACTCATCAAAGTGGACATATAAGCTTTCTGATATGAAATATTTAGCATCAATATGGGGCAAAAAGCAATCCCCCCCCCACTTTTGCTGAAATGCCCAGCACAACTTCAAACTTTTGCCAAACCACAGAGAAGTAAGATATCAACGGTTTTTATTTCAACGTTTTTCAACACTAACCCATCGATTTATTACGCTTAGCTACTCGTAACCAACAGACTCTTAAATAAACATCATGCTTCAACATTGACTTATTTTAAAAAATTCTCGTCAATTATTCATCCAATCTAAAATTCAATTGCATTATCGTTTTTTCCGTAAAAACCAGCTACGGAGCATGCTACTTTTAAAGCTGTAATATCGACTATTCAAAACTCGATTTTGCATGTATCAAAAGTTGCTCGAACATGGTTTTTTTTTTCAATGGTAGCCATTGTCCCAAGTCCATGGTAAGTTTGCATAAAATCAAAATACACTTACGTTACATTACAATCAGCACGTTGAGATTATCAATCAAGGATCTGAAATCTTGTCCTATCCAAGTCTAGGCAAATCATGGCTGTACCAGACTAAACGCAGATACAAACATGCACACTAATTCTGAAGTCGTCATCCATTGCATGTATTTGGAAGAGGTCCATACTGACTCTGCCTCATTCAAATTGTTGTAGAAACAATCAAATACAACCACTTTATGAACAAAGCCCCCCTTCAACATATCTCTCTAGTATTTAACATCAATGAATTTGCCTTTTATCATGCCTAATAATCTATCGTTATAAAAGCAAACAATTTTTTAATGTATACAAGAAGAAATCAATGAAAAAAAGATGGAAAAAGAGAAAGCAAAACAGTACTATATTAATCTAAATTTTGGAGTTGTTGTTATTGTTGAAAGATGTTTCTAGCATATACATCTTCTACTTTGATGACCTGAGCAGGATGACCCATGAGATAAAAGGATTGCGCAACTTCTTGACTTTTTGCACATGAAGTAACAATGACATGGTTGGAAGTACGAGGATCGAAAATGGGTAAAATGTACTTGAGAAGAATTTTTGTCACATCTTGCATAGTGACATCCTGTAGATTGATAAGTCAATGGATGTATACACAATGGAGTTATGGTTCTATATATAAATGTACCTGAACAGCTTTAAAAAACTGACACTTTTGTCGCTTTGATTGTCGCAGCACCTTGTTGATGAATGATTGAGCAGCTGCAACTTCTCTCGTGTTCTCGCAATCAGCAATATCAAAAATCACACTGCTTTTGGCACCTTCTAAAGCATAAATATCTAATTGTATTTCTCCAGTAGCTAGTTGATGTGTGGCATTTTTGACATGCTCAAATGCGCCCAAGATGTTGGAGGAACGCATTATACACAATGATATCAGTCCAGATTCTGTTAAATTGGATAACCAACACTTGTAAGAAAGGCCAAGTCCTCGCACTAGCCGAGTATAGACACCTTCCATGGCATGCAGCATTTCCATCAGCACTAAAAGAGGTGGAATTTCGGGTGAATCGAAATCAGAGGGTCCCTTTGCCGAATGAATAGAAAAAGAACTCTCCGTAGCCGGTAATGCCACAATCGTTGTCTGCAAAGAGGCCAGAACTGTTACTATCGTACATTAATTTGCATGTATACCACTTACGCATTGCCCTGGCCTTTGACCAAATAACCCAAAAGCATCTTTGGAGCGGATGACAGGCGGGATAGCTTTTACCTTTTTCTAAAGAGCTTTGTATTAGCATGGCCTGAGCTGAATAGCCTCAAGCCCGACTTACCTGGTGCAACTTCCACGATCTAAAGACACACTTGGGTTGCTTCAGTCTCAAGATGTCGCCCATGACATGCACCCTTAAATTTTCACCTCGACATACTAAGGGAAAACAAACAAAAGCTAAGTGACAATAGAACTCTAGTGGTACCCAAACTTACAGATGGATCTAAATTCATTCATGTCCTGGATAACTTGGCTGGGGGCCTTCTTCATTTTATCCAGTACCTTGGGAAGAAAAGTATCTTGATATAGATAGCTGCAAGAGGCCTCTGTTGATTTTGTGATATCCGTGTTGATGGCACGAATGGTCCAGTCTGTGACCAATTTTCCGCTTCTCTTTGCTTGTGGAATATCATTCAGTGTCTTGTTGATGGCTACCACCAGTCTATATAAACATAAAAACAAAAACGCCCATGAGTGTTCTTGTGTCCATATTTGTTTTTCTTTCATAAAACAAACCTGTCATGTGTAAATTGAATGTTCCACATGAGATATCGTAACCAATTTACACCTGCTGAATATTTCTTGGCCTCCACTTTGATGGTTATCACAATGTATTCTCGGAAGGCTCCTTGGTAGCCTAGCGAAGCGTCGTAGGAAATAATGTCCAGGTCGAGCTTCTGCACCACATCGTCATGCGATATGAAGTTCCCATCGTCTAGGCAGATGGGAGAAGCGAAAACAGTATCCATGTACATTCTACCATAGGGTCGAAGATGAGAAGGCATGCTGGATGTGTTCATGTAGACTGAAATGGACACAAATGCCGAAGAAATGTCTATAGCAAATAAGGTTGGTAAAGCGGATCACATGCTACTTTACATCTGTTGCTTACCATCGTACTGGATGAAGAAGGGTATATTACTTGCAGGACCATCTCGACTGACATGTGCTTGAACTGGATTGTTGGGTAGCTTGGCGGTGGCATCTACTAGTTGGCAGTAAGGGTTGACGGCAGTCATGACTTCGATGGATGAGATGCTGGACACGTCAGGTATAGGAAACCCTTCCATGATTCTAGATGGGATTTGAGCTTCGTTGATGCGGTTGGCATGGTCTAACTGAGCAGCTAGTAGCTGTAAACCTTCTTCTCCTAGATAAGCTCGTTGTGCCTCGACTCTTGCATTTTCTTCCTTTATCAATCGTTCAGACATGGCGAGAGATGGTTTTCCAATCAAAGCAGTGTATGCTGAATCGATATAGGTTCTAGGTAATACGGGATTGTCAATACTGGAAACATGTCAATCAATGAGAGGAATGGTTTACTTTTTCAACAGGTGTAGCCAATCTTGTTTTGTAAAGTCGACAAGCACGTCTAGATATTTTGCTTGCTGCAAAGCATCTACGAAATCATCGCTACCTAAATCACCGTAAAGACAGGCTGTGCATTATACGTTATTACTAATATCCAAACACTTGCACACAATAAAACATACCTGTGATAGCGGGTAGAGCTACCATGTAGGTTGCACGAGTTTCATATTCATCTAGAAACTATACCACAATTAAGGAGAAGTTTTTTCAGGATTCACAACAAATAAGATTACCTTGAGCTTTTCCTTTCGAATGAGAGCAGCCATTCTATCCATATCAATTTCGAGCGAATGCAAGATGGAGTGCAATGTCGAGACCAAGGTAGGGACAATGTCGTCTGCCTTTGCCAAAGGTACATTTTGAAAACTCGCTGTGATGGCGATTCGGCTTCTTTCTTATATTCTGAAATCCAATTCCGTACAATAAGGATCATTCCTCTCCACAAAGACTTTCTTCAGTGGCGCAATGGGTGTCTCGCTCAAATACGCATTGAGCATATGGATGGCTTGAATCTCCAAAAAGGCGTTCCAGTGCGGACCCAACCATGTCACTGTAATCTCGCTCATGTCCTCCAATTCATGGCCTGGAAAATAAACAATTTCTGTGTGGTCGTGCAACAAGTCTGGAATCATGGGTGCTGGTATCCATGGTTTGATGCTTCTCGTCATGTTGTGGTTTTTGTCCAGTATGGATTTATCGATTTGCTCCAATGTAGACAGTAGATGCACTTGGTCCAGTTTGCCTGTAATCACAATCACCAGGTTATCGGGTGTGTAAAATTGACGGTGGTAATCTCGAACTGTTTGGAAGCGTTGTCAGTGACATGATGGTTTGAAAGCGTTGTTTGTTATTCTTACTAGATTCGATTTTGAGAGTGCGCAGGTTTTCCATCAACCCACCTGCTTCATTCTGATAACCGCTTTCTTTTGGATACACGAGATGTTGTAAACGACGCTGCATAATATCTGTCATTGAATTCTCGCGGGCTTGCATTTCGCAATAAACGACCTGTTGGCATGATTGAATCAGTGTAAATTATGTGTGGCATTCAAGCTGTTACTTACACCTAATGAGTGGAGGGGGGGGGGGAGGATAGTCATTTAGAGATATATAATTAGCGCCAGTCAAACAGGTTGGTGTAATGTTATACAATACCAGCGTCTTGTCCATCTTGATCAATATGATGCACTTCTGTATAGAATCCTTCGTTTGTCAGTGTTGGGTATAAAATATGGTCCACGTACACTGGGAGTAGCTGCAGAAACCCATCGCTGCCAGCTGTTGTAATTGCTACAATCACCCATTCCCAATTAGTTTTCTACAGGCAGGCATGCCACCGTCCAACACTCACTGTAACAAGTATGATCCACGTCTGTCCAGGCATTTGTTCCTGGCGCATACGCTCTAGGAGCCAATGAATCCAGCGCACCCTACCTCATCAGTGAGTTTTATTGATCCATCATTTCAACCCCACGATGCTTACCTTGTATGGGTACTTTTCGCTACCAAGAAACACTAGGCTACAACAGGACATTAGCGGATGACATGCTACAGCGCGAATTGTCTAATTACTGTTCAAGTGTGTGTGGACATCCATCATCATTTAACACTGTATAAATATTTTGGTTTGTTAAATGTTTCAGGTTGTGTATCGTGTATGTGTGTGTGTGTATGTGTGTGTGTGTGTGTGTGTATGTATATATATGTGTGTGTGTGTGTGTGTGTGTGTGTGTGTGTGTGTATGTATGTGTGTGTGTGTGTGTGTGTGTGTGTATATGTTTTGCAATACCTTTTGTCGCCAAAGCCAAAAATCCACTTACAAGCGGCCCTGCAGAATCAAGGTGATTAGACATACACACGAGCACATGTTGCTCTCTTGTAAAAACCTTCAATGTCGGCATGAACAGCTGTTAACCCAGTTTTTGAGCTCTTGTATCGCTTGATCTGGATTGTTTCACATGGATCCACTGAAAATGAACTGAAATGAACAAAATCATCTGTCACTGTGGGTGTCATCTTTTCATCAAACTTGAAGAGAACAAAAAAAAAGAGAGAGAGAGAGAGAGAGAGAAAGAAGAAAAGAAAGGAAAGAGGAAACCATAGAAAAAAATAAAAAAAGGGGTACAAATAAACCGTTGTTTTTTTTGGCAATGTCAAGTTGTAAGGAAATGTGTGCTGTCGGCGTGAATGTAACCATCAAGGTTTCACATTGTCAAAAAGAAACTTTAGTCCCGTCATGAAGTTGTAATAATGCAAGGGATTCATTTTTTTTTTCTTTGGCTTGCGCCTCTTTTTTTCTCTCTCTCTCTCTCCCTCTCTGTCTCTTCTTTCTCCATCACTCTTCAAAATGTCAATTGATACATCCAAGCTAAGCGATCTATTTCGCTACAAAGAAAACGATACCGAGCTCAAAGGTAAAATCATCAATGTGGTCAATCAGATCCCGTACAATTGCTTTATGCAAAACCAAGAGTACGAGGCTGATTTAATGAAGCGATTGAATTTGAACAACTCACAAGCACCATCCTCTGAGCTATTGGACACGACACCCATTTCTCACCTGGAGAGAAGGCGAAGATCGACTGTAGTTGCTCTCGGTCAAACCAACATTTGGCAGCTATCAACTAGACGAGGTCACTCGGCCATGTATGCCGCTCTTGATTCACTAAAAAAGGACTACCGAACCCTTTACATTGGTGGTACAGGCACTATCTTGTCGCATCACGACAAGAGCCATGTCATTGACCCTGCTTCCATCTCGGACAGCGACAAGGAGTCGCTCAAGCACTTGCTCAGGACACGACACGACATGGCTCCCATCTTTATTGATGATAAACTGTCATCTGGCCACTATGAAGGCTACAGCAAACAAGGTTGGAACCAGTTACACGACGGATTTTGCTTTATATAGACTAACCGATCTCTTACAGTTCTGTGGCCATTGATGCATTATTTAATGTGGTCTGATAGCGTGGATGAAGTATCCTTTTGGAATAGCTATGTTCAAGTCAATCAGATATTCGCAAATGAAACCATCGCCAACTACCAGGAGGGCGATATCAGTAAGTTGTCATGGGGGGGGTGTGCGTGTCCATGGAGGCTAACACACGCTGTAGTTTGGGTCCATGATTACCATTTGATGCTTGTACCACAGATGATCCGACAAGCTTTGCCGAATGCTCCCATTGGGCTCTTTGTTCATACGCCATTTCCCAGTTCAGAGATATTCAAATGTCTTCCACGTACGTTGAATTAAGCAGATACCCAACAGGCTCATAGACATACTCACTCTTGATTCGGTAGACCGCAAGGAAGTTCTGTTGGGTATTTTGGGTGCCAATGTGGTTGCATTCCAAACGTACAACTACGCCCGTCATTTCGCCTCAAACTGCACTCGCATTCTTGGCTATGAATACACGCCTTCCGGAATCCTTGCCAACGGTCTCTTGATTCAAATTGAAATTTTCCCGATTGGTATCGATGTAGAGCGCACACGCTATCACTGTCATCGGCCTGGCGTTGCTCCCAAAGCCAAAGCCATCCGCGAACGCTACGCTGATAAAAAGATTATCATTGGTCGCGACAAGCTGGATCCTGTCAAGGGTGTTTTGCAAAAACTGGAAGCATTCGAAACGTTTCTGACAGATTTCCCAGCATGGCGGGACAAAGTGGTACTGATTCAAGTGACATCGCCTGGTGTTTTGGGTGCTACAGAACTGGAAAACAAGGTGTCCGAGATTGTTGCTCGTATCAATGCCAAGTTTGGATCCCTTGAATTTACACCCGCCAACCTGTTTAATCAACATATTGATCGTGATGAGTACTATGCTCTGCTGGAGGTGGCTGATATCGGTTTGGTCACACCTATCATTGACGGTATGAATACTGCTAGTTTCGAATACGTGGTCGCACAAGAGCAGCACCATAGCCCTCTGATCCTGTCTGAATTCACGGGTACTGCCAACAGTATGGGCGCTGCAGTCATTGTCAATCCTTGGAATTGTAAAGAGGTGGCTCGTGCTATTGACGAATGCTTGTCCATGAGCGAGGAAGAGAAGACACTCAAGTATCAGCAATTGAGTCAGTTTGTCACATCGCATACAGCTGCTTACTGGGCTCGATCTCTGGTCAAGGGCTTATTGAATAGCCCCAAGAGCAACTGGGGAACAACGACACCTTTGGATGTATCGCGAGTAAGGGCTGAATACAGCGAAAAAAGAAAGAGAGCTCTCTTTTTCGACTATGATGGCACGCTGGTTCCCATCTGTCAGAATCCTGAAGATGCTAAACCCAGCCAGCAAGTGATTGACGTACTGACCAAGCTCTGCAAGGATCCTAATAATGTGGTTTGGATCGTGTCTGGTCGAAGTCAGGTAAGCACTGCTTGGATACCGTAGCAAAACGCATATTCATCATCTCCATACTACTACGCTAGGACTATTTGGAAAACTGGCTGAGTCACATTCCCAACTTGGGTCTCTCCAGCGAACATGGCTGCTTTATCAGAGATCCCAACAGTAAGACATGGATTAGTTTCGTTGAAAATCTCGACATGTCTTGGAAGGACGATGTCAAGGAAGTCTTTGAATATTACACCGAGAGAACACCTGGTAGCTTTATTGAAGAAAAGGAGTGCGCATTGACATGGCATTATCGTAAAGCCGATCCCAAATATGGCGCCTTCCAAGCAAGAGAATTGCAGAACCATTTGGAGCAAAACGTGGTTGGTAAGCTGCCTGTGGAATGCTTGATTGGCAAAATGAACGTCGAAGTCCGGCCCAGCCTGGTAAACAAGGGTGTTATTATCAAACGTGCCATCACTCAAAATCCAGACATTGAATTCATGTTTTGTGCTGGAGACGATCGCACAGATGAAGATATGTTCCGCATCTTGGAGAGAATGGAGTTGGGTGGCGTTCAAATGATTCAGTTCACAGTTATTGTGGGTAACGTGGATAGAAAGACGCTTGCTAGCTGGAAGGTGGATTCATGTCAGGATTTACACAACATCCTACAATTATTAGTTGATCAATGAATAAAGACACTGGCTATTTTTAACCAAGTAGTATAATAATTACACGGGAAAACTGGGGCTGATAGGATCTATTGTTATATCAAATATTATGCAATCTATCTCATATAACATCTGCCTAAGCAAGATGATAGAGAGACTTGATTTGAGCAGTAGCCCAAGCACCAAGAGCAGCATGGACCTCCTTTGAAGGGTGAGCAGAATCATAAAAGAAATGCTTATCAGGATCATCACAAGCAGCAGTGTTGCCCACACCCCAGGCACAGGGACCATTGGAAGTCTGTTGACCGAGCTTCTCTGGATGTTTGAGTTGCTCAAGGAAAACGCGTATATTGAATAAGCTATTTGCTGTGCTAAAAAAAATATATCTCAAAAGATGAACACTGGTCGCAATGCATTCGTTGTATCACTGGAATGATGATTAACGTGGATGGGATGTAGAAATTGTGGCCACGTTCTTTGATGGATAAAACCAAAGAGTACTTTTTTCCAGGACTTGACTGTTACAGGCCGTAGTTGTGATCCAATGCAAGACACGTTGGCCGTTGAGGTTTTTGTTGTTTGTACAATGTCCCCCTGGTAAATGTGCAGCAGAAAGCCTATAAGTTTATATAATCAAGGCATGTGCGACTTGATGAATGTCGATCTGGTACACACTAGATGCAGGCTATCTATTGCATCACTGATAAGCTGTATCATTGTGTCTATGATATAGCGATACGATACTGTAGTACTACTTGACCAAATATTTTCAGCTGAATATTTGGGTGTAACAACATACTCTAATGTTAGATCGATGAATACAGTGTTTTACGCCTGTCATCATAACAAACGCGCGTCTATTGACAAGCAAATGTATAAAGCACAGCCAAATTCGATAGCTTTCAAGCCTTCATATCTTGACATGTAGGCCTTTCTGAGCCGCTGGAATGACGCCAAACAAATGTACTCGAGTAGTAGTAACTTCCTGACACCTTTGCTCAACTTTTTGGGGACCAAAAAAAAACATGGCCAAAAATCGACCAAAAATCATGAGGGGTACCTCATGATTTTCATCGAAAATCAAACGATTGCGTTTTTCACCTTGAAAATGGAGACTTTTACTATGGTATATATCAAATCAAAATGTTTCTCTCGATCCAAAGCAACCTCTGAGACTACTTTTATGAGGTTTTCATATGCAAAATATGGTTATTTTCGCTTAAAGCCTCATTTCATACTTTCAAAAATTGCTCAATAAGTTTATTCAAAACATCTATATTACTTGGCACCATCGGAAGCGCCTTGAAGAATACTCCAAGAATGTACTAGGAAGCATGGGCCAATCATCACAGCTTATATAGTCGAATTGTTTATAAAAGACTAAAGAAGTCGAAAAAATACAAAATCTGGCCAATATTGAGCAGGTAAGGATGCTCTGAGTTTGAATCAATCTTTAGCACTGCTGGTTGACCAAAATGCCTTTCTGAGGATCACAATGATGATTGGGATGCTAATGAGAAGGGGACCATGAATTTGACAGGATTATAGCTTAGCCTAAAGATTCTATTTTGATTTTGTTTGTTATATCTGACAACGCCAGTCAGCTTGGCTCACTACCAAAATACATGTAATCGCAACTTTTAATCATAATCTGCAGCATTTCAACATGACATGCTGACAGCACGCGTTTCATTGAATCGTTTAAAAAAGGCTACTGCCACTAGCCAAAAAGTTATTTTGATATGTACTGAGGATATTTCTTAAATTTGTATCAAAATTTTCATTAGAAGTGATAACTGCAATCTCGTTGACAGTTGGCAGTTTCTAAGTGCGCCTATCTTCAGCAACAATCAACTCCAATCTCAATTGAGGGTTGAGCCAAATGTGAGCATCTTTGTTCATATGATTTCCACCTTGATGTCCTCTTTCCTTACTCAGTATTTTATAAGCATGCTTGTGAATACGAACAAAGATTTTTGAGTGCTTAATTTTTCTAAATTTGATGTTCTTTGATTGGTCACGACAACACTTTTTCATGGAATATCCACTGAATAAGCAAATGGTTTCAAGCGTCTTGGAGCATGAGATATGGCTTAAAGACGCCACATTTCATGTATTTTGTTTGATGAGCATATATAAGCAATAAAGCAACTGTAATATAAAGCATGACGACTCGGACAACTAAAGCAGTAGCAGGCATATCTCACTTGAACAGAAGAAAGTTAATGATCCGTATATGGTAGCTATCATATGTAGTAATTACTAAATCGACTATTGGAAGATGTATCTGTGGAGCCATACCTGGGTCTTTTAAGTGCACACTATGCGAGAAAACCTACTCAAAGTGTGCCAAGCTCCGTAGATTTCAGGTACGCATACACTCTCGATAAGACTTCATGTTGAAGCACGCTTAGTAGTATTAAAGGTGTCTTATATTTATACGTCAAGTGTATCTTGCTTGATTTGACATCCAGACTTGCCTTGTAAAACGATAGTTCTCGCCTCTCATAAAAATGGATAGTATATACCATGTCAATGGTATTGAATCCCTGGACCAAAACCAATGGAGCCATTCAGGGCAGGCTTCGATCTGCATAATTCTACAATTCTTTTGCAAGCTCCGCCAAATGACCAATGTAATTTGTACTTACTATCTCTAACAAACGGCTACTCTCTGCTAATCAAACGATTCAATTTAGTTTTAGGATATGCTTTTCAAATACTCTCAGTATCTTAATTAGGTTCAAATGCTCAAATTCAGACTCCCGGGCTTGATATACAAAGTCTACATAGTTTTCATGATTGTCATTTGGTGTAACTCGCAAAGCCAGGGCATTTCTATATCGTTGACAACAAGCGGAAACTAATCAACGATGGCATTTGGAGACAACAGCCTCGTTTTATTTGATAATGCAATTTGTAATGATATGATGTATGATATGTAATGTAGAAATATAGATGCAGATAGTCATTCAAGGATGAACAGGACAATGTTCTGTAAAAGAGCAAAAAAAAAAGTGAGTGTTCTTATCAGATTGAATATTCACTCTTTAAAGAGCTTACTTGTCATGTGTAATCGAGAACCACAAACAGCACAAGATTTGGCAGCATTTACTGTTTCGGTTTCTGTAACACCCTGGTCATGATCCATCATTAATGAAGATGATGGCAGGGACAGGTTGTTGTTGATAGGCATTGGGTCGTAATAAACAAGCTTGATGATGATGGTAGCTTTAATATGAGCAATTGAATGAAAATCCATGATGCGTATACAAGAGATAAGCGAAAATAAGGAGACAAAGTGAGCCAAGGAAGAGAAAAAGTTTTTTTTTTTTAGGATAATCTCTTTTTCTCTTGCCTCTTTTATACAAAACAAGGACCAATTCACAACATGGAGGCATAAATTGTATCAATTACGATAATCTTGAGTGATACAACTCTCTTATCGATCAAAAGGAAGAGAACAACAACAAAGAAACATGTATACTTATCAAGAAAATGAGGGTATTTTTTTAATTTATTACAAAATCTTCCACTGCGTTTGTTCAATCTTTTCCTTGCAAGAGTAGTGAACGACAACACCGTTAGGAAAGACAGCAAATACACTATCAACGTGGATTCAGCATCGCTTGTTCACTTTCATAATACCAGTTCTTACCTGTTTCCAATGCGCTTGTTACATTGAGGGCACATCCGATCTTCTGTGATTTTGACAGCTCGAGACCTATAAAACATCAATTGTTCCTCGACCTAAAAATGTTACTTATCTCTCTGTTCCACGATGGCATGTGAAAAATGTGTGTGTGTGTGTGTGTGTGTGTGTGTGTGTGTGTCCTACCTGTATCTGCTCGGCTTTGAGCAAGTTTTTCACTACTAGATCCATATTGCGATTCTTGTTTGTTTCTCTTATGTACTTTTCAAAAAACGGGAATAGTCCAAACAAGCGAGTGGAGGAAGGCAAGATAGCCAATACTTGGCTTGCATCGATATGAGATCCATGATGTGCTAGTAAGTCCAAAGCGGGCTCAATCAAAGGCTTTTGCTGGTTGCTTGTAGGTTGGAGATAGACTTTGAGCAGTGTTAGGTACATTTTCTCTCCCTTGACTGGATCCTCTTGATAGACTTTGGTGCAGTATCTGTATACACATGTCAGAATGAGGAGCAGAGATGCATATGTGTCTGATAAAATACTTACTCTTCTGCCATGACGTAGTTTTCGAGTTTGTATACATAAATATCCAGAGCTTGATCGTGCTGCCCGATACGACTCAGAAGAATAGCACGTTCCTCGAATAAATCTATATTAAAATGGTGTTACTATTAGTTGTTGTTGTTATATACGTATGTGTGTTATCAATAAATACCATCTATGGGTAACCGAGATAATATCTTTTCAGCTTTATAGCAAGACGAATCAGTCAGGAATGAGATAAGCCTAGATCGCACGTTGGCAGTTGCACTTTCTTTATCGACTACAAGTCAAATTAGCTTTTTGCCTTAGCCGCAACAACAACAAGTCTACTACCTCCGTGCTTATCTGAATTGATTTTGTCAAGATAAGCTATAACAAGTCTGTTATGAAACTCGGTGGATTCATCATGAAGCTCCTCGATAATGTATTCCAAATACTGAATGGCTAGATCGCTTGAAATAGATTCCAAATGGTGCAATACTTTCTCTCGTGGAAATGTCTCTACCTCGGTTAAATCATCGATGAAGATCTACAGTTGATGTCAGCACTCGAGCACAAAGCATAGCGAAACACGGGCCAACTTACATCCATGCCATGCTTGGGATCCTTCTCCAGCACCCAGCGAGAGTACTGTAATACAATATCAAAATGATCCAATCCTAATTTCTGTAAATACCGAATGGTAGGTAATACGCCTCTCAAAGGCCCATCTGATTGCTTTCCTAGTCTGTGATTTGTTCAATATACCTTCAAGTATATACAAATAACTTGCTACATACTTTTCTAGTAGATCCAAGGCTCTAGCATGCAATCCTTTGCAGTTGTATAAATCAACCAGTTCTTTGTATTTCTATACATCCTTTGTGAGTACATACTGGCTAGCAATGTTACTGCCATCAACGCACCTTTTTATCCATCAAGATGTTTTCGCACTCTTCCACATCACAATGATTTTGAACTCGGAGCAAGGGGCCCACAAGAGCGTCATTTGTCATCATGTAGGATTTGAGGAGCGAGGTATCTACTAAACTGGCTTGATAAAGTAAATCGTCTCCATCTCCACTGTTGCTGCTGCCATCTGACTTGAGTGAGGCGCTGCTGTTGAGTCTTCTGGCTAGTTTTTGTCGCTTATCGGTAAGATAACGGATCAAATAACTGACAGCATCTCGCAAATTCAAACCAGTCAGGGGCACTGTCTCTTTCTTTTTCAGTTGATGGCTCTGATGGCTCGCTACGGTCGTTGCTTTGCTTCGAATCGATGCTGCGCGGCTGGAAGGGCGACTCGTCGACTCGTCATTAAGGGCGGTTGATTTCTTGCTACCAGGCGAAAGCAATTCACTGTCCTCAGGCAAACCTTCTTCATCTTGGTCTTCATCCTGATCATGATGTTTAGCAGCCAAACTGCCAGATATCATCTCTGGATAGAGACGAATGACTTCAGCAGCGGGTGTATCCAACTCTTGAAACAAGCCGAGTGCTGTATCATACTCTCCACAGCGGAACAAATCATGTGCATAGGCTGTGCGGATCGTGTTGAGCTTCTTTTCCTTGTTCTCTACCAGCACGGCATCGATTTGATCCAACAAACTCACTGCCTCTTTGTATTCCTGTCTTTCCACCAGCTGATCAATCTGAACAGAGAAACTGAAAGGTGTGAGGCGGTAGATTTGAGAAGTGCTGGCTACGTAGACGAGTTTGCCCTGATTGAGGAACTTGGTATTGGCGAGATCAATCTGCTGTACCAGTGTGAGCGTTTGAATATTGCGCACCTCCACATGCTTTGGCAAGATAGCAATCACATAAGGGTAAGAGTAGCCAATCTGTTCGGGTGGGCCTGACCATTCAATGCCCACTTTCCGTGTGGGTGTTCCATCCAGACCCAAAAAGATACTGACATCTATTGTTCCAACGCTTCAGTATCCGAGAGCATTGCTGTAGTGCCACTATTATCACTTACGATCTCTAGCCAGCAGCATCTCGTTATTGGGAATCTTTGTAATCATTGGTTTTCCACCTCTTGCGCCAATGGACATGTTGTATAAACTGTTCAGCGTGCTCATGGGGCCCGCGTCTGCGGAAACACCAGTAGGAGCAAACAGTTCCGTCAACTTTCCTTGCTCCACATCCATCAGTGCATATTCTGTAGAGAATCCCAAGCAAATCTTTGTTGTGCCCACCCACGACATGGTTTTGATGCGGTCTGGTATATTCAGTTCTTTTGTCTCGAAGAATTCCGTGTCTTTCCATACAAATACAAATAGCTTCTTGCGGACAGCCACAGCTAACCGTGTTGTTAGTACGGGGATCTGTTCTTCAGGACTCATCTCCACCATGGTTTGTATAGCAAACAGGTTGGCTCCTTTGGTTTTGCCTAATGCCATGCGCAATTCAAATGTACGTAAATCGTGAAGACTGACCAAACCATCTACTTGTTACGATCAGTGGGGGGGGAGTGCGTGGATGCTGATGTGTAGATAGATATTACCTGACAGCGATACGAGTACGTCAATCTCCTTGATAATGTCTAGTTGCTCAATAGGCTTTTTGGAAAATTGCTTGATTGTTTGTACAAGCGTAACCTCAGGCACTTGATTATCATCAGCAACTATTTTGAATTGTATCAGGAGATGTAAGCTACATATTCGAAAAGGCGCTTACATAAAGGCTCTTTGATATCATAGATAAGAAGCTGACCCACACCAGTGCCTATCAATAGTCTATCACCTAACATTGAAGCAGTGAGCGTCCTTGTCGAGCAGCGTGCTCATCGTTCAAATCTACCATGAGCAAAGATGGATTCGATGCGAGTAAGTTTATCGACAACTGTTGTTACTTGAAAAGCGTCGTGCATTTTACTCGTTCGACGTTGTTTTCAAGCGATGATGTATAGTGAAATTAAGGGAGAAAAAAGTAAAAGCTCTACAAAGTGTATCATCTTTTTTTTTTTTTAAAGCATGTGAGGAGAAAATGCAGAGCAACACAGGTTGACTTCCCGATCGCTTAACGTGGTAGCATTGCTACTAGCCGATCTATCTCGCTACACTCAATGTTGTCGTCTCCCTTTGGGTTCTCGCCAAAGACATTTTAAATCAGACATTATAACATTTTGGTATATCAAGTAGATTTTAAACAACCACTTATTAGCTAGTAAAAGAAAGGTTATATCAGAGCCAGGAGGAGGAGAGGAGGTATCTCCCTCAGCATCGTTTTTGCTTACACTGATATCAAACGAGGCCTATTATTGAGACAATGTGAAAGAGAATCCAAATTTTATGCAGCAGTTGTACATCACAATCGCCATTTTCTGATAATACAATTGCCATATCATTCGCCTCTGTTGATGCTCTCAATAAGATGGCGACATAAAGCTGGTCATAAGTAAATACATGATTCAGAACATGTGTAAATTTTACAGCGACTTTTTTTTTTGAGATATAGCCATTGCAAAATATCCCTTTATTCATGAGGCAAAACTCTCCTAAAAATGTATTCGGGCTAATCAATTTTCCTTTCAATTCCATGATCCCCATTTAATCAGCATCGCAATCGTCATTGCCATCAACAGAAACGCATTTAGGTCAGACAGCAGCAGTGCCGCCGCCAATTTTGGTTCAAACTCAGTTTATTATTTCTGTTCAAGATTGGGTAAATTTTGTCTTTTTTCCTTTTCTCTTGGCTCCACTCGATTTCCTTCCTATCACTGGTCTCTCCTTTTTCCTCCATGTCGTCCATCTGGTCTTCCTAATTCTGGCCCCGTCTTCAACATCATTCGTGCTGTCGACTCTATCCAACGGAATTTCCACTTGTGCTTCGTCGATATCCCCACCATCCTACGCCTCCCCTTCCTATCCCTTCTTCAACACACTCTCCCCCCTTCCCATCCTCTAACACCTACATTCTCACCTCCATCCACCATCCTCAAAGACCACCCCACAATTCGTCTCCACCTCTACGGTTCTGACATTTTCGATTACAACTCCAATAATCTCACCCTTGATCTCAAACAATCTTTTCGCAACCTCCCTCACCCAACATCTACCTCTCGAGCCATTACCATGATCCGAGCCCATTCCTTACTGTTAAACACATTTACCCTCCAAACCATGATACCTCGCTACCCCATACATCTCTTAACTGCCTCACAACTGGACATTACCAACCCCCCAACCATTGACAGCCTTCATTCCTTTCTTACCTCCATAATCTCATGCCAATTCGACCTAGAGTCACACCAATTCCGAATGGCTGATCCATCCACCAAGGGCTTCAAATCCCTTCCCTCCTCCACTCCTTTACCAGCTCCAGTACCGATCCTGTCTCCCAATCGATGGAAAACGTTTTGGTCCCTTCGCATTCCCTTGAATGCACGGAACACCTGGTACCGTGTTCTCCATCACAAAATCGCTACTGGTGAAACCCTTCAACGCCGCTTAAAAGTCCCTTATGATGCCACTTGTACCATCTGTAGATCATCCATGGAGACAACAGAACACTTTCTCTTCGCCTGTCCCATTAAACGCTCCTTTTGGACCACTGCTCTCCGTACATACATGCCACCGCCCATTAATCAAAACAGTTACTCTAACTTTAGAAAATTCCTACTCTTAGAACACTTCCCGTCTCGACAACAGCATCCTCTTTTTCCCGACTTATCTGTTCCCCAAGTATTTGCCTGTATGCTACACACCATTTGGTACTATCACTATCAGCATCTTTTTCAACACACTCCTTTCTTACCTTCTATCCTTCTCTCCTACCTCCAAAAATGCCTTTCCACCCTACAATCCCAAGAAACCTTAGATCAAGTTCTCTAAGTTGTATCCCATATATCCAGTCTTTTTCCCCCCTCCCTTTATTTAGGTGACGTTTAAAGGACTTTAAATAAAGCATTCATTTGCCCTAAAAAAAAAATTTTGTCTTTTTTAGACTTCTTAAATTTATTTTGTGATATTCGACTATGTAAATTGTGATGATCACCCTACGCTTCCTAATAAATTCTTGAAATACTCTTCAAGGCGCTTCCAATGGTGCTAACTGTAATAAGTGTTTTGACTGAAATTATTGGGCAATTTTTGAAAGTATGAAATGAGGTTTTAAGCGAAAATAGCCATATTTTGCATATGGAAACCTCATAAAAGTAGTCTCAGAGGTTGCTTTGGATTGAGAGAAACATTTTGATTTGATATATACCATAGTAAAAGTCTTCATTTTCAAGGTGAAAAACGCGATCGTTTGATTTTCGATGAAAGTCATGAGGTACCCCTCATGCTTTTTGGTCGATTTTTGGCCATGTTTTTTTTTGGTCCCCAAAAAGTTGAGCAAAGGTGTCAGGAAGTTACTACTACTCGAGTACATTTGTTTGGCGTCATTCCGGCGGCTCAGAAAGGTATACATGTCAAGATATGAAGGCTTGAAAGCTGTCAGATTTGATTATGTATTACTTTATAGAGTTTATTTACACGGCATAAATCACATCTTTGGTAGCTGCCTTTTACTGGAATAGCAGTTCTGTAGCTTGAGCAATTTTTAATTCGAATAGGAGGCATGTTGATTTTGGTAAAGCTGATTCATGCATATTTTGATGCGATATGTTGCTGGTAAGCTTATTAACAATGGAAATGAAACCCCAAATTAGTTGCTTAGATACTCTGGTTTTGCATATTCGCTTCGCTACAATCAAGCCCTCACATAGATCAATGTTACCAAGTGCTGAATTAGATGAGTTATGTTCTTCCCCCAAACCCCCTCCCCATTGACGGCTCTGCCGGTGGATTTATTCATCTTGTACGGCACACAATTCTTTAAATTTTGGAAAGGATATGATTTGTTTATTTTTTTTTTGAATGTTTCACAGTATATATATTAGATCACTTGGTATCAGAATCAATGCTGTACCTCTTTCTACTCAAAATCATGCATAATAGGGTGCTATTCAGGTGCATCTGAGCTGTATTTTTTTGCGATAGAAGTCGTTTCAGACCGCCAGAATAGCACCAAACAATTGCTTTCATCCAGCATTTGCTTACTAGCGCCTTTGCTCAACTCTTTTAAGGCCTGAAAAACATGGCCAAAAAATCGACTCCAAACCATGAGGGGTACCTCATGCTTTTCATCGAAAATCAAACGATCACGTGTTTGGCCCCAAGAATGAAGACTTTTATTATGGTATACGAGCCTTTCAGCACTTCGGGTGATTTTCTGATCTACGCTTCGCTTCGGTGGAAACCAACCTACGTTCAAACGGCTCGTTATGGTATATATCAAAGTAAAATGTTTCAATTCAAGGTATCCCTTAAAATTCCCTTTTGTGAGACTTTACTATGTAAAACCTCTACATTTTGGTCAAAACCCTCATTTCATACTTCTCAAAATTGCTCAATAGATTTATTCGAAATGCGTCATTTTGCTGGCACCATTGAATGCGCCTTGAAAGGCACTTTAAGGAAGATTGAGGGTGTTTAGGATGACCATCGCAGTTTTATAGTCGATTCTTGCAAATTAAATCAAACAGGTCGATTTTTACTAAAGATTGACAAATTGAAACCATGTATAATTACGAGCGGCGTGTGAATTAGGTTTGGCGGCGGCGGCTGACAAAATTAATGCCTCCTCTCTCCCTTATGAAGGCAATAGATGTTTTAAAGCTAAAAGGAAGGAAAATGTGAATTGAAACGTGCTATAGTTGGGACTGAATACCATCCACCTCTTCTGATACATATTGGTATGTTTGACAGGCTTACCAGTAACAGCTTTATTATTGAAATTTGGCCATCATGGGAAATGCAAGGTCATACACGTTAAGATTGACCACGTTTAGCCGAATAGAGCAATTTATTACAATTGTTTTGCTGAAATACAATATTAAGAGGGACAACGGCTGCCGGTCAGTGGGTAGACTATAAATACGACATTTCATGTTCTTTTTTCCAGAAGGATAAATTCAGATATGGGTTTCATAACGGAAACACACCTGCCAAAGTGTCCTCAGTCAATTAAATGTCTGATTGTCTCATAAGATTAAGGAAAAATAGATCCTAGGCTTGATCTGCAATGGCATCTCTATCCATACGCACAACGATAGATGAGTGCTCAACAATTGCTTGTTGTAAAACATAAAATACAACCGCGGTTATTGGATGAACCAAGATACCACTGTATCCACATCACAAAGGATATAAAAAGTAACTTTGCTCCGCTTCAACAGGCGTGTTAATCCCTTCAGCTACGTTTGATGGCTGCCCCTCGTGAACCAATATTGACTTAATAGCAAACAACAAGAAACATGAAATAAATGAACTGTGAGCACGTGAAATTAGTATCTCGATCCTGCTTTCTTAGACTTTTGCTTTTAATCCTTACAAGACAAGAAACGCCAACATGATCCATGATTACACAAGAATCCAAGGAGAGATGTCATTGTTAAATCAGGAACAGAAATTAGCTGTAAAAAAAAGCTATTTTCGAATGAAACTAATTTTTTATTGATGCTCAGCGTGTGTGTGTGTACATTCACAAAGTCGATACGGGGTGGTAGAACCAAGATGGTGGCCAAAACGATGATATAGCTCAATGGATCGGGACACAGGGACCTTTCAATTTTTCGGTCAAGAAAAACTTTTGAGCCGTTGCATGTGTGTTGCGTACAAAAAGCATTCCACTTTTTTTCTTACTTCTTCTTGCTCTTTATACTAATACGCTCATTTCTTATACACATCGTTCCATTCCTTTCATATTTAGACATAGCATCATGTCCAATTACTATCCTCATCAGCATCAACAGCACCAGCAGCAGTTGAATGGCACGCCAACATTGCCGCATCAACAGCAGTCTCTATTACATCAACCTCCCATTGTCTATGGCAATTACAACATGCCATCATTATCGTCCCAATACAACATGTATCCCTACTACCATTACCAAGCCAATATGGACCTGACAAACTCAAGCCCCATTTCAATAGCTTCTTCTGATGAGTCTCCTCGTACACCTCCCACCGCCATCAACCATAGCAACAGCAATAAGCATTTGACACATGTTCCACAAGGCACAGCCTCTTTGATGGTCAATCCTCTCGTGCCTCCTCCACCGCCACCACCATTGCCATCCTCGCCACTTGCTCACAACCAATTGAAATCAACAGAAGATCGTGTCAAGGCAACCATTGCTCGAGCCAATGCACTTCCATTGGAATTTTACCAGACTGAATTTCTCGAGTATTCAACTACACCATCTTCTGCTGGTAAAAAAAGAAAGCGCACTGTAACAGCAGATAATGAACAAGAAACAGATGAAAAATACACACAAGATCAAGAGTAAGTGTAATTTCATAATGTAGGCATAAATCAAAGCTTACACCAAAAGCATATAGCACTCGTTTATCCAACGATGAAATTCGACGCCAAATCCACATTCAATCTGAACAAAAGAGACGTGCTCGGATCAAGGACGGATTTGAAGAGCTAAAGCAGCATTTGCCTGGCTGTAGCCACAAGAAACTAAGTAAAGCAGCACTCTTGACACGCACAGTTCAGCAGCTGGAGCATATGAAAAAGATGCAAAATGAACTTTTGGCTGAAGTAGAGCGACTTGCCAAGGAGAACTCGAGCTTGAAAAAGTTTGCTGCTGTTGGCACTTACATGTAAATACCTATATGAATACCTTGCTTTATTAAAAGATTGAATTATGCTCTATATTGTTTGGGTTTACATGACACATTACAGTAAAATGATGATAGGAGCAGTAGCTGCATATTTGATGTTGGCTTCAATGCACTGTCGCTACACTTCAACCCTCAGCACACATGAGCACAACTCTTGTAGATCGTAACTACGTGTTATCGCAGCAGCAGTGGTACAGGTATACAATGAACTATGTATGGTGTTGCTTGGTTGCAGTTTCTATCAAGTAAATCTTGCTCAAAAAGGTATTCATGCCACAACTAACACCAACTTTTGCTTGTCAAAAACCCAAGACGCATGATACTGAATGCCATAACAGCAGTAGAAGGTCTTGGTATATGTATCAAGGTCTGGCTGCCATATAGATTAGATGCTAGCTAAAATGCTCATAGTCTTTAACAAATACATATAGTTCAGGGCATTTTTTGCTACTGATACATACTCCCATTGCTACAAACATGTAGATAACTACCATGTATTATTAAATATTGATTTTTATGCGTCATTTTCATCCAATTTGTTTATATGTGATGTGTGTACAAGACTAAATTTAGCATTGATTTTATGGTGGCAAGGTTGTACATGCAATGTGGGTGCGTGGGCTGGCAATTGCTCTCTCTCTCTCTCTCTCTCTCTCTCCTCTTTTCTCTCTTTCCCTTTCTCTTTTTGCTTTTCTTCTGGTTGAAAGATGATATTATCATTCCAACAACATCTGAGTAGTCTATTTATTTTAGTATGGAGTGTACAAATGACATTACAGCAAGACGATAATAGCGACAACAGCAGCTGCTCATTTATTAGCGGGGAAGGATGTATGAATGGTGTATGCAAATTTTGTGCCATGTGTCTTCCCAGTGTGTGTATATTAGCAACACCTTATTCCACTGGAGATAATGATGGCTCCACATGCGCAGTGACCAACCAGCCCTATGGTTACGATTTTTACAACTATTGCCTATCATCTGGCTTCAGCAGCAGCAGCAACTACGACGGCGATGAAGATGGTAATGACGATGGTGATGATGAAGGTATATAGCAGAGATGGGCCATTCTGTTGTGCCTACGCTAATACATGCATTTTGCGTCTCAGATGATTGTAATACAAGCACTGCTTGCTACCCTTACCGACAAGGGGATTCAGCACAGCAGCATGTTTGGAGAAATTTGACATGTAGCAGTTCTTGTCAGCTTATATTGAACAATGGATCTCCTCCACCAATACCTATTCCCATCACCAATATCACTACAGTAACCAACACACATCATCCAACATATGGTACCACTAGTAGCGGCAATGCCAATCCACATCGCAGCCCGTTTGATCCCAGAACCAGAAGCCCGACCTCAATAGCGCTGATATCCGTCTGCTCTTTTGTTTCCTGTCTGCTAGTGATATGGCTGGTAAGGATCGTATTCTATAAAACCAAATACTGGCCATGGATCAATCGCTATTTATGTTGCGGACTCTGTCATCCACCCGTCAAGCCCTTACCCACAGCATCACTGACATCCACCAGCAGCAGTAGCATGAATGAGTCAGCACAACCTCATAGTCGACCCCCTTCATTCCAATCCACTCAGCACAATCCAATGCAACAACACAGCATTCATAGTCGCAACAGCAGCTATACAAGTCTGCCATCGTATCACTGTCAAGACCCTTCGCTTCCAAAATATGAACAAGCCATTGTCACACAGATTCGTGGAATGTCATTTTTTGATCATCACCCTTCTGCTGCTACATCAGCATCAGCATCATCTGGGCAACAGCCTATTTGGATACCTATTTACTTGTCCTCGTCATCCGTCCATAATTCAACCATTGTGAGTTCGCCTGTATTTAATACGTTTTTGTCGTCCAATTCAGACTGGGCCAGGCCTCCCAACACCAGACATCAACCACAGATGCAATCCTCCTCGCAGACCTCCCTATCAATACAAGAGCTAAATGATCAGGAACAAGAGCAAGAGCAAGAGGAAAGAAGACGGCCGCAAATACAGTAACGAACGCCCAAATTGCTTTTATGGATGACACAAAAAATTCAAGGAGTTTCACAAGCTTGCAAGGGGAAACATATAGATAGAACACAATGGTTGCTGTTGTTATTGTGTGTGTAAAGGAGAGCACATAAATAGTGCGTTTTTTTTTCGCTTTTCTTTTTTTTCCCTTTTGTTATTTTTTTGGCTCGTAAATTGAACGCTGGCTTGTAACCAAGGAAAAGCTTGCTTTATGGCTCTTTGCTCCATTCGCCGCCACGACCATCACCAACACCACAAGAAATGAAAACGACAGATTCATCCATTGGCAACAAGAATAACAAATGGACATGTCTGATTCACCTGACATTTATCATTCTTCTCGTCTCTCTCTGTGTCATTATACCCGTTGTCAGCAATACAGTTAGCGCCATCCCGTATTGGGCCATCCTCATCCTGTTCTTGGTGCCGTTTGCCATCTACATGTCTCTTTTGATCATCAGTCGAAAACTGAGTGCGGCGACAAACGTGCCTGTTGCCGACATGGAACAAGATCAAGATGAAATTACAGGTTTACATCAGCATATCGTTGTGACAGAGGAGCAGGAGGATGGCAATGGTGAGGATGATGATGAGGAGGGTGTGCCGTCATCCATAGACAATACAAGCTACAACCCTTCCACTGTAGGTATTCCTCCAAGCTCCTTCTTGGCACCTACCATTCATCAACAAGCATCCATCCGATCCTCCAGCTTAGAGTATACACCACCACCGCCAGCTTACCAAGACATGATGTATCCACCTTCTTACCGATCTACGAACTCGGCCAAAGACGATAATGTGTCTGTTGTGTATTGATCCATTGACTACAGTAATACCAATAGTAATAAAGTACCTTTCGTTTAAAGGTATTCATGTAAATATATTAAAACATTATAGATACGTCTACACTCAAATATAAAATAAAGCTCCTTCACCTGTTCGGCTCTCCCACTTGATGTCATTTAGAGGCAATGGTGATATCGACATAACCTGTGCTTACGCAGTAACGTATACGAGAGCTATATGCATGGTGTGGCTCTAAATGTCAAATGCTTCATACAGACACAACATACTCCCTCAGCGCATTCGCATTCTCTTGATTCATGCTCAACCATGATACACTTTGTTTATTGAACGCATCATCCACAAGAAAAGGGTATATATACATATATATTACTTGCACAAGTTCTTTGGAATAGTGTACTGATGTTCATCCAAATTCTGTTTGATCGAAGTCCACATGTAATTCAATCTTCTGCGCTTATTATTGCAATCCACCAAAAAGTCTTGCGCTTCTTTGAAGGCTTGTTCATCATCGCCTTGCTTGAGGTAATTTGATTTCAACATGGCTTGGTATTCAGCATTCAAATCGTAGTAGGATCGTTTTGTGCCCTTGGGCGGCTCTGTCGCTTGCAAGACTTGAATGTATTGAGGAAAATTGCTCTTGAAAAATCGTTTAATGCGAATATAGTCCTTTTGTTGTTTTACATAACTGTGGCAGTAGGCATTGAATTTGTGTTGACTCTTGATGTTGAGGGGTTTGATGCTGGTGGGTTCCTTGTTCGTTGGAGGAGAAGGAGGAGGTGGTGGTAAAGCAGTAGTCATGGTGGGTGTAGCAGCAGCCGGTGTGGGTGCTGCTGAGGTAGGTAACGCCATTTTGCTAGATTTGCTAATAGGTGGTGTAGGAGTAGAGGAGATGGCTGCAGATGATGATTCCTTTGCTCTCTTTTTGTGCCGAGGAGTTGGCATGACCAGCGCATTCTGGCTAGGCACATCCACTACAAATATCAAGTCAACCCATCAGCGCAATTCTCATTGTTATAATTAGATGCTTACCATCATCCATCATCATGTTCTTTCTTTTTGTTGGCGGGGATAACTTTTCAGTGGGCGTTGAAGCACTGGTGGTGGTGCCATTCTGTTGAGGTAATGCTTTGGAACCATATTTCTTGTTGGCCGAAGAAGGCTTCAAATAATGCTGTGTGGGTGTGCTCTGTGATGAAGAAGGCAGTGGGGGTGGCGTCATGGTTGCTGATGGTGGTGTCGGTGTAATGGGTTTGTTTTGTAGCGGGGAAGCAGCTAATTTCATCAATGGTGTACTGGGAGAAGCATGATCTACAGGCGTTAATCTACCCTTACCCTTTTCTTGCTGCTGCTGCTGCTGCTGTGCCGAAGAGGAAGAGGAGGAGGATGTTTTTCGACTACTTAGAGGCGACGCTATCTTTTTACCGTTGGCAAGCATGGGGCTGGTCATGGCAGGTGGTTTATAAGGTGAATCGGGATGATACAGGTTGGATCGATCACTGTCTACACCTTGACTCTGTAATAAATCGTAAGCTTCCTTTGCATTCTCAGCGGCAATCTTCTTGTCTTCATTTGAATAAAATGGCCAAGTCCAAATCTGTATGTCTTTGTAGTGTTTTGGCTTGAGGCAGAACTTTTTGCGTTCATCCTTCTTGATGGGGAATGCCACCTAATAGTTGCAGGTTAGTGTGCGAGAACCTCTCTTTCTTTCTGGCTGATGTGTATTACCATGTCCAAAATGTGCTTCACTTCCAATTGCTCGCAGCGTTCCAATTGAGATCGGTTCAATGATTTCGTCATCTCAATCAAAGACCATGGCTGTATAGCTAGTCGCTGCAAGATGCGAGACTTCATAGAGTATTTCTCCTCAGAGGGCGCTGTTGTCTTTGTTACAGCAGGGTCAAATGATTTGGATGATTTCAATGTCTTCTGTGTAGCTCTGGAAGACGAGGACGAAGCCGATAAAGGTGTGGTGGGTGTGGGTGGTATACTGTTGGTTGGTTTTGACTTTTTGTTGGAACTCGGCTTTTTCAAGCTAGATGTTGTCTTTGATTTCGTCTCTGGTGCTGTTGTTGATGTTGCTGTTGTGCTGGGTATATCTAACAATCGGGTCACCTTGTCCCGTTGTTCGGCAGAATCCTTGGCTTTGGGTTTCTTCTCCTCTTGTATCTTTCGAATAATAGGTGTAGCAACTACTGTATCGCCTAGGTAATGGAGCGTGCTGGAGTTGTTATTGTAGTAGGTGGCGTCAGCAGCTCGAGGCGATTTAGATCCCTTCATTGTATCGAGTCTTATTCGAGCATCATCCATGACAAGTTCCTGTTCTGCGGCTAAGTCCTTCTCGTTCTTTTGACAACTGCAAGAAACACCTTACCAAAACGCCTGATTTCCTATAAGCAACGTGAAGCGACTTTTGCTTTGTCAACTTTTCAATGGTATGAGCATCTAATTTAAAGTTGATGATTTTTTCTCCAGCCATTTGAAGAGATGTGTATGTATATGGTGAATGAATGGAAAGTGAAAGAAAGAGAGAATCAGAGAGGGACTGTCTGTGGAAAGACTTAATAATGGGCATCACAAACAAAGAACACCAACAAGAGAGAGGACTGTGGTTTAAAACGACAGATAACATGAAATGGGGCAATGAACCGGCGCTCCAGATTTACAAATTGTTTGTATTCTTTCTTTCTCTTCTTCTTCTTTCTTCTCCACACACACACACACACATCATCATCGTCATGTCTGCTCAAATTCTTACTTATGAGGAGGTTTCCAAGCACAACACTAGAAATGATCTCTACATGATCATTGACAAGAAAGTGTATGATATCACTAAATTTTTGGATGAGGTAAGACATCAAGTGCCTGTAAGCTCTGCGCGCGTGGAAGACTGATTTGTTTTCTGTCAAGCATCCCGGTGGTGATGAGATTTTGATCGAAGAAGGTGCAAGAGATGCTACTGGACCATTTGAGGATGTCGGTCATTCTCCTGATGCTCGTGAGATGCTCGAGAAATACTATGTTGGTGATGTGGATCCCGCTGTAAGTAAAGAAAACAAGAGGATGAAGGGAATTGGACATTGATGTGTATATATCTATAGTCAACACCTGTCAAGGTGGAAGCACCAGTTTTAGCTCACACTGCCAATGGACAAGGTGGAAAGTAAGTAATAGTAGTAGTAGCGTAGTGGATCGTACTCATAAAAAAAAAACACATTTTTTTTTTTTCTTAGTCCTCTTCGTATCATTATTCCCGTAGTTTTCTTCCTTGGTTACTTTTACTGGCGTTTCTTTATCCACAGCGCTTAATTCACTGGTTTTATTTATCGAGCATCATAAACGTAATAAAAAATTTAGATTTCACTCAGCATCTATTTCAGACATATCGCTCAAGTCAGGTCCATCATCAAAGATGCCTAGATCAAGCGCAATATCGCCTTCCGGCTGAGATCCAACGGCAGTTTGATTGTGTTGCTTGCGTCTTTTCAGTGTATGAGGTTTCTATAAAGAGATCAAAGCTCTGAATTAGAGATAATCCACTGTCCTGTAAGATTATACAACTTACAATGTGATGAGGTGCTTTGTTTTCGTTTTGTGAACCAGCACCTGGATAGAAATCATCTTCATCCTCATCTTCATCGTCGTCATCGTCAAAAATATGGCCTCGTTTAATGGGTTTCTGTTCTCGATGACGACTATTTCTGGCTCGCACTTTGTGTAAAATACTAGTAGATGTATCAATCTTGGTATCAGCAGTGGTAGTAGTTAGACTAAAGCTTTTGGCTCTTTGGAATTGAGGTGTGTTGAAAATAAGGCGCTTGGTCTTTGTGGGCCGAGGACTCGTCATGGGTTTACGAAGCATCGATGTTATTTGTTCAGGACGTCGTGGTGTCCTTGGGAGTAAACTAGTTTGATTCTGTTCTCTACGAGGTGTCTTTGGCTATAGCATTGAATTAGTGACACTCCATACAAGTAAACAACGGACAAAACACACACACCTTTTCCACCAGAGTCGATTCAGATTCCTGATCTGCATCATTGTAAATGACATTAAAGTAGGATTTACCATAGACCAAGAAAGGACGGCTCTTCAAGGCTTCGTATTCCAACAAGGCACCTTCCAATTCCTTGACCACCTTGGGTAATTCCCTTGAAATACGCTTTCTGAATCGCTCTTCACGCAGCAAACGACCAGGATCACGGTTTCCTTTACCAAACAATCGATTGGGATCACTTGTAGTTGCTTCAAATTCTTCCACTTCCTTTTTCAGTCTCATGTGCTTCTCAATCAGCTCCAGAATATAGCGGGAATCCTCCAGTTCCAATTGAAGTCTGGATATTTCATTTTCATACGCTTCCAGCACGACATCGGTGACATGATCTTGGCATTGATCTGGTTGAAATTGAGCTCGTTGCTTATCAGTGTAGTACAGTTTATCCCACAACGATACAAGTTCTTCTTTTGCTGTCTGAAGGAAATCGCCAATGCGCTCTTGCTTGAGTGCGTTTAGCTTGGTCAATTCTGCTTCAAACTGTTCACAAGGTGGTCAATGACTCTTCTATTCCATACCAAGAAACAGCGCTTCCTTACCTTGTCTAGGTCTTTTGTCGTCAAACCGCGATTTGCCATTAGAAACACTTCGCATTCTTGTTGATCAATATGCAGTCGATTCCAAAGATGCTTGAGACTGGCAATCATTTCTTCCTTGCGAGACTCCACTTGCTGTTTCTGCTCGTCTAGTTCTTTGATCCTCTTTGCCATGTATTTCATAAAGTCGTCAGACACCAGCATATTGCAAAGATGCATTTTTTCGTGAGGATCATTCTCGATGAGGAACAATTCAATGATTCTGTCTCGATCCCTTTCTGCCTGTAATCCAAGCTGATTCAACATACTGCAAATGCGTTCGACACAGTCATCCACAATCTCCTTTCTTCGCATGTATTCCACTTCGCATCGTGCAATTTCTTTGTCAATAGTTTCAACAGCGGTAGAAGAGACATCAACGTTGGTGTCTTTCAGCATGCTTGTATCCACGAAATCACCCATGGCCTGCTTGAATTCCTTTAACTGCAAATATTGTTCTATGAGAATAGTGATGAGCTTTCAGTTGTTTATTGCAGGCATGTTGTTTAGGTTACCCTCCACTGCAACAAGTCGCTCTTGATATTTCTATAGCAATTTTTAGAAACAAGTATTGGCACACGCCCTCTCTCTGTTTCAGCAAACCTCTTTCACCACAGCCAATTCCTTTTGTAAATCATCCAAATTTGCTTGCAACGATTTGGATGGATCCAAGACAGCTCTATCAGAAGCAAATTCACCCATTAGCTTCTTGTACGATAGAATTGAAGTCTGCGCTGCCTCTACTTCATCAATGATGCGCTGCTTTTGCTTTTCCATTTGATTCACTTTTTCATTTGCAAAACTGGTTACAGCATCAAAGAAATTGGCGTTAGATGCGTCCTTGGCCTCTGTTTGCAGACCAATTTCATCCTGTATTGTATTGAGTCGTTTGAATTCTTGCTGTATACTGTCAATTAGGCGCTCCGTCTGTTGTTGCTGTGAATCCATGGTATGGTGTATATGTAATAATGCGTGAAAGGGGGGGAGAAAAAGAGAAAAAAAAGAGAGGGAGGTCAAATGATATTGGGTGTGTAGGCACGAAATTCTACAAATTAAACAGTCCAGATGTGGGCAGATGTGGAAGTGTTCATCAACTACATTGCCCTTTGTTTGTCCAAATGAAACTTCACATTCGATCCTTCGCTACGTCAAGAGTAGCCTAGCCATCATTGCTCAGCCTTTGAGCATGCTTCATCATGGCTAACTAGTATGCAACATCCTGATGTTGGGTCAATGTGATTGAGTGTGCTTCTGCAAACAATACAATCATCTAGAGTAAACAGCAATCTTTTACATCCAGGCTCACTGTCTTGAGATCTTCAATGACACAAATTGGCCCATCATTGCACTCTGCTTTCAAAATATTCGTTTATGATAAAACAACGTTCTTAGCAAGTGAATATGTCCCATGTAAGACTACAACACATACCATCCTTTGAACAAGCTACGATATTTGATGCCATGATTGCAAAATGAGCCTTGGTCAGGCTGTCCATGGCCAAGAGTACCACTGTCTGTTGAAAGTCAGCAGCCATTTCAACAACAATCGAGCCAGAAAATCATGTCGAGTGCTTTTTTTTTTTTCTCTTTTCCTATTCAAAAGCATTTTGAAATGAGACGCAACTCGGCATTATCCGACACGAATTCAGACTCTAGCATGTCTTCAGCATTCTCAGCGTATTCAGCTGATGATTTGACAGAAGACAGAACACCTACATCCAACTCAAAGCAGTTTTTCACCAACCTTGTACAAAAGACTCGTTCTCAAGTTGAACAAAAGACGTCCGAGATAAATGCAACTATGCAAGAAAAGCTACCCGAGTGGAAGCAGCGTGGTGCCATGTATTCAAGCAAAGCAAAGGAAACTGGCATAGAATGGTCCAGGCGGGGAAAGGAAGCAGTCGATAGATGGAAAAAGGACAGAGCAGGTTTGTGGTTGCTGTGCTGCTGTGTGTTGCCAAGTTGCTTACAACAAAATACACAGAGGAAAATGCTCATAACAGCAACTCGAGACAATCTTCTTCTTCTTCTTCAATATCACAATCTGAAAATGCAGTATTTGGCATGCCTTTGGAGGTGGCAGTGGCATTGACTAAAATTGATGCCGATGATTTGATACCGGCTGTATTCAAACGCTGTATAGAGTACTTGGATCATGTTGGTATGGGCGGATGGTTTGCTTATCAGTTTTATTCATGCTAAAATATACTATTCCTAGGCATACACGAAGTTGGATTGTATAGGTAATATTTTACTACAATTAGAGGCCATGTCCGTGTGCTCATGATGAGTTAGGATTCCGGGAAGTACAATCACTGTGAACAAATTGAGAGCAGTGTTCAATGATGGTAAGTGGGGCAAGAGAACAGCTCTATTGCAATCAACTTGTCTTAACGCAACCCTTAGGATCCGACATTGATTTTGATACAACACAGCCAGATCCTCATGCTGTCGGAACATTACTCAAGATGTACTTGAGAGAATGTAAGTCTATCAGAGTGTGCACCACACCATGTCTACTGACCATTATTTTTAGTGCCTGAGCCCATTATCCCACTGGAACTCAACCATGAATACTCTCAACAATTTATGCAATCCATCAAATCATCCAACGAAGGCGACAGAAAAGCAATGGAAGATACTATTAATGTCACCACCTCTCTGTCCACGGTAGAGACCAGCAAACTACCGCCCATCTCACCCGAGCTGCTAAACACTGTTAAATCCATCACATCCAGGCTTCCCATTTACAACTTTTGTTTACTCCAGTTGTTATGCAAACATTTAAAGAACGTAGCAGATCATGAATCAGAGAACAGAATGTCGATATCCAATTTAGCCGTTATTTTTATTCCTACACTGAACATTGGAAGAGCACTCTTCCATTGCATGGTAGAGCATTACCAGGATTTGTTTGAAGGCATCAAAAAGACCAAGGCGCCTCCTCCACCGTTACCACAAAAGCCTCGCAATCTTTCCATATCATCAGCAGATCATGCCATCACACCGCCATCATTACCTCCCACCAATTCGCCGAGAAGGATATTCCATGCAAAGACAATGTCAGATACCGACTTGATGAAAAGACCAATGACCGCAACGACTGCCACAGCCACCAGCAGCCATAGTAGCAGCAGTACTAATAGCAACCGTACTACTAATTGCAACAACACACCTCCCTCCTCAATAAAGATTCCCCCTCCAAAACCAAGTCGATCGCCTGCAGCACACAGTCAGCAACAGCAGCATTTACCACCACGACCTCCTCAAGCACCTCCAGTAAAACCAAGGTCTAAATCGGTATCATCACCTCATCGAGTAGTGCAGCAGCAGCAGCAGCAGCAGCAGCATCAGCAACAACAACAGCTAGTGCAAAAACAACAGGCCAACAGTGAGGAAGCATTTTGGAAGCAAAGCGGTCGAGTAGAAGCCATTGGCAAGCAATTCGAGACACTGATGAACAGTAACATCACAATGTCTTCTCCTACATCTTTCTCCGCATCTTCCTCTTCTTTACGGAAATAACAATAAATGCATCAACCTACTTAAATTTGCTATTCTCATGCTCTTTTTCGAGGCACATGGAGTTTTCTAAATGTTCAATATAAAGTAAACCAACTACTAGATAATCAGCATTGCTTTAAAGTATAACTCCTTTTCAACTGAGCTCCGTGACGCTTTATCAAATGTGAGAACTGAAATCTTGACTGTTCATCTTGTATTGTTCTTACCAAACCATCATGAGTGTCAGTTTACAAAAAAAAACCATCGAATACAGTGAATACAAGTCAGAACTACAGCTGCCAGAGATCATTCGTCTGATCGAAAACGACCTATCAGAGCCTTATTCAGTATATACATATCGCTACTTTATTCACAATTGGCCAAACTTGTGCTTCTTGGTAAGCTTTGGTGGCTCTTTTCTTGAGAAACTCTTACTCATGTTTGGTCCTACAGGCAAAAGATGGCGACAAATACGTAGGCGTGATTATCTGCAAGCTAGATAGACATAAAGACAGACTTAGAGGATACATTGCTATGTTGGCAGTAGCAAAGACACATCGCAAATTGTCGATTGGATCCAACCTAGTCAAAAAGGCTATACACGCTATGAAGGATATGAATGCAGACGAGGTACGGTTTCATCATAACATTGCAGAGAACGGATGATTGACCAGATATCAATAGGTGGTATTAGAAACAGAATTTACCAACCAGGGCGCACTGGGATTATACCAACGATTAGGATTCATCAAGGACAAGCGACTCTACAGATACTATCTCAATGGCGTTGATGCATTTCGACTCAAACTGTTTTGTAAAACCATGATTAAACAAGATGCTCAAGTAGTTTGAAAATTTATTAGTGTAATGGCTTCTAAAGAGATAAGTCTGTGCTAGTTTTCGACATTAAGAATTCCTCAGCGACAACAGGATCCAGCATGAGTTGCGATGCTAATGTGAATACGGTAAACACGCCTTCTCTCATGCCACTAGACACTCGTTTCATACGTTCCTCAAATTGCTCCAATTTTGTCAGCAGAGGGATTTCGGGATTGGATATCTGCTGTTGTTCTTCGGGTACTTCAGTTTCTGCCATGGCATCCATCGCTAATTGTGAAGTGGATCCCCTTCTCAGTAAAGACGATTCTCTGGACAAAAATTTCCTTAGACTTCTATAGTAAGAGTCGGGTCTTTCTTGTGCTAGTTTATCCGCGTCTCTTGCTCGCTGAGACGTTACATCGTGTATAAAGATCTTTATGATTTGGTCTGGATATTGGTTGTAGATTTGCTGGTATACTTCAGGATCAATCTCCCCAGAGTCACCCACCAAAATGAATTTACGACGAGGAAAGTCTTGTAGAATCTTTGGAATCATCTCCAGCTTGTGTTTACCGGGTTTGCCGCGAATGAGCTCTTGAGTACTGACAGCCCTGAGATGCACGCTGCCTTGTGGAAATTGCTTGTTGGTGATGAATTCGCTCAGCGCGGGATACACTTGCCATGGTGAATTGGACACATAATGGACATGTGCGCCTTCGCTAGCCCATGACCTGTATACTTCGTTCATGTGGGGTACTTCAACTGCCGTCTTGAAGAATGTGTTTGTGAGAATAGCGTCTTTACCATCCAGAATATCCGTCACTTTGATTGTATCGTCTATATCAGAAATAATGGAAATGCCATAGGGCTCAATGATATCAATGTAACCCGGAAACGGTTGTTCTATGTGAGAAAAAAAAGACAGTTGGCTTATGTATCCATTGCATCATTATGTTTGTGCTAGTACCATTGTCGGTGAAACTTGCTTGCACAGTTAAGTGATCCTGCTTCTTTTTCAATGCCAATACTTCATCCAGATCCAAGAAAACTTCCTTTTGAAATCTACCACTCGGGCCCGTGTTTACAGAGGCAGCGAAATCTCTGATCTTTTCTTGTTGCTCAATGGGTATCTTGTCTGTGTTATCGTCAATGATCTTTTGCGCAATGATGCCTGGCAGAGTGAGTTGTATATCAACCATGCGCATTGTCTGACAACGAAATTGATTCAACAATGTTGAGAAATGATTATCTTCAACTGAATCTCGGGCCAATCCTCCATACGTTCTACCAGCAGCTAGTTGGTCAACATGAGCATCATATACTCTTTAATAACATCTGATAATCATGTACCTAGTAACCAACGGTCAAGACGATTTGAGCCAGGTTTTGCAAAAGCCCAGCCAGCAAGTATGATCTTGTATTTGGTTTCTTGATCCTCTTCATCTACTTGACAAGCATAAGTGGGGAACAGCATACATTGTGGCTGAATTATCTCGGGAGTTGGATCTTTTAGAATGTCATCAATCTCCTGAGTGTCGCTACGCTTCAGATCATTTTCTACTGCCATGTCTCTGCTTGTTGCTAATGTCGTTGTTGAGGAAGAGGCAGAAGGTGTGATATAATATTGTTTGAGAGCTTGGCCTTTTGAAGCTACAAATGATTTAAATTGATCACGTCTGCGCACTCGTGACCCATTGATGGCATTGCCGTTTACTGTGTTCATGATGATATGAAGGAAAGAGAGGAGGAAAGAAGGAAAAAACTCGAGCTCTTAATTAATGTTGGAGACGGTGTTTCATTACTCTCTGCGTTTCTTGATCTCATCTGGCATCTTCAGCAACTCGCATCAAGACATCCTTGATGCTGACTGATAATGGGAGCAAATCACACTCAAATGGTGTGGTATTGGTTCTGTCTGATGTATGTTTTTTGATAGCATATGATAAGCTGCAAAGATCGAGCCATAAATACATCGTCAAATACATTAACTGAACTCAAATATATGGAACAAACCTTGGTTTTTCTCTGTGATAAACTGCTGTTCTCGAATATACCCAACAGAGTAACGAGCATTTGTGCATTTCAAGGAGGGTGCAAATACCATAAAATCCATTAGACGGTCTATTCGCACATGATAATCAGCACATTATACAAGGATATTGAATATAGTGGTTTGCACTAGTTTAAGCTTCTCGTAAATGTGATTGTGTTACCAATTTCCAGGTGTTTACACAACAGCCGCAAGAACGGAAGCTTGCTGCTGGTGTCTATTTGCCAGTGTCAGTTCTGAAGGCAGTGAAATCGTACAACATTCTGAAATAACATGTTGTAGAAGGCCTGATTTTATACTTATTACTGATTTATCTAATAAATATTGGTTTGAGTTGATTTTATTGATCGAAACTGTTGAGATTAAAGCTTGGTTTATAGGATGGAATATAAATAATTTACCGAAACATGCTGCTTGCCTTCATACACAGTATGGCGCAGGCTCTTCATTGTAATATTCCAAACTGTGTTCCTCGTATGATACTTGATCAATCTTCTAGTTTAACGTCTTCTAGTTTTTCCTAATCTTGTTTGGCATCTTTTCATCTATCACCTCCTTACAACCTCTTCCTTACCATACCTTTTAATATTTTCCAATGTACAAAGATCTGTCTGTTAATGTTACCACCTCGCAACCATTGTGCAAGGCCGCCTTGCCATAGTACTTCTTGTTGTCACAGTACTTGATGTAAAAAGCTGTATTTAATTTGTGCGCACTGTAAGTTTTAGTATTTCCCATGCAAATTAAGCCGTCCCTAATAATTTCTCTTTCAAAAAGTATAAAAGACCACATCACAACCAGCTTCTTTCCTTAGTTTGGATTCTTCCTTTCTTTCTTCCTTATCTTTTATCCATCTTTGAATCATGCTTTGATGCTAGAGCTTTGAAAGTAGCATGTTTCTATAGCAATTTTTTGCGTAGAAAACGATGGTGCAGTTGGATTTTAGATATAATGCGTTGATGATGAGAAACGAGAGATTTTTGAAATTTGCAAAATTTGAGCAGATGCTACTAATAAAAGTCATTGAATTACTATATGAATGTTGATTGTATGTCTAGTAAAAGTTGTAGAAGGTACTTTGTTTGATCAGAGCGTGTTTTATTTGGGCTTGTTGAGAGCGATGTCGATGAGTAATGATGAAAAGGAGTGAAAATGGTCAATCTTCAAAGGGCCGTACCGGTTGATTGTACTAAGTGAACATGAGCTTAAAACTTAATAGCTTCTGTTTCTTTTTCAATTCTCTATACGATGGTATGGTTATTATAGATAAATAAATAAAAAGTTGAATATCCCCTGCTTGTAGCTCATAAAATATATGATTTTGAGCAAATTTATGAAAGGAACATACATCTGGTACTTAAAACTCTTTATATTATAATGGATATAATATAGAGCTATCGAATGGTCTTTGTTTTGTGCGAATCCAGTGAGTATTTGTTGAGATATGGTCAAAAAAGAGTATCATGCAAAATCATGGATTTTTCTTTGAAATCTGCCTGTGATAGCAAGCGAAAAATCTGGGTGACCTCTTTTTGGTCAGGATAGTATTGTCAATATTTTATGATAGAGTCATACCAGAGCTTCAAGCAATAGCTCATTCGATAGGAAATTCTTTGGCCTACAATGTTTAGTAATGCTTAACAAAATGTTTTGATGACAGATACTGATTAATCTTTAGAAAACAGTCAGAAAATCGCAAAAACAATTGTACCAAATATCAAGTGAACAATGTACACCAGAAACTTGATATGAATACCATTGTATTCTCCTTTGAATTCTCTACAAGTTTTATATAAGTTTGAAGGGGTGTTTACTATCAAGAAACACGTAATCGTAAGGTCGATAGATTTTGGAATCCCATGGATCATCATTCAGAACAATAGAAATTGAAGCTCCGTTGACCTTCCGCATGTGTACACCTCACAAGGATGAATTTGACCGAGCATTTTAAAAATCGGAGCGTACGAAAACGGCCATATTAACTTGCTGGTTTTAAGTTATCAATAGATACTTGACATGTTGAAGAATCTTGTTGTTAAGACTAGACAACTGTAGCTTGCTTTATTCAAGAATAATAACTTTTCTAATTTAAAGTATATATATTCCCCCGCTTAAAAACAGCATCTCCAATGTTGATTATCTCGGAAACCAGGGCATCAGTCAGCAGGGCAAAAATATGAGGTCCTTACGTGTTGGATAGTCCTGAATTCTATCGTCATATCATCGCATTGTGATTACACTGCGAAATTTCCCCTTGAAATTACTCAAAGCAGATAATATACAGATTCGCATCTTAAGGCCATCGTATTTACATGTTTCATATAGAACTGTCAAGTACAAAGAATAAAAGGATTATTATTTGTAGCTTATAAAAAAATGTTTGATATTATAAAAACAAGAAAAGACTTATTTGAATAAGATCAGACACAAAAACTAAAGATTTATTGAAGAAGACAAGAGCTATTCTATTTATACTAAGTTCTAAATGCCAAAGTAGCAATTTATCTTGAACAACGTTTATCACATCTGATGAACCTCAGTATTTAAATAGCTGAGATGTACTTCAATTATCATAGCTTGTCCATGTTGTTGCACAACACAGACATATCTACCCATCAAGAATACCTTAATCTTTATAGACAGTTGTAGCCTTTCTGGCACAACAAGAACATTGTCTTTTTGTTTTGAAAAACATTGCAACTTTTTGTACGGTAATAGTAGATTAATAATAGGGGCAAATTATACTTATTACCCTGTTGTGTAATATTTATGAGGAGGTTATTCGGCTATTTGCTGCTTCAATTTTTTTTTTGAAGATTCATTTAAATGTATGTGCAGTGAAATCAGGTTTAAATAGATTTTACAAAAAAATAAAGCAATAGTAAAACACAATAGAGATCAACTGTATTCTATTTGTGTATAAAATGAACTGAAAATCCTGGAATTGAGTAAAAAAAAAGAAGAGTATTTATACATTTGCACCTAGCTTGTAGGGTTAGTGATGATAGAGAGCAATAGGTGCTGCTATTGCGATATCTGGCAAATGTTGTTGACGTTTGATTTAAAGTGGTAATCAATGCAGGAGCACTGGCCATAAGGGTCGATTTGAGTAACCTTGATGGGCTTGGGTGAGCTATCGTCATAGCATGGTTTAATGTAACCTTGATGGTTTAAAGTGTAATGTTTGTTATTGAAGTATGGAACCCTTTATCAGGGATATTGTGCATCTATGGCAGCAGGGCATAGTTGTCATATTTGAATATGCTTGTTATTGATTTGATTTTATTTGGATAAAGATACCATCATCACTTATTACGACCATCATGGGTGTGATTGAATACACTGTGATCAGGAGTGATTCATTCACACGATGTGCGATATAAGCATGCATCTTTACTTTAGTACTTTTAAATGGGTTTTTGATGTACATTTGAGCGCTTTCATTAATAGATCCAAATAGCATGAATTCGAATGAGTGATATTTGATGAATTTCGCTTTTCAATCAAGTTGCGTTTGGGTGGCTATTTCATTACAGTATGTATTTGTTATTTAAAACATAGTGCAGCTCTAAAATTTTCAAAAGCACTTGATTTTCAGTTTACAGAGACCTTAAAGAACTTATCATCTACCTGCAATGAGGATACTCATATATTACCCCTAGAAAAATATAGAGTAAAATATCAAAAAGTTACAGTGCAGAAGAATTCAAAAAAAATTGCTGTATACATATGTATGTTTTTAGGCTAGTCATATCTGTCAGGGTTAAAGGGTATTCTGACAGTGATTTAGATCTGCAGGATATCATTGACAGGCTAAACACAAACAAGAATAAGAAGCGCAGGTTTAAACCTAGAGCGCCAGCAGCTAACAGGAACATCAAACAGCGATTAACCTGGATAGCACACAACATTACACAAACTATATTGGATAAAACCAATATTCAAATATAATATTAATAAAGCACCTTTTTTATCCATTCAAATAAAAGGCTATAACATCTTCTTGAACACTCTCTACATCTACTTCCTTATATATCTCGATCAGATCTCACGTCTTATATACTACATATAAATATTAGCGTCTAACAATTTCATCGGAAGCTGGTATAGTATAGTTGAAATGTTTATTGAAGAGATATAATATTGGAGCTGCGTCCCTGTAGGGCAAAGTGCTCATTATAGTGCGGATCAAAATGATGACAGCTGGAAATAAATTCGGAAAGAGAATATAAAAAAATAACAAAAAATTTAAAGATTAAATCCTTGGTTCAAAAAAAAGGCAAACGAAAACAGTTGGAAAAGGACAGCAGAGAAACAGCATCTTAGTGAGACAAAAGATGTGGAATAGCGGCAGTAATGCCAGCACTATCTGAGGAAGAGATAGGAGGCGTACCCGAAACAGAGGTAGTTGAGGAAACCGGGGTCAACCAGTCGAGAAAGGCAGAACCAGACGAGTCCAGAGCTTTACCAGTAAATTCAGCATCAGGATGACAGATCATGTCGATATCCAAAAAGATTTGGAGCATGACAGGCCAGCGAACAGACCAAAAGGAGCGAGACGACACGAGTTTAGAGGCAGAAGGTTGCATACGAGGTAGTCGATTGAGCCAAAAGTCCAGAGGATTGGGCAAATAATCAGCACCAAGAGGATCATCAGTAAACAAAAGCTTTGAAGCAACACCAAGACACTCTAGCAGATGGTTGCGGCTAGCGTGAGGAGCACCACAGCGACATGGAACTGGCCTAGCAGGTAGCCATCCCATACGCCAACGGAGAATACGACTACGGTCAAACACAGACATTGGAAGATACAGGATGGGATCCACCATGAGTGAAGGACGACAAGCAGAGAGGAGAACAGGAGGAGAAACAGGAGGAGCAGGATGTAACCGACATTGGAGGGAATCAAGACGATACACCTTGATCTTGTCAGCAAGACCACGACGATCCAAAGCAAGAGAATTATCAGCACCACCACCAGCAAAAGTAGGATCCCAGATTGGATTTTTGACGGCCAACTTGTTCAAACGATGCTTGAAGGACACAAGAGAGGGAGCCAAAACCATAAGAAGAGTATCACCAGGCAGTTGCGTATGCACCCGCCAGAGCATTTTACTAGTCAGAATATCAACACGTTCCTCCATAGTTGGAAGATTGGTTAGATGTCGAAAAACCACGACGGAAGAGGTACGATGGCCACCAAAAGCCAGACGGAGACACTGATTTTGAGCTTTTTCCAAAAGCTTTAAATGACGTTTCAAGAACCAGGAAATAGACAGACCAAACTCAAGTTTGGGCCGAATAAAGGCCGCATACAGTTTAGCAGATAGGAGCTTGGAGAAACCAGCAGAATGAAGGCCAAGAGATTGCAAACCACGCATAGCACCTAACGCTGATTGACTATTTCTAGTCAATAAGAGATCGGTGTCCAAGCTACCCTTCACATTGAACGGCAAACCAAGGTAGGTAAAAGAGTGAGCAGTAGGTATAGCTTGACCATAGAGAGACAGAGAAACACCAGCACCAAGACCAGGAGAGACACCAGTAGCACCACCACCAACACCAGCATTGAGGACGACAGATTTCAGAGGGTTCCACCGATAACCCAGAGACACAGAATGAGCTTCCACACGAGCAAGTAACAAAGGCATAGACTCGGCAGTTCCAATTAGCACCACATCATCAGCATACATCAAACTATTGATCCAAAGACCGTTATACAAACGAGGAGGACGCTCCACCACCCGAGGGTTAAATGGAGCACGCAACACCGCAGGCAGAGAGTTGATGTACACGGAGTAAAGAAAAGGACTCAAAATGGAGCCCTGCAACACACCAGTACCAGGCCAAAAACCATCAGAAACAGCACCAGACACCAAGACCTGAACAGACACCTCATCAAACAAATGCTGAAGGAGACCAAGCATCGCATCTGATACATACGTTTCGAGAGCACGCCAAATGACAGCTCTGTCAACCGTATCGTATGCAGATTTGATATCCAGAAAAGCCAAAACAGGAGGAGAACCATAATCAAGAGTATGGTGAAGACAGAGTTCATGTAGACAGAGCGCCTGATCAGGAGCACCACGACGCTCACGAAAACCACCTTGCACCACATCCAACGCAGGAGCAGAAGACACCAAAGGATCATAGAGGCATCGTTCCAACAACTTTCGAAACACAGAAGTCAAAGAGATGGGTCTATGATTACCAGGATCAAGAGGATCACCCTTCTTGTAAATTGGCACCACCTGTGCTAATCGCCAAGAAGCAGGAGTACGAGACCAACGCCAGCACAGCTGAAACAACAGGTAAAGTACAGGCACCAGAGATTCACGGATGGGAAGGAGCATTTCCGCACGGATATGGCCCCCACCAGGAGCACGCCGCCTGGCCAAACGCTTTCTTAAGTAGTAGTCAACATCATCGGCATCAAACGGACATTCATCCACAGAATGAGGCACAGGAGGAGTAGGAGGAGCATTAGGCCGGTTTGGAAGCAGGGAATCACCAGCATAGATACCACGAAGGTGTTGGGCCATAGTAGAAGCAGCAGCAACAGGACCTTCAGGGTGGGAAAAAGGAGCACTGAGACTACGACCACGGATAATCCGCTTGAGCGTACCAGTAGTATCACCTAAAGGCTGTGTAGCCATCTTGGTACAAAACTGTTTCCAGCTTTGACGACGCCGACGACGAATAGCCTTTTGGAATGCCTTCTTAGCAGCAAGATATTCACCCCAGCGTTTACATTGTTTGAAGGGGTTAGGAGAACGAAGCCAGCGGGTGCTGGTATAGTATAGTGGCAGTACATCACGTTGTGGCCGTGTCGACGCAGGTTCGATTCCTGCTACCAGCATTTTTTTCATTTTCAAGAAAATGATAGTGCGCCTAGCTTTTTCTTTTTGTGTTATAGATTGACTGAAAACCTGTCTTCCTTTCCTTTTGCTACCAAATCTTTTGGCAAACCAATATCAAATTGTATTGCCGACTTGTACCAAAATCATTTTGATGTTGTATTACTTGTCAGACCCAAACAAATAATTTGGATCTTACTATGAAAGATGTACGTCCTTGATTATGTTGACTAAGCCAATCTTCGCGAAATACTTACCAAAAAAAAGCATAATAAACGAGAAAGCCGTTATACAATCATCAATTTATGTATTTGCAAGCAATGAGCTATGTGAATAATCGCAATTCAATATTATTACTAAACCAAATCTCGCAATCCAAGATCTTATTAGATCAAAATCATCAAAGGTGTGGATCTCTGGATGTGTTTTGAGGCAATCATAATACCAGATATGCCTTTAGTGGTCTCTCACCCAGATCCTAATATGCCAAGGTTTTCAACAAGTATTTATCGTATAGATTAAACCATCGTATTTAGAGAAATACGCTCTTTACCAAAAGCTGAGAAAAGATGTTAGTATCCTTTTGATCTTTGTAAGGCTAATTGAATTGTAGCCAGAAAGAGATATGATATTTAAAGCAATAACAGACTGAAATTCTACTTCCACTTATTATCAAATTACGTTCCGCGGTTGTAATACTATGAACCCATTGTCTTTTCAACATAGAGTGATCTTCTTCCCTCAATTTCCTTCTATACTTCTCAAACGTGTTTTATTGCCGAACTCTGTAAATGCTAATATTGCCAATTGTAACAATGTAAATACTGATTTATGCATTGTTTACTACATGTTGAAATGTGTCAGAAGAAAACGGTATCGCCCTACAAAGTATACATTCAATGGCCAAGTGTAAAATAAAAACCTTGGACGTCATACTCTTGATGCAGCTATATTCTGCTTGAGTAGTAATTTTGGTACAAAGTAAGCTTAAAAGCGACACAACATTCAAAAGCAAATTCTGTTGTTGAGGCCGCTTATAAATCAACCACGGATGGGGCGAAATCAGCATTCTTAACTGTATTTCAATAAATTAACAATATAAAAAGATTAAGTGTTACAATTGTGGAGAGAAATAGTAGAGGAGATGGTAAATAGTCAAAGCAATTGGGCGAATGTTTGAGATGGTAATGGAGGAGATACTTGCAAGTAGTAGCAGAGTCTTTGATACGGGAATGCAGCGGTTTGATAATAGTATAATAGTAGTGATATTGATAATAATAGTATTGAATGTTGGAAAAGGCAGGGATATGCTCTTATGAGTCAAAAGTGTGTTGCTGTTGCTATCGTTATCGGCTTTGTCGGTTCAGGAGTAGTCTCTCTGATCCAATACTTTTTACTCGATTGACCAACGTCTGGAAGAGTCTGATTTCTCAATACCCAAAGGAGCCATCGAATGAGCTGAGGTAGCTGATGCTGTTGCATGAGAAACTATTACAATAGAATTAGGTAAACATGGGTTCCATCAAATGACATGCGCAACGTACTGTGATTCATTAAGCCGAGGTTAAAATTTCTTAGACATATGATGGCGATAGGTACAGAGGCCTGATATTAATTTAATGTTTATCAGCATTTGTCTATTAGAAGCAATTGCATGACTATAGCAACTTACCAAAATTAACACCATGTCAACACATACTATAGATGTATTTTGGGTTAGGGAGATGCTACATGAGATGTCTGAAAAAGGAGAGTGCACTTACAGAAAAAGGTCAGGAAAACCTTTGAACCCAGGAATCTTGCAGGGTCTGATGCAATCTGAACCAACATGTAAATGTAGTAGCCCATACTTGCCGCGCACAATATTAAAAAGATGTACATGTGCACCTTCTTTTCTCGCCTCAACTACCAAGATGAAACAAGCATTAATTATCATTATATAAACCAGTTTTTGTCCTAATTGCACTTACACCCCAATATGCTGAGCATAACATTGTAATTGAGAGCACACAACTCAATATAATGTGCTCTATCAACTCCCGGACAATTTCTGATTCATTTCCATTTATAGTGGCATCAGGCCACCATGCAACAATCAAAAGAGCAAGATACTGCACCGAGAATCCAAGGAAAAAGAAAAAATCAAACTTGAGCAACATCATGAAAATCTGATACATTTTGTAGCGATCTACAATAGGCAAGTTCCGTTAGTGTGTACACCGAGATATAGGTAAATTGATGATTACCTCGCATAGCCAAGTCTGCGCCGATCTTTTTATAAATATGCCAGCCAAATTCCAGATAGAGTTTGTATGCAAGAAATACAAAGATCATGGTGCTGACAATCATGACGCAAATTTGAGTGATTTCCGCCCACTTTGACAGATGATACGCATTGAGAAGATATTGTAGCGCCTCGCTTTTTGTTCCCTGATCATCGTCGATGAGTGTTGAAGACTGATGGAATTGAATGATTGAATAAGCACTCATGCCTAATTCAAAAGCGACCAGCGCAATAAGTTGAATTGTATTACGTTGATAGATCTACACTCTTGATGATTAGTCATTCAACACACATAATGATTATAAGGATATACTTACAGCATCAACTACTAGTATGACAGTGAATACTTGTGCGAGCATAAATAGGATAAAGTAGACCAGCAATGATCTTGCATTGGCGTAGGCTGTAGTCATAGAGGAGGATGTTCCTGGCGATGTCAAATTTAAATTGTTGATCGTGTTGATCTCATTGTTGTGAAATGCGAAAATTACAGCTTCAAATGCAATGGCCAGCAGCGCCTGGAGAACTACAGCACAAAAGATGGCTCTGGTCCATCGTGACTCACCAAACTACAGTAGAGAGAGAGTGTGTGTTATTATACAGGGCCATCACATCCACTGACTGTCTTACAACTCGAGATATGATCCACATTATATTTGTGCTGCTGTTGTTATTGTTGTTGTCACAAGAGGTGTTGTATACTTGAATAAAGAAGAAGAAACTGCTGTTTAATGCTTTGCTTCTAGTGACTGAAATGTAGATTAATTGAAGGACATATATAACTATAATAGTTATATATCAAGACAGGTATAGTGGGAGAAAATCAATCAATATTCAAAAGAGAAGAAAGTTAAAGAGAAGAAGAAAAAGGGAAAAGATAATTAAGTGAATCTAATATGAAGAGGAAGGAGGTGGGGGGGGGAATGAAAATGAGCAATAATAATAGATTGTTTAATATAGGCTGTGAAATTATATGATCTTTTGCTTGTGTGCCTGTACCTGTCCCTGTGCCTATGCCTGCCTTAGTTCGTGTGCCTGTGATGAACTGTGCAGAGGAAGATAACACCGCATATCGTCGAATCTTTTGATTTATGAAATATAATAGGAGCAAACTAACACATTAATTTATCCGCTGTGTTACTTTCACGATGGTTTATTGACTTTTATGATAATCGTCTTCGTGATAGTTTATTTTAAGAATGTATAAAAATACACATTTTACCATTGCTACATCTATGAAACAGCTTAATCTATATATACTGTCAACTTGGGTTTAGTTTGATGAAAGTAAATGACATTGAATGCTGGATTCAAACGCTCGATTTATTTATGAAATGTCCTCATGAAAACAGTGTTCAATTAAGAACACTAAAAGATAGCGTTGTATCATCTGGAAGAAACTATCACGTAGTACAATTTCTATTTCGTTCTCGCCACATTTACTTTTTAGTATCTTGATTATTTATATCTATCAGATTATCTTTCCACCATCATATGACGATGCAACAGGGATATTGCACTCTTTCAAAGATTTTATATACTGCATTTTATATATTTTTATTGCCTGATCAAAGCTACAGAATATATAGCAACGCATGTCTCGTATTCATTAAAGCTTTACTTGCTTGATTTGCTTGTGGTGTCAATTGTAGTGAGCACTTGATCTGATTGAAAAACTAAAGAACAGGAAGGTGATGACGGCTAGCATTTCCATGGCAACAAGGGAGAGACCTGAAATGGATTCATTGCCTCCTACCAAAGCTTTAAAATAAAACAAGATAATGGAAGATACAGCATAAAAGGAACCCAAGTAGATCAAGCAAACAAAAAGGAGTGAATGCGCATAAGATTCCGTAGCAAGATGGCATTTTGTAGATCCATTACCATTTCTTCAGTGGTATTGGCTTGATAGGAAAGCAATGTAATGAAAAGGTATGGGTTGGCACTGTCCATCTCATGCAAGCATTGCTAGACATCCAATTAGGAGCATCTGCTTGAAGCAAACGATTAGTTGAGATGTGAATGGTTGTGCCAAACATTTGGTCAGCTCTGATCGATGCCATTTGATCATCAAGTGCCTCAAAGCAAAAGCAACATCCTACTTCAACTTGGTGGATGGCCCAATTCAACGCAAACTCCATTTATTAGTATGCAGGCATGATGAGACAATCAAGTTAGCAATTGCATACGTGAATAGCTATAAATATTACAACTCAAAAGAGCTTTTCATTATCTAGCCTGCAATGATCGAAGCAGGTTAAAGAAACAGAAGTCTTCCCACACTCTGTACACACCTGTAACTCTACTTTCTTCTATATAATAACATGCCTATTTGGTGTTTTAAGCTTATACGCGTATCACAAGTTTGGCACTCACAATCCCGTGGGAAATAAATCAAATTTGTTTGGTGTAGCATGGCTGGTCTGCTGCATGATTTGGATTCATTCTACAGTTGGGATGTGATATGTGACGACAACCCTATCCCTTGGAAGGCTATAGTCTCCTTTATCTCTCATTGCATAGGGGTTTCTCTTTCTTTCTCTTTAGCTTTTTCTTTTATAAAATGACCTCAAAGCAACCGCTTGATTACAGCCAAGACCCAAAGCATGATTCTTGCCAGCTGATTGTCCGTAAGGATGCTCCATTCAATGCTGAACCTTGTCCTGTTGACCTAGTGAAGAATTACATCACACCTGAAAAGTACTTTTTTTGCCGCAATCATGGTCCATTGCCTGATATTCAGGAGGCAGAGCATACAATCCTGGTGCAAGGCATTGGATGCGAGAAGCCCATCCATTTCAACATGAAACAAATCAAGCAGGATTACGAAAAGGTGTCCGTAATGATGGTGATGCAGGTATGTAATGTGTTTTTTAGCCGAATATAAATGAATATAGACTGACCATGATACATGTAGTGCGCGGTAAGACGATACAAAGGTGCGAGCATCCAACATCCAACTAACATTGGCACAGGGCAATCGAAGAGATGGTCTTCATAAGGTGAAGCACACCAAGGGCGTAAGTTTTGTTTAGCTTGATTCGAAAGCACATCACTCATCTTATCCACACAGGTCATTTGGGGACCTGGTGCCTTAGGAAATGCTATCTACAGTGGGTGTAGACTGCGCGACATTCTTGCTACCGTTGGAGTGACCACAAAGATAAAAAATTTAAACAAACTCCACGTTGCTTTTGAGTCTGTGGAACAGGTAACAAATAAATAACGTTATTGAATGATGCAATAATACTCACGGTACAAAATAACCTGTTTCTAGTGTGAAGAAGACAAATGCTATGGCTCTTCAATTCCATTGTCCAAGGCATTGTAAGTATTTAATAGATTTTATTGGCTCATTCTTACCATGTATCAATGTTAGGGACGAGTTTGGAGATGTGCTATTGGCTTATGAGGTAAAACTACGAATATTTTCAATGCTATAGCAAATGTTCATCATGTGTATGCAATAGATGAACCACAAAACATTGACTCGCGATCATGGATTTCCTATTCGAGTCGTAGTACCAGGCTACATTGGCGGTAGATCAGTCAAATACCTCAAATCAATTACTATCCAAGATTATGAATCCATGTCGTATTATCAACGCAGAGATTACAAGATCTTACCAGAGAGTGTATGTAACGAGACCGAATACCATGTAACATGCACTTATATGATGTAGGTCTCTGATGAAAAGCAAGCTGATGCTTACTGGTGTAAAGTACCATCCATTGGAGAGTATAATGTGCAATCCTATGTCTGTAACCCATCTGACGGCATTCACGACGGAGCCAAATCAAATCAAACAGTGCAAGGCTACGCTCTATCCGGAGGAGGAAGATCTATTCAACGAGTTGATGTATCAGGAGATGATGGAAAGACATGGGCTACAGCTCAGTTATACCAGCCTGCTGCAGAAGGAAACAACTGTAGAGTATGGGGTTGGTGCTTGTGGTCTGTCACCATTGCAACAAAGAGAAATGTTAGAATTGTCAGCAGAGCAGGTAAAAGTGTCTGAATCATTTATGATAGGTGTGGTTTACTAATGTAATGTTCAAACTAGTTGACTCGTCTGGTAATGTCCAGCAAGAATACCCTGTTTGGAACTATCGTGGAGTCATGAATAATTCATGGAGAACTGTTGACTCAAATTCGATGGAAATGTCAAACATTTAATACCAATAAAAACCCTGCCATTTTTTTTTTGTAAATCAAGGCTCTCCTGCAGTTTGTCTTGTTGAAAGAGAATAACAACAGGGTCTGCATTTTCAAATCATGTCAGCGAGACCATGGTATTCGTCTACTTTGATAGCCTTGTAGCCAATTTTGATTCATGTTGCTCCGAGGGAGACTGGACAACTTTGATCCAGCAATGAATGTATAATAGCCATACATCTTAAGTTGATTTGATACTCTATTATTTTTATTGATTGATAAATGGTATAATAAATACGTAAAAAGTAAAGGGAGCGGTGTACATTGTTGTAAAACAAAACTACATGCAAAAAAAGTCTAACAGGTAATACAAAGTAGTTTAGCGTAAAAATACATGAAAATATAGGATAAATCAAACAAAATGATGCTTAACGTCTAGGCTTTCTAAAGATATAAACGAGGCCAATAAAGAGGATAATATTGAACGCAAAGTAGGCAACCAAGATACCAAAGTTGCGCCACTTGTGGCTAGCACTCCAGTCAAATCTAGATTCGTAGAATTCAGGTCCAGAGCTAAAGGTACAATAGCCACATAATTCAGGAGAGGTTGCATTGGGATTAGCAATGTAACCGGGAGCACCATAAGCAAAGAAATTGGTAGTGTACTCTCCACAGGTTTGACCGGGAGGAGCACTGAATCGAAGTAGATCACCTTCATTACAATCAACCTTGAGATCACCTAATTCATTGACAGCGAGACCTTCGATATAGTAATGGAAAGGATCAAGCCAATACATCCAAGAGCTCCAGAACTTGGGCATAGCGGATGGTGCTTGCATCAAACCACAGAAAAGAATCAAGATGGAAATGACCAATGGGTTAATAACAGCAGCCATCAAGGGAGACTCTGACACAGCGGCAATCACGAAGCCAAGAGTAACAGCCCAACACACTAGCATGGAGAACATGATGTAAAAGTAGCCACCAGATTCAGCAGAAGGGTTCATACCGGCAGTCCAGTAGAAACCAAACATGAAGCAGGCAGAATAGAAAAAGATGTAGGGAAGTTCAACGAGCACAGCAGAGATGGCCCAGGGCAACCAACTGTAGTAACGCGAGGCGTATTCGCGTCTGAAATACTGACGCTCAGTGATGAATTTAGGTTGAGCAAGAATAATGAGAGTCATGGCCATGATGAAGGTACCAAACAAAGCAAAGACTTTGTTCAGCATGTCAGAAGAAGAGGATCCCATTTTCCAAAAGGTAAAACCAGTGATCAAAGAGGTCAACATGACATTGAGGAAACGACCAATGTTGTAATCAGGAGAACGCCAGTAAGCCAAGGACATGCGAGAGAAGACCAATTTGAACTGGGTGCCCAAGCTAGTAGCGTAGGTTTGAGCATTGCGAGTAGGGTTGGGGTTTGAGCTGTTGTGGATCTCTTCAAGCTCTTCAGTCAAGGCCTTTGCTTCAGCAGAATTCTCCCAGATAGTAGCCCAATCAGCCTTGGCCTTACCAGCAGTACCAGCGCCAACGCATTCGAGGATGTATTCCGCAGGATTGGCATCAGGAGAACACTTGGGACCACCATTAGATTCAAAGTAATCAATCATAATTTGAGAATCTTGACCAATTTCGCCGTGATAGGCAGTACGTCCACCACGCACCAAAAGCAACAAGTGATCAAAGTGCTCGAAGAGAATAGCAGAGGGTTGATGAATAGTACAAAGCACAGGCCATCCAGAATCAGCAAGCTTGCGGATGAAACGAATGATGTTGTAAGAGGATTGGGCATCCAGACCAGAAGTAGGCTCATCCAAGAAGAGGAGCTTGGGCTTACCCACGAGTTCCATACCAATAGTAAGACGCTTGCGCTCTTCAATAGAGATACCAAAGCCGAATTCAACAGCACCAATTTGAGCATCACCAATGTCTTCCATTTCAAGCAACTCAAGGATAGTTTCAACATAGGCATCCTTTTCTTCCTTGGGCACATCTGCAGGTTGACGAAGATAAGCAGAGAAACGAAGAGCTTCACGGACAGTAACGGCAGGTTGGTGGACATCCATTTGCTCGCAGTAACCAGTAATACGCTCGAAATCAGTCATCAGGGCTTCGTTGTTCAGGTAGACACGGCCATCCACTTTACCAATGGTCTTTCGACGAGCCAAGACATCCAACAGAGTAGTTTTACCAGCACCAGAGGAACCCATTAATGCGCAGAGATGCCCAGGTCTGACCACACCAGAGACATGGTTCAGCAATTGAAGACTGCCACCCTTGACAGGAACAGTATAGTCAATGTTTTGCCACGAAAAGGTGGTGCCAGTGGAAACGCTGTCCATGTTTTTGCCGAAATCAGCTTGTTTTCTAAGACGGGCTTCTTCTTCTTCAGCAGTACGAGGCTTGGGAGCCTTGCCAGGCAAATAGAGCTTGGTGAGAGTACCGCTCTTACTGAGACCGACCAATTCCATAGCACTTGCTGTCATGACAGTGAACAACAAGAAGAAAGCAACAACGACAATGAAATCAGGAGCCCACATTTGACTAGGATTGTAACTAAGATAGTCATTCAAATAGTCGTCGCCAAGGACGTAGCTGTTACCTGGCTTGCCACCAGCCATGGTACAGACCTTGTAGTTCCAGTCATCGTAGCCAGGACCGTAAGGGACAGCATTGCCAGGACCTTCGCACGAATATTCGACACCCTTCAATTCGTTGATCAAGAGAGCCTTGTAACAGTAGGTCATAGGATTGATCCAGTAGATCCACGAGAGCCAGGGATGCATCTTGTTGTAAGGGATGGTATAACCGGTGTAGTTGGTGACAGCAATAAGAATAACACCAGACACTTGCGTAGCCAAAAAGAAACTAGTTGTAGAAGCACCAAAGAATCTAAAGAAGCCGTTCATACACAAGTTCATAAAGAACAAGATGACAAAGAAACTAAAGAAGGCACCGGCAGTCAATTTGAGACCCATCATAAAGTAGGCACAGATTTCAAACAGCAGCACTTGCACAATAGCATAGGGAATATCCATGACGACTTGAGCAATGTAAAAGGCAGAAGGACGGTAGAGAGCGTATTGCTTGTGCTTTTCCAGAATAGGACGACCCATCAAGAAATTAACAAGTTCAGCTTGAGAGATGAAAGAATTGAACAATACGGCGAAAAAAAGGGCACCTCCTCTTGCAAACTAATTCTTTTCGGTTAGCAAAGCAAAAGTAATAACGTATACATCTACTTACGGCGCCAGTGCCATCTTGAGTCATTTTGAAGAAACAGGAAGCAGTGATAAGAGATTGAATAAGAATGGTACCATAGCGAGAGATCAGGGCACCCAAATCAGTAATGTTGAGATAGTATTGACGGATAGTGAGAGCCTTGACTTGCTGATAGAAAGAAGCAGTGAAAGGAGCCTTCTTGGGAGCACGCTTTTGATGCTCTTCATCGACAGCCTTCTTAAAGACATCAGCAGGGTTTTCGTTTTGAACGGTCTGTTCATATTCGACAAAGTCAGCCATCATTTGCTTGTAGATATCAGAGGCAAGGTACTTCTCTTCGAACTCATAGGCGAATTTGGGAGCGACATTCTCCCAGCCTTTGAGAACTTCACGTTCATTGGGATTACAGAGACCTGTCAAAAAGTCAGGAACGGACTTTCTCTTGGGGCAGACAAAACCGAGAGATTCAAAGTACTCCTTTGCACCAGCAGTGGGACCAAAGTAAAGACATCGACCCTCATCCAGCAAGAGCACTTTATCAAACAAGGTAAAGATGTTGTTGGAGGCTTGATACAGAGTAGCAATTGTGGTCTTTTTAAAGACATCTGTCATGATGCGAAGAGAGCGCACATAATCAAGGGCAGAAGCAGCATCGAGGCCACGCGTGGAGCAATCCCAGCAGTTGATAGAACTGGATGTTGTCATTTGTTCAGCAATAGACATACGCTTGCGCTCACCGCCTGACAAACCACGGACCCAAGCATTGCCGACCATGGTGTTCATCTGCTTGGTCAAACCAAGCATGTTGCCGAGCATGTAGAGCACCTTGTTGACAAAGTCAGTCTTAGACTCATCAGGAAGACGCTTTCCAGGAGTCTTCATACGCAAGGCGAATTGCAGTGTTTGCTTGGCTGTCAATGTAGGATAGTGCTGATCTTCTTCTTCGTTGTAACAGACTTGACCTCTGTATCGCTTGGCGAATGTTTCAGCATCAATACCGCCATAAGACACGATACCGTCGACATCAGTGTAGGCACCTCGCATGTTGGCAATTACTTTGAGGAAGGAAGTACCTAGAAATAATCAAAATGTTAATTCATCATTGACATTGAAGCATCTAGTAATAACACATTACATCCAGCTCCAGGACGACCTAGAAAAAAACAACCAATGTTAGCTTGTTGTTAATAGACGCATTTAGTTAAACTGTACCGAGTACCAGGAGCATCTGGCCTGGTTCACAGTGGCCTGTCAGATCATTTAAAATGACCTTTTTGTTCTTGCTGACACCAATGCCCAGGAATTTCCAGAATTGAAGAAATGTAAAGACAGTTGGAATGGTGTGAGCATCCGCAGCTTGACCCTATGAAATGAACTGTCGTTTAGATCATGTAGCTTTGGCATGAATCTAGTCCAATTTTACCTTGACTGTCAAGTTTTTCCAGATCAAGCCTAAGTTTTTCAGTTCGTGGCCATTCTCGTTTTGACCCTTTCTCATGTCATGGAGAAACTCGTCGAGATTGAACTCATCAGCTTCTGCGGCACCTTCCTCTAATTTGCTGGCATGAGTAGATAAACGACTGATACGGGATAGCTCTCTTTTTAAATCCACATATTCGTCTTTGGCGGCTACTCATCTTGAGGTTAATAAAAAAAAAAATCCTAGGTGCAAGGAGTAGGTGTGTTTATTTACCATCAATATTGACCGCATTGGCAGTGGGTTCACCGAATGCATCTCCATTGGATTCATATTCATGGAGGCCGTTTTGATATACAGTTTGAGTAGATCCATCGCTGGAGTGTTGATCGTATTCTCGACCTTTTTCTCCTGAGGATTCTTGGAGATGATGAGTTGAAGTCATGCTTTAAATGACAAGTGGATGGTATGAATTAGTAAAGTTGTATGAAAATGCAAGAAATCAAAGTAATCAGAAGGAAAAAAAAAGGGAATCTATAAATGAGAGAAACGAATGCCTTTTGTGATTCAACATGATGGCCTCTTTTATACAGAACGTGCTTCTTGAGAGGATGAAACGGAGCGTCAGTGCCGTAGTTTTTCCGGTTTCTATCTTCTATATCTATATCTGCTGAAGTTGAACCAAAACGTATACAAAGTTTTTTTTTGAAACGAGCATTGATTTGAGAGACGGCACTATCATGGCCGGTCCTATGAAATGAGAAGATTTTAGACAATTGAACCTGAGCAATGTCTGTCTCTCCGCCTGCCTCTTCTCAGTGTAGAGTGACCAACATGTTTATGTGTTATATCCATCAATGATGCCTGAGGGCAATGGTATCACAATAAGTTGAAAATTGGGAAAATATACCTAATTCAGAAACATTTATTGCAGAAATATGTCAATTCAAAGCAGTTTGCTTGAGATTCAAGCCATACTGACCTAACAGTGGCCTAATGTGCTTCAGCCGAAGTTACCGATGGGATGTGTTAAAAGGATAATTGCTTGATCTGTTGACAATCCTAATCTATATACAACGCACCGGTAAATAGAGTTGGACCTACTCCGTGCAATCAACCTGCCTTTTCGGCAATGCGTATTCCACAACCACCTATTGGCTGATTCATTAATAAAGTAAAATTACAACGGAGTCGAGATACACTAGGTCCACCGGCCCGTTTTTAGATTCGATTGTTGTGAAATGTATTTAGAAATGGTATCATTGAAATGGACATGTTCTTTTTCGCAAAATAATGGTCTGAATTACGAGCTCATGCTTTGTACTCAGCTGCTGCTAGGACGACAGATCAGTAATGGAGTAATGATAGCAAGACATGTCTATAGCTGTAGACAACCTTGACTAATCTCGCATTTGAGAAGAATGACTCTCCAAGATCTACATTGGTAAATTCCCAAATGATCAAATAACACAGAGCGTATTTTTAGACTTGTATTACGCTTGGGGTATCACGTACGCAACACACTTCAAAGTACATGCCTTGAGAGCAAATGATAACTTATCTACATAGCCCGCAAAATACTATCGGCTATGCGTCTCACTTAGCATGTAAAACTGTTGATATGTCCTTTTTCTTTTTGAATACATGTTAGTCATCGCTGATTACAGGCTGCAATTGCGGTTATTCTGCAATTCTCATGTCCTGTAACATTAGGCAGAGTTTTCCTTCTCAGTATCATGTCGTAGGCAACTTTCACGCATTTGTTTGATGCTACACCATTTGCGATACGATAAACTTGTACTCTCGATGTTCAGAATTTGACTGTTTGCGAGAAATGTCGTAAATGTTTCTTCCAAATGTCTAATGGCAATATAACTCATTTTCTAAATTGAGATGTGTACATATCATTCATCACCAAATCACTTTACTTGTATTTATGATGCCGTATCAAGATTGATGATGATGAGGACAGCTCAATAATGAAACCACTTCTCTTCTGGGAGCTATCACTGTGGTGATGGAGATGTCTTGTTAAGGAATAAAATCCATAAAGCTATGCAACGAATGCGGCAGATGTTTCAGACTGAAAAAAAGAGCCAACGGATACATGTGCAGATGTGTTATTTTCGTCTACCTCCGTTAATCGCTAGGCTTAGCAAGCGATTTCTATTCTAATGTTTATTGCAATGTCTCAGCAATGGTTCAGCATAATAGCATCAGCGAGCCTAATCAGCGTAGAAGCAAGCGCAACAACAACAAAAAAAAGCTTTATACGCCATTACTCAATCACAAAGGTGCCCTGATGTAACCGTTCATTTTATAGCCTTTTCATGTGTTGCATTCGACATCTGTATGACGGGTTTTACTTTCAGCAAGGGCCATATTTGTTCCTGGATCAGGCTCCTCTTCGGAACCGAATTGCCACAGCAGTGAAGTTCTGCATGTCTGATCTGGATTGAGGCGTAACGTCTTTGAATTTCATGAAACGTTACACATTACAATCATGTCTGTCATGTCAAAAATCGGTATAAAGTAGAATAACAAGGAGTTCTACAGACTACATTTTAATTTGTATATGAGCATGCTGAATGCGAGGGGGGGGGGGAATAATAAAATATCATACAATAGATACACTCAATATATATATAAGAAAAGAACAACAGCTAGATTTACAGTTTCAACAAGACTCTTCCCTTCTTTGGCTTCTTTTTGTTTGCCTTGACTGTCCAATTTCTCACCAACCACAAGACAATGACACGTTCCCAGATGATGTTAATCAAGCAGTTGCCGAGCACAAAGCCCCACAGCTCCCAGCGAAACCATTTAGGCAGCACGTTATGGCCCAAAGGTGAGTTGTAGGGCTCAATCTTCCACCATGGATAGGGGTATCCAAGCGATTCTATCACATCAGGCGAGCCACAGTTGACACGAAACTGTAAAAGTGATTAGTAACATGTATTGTCGTTACAGCCTTAAACTTACAATGCAACTGTATGGATTGGGATCTGCCAGAATGAGGAAACTCGTGTGTACAAAGAAGCAGCAGTAGAACACTACCAATACATAGTTTCTCCACCAAGAGCGTCTGAATGCTGAACCAAAGTTGACAATGGCTGCACTGTTAAAGAACTGGAAAAGAACGACAAGAGAGATGATCTCTGCTTCGTAATTGTCTCCCAACAGCCACCATTTAGCCGAATCGATAGCAGAGCTATCAAATTCATTGCACACAAACCAGTCTTGCTGAAACAGCCAAACAACACTATATCAGAATTACATGAGTCGACGCATTCACAGGGCCATCAATTGTTATATTCTACCTTGTCACCATGAACCAAAAATTGACAAAAATTACACCTAAACAAGATGCCAGCGTGTAAGCACCCAAAGGCTTTGCTGTCGGCCTAGAGGGACCCAAGCGCTCTGCAGGTTGTGCCTGAGTGATGGCAAATGTCATTGTTGTCGTAATAAAACCATCAATAGTAATCCAGATGGGTTGACAGGCAATGACGGTGAAATAGAACATGATGAGCTCCCAAAATGCCATGGATTCACCGTAATAAATCAAGAACTAAACTCAACGCATGAGCCAAATGCCGCAATGCCAATTTGAACAACATACCTTGTAATTAGAGAAACTAGTAGCAAGAGCAGCGCGTCCTTGCTTGAGTAGCTCTACACACTGCATAATGGACCGATTGCTTGTGCTGAAAGGAGATACCATAGAAGCCTCTGCCTCTGACAGAGCCATACCCACATGCGCAGCACGAAGAGCACCACAATCATTGCCACCATCACCGCACATGGCAGTAACACCCTTCTCCATATGCAACTGAACACATTGCACCTTGTCATTTGGAGTCATGCGAGCAAACACGCGAGTAAGCAGTAAATACGGACGCATCTTGTTTTGCGCAGTGAGCGACTCAAAGGCCCTCCCTGTCAAAGCTAATTCGATCCTCTTTTCGTGATGTTGTCTTGGATCGTTATGAATAGCCATGTCAACACTGTCCACTCGCTCACCCGTATCAACATTATGCCACACCATCTGACCATTGACCAAATCGCCCAGCAGAACCGTCTGCTCGGGTTCGATCATGCCACATTGACGTGCAATGAAGATACCTGTCAGGGCGGTATCACCAGTAATCATCACGGGTCTCACATCACCCTCTTTTAGCTGAGCAATCGCATCGGTAGTGTCTTCTTTAAGCATGTTTCTAAACAGCACAAAACCAACAAAGTTGCAGCCTACTTCCAGATCATCACGACTCATCGTCTTGACTTGATCCATGGTTACGTCTACACCCAATTCACCTATATCGCGGTGGGCAAGAGCCAGTACATAACACCCCTCTTGCGCATGTTTTGCCGAAATTGCATCATAGTTGCTTGGAATAGAATCCTCAGTAGATAAATATTTTACCCGCTCAAAAGAGCCCTTGAGGTAGACGTGCACATGATTGTTGGATGGATCTAAAACGGCAACTGATTGCGATGCACGGGCATGGACAAATTCACACCGACGAATGACATGCACCGGGCTATCGGTGTTCCTGGATCCTTTGGGCGGCATAAGACTATCGAGATAATCAGGGCTGGTGGTTGGTATCAGCTCCCATTGCATGGCATGGTAAGATTCGATGTCCACTGGGTTGCCAATGAATTGATCTCCTACTCTGGTTACTGCGTGACAAGTGGCAATGCCCATCGCCAATAAAGGCTCCATCGTCAAAGGGTCCATGGTACGTTGGTCCAACATGGGGGAGGCCACAGAGCCGTAAAACTCGAGTCCTTCTTTGGTCAATGTACCTGTTTTGTCAAAACAAAAGATACGCACCTTGCCAGACAGATTGATTCGCGGTAGGTCAATACATAAAATGTGCTTTTTACGCAACCGAGCAGCACAGACAGATTGGTTGATAGTGAAAGCAGCAGGCAACAGAGGGGAGAAGATTTCAGACATAACAAACACGCCATAGTACCAACTGGTGATATTGCCACGGCCCATTAGATACAGTGTCAAGCAGAATGCCACCAAGCCCCACACCAGCAGAATACAAATGGCCACCTTGATGTGCTCATCAAAGATGAAGCTCACAGGCGATGGAAACAGAATCTTGTGAATTAGCATGCCCTTTTCGCTTGATATACCAGTACGAAGCACAAGGGCACACACTTTTTGATGCTGGCCATCCTCAGCAATGGCAGGCATCACTTGGGACACCAGTGTTCCAGCGTATAGCGTATTGATTTTGCCTGAGCCATCCATCTCATACACGTTCGTATCGTCAGGCAAGGCAATTTTTCGTATCGGCATTGCTTCACCGGTCAATGCGGATTCATTGACAACGACAGCTCCCGAAAGCAGGACGCAATCACAGGGCACTTGGGATTTCTCGTCAATCTGGAATACATCGCCTGGCACCAGCTGAGCGCTTGATATATTACTGACCCATTCGCCATCACGATAGACGCACACATTGTTGACATATTCTGCCATCGATTTGATGCGGCTTTCGGCTCTCAACCGTAAAAAGATGCGGATAAATGCTGAAATCAAGATAATGCTCGTTTGAACCAGGCCCATTGGGTAGTATTGGAAATAATACCAGACCCACATGCACATCATTTGGTATAGATATAAGAATGAGCTAAATCTGTAGAGAATATAAAAAAGTCAAATTATGGATGCCATCTACTGCTGGAAACAGCCTTGAACTTACTCTTGTACGATAGCCCACGGAATCGATGGCACATAGACTGGGATGATATTTGACCCCAATAGCTCTTGCCTATACACGGCTTCTTCAGTGCTGTTGCCTCCAGACCAGCTTCTCAGTTGTGCATTTGTTGAGCCAAGATCAAACTCATAGGGCTCAAACTTTCGCTTCGACGGGTTGTAGACATATCTCATGCATTGGTATTCGAAATAGCGCAACCCATTCGAGGTAAGGTGCACAGGACACGTCTCTACAACAATGTTCAATCTGCAAACAGTCAGCTAAACAACGGATTGCGGCACTGCCCATCATGCTGTATACAAACCCCAGTTTTTTGGTAACACGCTGCTCTAGTTTTCTGACGGTGGAAATCCACTTGTTGTCATCTTCCAGGAACACAATTTCATCTTGCTGTCGTTCCACTTGAACAAATGGACATGTGTGCGGGTGTGATTCAATTCTAAAGTAATTTTGAATGCGGTTTCTGAACAGCATGGCTGTAGCAAACCAAGCAGCAGCGATATGCCACACGGCACAGAAGATTTTCGACGAAGCATCCGACGATAAGAATACATGCAAGACTCCACCATGCAATTTTCCATCTATAGACGGATTAGTTCATCTTTCTTGTCAGTTGCCGTATACAAACTTACAGTAATCACCAACAAGACAGCCGAGAAAAATCATAAACAGCAATGTCGTTAGGATAACCGATGCAAATCCCAACAAGCCATAGTAATCTCGCTTAAACCCTCGAAATCTCAACCTTTCAGAGTCTCTCAGTGATGCAGTTTCTGATGTGCTTTCGCTTTTCGCTCCTTTGGCGTCGTTTATCACAACCTCCTCCTCCGTCGTAGCAGTGATTTCAGTGGATGCTGGTTGCTTCTCCATGCTTTGAATATTGCCGTTCGCATCAAGGCCTGCGTGTGTTGCTATCTTTTCATTGATGGCTGCAGAATCCGAACTGAGAGAACTGGCTGTGGCATTTTTCGCTGTCGGTTGCTCCTTATTGAATTTCACTTCTCTTGCGTATTTGTATAGCCTCCAGCTGATCAAGATGAATGCCTCTAAAGCAGCAATCGTCCAAACTGTAATCCACATGGGCTCCCTAAATGTAAACTCTGCGGGTGGTGCAGCAGGACACTCTGCCCACACAAGATCTGATGTGGACCCGTTGGGAAACCCCCAGATGCCAATGGTGGACGGCGCATTGGGTATGTTGGCATTGGCAGCACAGAGGTTTCGAGTCTGCAACTCTTTTTGACGTGGATTGTAATGAGTAATATTGATCACTTGGGTAGCAGCACAAGGCACCAGGTTGGCAGGTGCTGATGATGGGTCGTTACACAAACAAACATTGTTGATCGATGCTGAATCGCAAGAGGTATGGCAGGTGCCATCTAGGCAGAACTCTTGCCCGCTGGGACATGTGGGTGCCAGTGCAGGTGGACAAAGGTCATGACTAGTAACACACAGCACTGGGCAGACTACATTGTATTGCGGAAACAGTGGACATTGGTGACCGTATCTATCATGGTCATTGGCTAATTGAAGTGTTGGTATATACTGTGTAGACATTAGCGTGCACAAAACCTTTACCTGTTTCAAAGATGGGTAATGCTTCTGTCCATATGAGCAATGTCAGTAAGGTAACGAGAATAGAAGCAACTCTCATAACTTCTTGTTTTGTTTTAAATTGTTTTCAGTAAGAGAAAAAATTCCTATCTGATTACAATGGCTTCAAATATAGTAGGGGGGAAAAGGTGCAAAAAAAAAAACCTTTTTTTTTGGTGTTTTGTATTAAAAAAAAAGTTATACACTTGCTGTCAAATTCTCTTTTTCCGCCACGGGCCACTTTTTCATCTACATTTTGAATATCAGGGCCACTAACCATGGAACAGATATCTGTCTGTCAGAATGTCAAAACGGATAGGAGTTTTCAACGGATGAATAGTTGATCCGGTATGATGTAAAGGCATTGAAACATTTCAAAAGCGTTTGTAACTACGTTACCGGCGATAGTAACGAGTGATATATGGCTAGCTGCGATCTGATCACTTCTAATCAAGATGCATATCGCTTGGCTTCAGCTTTTAAAGCAGCATCTGCTTTCTCGAAAAGATGCCCATTATTTTACAATCTCAATTTCAGTCAGGCAACATATATATATATATATATATATATATATATATATATACAGTATCAGACTCCAGATCAGCTTCCAAATCCAACCTTTTCTACTTGGATGATACAGTGATGGTGTATTGGATACACACTAATAATGAAATGCCTCACATACAATGGATAAAAGTACAAATTAGCATGTGGTTTTCAATTTTTTGGGAATCTTTTGGCCGGATCAACCACCAACTTTGGCTATTGATCCATTCGTCTGTCCATGGTAATGTGAATGAATGATACAGCCCAAATGTTCAAAGAAGGAAATTGACTCGGTTATTTCTTTTAGACTCAGGCTATCAATTTTGCAGTTTCTTTTCAGTTAGCCATCAAAGCATACATATGTCTGAAGAGCAGCAACCCGAAGAGCGTATCAAAAAGAGGAAGTTTGTAACAAGATACAGCCGTCCTATCGAGTTCGTTGCCTCAGAGTCATCACCCAAAAAGCGAAAAGCAACAGCCACAGTTGTGGATTCATCTGACAAAATCAATGGGGACAAAGTTGCTTCATTCTACCGCAGCATTGTCTCTTCGCCGTCAATTGCAGCAACTGCTTCATCATCCACAAAGAAAGAATCAAAAGAAAAAGAACTAGAACCAAAGGAAAAGCCAACTGAGGAGACCATGAAGTGTGAGAGTTGTGACATGACAATATCTAAATCTGATTACAAACGACATATACAAGGGACAGCGCATATGGTCAGCAATCAAGCAATGTATCCACTGACACCTGATATTCTCACTCTTAATGGGAGCAATGTAGGATTCAGAATGCTCCAATCCCAAGGCTGGCAGTACGAACAAGGTTTGGGGCCAGATTCTCAAGGAAGAAGACATCCCATAGCCACGGTGCTCAAGCAAGATCGATTAGGTATTGGCCATCAAGACACTGGCAAGAAAGTAGTAACTCATAGATACAAGGAGATTGAAAAAAGGGCTATTGAACGTCAACGCATGCTAGCCGAAAGCCAAAAGGATCCTGGGAAAGAGATAGCGAAGCAATCAAAAGCCGAATCAGAGAAACGGGTTGCCATCTTGCGGTACATGAAGGAATGATATGTTCCGCTCAGACGCTCTATGTATATGTATACGCATCTATACCCTGTAAATAACATATTGAAGCCAATGAGTAGACTGCGCAATCACTTTATTGTCTGGCTGTGTCACTGTATCACTATTGAGATAATATAGATCTGAGTCAGAGAGTTTCGCATGTGGGTACAAGTATAAACTATCTCAAATCATGTCATCCTTCTTGAATATGTAATAAACTTTGTCTTTTTTTTTTTTTTTTTTTTTTCTCATCGAACAGATAGAATTCTCATCAACAATTCATTAGATAGATTATAAATCTACTCACATAAGTAGGATCACTGGATTTCCAAGCAGTTATGTAATGTGTTGAATTGAGTCCCATATTACATTATCCACTCTGGTGGACCCGATCAGAAGTTGCACTAATCAACAACAAACGAGGAAGGAATTGTGTTTGGGGATTTTTGGGCAGTCTGACCTGCTTCATGTCTCATAGGAATGGACATGCGAAGAGTCCTGTAGTTACCACTTAAACTTTGTATCGTTGTGGAGAGCGTCCATCAATTGCAAATGCTAGATGGGATTACATATCTTCCGCCAATGATAGATTAAAATCTTAAATTTGTAGAAAGGTTCAAGATTTCTCATGAAGCATCTCAAAATCTTTCAGATCAAAACACGCCATTGTTTTTAAAAAGACCTCATTACTATCTCTACCTTTAATACTTTATGCTTATGGTTAAATCACTGTACAAAGTGGACATGTAAAAGACATATAAACATTTAGGCTAAATTGATTGCTGCTGCTGCCGCCACAACACGACAACATTTAGAAGCGCCGCTCCTGGCTTATCAAAATTGGCAATTCAGGGGGGAGAGTTTGAGTACATTTACTTCATACTTTGTGGTGAAGTAGATGTAATGGCCCTCGTGTATGTGTGATTCAAGATGTATGGGCAAAATGATGCACAGACAAAAAAGGCAATTTTGAGTAGAATAGTGATGAATGGTAATAAGCAATTTCTGTAGTACATGCATCATGAGTCTGTAATATATCCTTAAGTTGCTATAACCGAAAATCCGGAGATGGCTTAATGGCATAGGCCAAATTACTGTAGGCATGTAGAAATTTGATGAAAGTGAGGGGCCATAAGGCTTTGTAATAACACTGCATATTAAGCCAGCGTTTGTTGGGTCCAATCAATCATCACAAACGAGGAAATTACGTTATTCTGTACAAGATGTTTACATTGGAAGGTAATCTACAAACAGCATCTTAGGTTTGTTCTACACAAGATATACCAGATTTAAAGGTACTCAATGTTTACGTTGTACGGGTATGACATGAGTGATTCAAACAAGACTAGATCTTTTTTGTTTGTATAATAATTGCAAGATCAGATACCCGTCTTTTTCAGCTTTTACAATCATCATACCAAGAGCATCCTAGACGATGATGGGAATTTGAAAAAGCTTGTTCTTAAAAAGTCTAAAAATCCTACAAAAGGAATTTTCAATATTCTTTGGGTATCAGTCAAGATGGTGCTTCTGTGTCTTTAGTAATAATAGCCTTTCTCTTTTCCTCTCAGCCAGCTAGGGAATAAATAGATTTATTTACAAAAGTGATTGGACATTGATATGGTTGCTGAACTGTTTGGAAAAGGGGAGATGATGGTGGGAACAACCTTATTACACATGCAATTGAATCAACGAAGTTATCAACCGGTGGGTGATCTGTCGATAATGATTTCATCTGCGGGAGGTGTTAATTTGCCTGTACTAAATCTTCGGTGTGGTGGTGTAGTTAAAAGGCTATTGCTCATGCCTCGATTCTCTTGCTGTTTACGGGCTAATTTAGCGTAATCTAGCAACATAATCAATCAATTTTTCCACTCACAAAGCTTTGTTAAGCATCAACTTACGAAGGCCACAAGCATTGCAAAGGGTACGTGCTCCGTCAGGACCCCTTCTCCACTCTGGTGTTTCGGATATGTTACAAGAATGGCATCTACCTCGAAACTGAGGACGCTTCTATATTTAATCATAAATATACAACAACAAACACTTCGGATAGCACAAAACTTACCCCTCTTTTACGCTGTCTGGCATGATTGTTGACGTTGGTTACAGATTCAGCAGATGATGAGCGCCATGCATCAGATTCTGCTTCATTATGGTGTTGGAGACGCTGATGCTCTGCGGCTGCGGCTGCTTGTTTCTGTTGTTGAAGCAAGCGGCATTGGTATTGCTCTGATGCAATCTGATGCTTACGAAGTCTCAATAAGGCATTTAATACCTCATTTGCTCTTCCAATCATGTCATCCAATAATGGTCTAGTTGATGAGTACTCATGATGATGATGATTGATAAATTGATCTTTGTGTTGAATCATGATGTCGCTCAATGTGTTGCATTGTAAAACTACTTGATCAATGTCATGGTCTACTTTATTCGATGTAGTGTTATGATACGAATGAAGCGATGAAGAGGGGCTGGATGATAAGTCCCTCTTTTGCTGTTGCTGTTGAAGATGGTATGCCTTTGATGTATATTGGAAGTATGAAGATTCAAGGGGTTTGTTATGATGTTGTTGCATGTTGGGTGAGTGCTGTTGATGTTGATGTTGCTGCTGTTCTGTCATCATATTTGTGCTTGAAAACAACAAAGGTGATTTATATAAACTGTCTCTTGTCAATTCATTTCTACTGTTATAGGGGGGTGATTTCCATTGCTCCGGCTGAGGTGGCGTGGGTAAAGATGATGTAGATGATGTCTCTTTAGGCGATATTGACGAAGCTGAATATGGCGGCGGGTTCCATGAGCGCGTTGGTAAAAAAGTATCCATTGATGAAATGGGAGGCAGCTTTAATCCGCTGTAGGTATCGTTTCTAAAAAAAATGGTTTGGTGTTAATGACATACTTGTCGCCATGGTGATACAAGTTCTCCTGCTATCAATCAATCCGGTTGACATGGCAACCAAATAAAATTGAGGGGCCGACTTCTGGCTCAATGTTACCTTGATGAGGATGAAGATGATGTTGGATATTTGTGCATATAGCTGTTCCTGAATACGATTCAAATCTTTAAGAAACTTGTCATTTCACAATAAATGGTGTTATTTACTTGTTGAATGCCATTTTTTTCCTGATTGATGGTGCTCTAGACGATTAAAGAAGAAGAGAAAAGAAAAAAAAAAAAAAGAAGGAAAGAAAGAGATAAAGAGAGAAAACGAACAGGATAGCCCTTTTTATTTCAAATCAACAATGCCTACAATAAATTGCAAATCTGGGGTGTATCTAATGCTTATACACACATCAACACAATCTCGATTTATATACCATCAGTGTAGCACAAGAAAAAAGTCTCTATAGTTTCCATTTTTGATCAAATCATGAAACTTTTTGTAATTTTTTCTCATATATAACGTTAATTTGTATGTGTGTCACATGGGCTTCAATTTGATCCAAAAGGTGTAACTCGATATACCCACGTTTGTGATTCGATATTACATTGTATGTCAATGACAGCAATCTTTTATCTCTACTCTTTAAGGTTTTATACTCGATACGCGCGCCACGTGGAATGACCCAGCGTTCTCCACCACAATCAACACCTGCTGATGCCAGCACGCATTGATTGGTTCAGCATGAATTTTATTTATTTCTTATGTTGATGTGGTAGTAACATTTGTGCTATTGGTAGCAGTAGATGAAGTAGATGCTGAAGGATTTACTTTGGGTGTAATGGCCTCTAGCAGGATGTCTCGTAATTTGTGATATTCTCTCTTTCGTCTCACATAGTACACTTGCCGACATCCCAAGGGATGAGGTCGGTTCTGTTCAATAGCCATCCTAATCGTCTCGGTCTCCTCATCCGAATCAATGGCTGCATTATTGGCAAGATCATCATCGATTGCTTGTTGCTGTTGCTGTTGCTTGTGTACATTCGCTTTGCCAGACAATGATTTTTGTTGTTGCGCATGTTGGTTTACTTGGCTCGACGTACCTCCAGCAGGCACTGTATTCTGTGGTGAGATGCCAGCAAACAGACATACATATCACAAGCTTACCTTGTGGTCTCCCAATACCTTTTTTCTGATAGGCTGCCAGTAATTCGTTAAATGGTTGTGTTCTTCCTTCGACAGCTCTTTTCGCTCCCATCGCATGAATTTTACATGTGAGTGATCTTGTGCATGGATTCATCAGTGGTGCTATCAGAACGCCACACTGACGATCCAGATCCAATGGTGCTGCAATTGCCATCCATTTGGATAAATTAATTATCTACTCCTGAATCCCTGCTATATAAACCAACCTTTCTTTTTGGGTATCGCTTTCGGCTTGGCTTTCTTCTCTCGTTTGATCTTTTTCTTTTCTTTCTCCTCTGTATCATCAGTATCTTCCAATTGTGGGGTATCTAGTAATCGATTGATAATGGATTTAGGTACATCCGCGCCTTGATTTCCTTTTTGTCTCCTTTCCCCATTGCACAGGTACAAACAAGCACACACTCACGCACAACAAATACACGTTTAGTATTGTCATTCGTAAGTGCGCACACAAACACACGCACACACACACAAACCACAATTTACCTTTGCTTGCTATCGCTGCTGTTGCTGTATTTGTGTTTGTTGCATGTTGCTCATCGTCAAATCGTTTTATCGCATTTCTCTTTCGCTTTTTGTTCGGTTTCGTTTGTGGTTTGTTTGTTCCCATATCATCGCTGTCATCATCATCGTCTGAAAATATCTTCTTACTGTGTATTGCGGCTGACATGACTACAAGAAAAGCGGATAAGTTGGTTCTTGGATATTTGGTAGAGATACGAAACGGGAAAAAAAAGATACACACAAAATTCATTTTCTCATGCAAAATCAGATTGAAATTTAATGAGGTCTGCATATAGGGTATGGAAAGCCCCTGGCAATCATGATTGGCTCACCAAAGCCACACTGGCCCTTGGATTCACTACATTCGCATAAATTTCATTCAAATGCTTGCTCAAAATTTGTTAAAATTGAATAAGCTATAAATAACCTGTCATTTGATAACGGTATATTAAATATTTCTATGTTTTGATTAGAGTAATTAGAGGAAATCAATGTCTTAAAGTTTCCTAAAATGCAAATGTTCCCAGATGTCAGATCAAAGATCATTGGCGCTCACTCCATCAGAGTTTGTTTCAGTGTATATTTGTGAAGAGTTAAAAATACAGTCTGTGTACTCACAGCGAAGCAACTTTCTTTTATGATTTTGAGCATCAGTATGAAAACAGAAATTCAAAGCAATACTATTCAGCAATACGAGATATAAAGCATTGCCTACAGTAAAAGGAGATTAACTAGATCAACCAAATCCTTATTCCCCAAGAGATTTGACATATGAGAGGAACAAAGTTTCCACTTGCTTCTGATAACTACCAAGCCTTTTGAAAATATACTGAAATTTCAGTCTTCAGCTTTTGTTTCTTAAAGAAAGCCTTCTGGAAACGATCTATAACTGCGAATCTAACTTTTCTACGGTACGCCACTTTGTTTCAATGGAAGCAATCCGTAAACAGGCATACAGTATGCTAAAATTGTCTCTTACTGCTCAAATGTATGCAAAACATTGCGAAAATTGGACACCTTTAAGCCGTGTTTCCGCGTATTAGAGGCCGTTTTAAACCGTCAGAATAGCACCAAACTATTGCTCTTGTCTAGCAGGAACTGTCTGATACCTCTGCTCAACTTTTTTGGGATCATCGAAAATCGACCGAATATCGACCAAAAAGCATGGGTGATACCTCATGATTTTCATTGAAAATCAAACGATCGCGTTTTTGACACCAAAAATGAAGACTTTTACTAAGGCATATATTAGATCAAAACGTTTCTCTCGATCCAAAGCAGCCCCTGAAACTTTGTTTGTGAAACTTTCATATGTGAAATCTCGACATTTTCGCTAAAAACCTCATTTCGTATTTTCAAAAATTCTTCAATAGGCTTGTTCATAACATCCGGTTTGTTTGGTACTGTTGCATGCGTCTTGAAAAGCGCTGCAAGAGTGTATTAGGAAATATTTTTTTTTTTTTTTTTTGTAGGGGAGTCGAGCTCCAGGTTTTATTTAAAGTCCTTTAAATGTCATGCTGAGGGATAGAAAAGACTGTTGGTGGACCCAATGTCTGCAAAGAAGGGGAATAAGATATTTTTTGAACTAAGTTGGGAAAGAAATCTACTACTAATAAGGTGCGACTCCTAGAGCCAGTACAGTCTTGCGGAAAATCGTCAAAATATAGATCATGGATAAGAGCACAAAACACCAAACGAGGACATCAGTACTACGTCAAAAAAAATCAAACAACTTGCGTTCACCAGGATTTGAACCGGGATCCTCCCGTTGGCATACGGGAGTTCTACCACTTCGCCCTACCACCAGGGACATGTATTAGGAAATATGAGGCGATCATCACACTTACTATAGTCGAATCTTGCAAAATAAATAAATCAAGTCGATTTTGAGCAAAGTGTAGCCAATCTAGGACATTTACAAAAGCGGAGTTATAATCTGGGTTGGATGCTGGTCAGTATGCCTTTCTCATGCAGACAAATGACGTTTGTGAAGTTAATGAGAAAGGGATTGTTGATGAAGCAGTACTGTAGCTCTGCCCAATCACTGTTCTAGCTCTATATTTGTGTCTTCATGGTCAACAGACAGTTCAATTGGTACAAATTGCGATTTCAAATGTGAACCTTAACGCGAAATGCAAATTTTCTACCCACTTCAAGGCTCCATACTTTGAGTGTGAGCAGTTGTGACTCATACTAATACGTTTGGAGATCAAAAACGCTACGTAAGCTTAGTTTTATCAGTATAGCCACCTTATAGCTACTGAACTTTGAAGAAACAGGTTCAAAACCAACAGATTTAAAGGATTTGATAGGAAAAGCCTCCTGAAATCTTACTTGCGATCGATAATTTTAATCATGTCAGTCAAATAAGAATTATTTTTATCGTTGCAGGCCCTAATCTGATATGCTTTTACAAATGATTCAGGGCATTGATTGCACCGTAGATCAGACATGCAGTCCTTGATTGCCGATCAGAGAAGCTCTTGGCGAAAGAATCCCTACCGATCCTCATGGATTAGCTATTCTGAAATATCATCTGCTTTGTGTTGCTTCAAAAGCGCAGGGAAAAAGATATATGATTTAAGCTTCCTTGATATTCTAGATAGATCTACAACAAAACCTTAGGAATCTCCCAATACCTGAATACAATCATCGCCGAGAGTATGTGCGTACCTGTAATGGAGGCAGCTGTCAAAATATCAAAACAGTCTCTTGACAGTCCCTTTACATGAAAGGAATAAAAAAGCCAGAAACAAAAAAAAAACTTCTTGTTAAGCTCTTACAAAATAATAATGCCACCTAAAAAGAGTATCCAGAAAGTGAGCAACAAAATTGCCTCCAAGGGACCCAAGAAGTCAGCTGGTAACAAGAACAACAGCAAAGACAACACTCCAAAGCCCAAGAAGACCAAAGAGCAAAAGGTAAATCCAAACATCTAGTATATAATGTTACCATGACCAACACTTCACATCAGGAAAAGGACAGAATTCCTGACTTTGTACCAGTTCCAGAGAACGACAATGAAGATGATATTGCTATCTCTGATGACGATCTTGAATTTTTCGCTGATAACAAGTCATTTACTTCCTTTCTGACTGGATTGGATCAGAATGAGCTTTCTAGGTACTTACTGCATGATACAGCACCGATACAACGTACTAAATCACCCTGTAGAAACACTGCCAAAAAGGACAAAAAGAGCAAGGTCAAGAAAGCAGCTCCAAAAAAGGAAGAAAAGGACGAGGATAACGAGGGCCTTGCATCATCTTCAGAAGAAGAGTTCAATTCAGACGATGATTTGGATAATTTCGAAGAGATGAGCGACGATGAGTTAGCGTTATTGGAGGAAGCCAATGAATCAGAGGACGATGTTGATTTGGATGATGAGGAGGAAATGGAGCAACTCTTGGCTCAACAGCAACAGCAGCAATCCCAGCAGAGCAAGAAGAAAGCGGCCAAGATGGACAATGAATCCGATGAAGAGATGGATTACGAAATGAAGCCTAGAAAGGTGGCCAGTGAGTGGACTCGCAAAGACTATCATACGAAGCTTCCCATCAAGTTGGCCTCTGGCAAAATTCATCAATTGGACGAGAATCAAGACTCAGAGGAAGAAGAGGAAGAGGTGCCCGCAGCACCTCCTGCCCCAGCTGTTGAAGAGAAGCAAGAGGAAGAAGAAGAAGTGGAAGAGCAACCCAAACTGTCAAAGAGAGAGTATCTCATCAAGAAAAAGGAAGAATTAGCGCTGATAGCTAGCAATCTCCAAGGAGATCCTGAGGAATATGTGTCCCAATTGAAGACCCTTCGTACAATCTATCGAGATGACAATGTCACTGTCAAAAAATTGGCATTGCTCACACAACTGGCTGTATACAAGGATATCATTCCTGGTTATCGTATTCGTCCTTTAACAGCACTAGAGGAAGAGGCTCAAGTTTCCAGAGAAGTAAAAAAGATGAGAGAGTACGAAAAAGCATTGCTTAGCAACTACGAAATGTACCTCAAGGATTTGAATGTCTTATTGACTAGTAAGTGCTTCACGTAACTCCAGCATGCCGATGACTGATATTTTCATCACTTGTAGAAAAAAAGACTGAGGAAGATGCCTCCTTGGCGTTTGTGGCTACTCGCTGTTTATGTGAGCTGTTGATTGCAAAGACTCATTTCAATTTTCGTTTGGAGATCATGGTCGCTGTAGTCACACGCATGAGCACTATCAAATGGAATGAAGCAGCTCAATTGTGTAGCGAGGCGTTGGTCACCGTGTTTGAAAACGACGAATCAGGTAGATCTTCGCTGGACGCAGTGAAAATGATCATTCGTATGGTCAAATCCAAGGGCTTTGCTATCAGTGAAAATGCCATCAATGTCTTTTTACATTTGCGTCTCAAAGATGAAATGGCCCACAACTATGCCAAGGACAATAACGATGATCAAGTTGGTAAAAAGAGAAAGAACAACAGCAAGCCATTTTTGACAAAGAAGGCTCGCAAGACATTGAAAGAGACCAGAGAGATTGAAAGGGAGTTCCAGGAGGCAGAGGCTGTAGTCAGCAAAGAAGAAAAAGAGAAAAATGTGAGTTGATCCACCAGATCTTCCTAGGCGTACTTACTAATCTTGCATAACAGCACACCGAAACCCTCAAATTGATCTTCACATTCTATTTTAGAATTCTGAAAAAGCAAACCTCTTCTCCTCTATTACCAGCAGTTTTGGAAGGTCTTTCACGATTTGCTCATTTGATTAGTGTGGATTTCTTTGACGATCTCTTGAACGCACTCAAGGATGTGATGCACTCCTTTGAGGACTCCAATGACATTTCTCGCACAAGCAGTGGCACTCGCAAGAGATTGCTCTGTATTATTACTGCATTCCAGCTGCTGTCGGGCCAAGGCGAGGCTTTCAACTACGATCTCAAGGATTTCTATACCGAGATTTACAACATTTTATTCAAAGCAAGCTATCATACCAAAATTGAGGATAAGCCTGAATCACAAAAGGAGACCGAGAGCGAAATGTTGATTAAGGGGCTTGAATTGATGTTCTTGAAGAAACGCCAGATTCCCGTTAACCGATTAGCTGCATTTACAAAGAGATTCACTTTGGTTGCACTAAACATGCCTAATAAGACAGTTTTACAATGTCTTGCTTTGGTAGATAGACTTGTACAGGTTAGTTCGAAAAAAATGGGATGGGGAGAGGTCTGGGGCCCACTTATTTTGGCTTGATATTGACCGTGTATAATCGCCTTGTAGAAAGACCACCGTTTAGATGCGCTTTTGCAATCAGAAGATAGAGCATCAAGTGGTATCTATGCTCCCTTATTAGAAGATCCCGAGCTCTGTAATCCCTTTGGTACAAGTCTATACGAACTTTTCCTGTATCAGGTTAGTTGTTGTTACTATTGCTGTAATTTAGGATGCTCATCTAATCACTTTCAATTAGAACCATTACGACCCTAATGTACGCACCATTGCAAAAGCACTACAAAAATCAGCACAGTAGATATAGATAGATAAATAAACATAATTGGGCATTGTCAAATATGCCTTTGATAGTAGAAACGCCTGCATCGGATACATGGGGAGGCGGAGATCCACGGATGATTGAAAAGGGCATGTGAAATGTTACATTTACAGCTCACTTGTATTACAACTATTTTTCGTCCATTTTACCAGCGAAATATATGACATGACATACCTTTAAATACAACGGCAGTGTTACATTGAGCAATTATTGTTTAGATAAGGGAAAAAATGCTAGTTGCATGATGTGATGAAGGCGTTTCTTCTCCATCTCCAGTTGCAAATGTTCATCAACAACCTCTGACTTGAGCATGTATAACACTGAAAAAGTCCAATTGGAGCCTATATGAGAAATCGGGTAATAATTGAAATTAACTCATGCTCACCGGAAAGTGTATCACAATTCAACATAAAAGCATCAATTACAAGTAACGTACCACCACAACCACAGGTCTAGTGTACTCTCATTTTTTTCCGTAAAATGATTGCCGAAGTAGAATGAAACAATGAGAGAGCAGTAGAGAGAACCGGGCTATCCCCATGCGCATATGTAATCTAGTGATTATATACTTCTATATCATCTTGTAAGCTTATACTCCTATTCTTGATCTGAACAGTGAGTACTGTACATTGGCCCTCACTCTTTTTACGCAATTCTCACGATTCAATCCTCTCTTCTGCATTGATTTCATAAGCAACAGCTATATCATTCCAAGACAATACAAGAGTCTCAGTTGTCATGGTATACAAAATGACTTGTGTACAACCAATGTCTAATCTCCATATGGCATTAGTTGTAGTATATAGTAGTGTTCACTCTGTAAACTGTATCATTATTACGTAGGACACGCAGTTGGGAGCAGCCATTCAAGGAAACAGAAGAGGCGTATCATTTGCTTTATCTTAGTAAATCCCTTGTCCAAAAGCCTCTTAAATAAAGAGATCTTCTCATACGTTTATTTTGCATGAAAATAGACATGTAAACAACAACATGTGAATAGTAACAAATCGATTATCTTCCAAATCAAAAAGAAAAAAGCCATCATATACTGTATACAATTCGGAAGACGGGAAGAATGCAAGTTGAACAGCTTGCTGTTGCTGATTTCCCCAGCCTTATTCTGCCATGTGCACAGTATGTGTCCATTTGAGCAAGAGTCCCCACGTTTATTGTGTACAATTAATATAAAGTTTATTTCTTCCAAAAGTGGCAATTCTTTTATGGAGCGGGGGGTGACAGATGAGAGAAAACCTCTCTCGTCTGCTCACTTGCAAGTAAAATCAACATGTAGTAGTTTTTATTTCTATAGCAACAATCATGGAAAATTTTAAGGACTTCTATATGGGTTGCCATGGAAATCGGCGGGGTATATACACATATTTTTTGCGATTTAGGTCTCTCACTTTCTTGGAGAAACGGGGCAATTCTATCAATATAGTCAGTACGATGATCAATGAGCATGCGAATCGAGCAACCTACCCGAGTTTGATGTACCCGAGAGCCACAAATCAGACAGCTCATAGCTGCATTGACTAGTTCTGAACACGGATGTGGATGTGATTGATTGACGGGATTATTGATTGATAAGTAGCTGATCATTTTTTTTTTTTTTTTTGCTGAAATAATGAATAAATGGGAAAGAGGGTGGAAGTAAAGAAGGTTTCAATTACACACTGTTTATATAAGAGCAGATTGTGTCAGTTGCCCTGAAGTCTTTGTGTTACAAAAAAATGTATCATAAAACAACGTTTTCTGCAATTCACATGCGAAAGACGTAAATTTTAACAAAGTGAGAACAGATTTCAAGATAACGAAAATAATGATGGTGATGGTAACTTTTTCTTTTGTCTTTTCTTTTTTTTTTTAAAAAAAAAATATAAATCTACATGTTACATTGTCTAAAATTATAATAATAAAACTTTTCATAAAAAATTATATAGCTATGGTAACAGAAAAAAAAAACGAAAGAAAAAAAAAAAAAGAGGTGATTTCTTGCTTTGCCTCTGTATCTTTTGAGTAGTGAGGATTATTTGTAATGCTGTTTGATTTATCCGAAATGGAAGCTGTAGCCACCTTGTTGCTGTTGACGTCTTCCACCTCCACCGAATCCTCCACCTGGGAATCCTCCACCAAATCCACCACCACCTTGTTGAGCAAACATTTGGGCAAAGATCTATATAATAAAACAATTAGAGACTGTTCTCATTTTGCTGATGCTAAACAAACAAACGATAATCACCTCATTTACATCCATACCTCCACCAGGGAAGCCTCCTCCGCCCATGCCCATACCACCATCTAAATCAGCACCTGAGTCAAATCTGGCCTTCTTTTCAGGATCACTCAAAATGGCGTAAGCTTCTCCCACTTCCTTGAATCGAGCCTCTGCCTTGTCGTCACCAGCATTCTTATCAGGGTGGTATTGAAGTGCCAGTTTACGGTAAGCCTTTTTGATTTCTGTTTCACTTGCAGTCTTTGATAAGCCCAAAATCTTGTAGTAATCTTTGCGAAGTGATTTCTTCAACTCGAGTTCTGCCTTGCGCAATAAATTATGGTATTCTACATTGGATCTTAATATGCTGTCCCAAAGAGCGTTTGTGAAAACTTACCTCTGTTGGATGCATCGACTTCTGTTAACTTTTTGTAGTCTCTGACAGCTTCTTCGTATTGCTCAGTTTCCATATAACAACCAGCACGTCTACTGTAAGCCTTGTAAAACTCTTCATCTAATTCAATAGCTTTGTCACAATCCAAGAGAGCTTCCTCGAATTTCTTTTGCTTCTGTAAAACTGCAGCACGATTAGAGTAGAGGCGAGAATTCATATGATCGTTGGTGGGATCGATATCCAAGGCAGCAGTGTATGCATCGTATGCTTCTTCTAATTGATTGGCTTTGAAGGCATTGTTACCCTCTTCCTTTTGCTTCTCAATGGCACGGGCCATTTTCAGTAGAGAACGAGCTTTGATGAAGTCAGGATCGCAACGAAGTGCTTCTTGACAATGTGCAACTGTCTTTTGGTTCTCTCCTTGACTGTAAAATACGCGAGCTCTGAGGAACAATGCATCTGGATTTTGACTGTTCAAGCGAACAAGAGAGCTACCACCAGCAAACATGTTAGGTTATCTGCATCAAAGGCTTCAACTATAAGCACAGAAAACTTACTTGACAATACGGCTCGCTTCTGAATAGTTCTTTTCTCCCAAAGCACATTCAGCCTGCATCACTCGCCATTTGACAGGAATCACATCTGAATCGACAAAAGAGATAGCACGGTCAAGACTGTTGCGAGCAAGACCCCATTGGTTATTTGCCATGAATGTGGTTACTTGAGCCATATAATTGAGTACATGTTGCAGATTGTTGTAATCCCGTTGAGCGCTGTTGGCATCAATTTGCATGGCACGGTTGTACTGACGGCCAGCTTCCTCCAAGTTGCCCATATTCAAGTGGCATTTACCGCCACGCAGGAATGCCTTGACATTCTGAGGATCCAACTCTGTGGCAGTGCGACAATCATTAGCAGCATCCTTGTACTTTTTCTGCATCATCAAAGCAGCAGCACGGTTGTTGTAGTAGGTGGATGTTTGAGGAGATGCCTCTGTATATAGGGTTTAGACGCTGATTCATACGATAGACAAGTTCATTTACCAATGGCTTGAGAGTACAACTTGACAGCTTCCTCGTAATGGCCTTGCTTGTATTGCTCGTTGGCCTGGTTCTTAATCTCCTCAGGGGACCTGAATAGCAGAATTCATGTTAGCATCAACTGGCTGCATCTCATTTTTGTGGGATCAATAGGTACAATTGAGGGGTATTGTCGATATCCATAGGTGTTGAATCTTCTGACATGGTGATGCTGTACTGATTTCTTGAAGAGAATGAGAAGAAGAAGGAGCTGATCAACGCTAGATGATGATAAATTTTTTGTAATGATTGATTTTCATTGAAAAAAAAAGTCACCTACAGCTAAGTGATGATCCATCGAACTTGCTAGAACCAGACAAGATGTGTTGCAAGTTGTAAGCCTATTTGGCGAGATCCATCAATCAGCAGCGGAGCTAGTCGAAGGACTGGATTTGTGATTTGAGGCTGGGCAGTAATGATTTCCATCACAAAGCAGCTTCTGTGTTGGGTTTCTGCCTTTCACATCAAAAATCACCATGGCAGATTACAACGGTGGCAACAGCTATTACTCTGGAAACGAATCAAGTCCAAATATGAATGAGGAGTTTATTAGCAATAAACGACAAAGGTTGGACACGCAGCAGCAGCCAGACGCCAACGCTACTTCGGATTTCTTGAATTTTGACTACAATGCAATCGTTGATGCAACGGCAAATAACACAGCAATACCCGAGGATTTCTTCATGTTTGTCACTGACAGCAATCAAGATGCGAATCAAGCCATCAGCACTCGAAGCTCTATCCCATCTTCTACCAGCAGCATCGCATCACCACAGCAGCAGCAAGCTATCCAGCAGCAACCTCAACTGACGCAGCAGTTGCCAATCCAACAGCCTCCTCTTCAGCAGCAACCGCTTCAACAGCAGACACCACCTGGCAACGATCCTCCTAATCATTCTGTACATACCATTGTTGTAGGAGGAAGGCCGTTCCGTCTTAGCTGGGAATCACTCAAAAGTGATGGCCCTAGCAACTTTTTCGTCGAGTATTTTAGAAAGAGGAGGACAGCCAAAGCCATGCACATTGATCGCGATCCAGATACATTTGAGCTCATTGTGCGCCATTTACGGGGCTATTATATTCGGTCTCAAGACGATATACAACACCAATCTCTACTATGCGATGCTACTTACTATGGATTAAATCGTCTGAAAAAGACACTGCAGGAACATTTGTATGTCAATGTTGGTGGACGAGTTTTTCGATTACCATGGAATTTATTTCAAAAAGGTAGTATCAAATTTTCACACACAAACTAAGAAGACAACCTCACAAACAAATAGACGGCACCCATAATTTTTTTACGGGACCTCTGATGCATTCACTGCTATCGCCTCATACAGAAGACGGGAATTCACCACCAATTTACATTGACAGAGATCCTGACATTTTTGCAGACATTGTAAATCATCTCCGAGGTTACACCATTCATATCAGAGACGAAGTGCATAGGAAAAACTTGTTAAGGGATGCACAATATTACGTATTTAGACAATTAAGTGATAAGCTACTCACGGCACAACAGACAGTGGCAGGGTTTGGTGATGGTAGTAACCCGGAAGTTTTGCTGCTCTTACAGGATATGCGAGTTGTCAACATGCTGCCATCGCAGGCAATGAAACAGGACAAATCGTACACCATACAAGACATGTCATCTGCCCGAGATTGGAGTCTGACTCAGTTACAGTACAAGCGCATTGCGGAAGGACCCCCTCATGCACTATTGGTGCAGGTGTCTGATTTATCTATGCAAATTCACAAGACTGCCGCCAATACAACCAGATTGCTGTTCGAGATGAATGAATCAGATTTGAAAAAGATGAGAAACATGGCACATGTTGCCAAGGCAACGCAGGGCGTACGAATGGAAATCTTTCTGGATGAATATTGCGCAATTAATATTGACGATAATCAAGTACAATCATTACAAGATTGCATAGACCAGGATTTAATAGAGACCAACTGGGAGCCATGCCAAAAAGCAGATCACCAGGATTGTCAAATGTCAAGGCTCATTCTTCAGCGGGCTATTTGCGGTGTGCATGTCATTGACTCTATGATAACTCTATGTGCATTAAGATTTGAATGTATTAGCTCAAAATATAGACTCAACCTCAAGAGACAATTCTTGTCTAATTAAGGTTATTCCAATCTTATCTCTACTTGCTCCTGCTGTTGATTGGATAGTGATAAAAGAAGTTTTTTACTTAATAGAGACGTATTTTCTCACACACACACACATACACACACATTTGAATGCTAAATAGAAAATGCCATATAAAAAGAAGCTGTTTTCATTTGTAATTTTCATTTTTCTTTTTTACTTTTTAAAACGTTTACAAGACCAAGATGCCTTTCCGTTGCAAATGTGGTAGAACCTTCGAAAAAACTGATTCCTTTGCATCGCATACTTCTGCATGTGCTCCATTCCATCATCGCCGTATGTCCGATACAACTCAATTATCAACCTCAAATCAACAGCAAAATCAAACATTGCCTTTCATTAACACAGCTTCATTCTCAAGAGGCTTCTTGGGAGGTTCTACTTCACCACGAGCTACGTCTCCTTCTGACTCTATCACTACTACGGATAGCACAGGTGCCTCGTCTCAAATAAATGATCTATCCAGCTCCGTGCCAAGTAGCTTCTTTATGCCAACTGCGCTCTCCCTTCAAAATGCGTTTGAAGGTGCCAGAAGAAGATCCATGTCCTACGGCTCGTCCCTCAAATAAGAAAACCTCTATCACAGACTATAGCAAATCAACAAAGAAAATACCCTCATGCCTTGCTCCCCCATCTTGCTCGTCGTAAATTATGTAAATTTTCGTTATATCAACACTTTTTTCTCTTCTTTTGTAAGTAACAAACATCACAATTTCAATTTAGTACCTCTCTTTCACATAAACATCTATACATATATCTATTCCTTTCTTCAATAAAAAAAAATGTCAATTCAATAAAAAAAAAAGGGAATTTCATGCAATATGCTTGAAGATCATTGGAATTGGGCGCTTTTTCTTTATTTACAGCTTGAAATTGAGGGGTGATATGACGTATTTGGAATATGGGAGTTACAGACTATATGTTGAACAAACCTTTCAGCTGATTCGTGCTTAAGCAAAGCAGCAAACAATCGATTAACAGCTTATAAGGTTAGGTTTTTGTACATTTACACATACTATGCATGCTTCTGTTTGTTTGTGTATGTGGACAAAAGTGTCACGCTATCATCGACTTGATATTTGCATGAATCTAATGTACAAAATTGGCTTGTGAATTTTTAATGGACACACACTCCCACTGACACACAACATCATGATTTATGATGAAATGTCGACCTCCTCTGTGAGTAGACATCTATCCTCGTCTGCTTTTTTCTTGATCAAAGACTTGTCAAATGGCTAACAATCTTTTATGATAATTGGTAGTACCAGGAAATTAATTAATTAGTTGTTAGTGATCAAGATGGTTTGGCACCAATCGTTCCGCTAAAAGAATAGTGAAAAGTCAATTTTTCAGCCTCAAAGACAAGAATCATCTTGTTTGCCAACAAAACTAACGGTAGAGATAATACAAACAAATCTTCATACTAACTTCTAAATTGGCGTTCATTTTGAAAGCAAACCGTTAGTTTCCATATCAAATAGATACATTTACAACTTGATTATTTAACTCAACACATCAATTGCGCTAAAACTGAATCAAATAGAGCTTAACCTAGTTGATTGCATAAAATCAAAGTTGCTCTGAACGGATATCAAATCTATATGGCCTCTGTCAAATTAAGCGTTGCTCCTCGGTTTTCCTTTCGTGCTTATTACTGGTTACTTATCTTATCTTACCGTGTAGGACAAGAATAATTTGGTTGTTCCTAGTGCACTTTGTAAGTACCACTGACAATGTGATAACGATAATCATAGAGTTCAGCCTGGCATTCATACAATCCGTAATCCTACTAATATACAGTAGAATTGTGCTTTTCAGCTTTCAATTATCACCCAAGTACCCTCCATATACGCGTAGATACTTCATATATAGGCAAGCAGCATACTGTTATTGCCCCCTTTCTAGTCGACAGTGTACCTAATACAACAAAATCCGAGGGCATTTGAGCTGCGTTTTCTCGAGTTCAAGGCCGTTTTAGATGGTCAGAATAGCACCAAACAATTGCTCTCAACTAGGAGTTACTTCCTGACATCTTTGCTCAACTTTTTAGGGACCAAAAAAAAATGGCCAAAAATCGACCAAAAAGCATGAGGTACCCCTCATGCTTTTCACTGAAAATCAAACGATTGCGTTTTTGACACCAAAAACGAAGACTTTTACTATGGTATACGAGCCTTTCAGCACTTCGGGTGGTTTCCTGACCTACGCTTCGCTTCGGTGGAAACCAACCTACGTTCAAACGGCTCGCGCTGCCGCGGGCCTTTGGCTAATATCCCAAAATTAATATAGCTAAAATGTTAGAAGAGGAACCCTGATTGTTGATTGATATATAATCACTAATCATATGAGTGTTTATGCTTCGGATGGTTCTCACCGAAGCGTAGCGAAGGTAGAGAACCAACCTGCGCAGCGGCAGCTCGTGCTACTGATTGCTCTTGCGTATTTTATCAAAATACTGCTACTTTCATTTTGACCCTCCACTTACACATAGTAACCCTTCATATTATCTGTGGATCTGATTCTTATGTGATGTTCTACATCCATATACACGTAGCTACTTCATATACGGGCAAGCAGCATACTGGTATTCCCACTTTTTAGTCCTTAGTGTCCCTAATACAGCAAAGTATGAGTGCATTTGAGCTGAATTTTCTTGCGTTCAAGGCCGTTTTAGATCGTCAGAATAGCCCCAAATGGTTGCTTTCATCTGGCAGTTCCTTTCTGACACTTTTGCTCGACTTTTTGGGGACCAAAAAAACATGGTCAAAAATCGACCAAAAAGCATGAGGTATCCCTCATGGTTTTCATCGAAAATCAAACGATCGCATTTTTCATCTTGAAAATGAAGACTTTTACTATAGTATATCTTGAATCAAAATGTTTCTATCAATCCAAAGCAACCTCTGAAATTATCTTTGTGGGACTTTGATATGTAAAATTTCGACATTTTGGCCATAAATCTCTTTTCATATTTTTACAAATCATTCAATAAGTGATTTCAAAACATCTATTTTACTTAGTACCATTGGAAGCGCCTTGAAAAGTACTCCAGGAAAGCTTAAGGAAGCATGGGGTGATTATCATACTTCACTTAGTCGAATCTGCAAAAATAGCTCGATCGAGTCCAGGATCATCAAAATTTGTCCAATCTGGAACAGACTATGATTCTGGGTTTGAATTAATTTTGGCTGGTAGGGCCAGCTGGAAAACTCATGCCCTTTTCATAAGGCAATACAGTAGTAAATGCCCTCGAAGCGTATAGAAAGTAGGTGGAAGGTCATAGCACTATCGTTTATAATGATATTTTATTGCCTTCTATATCGTTCATAATGATATTTTATTGCATTCTATATTTAATAACGTTAGTCTGGACATTGACAATGCATGGGTTGCATAAAATGTCTGCAGTAAGTAATGAAATCTCTGAGGCTCTGAGACGTCGCTCAAATAAAACATTGACAGCACTGAGCAGAGGAAAGAGGGTAGAAATTACAGTGGTTTTTGTTGATTGATTGTAAAATCATTATTCTCATATGAGCCAGGTCTGATAGATGCCTTGAAACTCAGGTTCCATATTAGGATTGTAAAGTGCAAAAGTACTGAACATTTATTATGTTATGATATGAGCCAGGTCTGATAGATGCCTTGAAACTCAGGTTCCATATTAGGATTGTAAAGTGCAAAAGTACTGAACATTTATTATGTTATGATATGAGCCAGGTCTGATAGATGCCTTGAAACTCAGGTTCCATATTAGGATTGTAAAGTGCAAAAGTACTGAACATTTATTATGTTATGATGATATGAGCCAGGACAGATAGATGCCTTGAAACTCAGGTTCCATATTAGGATTGTAAAGTGCAAAAGTACTGAACATTTATTATGTTATGATACGGAATTAAAATGTTTCTATCGATCCAACGTAGCCCCTGAAATCATCTTTGTGGGACTTTGATATGTAAAAATTCGACATTTGGGCCAGAAACCTCTTTCCATATTTTTGTAAATTATTCAACAAGCTTATTTAAAACATCTATCTTACTTGGTACCATTGGAAGCGCCTTGAAAAGCACTCCAAGAAAGCTTAAAGAAGCATAGGAGGATTATCATATTTTACTTAGCCAAATCTGGCAAAACAAGTCGAATCGTGTCCAAAATTATTACGATTTGTCCAATCTAGAACAGGCTACGAGTCTGGGTTTGAATTGATTTTGGCTGGTGGGGCTGGCAGGCAAACTCAATGCCCTTTTCACCATGAAGGCAATACAGCAATAGGTGCTTTTGAAGCGCATGAAAAGTAGGCGGCAAGTTATAGTACTATCGTTTGTCATGCTATTTTTTGAATTCTATATTCGATAACGTTAGTCTGGACATTGACGATTCATGGGCTGCATAACATGTCTGCAGTAAGTAGTGAAATCTCTGTGGCTTCGGGCCGTCGTTCAAAAAAAATGTTGACAGCATCGAGCAGAGGAAAGAGGGTAGAAATAACAATGATTTTTGTTTATTGATTGTAAAAGCATTAATTAATCATATATGAGCCTGACCCGACAGATGCCTTGAAACTCGGTTTCCATATTAGGGTTCTAAAAGTGTCTAAGGACTGAACATCACCATACTCCTAAAAAATACATTTTATTCTGCCGTTACATAGTAAAAAGTTAATTACAAGAGTGCCCATAGGGAAAGCAGCCATTACTGTCAGTTTGGCAGAAGCCTAACAAAATTCTTGGAAAATAAAGCATTTACGTAATCCTTTTCTCTTCATATTCCCAAGTTTTACCTAACAATCCAAATGCCTCGAAGCTTGAGAAGTCGTTTAAACCGCTCTGATTCTTTGAATACTCCAGTTGAGCCATATACTGTAAATTTTGTCTTTCACAACTTTGCCGAAACTGCAAATCCTGTTGTTCCTGAACCTATTGAAGGTAAGGTTCCAGTAACAACTTCCCCAACCTACATGAGCCCAATTTTGGAATTAGGAGCTACCGTCAACGAGAATATAGTAAGGTGTAATTGGTGTGGCCGCACTGGACACCAAAGGCGTTCGCATAAGGATTGTGGAATGAGGATACTTTGAAACACTTCTGACAGGAGAGCAGCTTGCCCATGGTGCCATAGAGAAGGACATACACGCAGAAATCATCTTGACTGTGCGCTAAATCCAATCAATCAGCCATCTGAGCAACCGTCTCCAACACCAATTGTACAAGACTTTCCAAATGCCTCTCAATCTGAGGCCACAGCTGAAACTCTGGACCCCAATGTCATCGTAACAGCAGTTGTATGCCCCTTTTGTGGAATAGAAGGACACCAACGCCGATCTCATTATAATTGTGCCGAAAATCCTCTACGTACAGGTGCAATAGATTCTTTTTTGATGGCGCGAAATCCTGAAGCACCTGAGGCTAACCGAAATGATTTGGGAGGCATGAATGCTTTGTGCTCAAAATGTGGAGCCTACATGTGGATTGATGAAAGAAAGCAAAGAACAACAAGAGCTTCTCCAACGTTTCAAATCTGCTGTCAAGATGGCCAGGCAATCTTGAAGCCAGTACACCATTTTCCAGAGCTTATTGCCAATCTTTTGAGTGGCAATGACGATGTTAGCAAAGAGTTCAAATCGAATATTAGAACGTACAATTCTGCTCTCAGCTTTACCTCCATGAATGCAACTTTAGATCAATCAGTTGCGAATAATCAAAATGGTGCCTACGCATTCCGTATTCACAGTAGCGTCTATCATCTCATGAGCTCTGCACTTATGCCAGCAAATGATACACGCCCAAAATTTGCTCAAATATATATATTCGACGGGGAAAATGAGCTCCAAAACCGACTGAATGTTGCTGGAAACCCCAACGCTGAGAGAACCACTATGCGTCTCCTCCAAAATATGATGCACGAAGTCAATCCTTTTGTTGACTTATTTAAAACCATGGAGGAGCTATCAGTTGGGCAACCTGGAGGAATTCAGAATATACGAATGGTATTTCGTTCAGAGGATTCTCCTGATCCAAGAAGGTGCAATAGACCTAGAGTTCCAGAAATGGGTATACTATTGTTTGATGGCGACGATGAAAGCAGCAACGAACAGCCAAAAAATCGTGATATCGTTTTAAGATTGAAAGGCTCTGGTGATAACCTAACAAGGATTAATGAAACCAATCAATTCTTTGATCCTCTTCAATACGTTTTGATGTTTCCATTTGGCGATCCTGGGTGGCACATCAAAGTGAAAAGCTTTGATCCCTCTGAAACCGAAATCGACATTGCATCTGATAGCAATAATGATGATGAGGACAAAACCATCACCATCATGCAATACTACAGCTCAAGATTGATGGTACGACAAGGACAACAGCAAGGACTACCAAAAAATCAGCAAATTAGCTTGCATTCATTTGGAAGGTTATTTCACCAATACGTCGTCGATATGTATGCAAAGATGGAACAACAGCAACTGAATCTTATTAGATTCAATCAAGATACCTTACGAGCTGCTGTTTATAGCGGTCTGTTAGATCCGAATGCTCCCTGTATGGTGAACGGCAAATGTTCAAAAAATTACCCGTACCCATTCATGGACGAAACGACTATCAACCCAGAAGAATCAAGCAAAATTATATACAGAAGACGATTGATGACTGATCGTACAATTTCCAGGCATAGTGGAAGAATCACTATTGATAATCGTTGGATCGTGCCTCATAATCTTTATTGGGTCGCTAAATACAACGCACACATCAACGTGGAGATTTGCAGCCAGGTCAACTCGGTGAAATACATATACAAATATGTATACAAGGTCCATGACAGAGCACAGGTATACATGGGTTCATCTGCTCAAGATGATCATCAGGATGAGATCAAAAAGTTTCTTGATGCAAGATATGTCTCGGCATCTGAAGCCTGTTGGAGAATCATGTCTTTCCCTATGCATAAGGAATACCCCTCTACACAGCGCCTGGATATCCATTTGGAGAACGACAGAAGGGTGTACTTTAACGAGAACGAAAGTTCTGACCAGGTCTTGAGTCGTACACTTCCAGAAACAACCCTGACAGCTTGGTTCAAGCACAATCTCGAAAATCCTGAAGACAACGAAGCTAAGCAAACTTTGTATCCGGACTTCTGTGAAAAGTACGTTTTTCATAAACAACAGAACCCAAGAGTTTGGAGACCTAGACGTTCAGGTTTTGGTGGAGCCATTGGCAGAGTCTACGCTGTATCTCCAAAAGATATTGAAAAGTATCATTTAAGAATCCTATTGTATCGAATTCCAGGAGCAACATCCTTTACCTACATGCGAACGTACAATGGCCGCGTCTATCCGTCTTATCAGGCTACTGCCAGAGCAATGGGTCTTCTTCAAGATGACAATGAATGGAATGATACCATGTCAGAAGCAAGCACCACTATGTCACCTCAAAAAATACGGCAACTCTTCTGTATTCTGCTCTCCTTCTGCGATGTCTCTGATCCTTTTCAGCTATGGTTGAATTACAAACTGCATCTAGCCGAGGACTATCTGTATCGTAGGCAACAAAAGGCAAGAGATCTGAATCAACCTGTTCCCACTGAAATAACAGATGAGATGTATGGCCACTGCCTTCTTGATTTGAATCAAATTTTGGTTGCCAACCAATTTGATTTGAAAACTATGGATGGTTTCAAGGACGTTTTCCCTACTGTTGATACCAGGGATAATTATGCTTACCCTGAGGACTCTACCCCGCTGGAAAGGATGCATGCCACTCTGCTAATTGAAGCCTTGGAAGTTCCTGACCCAAACTCTTTGTCATTCAATCCAAGCCAATTGATAGCTTACAATGCCATTCAACGTTGCGCGTTAGCTGACGAAAACTATGATGCTGCACAATCCAAACTGTTTTTTATTGACGGGCCTGGCGGTACTGGGAAAACTTTCATCATCAATGCTTTGTTAGATGCCGTTCGCAAACAAAATCATATTGCAATTGCAGTTGCTTCAACAGGAATGGTGACATTACCTGAGGACATTCCTTCGGATTTTGTGCGTATCCCAGATGAAATGTATTTCAATTCTACCAACTTGCTGGATTTGCTAGCTGCTGTGTTTCCAAACATCAGCAATAGCTCAACGATTGACCAATATTTTGCGAAACGTGTTATATTGACCCCAAAGAACCAAGATGTCTCAGTCATAAACAATCTGCTACTTGACAACTAGCCGGGAAGAAAGTTCACTTATTACAGCTATGATCAAGTCTGTGATCCTCAATTTCGAATGCAGGTGCCTCTCGAGCTTCTCAACTCCATAGAATCTGGCTCTCTGCCTCCACATGAATTGGTTTTGAGAGTTGGGTCTCCAATAATGATCTTGAGAAACTTAGATCCTTCAGCTGGATTATGCAATGGAACCAGGCTAATCGTGAAATCTTTGGGTGTTAGAATAATTGAAGCCACCATTGCCACAGGGCCAAAAGCAGGAGACATTGTGTATATCCCAAGGATCAAGTTTATTACAGAAGCCAACGGAAGAATTCCCTTCGACTTCAGTCGCACCCAGTTTCCTGTGAGATTGGCCTTTGCCATGACTATAAACAAATCGCAGGGCCAAACATTATCTAACGTTGGATTATATCTTCCCTCTCACGTCTTCTCGCATGGTCAGTTGTACGTCGCAATATCAAGGGTCAGTAAGTCATCATCGATAAGATTCATGGTTGATCCTGATATTTCTGTACTGGAAAACTTACCTGGCCACTATACACACAATATAGTATACTCTGAGGTCTTTCAATAAAGTTTTTATATATTTATATCTCAAATTACATCCATTTTTTATTGTCAGGCCGTTAATCTCATCATTTCTCAACAGATATAAAGCTTTGTTTAATGGTGGAGTAAGCCTGCGGCAGCACGACGTTGTATACACCGCGAAGCGGTGTTGTGCAACTAGTCATATTGATAATATGATATAAATGTTAAATAGGGATCACACTTATTGAGTAGTAACAGATTGTTGCGAGGGCTTGGTTACGGGATGTAAATTTACCTGTGCTTTAGATAAAATACGCTTATTCAACTAGATGGGTTCCTTCACGTCAAGTAGCTATTACAAAATAATACTACTTCTATGGTGACAGGACAGAAATCAAACAGAAAAATAAAACTTTAGGGGGGGTAAAAAACTTCTGTTTACTGATAATGCATACGATTTGTATATTTAATATATTGTTGGCTTTGTTTGCTTGTTTGGCTTGTTTGGCTTGTTTGCTTGTTTTACTCCTTGATTCAATCTTCATGCGGACATGACTGCTCACAACAAGCAAGTAATCATCAGCTTCAATGGCGTTAAAAAGATGGCAATTATTCTCTTCTCTCTCTTTCCATTAAGCCTAAATTTCCTGAGACCTAGATGTATCGCTTTCACTTGGATATATCTCTCTCTAGCTGTCGGGCAATAGCCTGAGATCTAGATGCACCGTATATCCTTGGGTTTCTCTCTCTAGCCGTAGGGTAATTTAACAACTGTCTGAGGCCTAGATGTATCGCTTTTCATCTACTGGGGTTTCTTTCCTTAGTCGTAGGACAGTTTCGTTATGTTTGAAAAGTTAAATGCGTGATCCCTAGATGTACCGCTTTCACTTGGATATATCTCTCTCTAGCTGTCGGGCAATAGCCTGAGATCTAGATGCACCGTATATTCTTGGGTTACTCTCTCTAGCTGTAGCGCGTTAGGACAATAGCCTGAGACCTAGATGTATCGCTTTTCCTCTACTGGGTCTTCTTTCTCTAGCCGTAGGGCTATCGGTCTGGGGGATAAACATAACTCTTTTTGGGAGTAGAAGCATCTCTACCTTCTCGTGGTTACTCCTGTTAGTAAAAGTGTTCAGCTTTGAAGCTAAAAGAGATGCATTAATTATACCAATCTTCCCATTTTTTCGTATTACATGTAATACGAAATCTAGTTTCGTTTAATTTGTTGTTCCTGTCTTGTAAATATCGTCAACTGACGATTTGATGTTTGACAAACCCCTATAAGCTATTGAAATCAAAATAGCATTGATAACTTAAAGATGCAGTTGTCTTTTATTGTGGGGCCAGGCTCATGGTTCTGTATCATTAAGGCCATATTACCTTTTATTTCTGATCCTATGGGTCTATTCTATTGTCTATCTATTTGCTCGTAGCATGTTTCTAGTCATGTTTAAAAGTATATCCACCACTAGATGAAGACTATCTATTGCCTCTAGAACGTCCAGCGTGCGTCATAACCGCCATCATCCCAATAACAAGCTATATCGTTGTGCTATAATACAGCGATACAGCAGTGCCACTCTGCATAATATTTCCAGCTGAACATTTGGATGTAACAGCATGCTTTGATTCTAGATTAATGACTACAAATGTCTTTACGCCTTTGTATACTAACAAAAACGTGCCTATTGGCAAGCAAATGTATGAAGCACAATCAAATTAACCAGCTTTCAAGCCTTCGTATTTTGGCATGTAAACCTTTCTGAGCCACCAAGCCCGTACCACGGATGGACAGGTTCCTCTTCGCCAGCAAATTGCACTGACGCTGCAGCTTGACGGTAATCGCATCCAAGAAATGACCCAGCTGTCCCTTTGTGTGATACAGTGGGTATCCAAGGAATCTAACAGAGCCGGTCGACGATTCATCATACCATTCGATGTTAGTGACAGCTGCCAGCTGCTTCCACTCGTCGTGGCTTCGGCCAGACAGCGACACAAGAACTGTTTTGTCCAGGTTGACTTTTGCATTGGAGGCTTGACCATATAGCGACAGTAGAGACAATAGCACTGGCCATTCCCTCGGATCCGCCAGGAAGACTTCCAGATCATCGGCATAACTGAGCAGCTTGACACGAGGAGGCAGCACAGGAGCACGCAAGAAATCATCAGAGGTAGCACGAGGAATTTGAGAGGAAGCAACCTCCATCCGTTCAGCAATCCGAGGGCGTCCATCGGTAGACATGGCCATACCTCGTAACTCTGAGCACGCTAGAATGGTTCGAAGGAAAGGCTCAAATGCAAGATTGAAAAGCAAAGGCGATAGAGGATTGCCCTGACGATGGCCACGCTGTTGTTGGATGGGAGCACCCAACCAGCCATTGATAGACAGTGAGATATGTGTTCCAAAGAACAGGCTTGACACACTCTCTACCAACGAGGCGGGAAAGCCAAACTGATGGAGTACTATCCTCAGATACGTGGGGTTTACTCGATTATATGCCTTTTCCTGGTCCAACAGCACAGAAACATTGAGGTCATCAGGAGCAGCAGCACGAAAGTTGTTCATCAAAGTTTGGTTCAATCAAGCATTGTCCGAGATAAGCCGGTGAGGCATAAAGCCCGTTTGATAGGGAGTGATCAGCTGGGAGAGAACTTTCTGGAACCTGTTGGCAAGCAACTTGGTGAATAGTTTGGCATCGCTGTTGATCAAGGAAAGTGGTCGCCAGTTTTCGAGTAATTCTGGGTCACCCTTTTTGAACAGGAGCACCATCCTCGTCTGCATCCACGATGCAGGAAACAAGCCATGCAAAGCCTCTGTCAACAGTTGTTGCAAGAGACGCAGTACAGGAGGAAATTTCGCAGCCAAATATCGATAGACCTCGAATGGAAGGCCATCCAAACCGGGAGACTTGTTCTTGGGTGCATGGTCAAGCAATAGCAAGACAGAGTCTGCGGAGGGTGGTTCGATGAGCCTTTCTGCATCTGCTTCTGGTAGCTTCACCTCTTCAGGGACATTGGCCAAGAGAGAATCAACAGCAGTCAGATCAATTGCTTCAGGAGTATATAAATCTTGATAGAAGGAGCAGGTTTCGTGGAGAATGTCACCCATGGATGTTAGTTTCTTACCCACAGTGGCCTTCTTCAGAGATTGAATAGTTTGTTGAGCCTCCCGATCCTTAATCACATTAAAGAAGTACTTGGTGTTTTGTTCCCCCTGCTCGAGCCATCGAGTGGCCGAACGCAGCATGGCTTGACGAGTGTCTTCCTGAATCTTTTGCTCAATGATTTCCTCTAGCTTCTTTATTCGAGCCGATGCCTTCTTGCCACCCAGCAACTGTTCACGTTCACGTTGAAGACGAGAAACTCGAGCTTCGTATCGGGCCTTCTGGCCTTTGGTAAACTGTTGTGCACAGTACTTGATGATTGACTTTAGGGACTCCCACTTCTCCTGCACAGACCGTATACCCAGACCCTAAGCACCAGCACCAGAGACGCCTGATCCAGAGCCATCAGCACCAGAGATACCAGCACCAGAGACACCTGCCAAAGCCACATTTTCCCCACAGTAATCCGAAGCCAAAAAGAATGCCACTGTTGTATCCAACAGAGCTTGGAATTCAAGGTTTTCCAGCAAGTATGGATTAAAACGCCAACTGCCCGGGCCCAGCTTCACGTCAGTTGTGATCAGACCAATGGTTAAAAGACTGTGATCTGTCCACGGTGGTGGTATGTGGTGGGTTTGAGCATTGACCAGTCGAGTAGCCAGATTGGGAGGAGCAAAAACATAGTCAATAGTGGTACCGGTGTGAGGGAGGGTCGTGGTGCCGTTGGGAAAGCAGTTGAAGAAGTGAGTATTTAACCATTCCACAAAGGGCTTGATCCTAGGACCTCGAGATTCGACGGCATCATGTAAATGTATGTTGAAATCCCTAAGCAAAATCCATTGAGAATCCAGCATATCAGACCAAAAAGGCATGGACATCAGCATCGGAAGGAAAGCATGGCGACTGGCTGCCTGTGCTGGCATATACACGTTGGCCATTTTACATATGGTGTGCTCGGCAGCCTTGACTGTAGCTGTGACACAGCGTTCATCGAGAGAAATGGTAACATCCGTTAGCTCTAGGCCTTGCTTCAGACAAATGATGGCGCAATGTTTCGACACGACAAAAGAAGACCGAGGAAACATAAACGAAAAAGTAACCATATTATCATCAGAGAGGTGATCCTGCTGACGATAATGAGACACCTCCTGCAGACAGAAAACATCAAGCTGGAGGGTTTTGGAGCGTAAGAAAGAGGTGAATTCTTTCTGTATAGATTTAGAGGAACCCTTAAAGATGCTCCGAGCATTAAGGGTACCTACGCGTAATGATTGTTGTATCATTATGCCCTATGGGCGACATGATACACTGGAGTCTGCGACATAGACGCCGAGCTCATGGAATGACGGCGGAGAGGGAGCACATCAGACGTAAAATCATTGGAAGACGAAGCAATGGCAGTAGGCTGTTGATAATCCACATGCATATGAAGAGAAGAAGCTAAGGGAGCATGCTTGGAAGCATCGCTACCATTGGAAGTACGCTGGATGGTCTTTGGGTCTATCTCCATCTGATCCACGTCCTGCTCTTGAGATGAGCTGTCAAAGTTTTTGGACAAATTAATGATCTGGCTGTCGGTCACCTCGGTTGACTGACTGGCTGGTTGGGTAGGTATGGCGGCCTTTGTTCGACGGCGTCTCTCTGGTGCCTTAACTGTGCTACGCTGGTTGTCGACAGTGGAATCAGCGCGATCTTTCTGAATAGCGACATACTCATCCAGTGCTTCGGTAAACGTTGGTTCCTCCTCACAACAGAACTTGGCTGTGTGGCCCGGTTTGCGACATTTGAAGCATTGGCGTTTGACCAGGACAGGACATGAATCTCGAATATGGCCACTCTGGCGACAAAAATGGCAGACGGGAGGTGCCTCTCGAAATGTTGCAGGTACATAGATATCCCAGGCTGACAGGTACATCATGCGACTCTAAGGCTGAATTTCATAGGTGTGGCCTTCAACGTCCGTGTGCTTGACAGCAGTGTCGATCAGAAAGCTGACAAGGTCCTCGAAGAATCCATCTACAGTGTACTTCTTGATCTGGTATACCTTGCCATAGTATTTCAAGGAGCGTTGTAAGTCCTCCAAGAAAGTGGTCATGTCGGGCATGCGAACAATAGTCATCTGAACACGGGTGAGTTTGCCTTCGTTGTTGTCCTTGGCTGCCGTAGCTTTGTATACGACCTCCCTATGGGTAATGCCATGACTAATGGCGAGTTTGGCAGCCTCGAAATTGTCAAATTTGGCTTCCAATAGGAGATCGCCATTGGCCTTTTGGTGGTACAGGCTCAGAGGACGGAATTGAGCCAGAGGGGATATTTGCTCCTTGATTAAGCGATATGCTGCTGTACGATGCTCGAATGTTTTGCTTGGGAACGTAAACAAAACAGATCCGGGTGTCAAATCTTGTTGCAAGATGGCTGTAGCCTTGCGAGTGAGTACCTCGGCTTTCAGATCTTTGTGTTCATACAGAACTTCGGGAATCAGTTTAAATTGGTCATCTTTTGCTCGTTGTGGTTGAGCATTGGTGACCTTCTTGGACAGGCCTCGAGAGAGAACCTTGACCCAGGAAAGGTCAGAGGTGGTGGTCATGAGGGTGGGTAATGGAACACTGATGGTAGTAAAGTGGTTGAGGTAATTTAAGCAGTGGCGTAATTTTCACCTTAGGGTTAGTGATGGTTACGCGAAAGAGCCTATATTGAGTCTATTGATCCAAAGCAACTCCTGAAGCTTTGTTTGTGAAACCTTCATATGTGAAATCTCGACATTTTCGCCAAAAACCTCATTTCATATTTTTAAAGAGTACTCAATAAGCTTGTTCAAAACATCTGTTTTACTTGGTACCATTGGATGCGCCTTGAAAAGCACTTCAAGAATGCATTAGAAAGTAAGGTATGATAATCCCGACTTATATAGTCGAAGTTATCAAAAACGTTCAAAATATTCGAAATCAAGTCGAATTTGAGCTCGAAAAACTTTCGTCGCTTTGCAGAAAATTAAAATGCCGCGCTATCTTTTGCTTGAAGTTTGCATTCTACACCATTATGCTTACGAGATGGTGAAATAAAAGTAATGATTTAGAGTATAAAACAGAGGGATCAACCGGCGAAAACTCTATTTTTATATCTGTCCCAAAAAGAAGTATCCGTTTATCCTCAAGTTTCTGACTTGCGCCATATTTGCCATCGAAGTCGTCATGCCTGTCAACAATTCGTATACCAATCTCCCTTAAGCACTTGAAATTATCTCTTTCTCTCTTTTCGTTTTGCAGAAACACTTTCCCTTGTTATTGTACAGCAGGATTGGATGGCAGTTTCCCGTCATTCTGCAACATGAATTGCAATGCGAATGTAGGTATATTCCCCATGATGAGTCACAGCATTGAAGCGGCTATATTTATTGTTGTAAGATTTTAAACTTTTACACATTTGTCTGACCATATATTGATCTTTTTCTCGCATTTGTCTTAGAGCCAAATCAACATCATAGAATGCCAGTAACCAGAAGATCTTCAGTGGAAGTAGGATCCGACATTGAACTGAAAAAGATCTCGCATACCAATGCCAATAAAGATGTAAGTCCATCTGCTGCATCGGCTGTCTCCGAGGTCTTCGACACAACATCGTCAACAGCGCCTTCAGTCGACAACAACAAGACCAAATCTAAACTCTCAATTCCTTTCAAATCTTCGTGGCTCATGTGGTGGAATTCAGAAGAATGGTGGTCTTGCTGGATTGGTCTCATTTTCTTTGGTTGTATAGCATCTGCAGTAAAGCACAATATACCTCAACCTGAGTTTTTACCCTGGGAAACAAATCCCTTTCACACGTTTGGTACCACAGGCAATTTTGGTCTACTTGTGATATTTGCTGTCATGGGCATACTGCTGTGGATTGCTATGGCAGCCACAAGAGCTCCCAACTACAAAAGATTCCCCATTGGCTTTGTGTGCGTGTTTATGATTGCCCTTATCAGCAAGATGCTTGCCAGTAATGGTATGTAAAAAATGATTATCCAAACTTGTAGAACAATGGCCGCTGAATTCTATATTGTCTATAGTTGTGCTCAAGAAAGGCAGTGTGGGAGATTCCATCTGGGCTATTATTTTGGGCTGCTTCATCAGGAATGTCATGTCATTTGTCACGAAATCAAGCATCTTGGCTCCATGGCTCAAAGTGGCGCAACAAACAGAGCTCTACATTGCCATCAGTTTGGTGTTGCTCTGTATTGATATCAGTGTTTTGCGTCCATTGGCACCCCGTGCACTGTTTGTCAGTTGGATTGATACACCTACTCTGTTCATTGTGGTAGCCTATTTCGGGTGGAAAGTGCTGAAGATTGATACACAAACAGCTATTATCATGTCTGGTGCTACCTTCATTTGCGGCTCCTCGGCAGCCATTGCATTGGGCGCCAGCATGGGCGTGCCACACAAAACTGAAATGCCCATTGCCATCATTTCCATCTTTACCATTCCCAGCATCATTGCCCTACCCTATGTTGCAAAGAGCATGGCATTATCAGCTACAGTCAGTGGTGCCTGGTTTGGTGGCTGTGTTGATTCAACAGGTGCAGTCATTGCTGCTGCTAGCATTTACGGTGATCACGATGCCATCAACACATCTGCTATTGTGAAGATGATGCAAAATGTCTTGATTGGTCCTTTGTCTGTGATCATGGCTTGGGCGTGGTCTCGCTATGAGTTGCAGGCAGCTTATAAACGTGAAGAAGAGCTGATTAATCGCAATGAAAACCTGGATGATGCTGTAATCCAAGAGCAAGTACTAGACGATACTGCTGGAGAAGACAGTAATACACCCTCTGTAAAGCATCCTCGCAATATTCACGCTCCCTCTAAACCCAAAGAAAAGGCGTATATCTTGCTGTGGAAACGATTCCCCAAGTTTGTCATTGGTTTCATCATTACGGCTGTCTTGTTCAATACGACTATCAGCGATAATACAGAGACTAGAACGCTTGTCAATGACTTTTGCTTTTACGTGTCTGAATGGTTCTCCACGCTATCTTTTGTTAGTATCGGAATGGGCCTGCAATTAAGTGATATCAAGCAGAATATTCGTAGCTTGGGCAAACTGGTAACATTGTACATTGTTGCCCAAATGGTCGATATCGTTGTTACGTGTGTTCTGGCTTGGACGGCGTTTACCTATTTGTAATGAATAAAGTGCTAGCTTGCCATTGTTATGCAGCCTTATTACTTTCCCCTGCACCTTTTTTTTTTTTTTTTTTTGTATGGCATATATTCAATGCTTCAAAGTTGGTATGATGATCTAGCTTCAATCCAATACCACGTTGAGATTCACCAAAGCAAACAAACTATATATGTTGCCGTTCAAGCGTATTCCCCTTGATATGGACATGCAAGAGCATAAACACTGTGCTGCTGTCAACAGATCGACATGGCTGGCTCCGTTTCAGTTGACTGTGGTAGGCATGATTTCTGCATTTGTGCTACATAAAATGCTTGTTGGTTGTATTCAAATTCCTTCTTTTCTTTCTCTTTTCAATACTTCTTATCATGGATAATTCTGTGATATCCACCCAGCCCAGTCGAAATGAAACAGCCTCCAGAACAAACAACGCACTGTTCAGCCCTGGGACAAGTACGTCCAGAACAGTGCGAGTGAATTGGCTCAAGTTTCTATTCTACTCTTGGAAAAGAATATCGATACTAAGCAAGGTTGTCGTTTCTTGCAACATAGTATTAGTCATTGCACAGGTACATAGCTATAAAGAGCGCTGTTCAGTATATCGGTTGATCTCACCCAGGGAAACATGTATAGGTTGCAGTCGGTATAGCCATGCTAGTGACAGCAAGAGGTGAAGCCTGTGATCAGCCGCTGCAAACATTCATCATTGTTTACATAGTGCGCACTGTCATATCTTGTCCTTTTTACGTTAGCCAACATTTTGAGAGGGCAGAGGAAAGATTGCGTATACGCAGACAACGGGAGAGAGATACACGGCGAGAGGAGCAGGTACGCCAAAGACGCCAGCAAAGGCGAGAGGAGAGACGTCGACAGCGTGCTCAGCAGCAGCAACAGCAACAACAGCAGCAACAGCAACAACAGCAAGCGGACAGCGAGCAAGTAACGCCAGCAAATACACAAGAGCAACTTATACCATCGAATGCCTCTATTCATTCCACTGTTATTGAACCTAGATCAAACCAAATTTTTACTATTACTGAAAGGTACATTGGGCATGCTGTCTGTGTCGCAGTGCAGCAAAACTAAACGTATGACATAGATTACGACCACTTATCGATCTCTTTTCTGTCTTATGGTTCATTGTGGGCAACTACCTATTATTCAGCTCCAAGACTTGCTCAACATTAGCACCAAGACTCTATTACACATCTCTCGCCTATGTGTTGATTGGCTATTTAGTCGTCATTGTACCTATCTTACTGTGCACATCTGCTATTTTCTGTCTTCCCTGCGTGATGTGTAAGTTGCTGAGCGGAATTGAAGAGCATGTAAAACTAACCAGTTCGTCTCATAGTGGGTATGCGTGTTCTGAATATCCCTGAAATGGACGGCATGGATCAAGGTGCGGGACAGGAAGAAATTAGCAAGGTCCCTGTGTATCGATTCAGAGTATCCGAGAGCCAGCAAACACAAGGCGTGACAACGCAACCTTCAGAACAAAAGGGTAAGGGCATTTTGGGCAATCTTATGCAAGGAGGATATCGTCATCAACTGGATGCAGAGCAAGGCTCTGTGGATGATATTTTTATCACGCCATCCGAAGATGCCATGTGTTGTATATGTCTGGCAGAATACGAAGATCAGGATTTATTGTGTCGACTGTGGTGTGGACATCACTATCACAAGAGCTGCCTCACTGAATGGCTTGCACTCAACAAGAAATGCCCACTGTGTAAACAAGATTTTCGAGGAAAAGAGTACGAAGAGGACAGCCAAGACGAAGACGATCCAGATGACGACGCTCTCGAAAATACAATTCCAATGCACCAGCTGCACACTGCGACTACGCCTGATCATCGTTCGTAAATACCTCTTGTATATAAAAATTCCGTTCGAGAAAGAAAACATCCACTGTACAATAAACAAGGAGCTTTTATCCAATCAACGGTATAATACCCGACAAGATCCTGTAAAGATCTCGGGATTTACTCTTTCTTCTTGTATTTCTCTCAACACCATGATGAGCAGCACAAAAGTATCACTGAAACCTGCCAATGCCTCAGAGAACCGCATGCCAGTAAAGAGCCATAGAAGACAAGCATCCATTGGTCTCGGTATTGTCACTCATCTCACAGAGCCAACTGTGATCGCTCCGCGACGACAGAGGATTTCGAAGAACGACTCATTCTTTGATACAGCTGCATCGCTTTCAAATCCAATGAAGCCTCCACCATCACTGAGCATACCCACCAAGCTCAAACATCATTGCTATCATCAGCATCAGCACCATCCAGAGACAGCAGGAGCAAGACCTACATTTGCAGATCGCATCCGAAGCATTGTATTAGCCAATAGAAAAACTGCCGCCAACACGCCGGTTGTTGAACGTAGCAACAGTAGTAGCAGTAATAGTGATCAAAAGAAAAAGAATGGCAAGCTAAAGAGTAGCTCCAGCAGCACCCACAGCAGTAACAACATCAACCTCTCGTTTCCTGAGGAAAAAATCATCCCACTCCCTAGTCCTGCACAGCCCTCGTTGTCGAGGACCAACACATTTACCAGACACTTAGTAATCACGCCTATACTGACACAACAAGATGCTGACACAGCCATGGAAGAGGACGAGAGCCATACACCGCCGCCTAGCTCTGCCATTCCCATTATCTCACTCTCTCCTAGCTTTTCGCCCAACAAGACCAACGTGATTCCACCACTGCAAGAAGTGCCCATGCTGGGAGACATGGAGGATGATCCAGAGTATCACTGTAGCAATGGCAATATCACTCGAGAGTTCAAATATCCTTCGCCCGCACCAACGCCTTACGACGATGTTGATAGTCTGCTAGGAAAGCATATTTGGAAGTTTCGCATCAAAAAGCTCTTGGGAGTGGGCGCGTTCTCAAAAGTGTTTCTGGCCCACAACATGGAAGAAGGCGGTTTGTTTGCAGTGAAGATGATCAACAAGGAAAGAATGTATCAAGATTTAAGAGTGAAATCCAGTATAGAAAGAGAGGTTGGTGTTCTCAAGGTGCGTATACATGTAGATGGCCCTTAATATGCTGCTGCTAACTTTTGTACTCTAGTTCCTCAATCATGGCCGCATTGTTCAGTTGGAGGCGACTATGGAAACAGAGCAACATCTATGTATTGTGCTGGAGTATGTTCAAGGCGGCGAGCTGTTTGATTTTGTTCAACACATGCATAATGATATACATCAGGTTGGGATACAGTCGAATATAGACGAGCTGCTGATCAAAAGGCTGGCATTGGAGTTGATACAAGTTGTACTGTGGTTACATGAGCATAATATCGTACACCGTGATCTCAAACTGGAGAGTAAGTAGGCGCTCAAACGTTGAAATTGAGACAATGATTAATCATAGGTTATAGATATCCTGGTTTACTTTGACGAAGAGACGGGTGAACCGCATATCAAGGTGACAGACTTTGGCTTAGCTCGCATTGTCAATCCACAGGAACCAAAATTAACAACCCGTTGTGGCAGTGAGGAGTATGCTGCCCCTGAAATTGTGCAAAGTCTAGGCTATGATGGCCGCTTGACCGATACATGGTCTATTGGTATCATCATATTTGCTTTGCTGGTTGGGTACTTACCATTCACGTATGATGCGAGCAAGGGAGAGAAAATTGCACACCTATTCCATCGTATTGTGATGGCACAAGTCAAATGGCCACAAAATGACAATATTAGCCTCGAAGCCAAAGAAGTGGTGGAGCAAATTTTGGTGCGAAATCCAGACAAGAGAGCTCGATTACAACAGATTAATACCTTACCTTGGTTCACAACTTAATCAATAATATATGTAGTAAAAAAATAAGCAAACATTTTGTATATAAACAGCCCAATCATCTTCCGTCCAAAGCAGCTATGACCAAACTTTGCGATAAAAACGATCATGCTGCAACTGGGTTCTTGATTGCAAAAGTTACAGTTCTGAGATGAATGCTTCTCAAGATAAAGCAAATTTGAGTAATGAATTTCATATAACAGCCTGCTAATCACAAGTGATTACGCGCAAGAGATTGATGTATCAGATGTGGACAAGCGTTCTATTCAAAACCGCTTGATTATACCTTCTTGCTTCGTCGTAGAGTGGCAAAGGTTTAAAGCTGTGGAATTTGAGGCTTTATAGACTAAAATTCACGGGGAAAAAAAATAAAAAACAGTAAAGTCAACTTGATAAAGGTATGCTTTATTATCAAACTGATAGGTGTAAAGTAAACTGAAGTATCTCTACTGGCCAGGTAGATGATCCTTCTTATATACTATAACAATGGATAAAAGTTCTATTAATTAGATTGAAAAATAAGTCAGCTCAGATCAGCTAATGTCTAATCATGCTAAAAGACAACTCCAGCAAGCTAATCATGATTTAGCTTTGCCTGGATGAATAATTAGACTCTCATCCGAAGTACCCTGATCTATCCTTTCTATAAGGATAATTAATATCGATCTAGTAGCATGTATCCGATAGGTACAATCTCCTTAGTCTATATCAATAGTACATATCTGAGTGTATATCGCTGAGCATACATCTTTAGCATGTATCTGGATATATGGCAGGTCTATAGCATATCGTATGCATGTCTATAGCATGTCTCATATATAGTACAAGTCTGTAGTACATAAAGTATCTGTAGCTAGTATCACGGATATAAGCATGTGTCTTATGGCGTGGATCATAAAATGCACATCTGAAGCAACAAGCTCATATTGCATTAATCTTGGTGCCTATCCAGATATGGTAAACATCCGTAGTCAATGTCGAAATACAAGTGTAAGTCTATAGCGCCATCCATGTTCGTGGTGCCATCTATAACCTATATCTTATATAGTATGAATCTTGTAGTACTAGCGTATCTGAAGTCCATATCTTCTTATAGTATAAATCGATATCGCACATCTAATCTAGTGTACATACAGTTTATATCTAAATCTAGTAACTGGATGAACTGTCGGAATGCAGATCATAGTGGACGTATTCCACAAATACATCCAAATAACATGAATTTGAATGAGAACTATTTGATGAATTTTGGTTTTCAATAAAGTTGAGTTTGGGTGGCTGTTACATTGCAGGTACATCGCATGTTTGGCGGGACATTTGGTACTGGGAGAACCCTATACCTAATGTTCCGTACTACTGTAGTACCACCTATTATATAATATTCCCTGGAAAATACCGGTATATTTTAAAAAACATTGCTCACATAAAATTATTTACTGGATAATGAACTCAATGATTGCACCTTATATTACTCTTGAATAAAGAAGGATTTAAACTGTTTCCATTTAATTACGCTTTTATTATTACAAACGACAAATCATGATAAATGACAGATCAACAGAAAATCAACCCGTTGTAAACCGTTTCTCTTTCAATCCCTCAGCCAATCAGATTGCTCAAAAACTCCGCTGACCTAAAAAAATTTTTGCGAGGGTTTCCCCCTGTTTTGATGTGAGGCAAAATTTTAAGCTCCGATATATATAGCAATATAGCTGTTACTATCATCAAATTTCCCTCAGGTGCTAGAGCATGCCTTACTTACACCACCTAGCTTTTAGATTCTGGTGTTGAGACTCTCAATCATCACTAAAGTAAGTAGCAATAATTAAGTGGAGGCAGCCTATCCATCTCCTAGTCTCGGATAAAGTCTTGTTGAGCTTCAGCGATAGGCACATCCACCACAACGTAATAAAGAGGTATGCTTCGAAAGAAACATAATAAAAGAAAAAAGGAAAAGAAGAAAAGAACATACTACTATAGGAGTATAGTAGCATGTAGATAAAAAAAGGAACACTCACACAAAAAAGTGAGTCAAAAGAAAAGCATAACAACAAATACAACATCAAAGAATGTTCAGAACAGCTTGCTGTTGTTGCAACAAAAATGCATGCATGAGCAACGCGCATGGTGGTAATAGTCGGATGTCAAGCAACACAAACACGCACAATTGCATGAGCAACATCAGTATTATAAGTGTGCAATACAACATAGTGATTAATGTTGTTTCATGTGAAGCGACAGAGGCGACACAAACAACAACCCACGGCCATATAACAAAGTAGTATTACAATGGCAATACAGATATATAGCAGTATATCATGCTTGTTGTTCGTACATACGAAGCAACAACATCGCAAGCATCCGTTGAGCTGATCATATCACAGCCAACGAAAGAAAAAGAAATCGTAACAAAGCAAACATCATGAATGCATTATCACGAGAAAAAAAAGCAATAATAAAAACGTCCAGAGAAGTTTTATATCATTGCGACCAAAAGAAAAAAAAAAGTTACTTACCACTTGCCGCAGCCACGGATAGACCAGCAGAGAATAGACAACTACCAGAGATAGACCAGAGAACAAACATACAACTGAGACAGCAGACCAAGAAGAAAGACCAGACTAGCAGCAACAACACCAGCAGCAACACCAGAAACAACAGAGACAGCAAACCAAGAAAGACCAGACTAGCAGCAACAACACCAGCAACAACATCAGCATCATAGAAAAACCAAAGAACGAACGGCACCAGAGACCAGACAAAGATTAAAGAAGCAACCACTAGAGATAGAGACCAACGAAGCAACCACCAGACATAATAAACCAAAGAAGCAAATAGCAGAAATAGCAGAGAAGTAATGGCAGCAGCACCGACGTCAAACAGGCAGAAAATTATCGAAACCTAATAAACAAATTCGATTAGTACTGATTTTACGTCTTCTAGTGCTTCTTATCGAATAGTACCTACTATATTCCACTTTAAAGAAGCAGTATTAAGCACTTTTAACAGTGCAAGGCCGTGTTATCAGAAGCTAGAGTGTTATTTTTAATCAAAAGTGTTCTAAAACGAATATGGTTTGATACTAAACGCAATTTGCAAAAAGGATAAAAAACGAGGGTATGGAAAAATGAGAGGGCGCCTTAACCGACGTCACGCCCAGTAGATTTGGCCTCAGCCTTCTGCCGTGGCAACCGTAACTGCTGCACTTTAATTTGAAATTGTGCAGTGGGTATTTTCGTGTTCAAATTCGACTTGATTTCACATTCTTTAAACGTTTTTGCTAAATTTGACTATGAGAATTGTCCTTGTTATACTTTACTTTCTGATGCATCTATAAAGAGTTAATGAAGGCGCATCGAATGATGCTGGTTGCATTTAGCTTTCAGACCGAAAATAATGAGCAATTTGCAAAAGTATGAAAACAGGTTTTCTGTAAATATGTCAAGATTTAGCTTATGAAAGCTCCAGAGAAACAACTTCTGATGTTTTATTTTATCTTTACGATTAATTTGATCTAATATGTATCATAGGAAAAGTCTTCATTTTTGCGCTGAAAAACGCGATCGTTTGATTTTCAAGAATTTTCCCTTGCTAATACTCATGTGAAAATGACGATTTTTAGTAAATTTGCAATGACCCAAAAAAATTGAGATAAAGCACCGGTAAGAGAAGCGTGGCCAAGAGAAGGTGTGTGGTGCTATTCCAAGCGCTCAAAACGCTTTGTAGCATGAGTTATTCGCGCTTCAAAATGACTAGATTTAGACAGAATTTGGCCTGAAAATAAGGCGTAGTATTTTGTGCTGACAAAGAAGTGAGTAGATTACAGTTCTGTCTAATGTCCCTGATGTTCTGCATTGTACAGAGTTCAATCTCTAAGTTATAGACACTTTTATTCTAATCCTGGCCATCAGATCTTTCAGATCTTTCTTTTTGAAATGCTCGATTACAGTGGTTCTAAGACTCGAGCGTCAGCGATGCAGTGAAATCAGGTTTAAATAGATTTCACAAAAAAATAAAGCAATAACAAAAATACAATAGAAATCAACTGTATTTTATTTTGTGTATAAAATGAACTGAAGACCCTGGAATTGAGTAAAAAAAAAGAAGATTATTTATACCTTTGCAACTAGCTTGTAGACTTAGTGATGATAGAGAGCAGTAGGTGCTGCTATTACGATATCTGGCAAATGTTGTTGATGTTTGATTTAAAGTGGTAATCAATGCAAGAGCACTGGCCATAAGGGTCAATCTGAGTAACCTTGATGGGCTTGGATAAGCTATTGTCATAGCATGATTTAATGTAGCCTTGACAGTTTAAGGCGTGCTGTTTGTTATTGAATTGTGGAACCCTTTATCTGGGATATTGTGCAACTATGGTAGCAGGGCATAGTTATCATATTTGAATATGCTTGTTATTGATTTGATTTTATTTCGATAAAGATACCATAACCTATTGATGATGTATCATTTCTAAACCGGATCTCCAAATGCGTAGAAACAATCAGTTCAGGCACCGACCACATCAGATTAAAAACTTTGACATGAAACAGGATTCAGTTACGATCCGAATTATGGCATGTTCAGGAAAATAGATTTGATCTATTATCCTATCACCCAAATCAACCCATCTAATACCTTATCCTCGCATCAAATCCCTCAATTCGAATAGTATATAAACCCTGTTATTTCCAGTGTAGTAAACGACATTCTTTACCTGATTAATTTTATACTCTTTTTTATAAATAATTTATTTCTGATAAATCACCTATTACGACCATCACGGGTGTGAGTGAGTACACTGTGACCAGGAGTGATTCATTCACACGATGTAAGAGATAAGTGTGCATCTTTACTTTAGTATGCTTAAATGGTTATTGATATACATTGAGCGCTTTTATTAATACATCCAAATAACATAAATTTGAATGAGAACTATTTGATGAATTTTGGTTTTCAATCAAGTAGTTGCGTTTGGGTGGCTATTTCGTTACAAGCGTGTTTCGTTTTGGTTATTTCTTCTTAATTATCAGCGTTGTTCAACATTGTGGATAGACTTTAAGCTTACCTTTACGGTTAAATATGATATATCTGTTGTGGACGACCATCAACAGGGTTTTGCTGAGTTGAAAAGCATTTTGATTAGCCCGAGCAAGCCGTTAGATTCAAATTTGCATAGTACCACTGACGCTCAAGTCTTAGAACCACTGTAATCGAGCATTTCAAAAAGAAAGATCTGAAAGATCTGATGGCCAGGATTAGAATAAAAGTGTCTATAACTTAGAGATTGAACTCTGTACAATGCAGAACATCAGGGACATTAGACAGAACTGTAATCTACTCACTTCTTTGTCAGCACAAAATACTACGCCTTATTTTCAGGCCAAATTCTGTCTAAATCTAGTCATTTTGAAGCGCGAATAACTCATGCTACAAAGCGTTTTGAGCGCTTGGAATAGCACCACACACCTTCTCTTGGCCACGCTTCTCTTACCGGTGCTTTATCTCAATTTTTTTGGGTCATTGCAAATTTACTAAAAATCGTCATTTTCACATGAGTATTAGCAAGGGAAAATTCTTGAAAATCAAACGATCGCGTTTTTCAGCGCAAAAATGAAGACTTTTCCTATGATACATATTAGATCAAATTAATCGTAAAGATAAAATAAAACATCAGAAGTTGTTTCTCTGGAGCTTTCATAAGCTAAATCTTGACATATTTACAGAAAACCTGTTTTCATACTTTTGCAAATTGCTCATTATTTTCGGTCTGAAAGCTAAATGCAACCAGCATCATTCGATGCGCCTTCATTAACTCTTTATAGATGCATCAGAAAGTAAAGTATAACAAGGACAATTCTCATAGTCAAATTTAGCAAAAACGTTTAAAGAATGTGAAATCAAGTCGAATTTGAACACGAAAATACCCACTGCACAATTTCAAATTAAAGTGCAGCAGTTACGGTTGCCACGGCAGAAGGCTGAGGCCAAATCTACTGGGCGTGACGTCGGTTAAGGCGCCCTCTCATTTTTCCATACCCTCGTTTTTTATCCTTTTTGCAAATTGCGTTTAGTATCAAACCATATTCGTTTTAGAACACTTTTGATTAAAAATAACACTCTAGCTTCTGATAACACGGCCTTGCACTGTTAAAAGTGCTTAATACTGCTTCTTTAAAGTGGAATATAGTAGGTACTATTCGATAAGAAGCACTAGAAGACGTAAAATCAGTACTAATCGAATTTGTTTATTAGGTTTCGATAATTTTCTGCCTGTTTGACGTCGGTGCTGCTGCCATTACTTCTCTGCTATTTCTGCTATTTGCTTCTTTGGTTTATTATGTCTGGTGGTTGCTTCGTTGGTCTCTATCTCTAGTGGTTGCTTCTTTAATCTTTGTCTGGTCTCTGGTGCCGTTCGTTCTTTGGTTTTTCTATGATGCTGATGTTGTTGCTGGTGTTGTTGCTGCTAGTCTGGTCTTTCTTGGTTTGCTGTCTCTGTTGTTTCTGGTGTTGCTGCTGGTGTTGTTGCTGCTAGTCTGGTCTTTCTTCTTGGTCTGCTGTCTCAGTTGTATGTTTGTTCTCTGGTCTATCTCTGGTAGTTGTCTATTCTCTGCTGGTCTATCCGTGGCTGCGGCAAGTGGTAAGTAACTTTTTTTTTTCTTTTGGTCGCAATGATATAAAACTTCTCTGGACGTTTTTATTATTGCTTTTTTTTCTCGTGATAATGCATTCATGATGTTTGCTTTGTTACGATTTCTTTTTCTTTCGTTGGCTGTGATATGATCAGCTCAACGGATGCTTGCGATGTTGTTGCTTCGTATGTACGAACAACAAGCATGATATACTGCTATATATCTGTATTGCCATTGTAATACTACTTTGTTATATGGCCGTGGGTTGTTGTTTGTGTCGCCTCTGTCGCTTCACATGAAACAACATTAATCACTATGTTGTATTGCACACTTATAATACTGATGTTGCTCATGCAATTGTGCGTGTTTGTGTTGCTTGACATCCGACTATTACCACCATGCGCGTTGCTCATGCATGCATTTTTGTTGCAACAACAGCAAGCTGTTCTGAACATTCTTTGATGTTGTATTTGTTGTTATGCTTTTCTTTTGACTCACTTTTTTGTGTGAGTGTTCCTTTTTTTATCTACATGCTACTATACTCCTATAGTAGTATGTTCTTTTCTTCTTTTCCTTTTTTCTTTTATTATGTTTCTTTCGAAGCATACCTCTTTATTACGTTGTGGTGGATGTGCCTATCGCTGAAGCTCAACAAGACTTTATCCGAGACTAGGAGATGGATAGGCTGCCTCCACTTAATTATTGCTACTTACTTTAGTGATGATTGAGAGTCTCAACACCAGAATCTAAAAGCTAGGTGGTGTAAGTAAGGCATGCTCTAGCACCTGAGGGAAATTTGATGATAGTAACAGCTATATTGCTATATATATCGGAGCTTAAAATTTTGCCTCACATCAAAACAGGGGGAAACCCTCGCAAAAATTTTTTTAGGTCAGCGGAGTTTTTGAGCAATCTGATTGGCTGAGGGATTGAAAGAGAAACGGTTTACAACGGGTTGATTTTCTGTTGATCTGTCATTTATCATGATTTGTCGTTTGTAATAATAAAAGCGTAATTAAATGGAAACAATTTAAATCCTTCTTTATTCAAGAGTAATATAAGGTGCAATCATTGAGTTCATTATCCAGTAAATAATTTTATGTGAGCAATGTTTTTTAAAATATACCGGTATTTTCCAGGGAATATTATATAATAGGTGGTACTACAGTAGTACGGAACATTAGGTACAGGGTTCTCCCAGTACCAAATGTCCCACCAAATAAGTAAAGTACCGCATATCATTGATTTCCAACATCTATGTTTGAATTTTTCCATCAAGATTAGCTATCTTTTACCTCATATCCAAGGCTCTGAATGTACAAACATATTTCCGGTTTTAAAAATTGGGCCATCTGAAATCCAGTTCTGAAATATTACTGATGCTAAAACTCTGACAATAACATGTTCCTAGTAAAACCTTACGAAGAAAACAATAGTGCAGTTGGATGGAACTTAGATTGCATGGTAGGTTATCGATGACTGATGATGAGAGACCGGTAATTTTCAAGATAATCTTACGATGCACCTTGAATTTCATATGAGAACCTATCAATTACAAGAAGTAATTGCAAGCCATAGATGGATGGATTAGAAATTGGAAATTGTTATATTCAAAACTGTTTGTTGATATTTACTTACATTATGGTTTGACAAACTCTAAAAGCAGTATAGCAGCACATTTTATGAAAACAGAAGGAACAGCTATTCCAAGCTCTATGTTAATGCTAGAACCTTTATATTAGGGCTATTATATACCCCCTTGGAGGGGCTGCTATACATATGGACGGATTTTCAGTCGCTATATTGGTTGTCAAATAATTAAGCGAGGAAAGTGTAAAGTAGCCAGTATATAAAAGAACAGTGTTTGGACGCTGTTTCTTGATCAACGTTATCCGACTACTGTTACATCTAACGGGTCCCTACCCATTAGTTTCCATGAGTGAAAATACCTGTATCCAATTCATCATAATGCTTTATATTCTTCTGATTTAATTTATATGTCGTCCTTTGATAAATTAGCCTTTTTTTCAAATTTCCTTGCAGCAGATGGCTCTATAAACTGTTTGGGATTACGTAATTAAATTCAAGACATTAGAGTACTGGATGACACGTTCACATACGAACCAAGTGGAGGCCACAAGATCCAACCCTTATGGCCTCAATTTTGTATTTTTTTTTTTTCTTTTTCTTTTTTTTTTTTTTTTTTACCATGGCGATAACGTAAGATGATTTTGTGCAAGAGCCCTTAATTTTACAGCACACAGCATCAAGAATCAATCTGTAGATACCAGGGAGACACTACCGAATAAGCTCCGTACATTGATCGTGGAAGTTGCTACAATCAACGAGAAAATGCTCAAATTTTTACGGAAGAACGCCCTGCACTAGAGCAATTTCACTCTCGAAATCTTCTAATAATCTCCACATTAACGCATCCCACCTAAGACAATTCATCGTCCCTGCCAAGAATGGAAATGAGGAAGAATTGGTAAAAGAGTGACATCTTAAGGAAATTCGTGATACATACAGAGCCATTCTATACTTTCAAACATCTTCCTCAATTGCCAACCAAGAAGCCCACCTTTATATGTTGTTGAGCAATGCATCGCACTACCTCCGTCAGCAGATAAATACAAAATGCACTGCAAAAAATTGTTTTCTGTGTTCAAGGTCGTCTGTAAGTCTTTGGAGCGTCTGAAAGTAGATTTGAGGTTTGACAAGGACTACAGTTTGACAAACAGCAATTGGTGTTGACTTCAGCAGAAGTTAGATATAACAAAAAACATGCATGCTAACAATTGAAAGTGATGATTGAATATAATACTACAAACAGATTACCTTTGGCTTGATGTATGGATGCTATCAAATGTAAAGTCTGGGGCAACAGAGATTGACCTCGTAGGCAGTGTCTGTAGTGCCCATATTAAATTTACCAGCCAATACACAATATTTTTTTCTTGTACTTCTTTCACTTTTTTTTTTTACCATCACAAAGCTCGACTTGCTCCATGACCCTCATCACAACAGAAGACAACAACAGTAATACCACAGCGATCAATTTAGCGCTTACAAAGGGACATTTCTCACATCCAACACCGAGCGGACGACAAGATGTCTTGGCCTTGAAGCAACGTTTAGCAGATGCTTTGGGTGAAAATGGGCCATTGTACTGGGACGCACTCAGAGACTTTGTGATGGGAAAGCTGAATCGACAAGAATTTGATTTCTATGCAAATTTATACCTCAGTAGACAGAATGGTAACGATGGTGTGGAGCACGATGGATGGCATTGCCCTAATTTAATGTGTTTGTTTTCTTAGCCTATCTTCACAACGCTTTCATTCTTAGTACAGTACATAATGCGCAAACAAACACACCGCCACCTTCAAAGCATAGACTTGTAGGCTGGGCAAAAAGAAAACGAGGAAAAGATGGAAGTCTCACAGCTGATGGAGAGTTAGAGCAAGACCCCAAGAAGCGAAAATTAAAATCAGATGTCATGGCATTGAGCAAAGCAGAGCGTGAGCGACTGAAAGCGCTAGTCAAGGTGCGTTAAATTTTGACCATGTATACCAAAGGAGCGTCTAACATCTAGCATAGTCTGGCGACAAGAACAGTTTAAGGCCATTTGTAGATAGACTATTAGGCACACGCATCAGTCGACCACCTACACTACCCATTGCATTCAATCAACTACCACCAAGTAAGGAGAACGCATGGATTAAAATCGATGCGAGCCTGCTAACCTTTTTGCAGATTACAGCCAAGAATATTCCAAGGGACTTATGGCGCCATTATGTGTGGATTTGAAGGAGCTGCCATCTCCAGAGACATTGCACGCAAGAATGACAAGTATTGCATTGGAAAATGGATTACTGGGAGGGATCGGAGAGGATGTAGTCAATGTAATGTTATTTGCAGCCGAGGTAACATCTAAAAATGATATTTGTCTTGAGTGGACATTACTAACTGTGGTGTATACAGAATTATATCAAATCATCAATCACCAGTGCCATCAGTAAACGACGAGTGAACCGATGCATTGGAGTTAAAATGGTGCGCGAGGAGGATGAGGACCAGGACATGACAAACGAGCAAGAGCAATCATCCATTTCATTGCGTGATCTTGCATTTACATACCAAATTACACCCTATGTGCTAGTGGAGAAACCATTGAATGCAGAAAAGCTTACAGCACTTTTGGAGGACAGTGAGGACGAAATGATGGTGGACAATCTCAGTGACAGTAGTTCAGAGGAGGATTATGAATTGTAAAAACAATAAATAAGATCAACGATCAATACGTTTATTACTGCTATAGTCATTGCTGTGGATGGAGTTTGATAGTGATGCGCTTAAAGCAGCTGCCACAGTCGCTGTTACACCAACTGTCGTGTATGCAATTTGTTGTTGCGATGTGCCTGCCAGTAATTTAGCCAGTGTCTTTTTGAAGGTATCTTCTACAGGGCCTCGCAGGAACAGGTATAATATGACCCAGTACAGAGCGCCTTTGTAGGCAAATGACAAGTGAAACAGCTTTCTTGTCAGTCGAAGCATCTTTTGTTCAGCTCGTAGCAGTTGATGCTTCATGGGCGAATTCAGATAGACACTTTGAGGGTGATTGTCGGGCAACATGTGAGGGAAATGCACTAGCGACTGCTGTCCATTCAATAAAAGAGCTGCTGTATCGCTATCTATAAAATCGTCCTCACCATTGTACAAGTCCTCGTCTCGTAGTTGCTGTAATTCGTCAGAGGAGAGTAATTGCGAAAGTCTATTTGATAATTCTTGGCCATCCAATGTATTCGGGTTGTTGTTGTGGGATACGCTTGAATTGAATCTGAAAAAGGAAGTTAAGAATGTGTCGCCCATGTGGAATCCATTCAAAAAGTATCTTGGCTCTGATGGAGATCGACTCACGAGTTGCTGTTGACGGTTTGGCAGGTATGAATTGATGGGTGTAAGTGTGCCAGGTGTGCCATAGATACTAGGACATGCGGATGTATAGGTGGATCGAATAATCTCAGAATGCCTAGAAGGCTGTCTGGATAGATAGGCGGGTGCATCGAAGAATATACTGCTGCCTGTAGAGGATATCGATGACACTGACGAGCTTCGAGACAAGCGAGTGGCTGGCTCTTCAATCTGAAATCTGTTTTCTGTGGCATACAGATCCAGTATTAAATCTGATTCTAGGCTCCAAACATACTCATCCTTGCCACCAAGCGCTACAGTCTTGTTAGTCATGTTGACAGCAAAAACGCTGCTTAGACCGAGCTTACCTTTGAGACAATCATTCTCGTCAATCACTTGCTGTATCTCAGCACCACTAATAAAATTCACTCGAGCCTTTGCTTGCTCGGATAACACCAATTTCACCACCTGCCATATACCTTGATACATCCATCCAAAGTTCATAATGTACACCGAGCCGATAAATCCAGGGAATCGAGTGTTTGTGATATTTTTCAAATTATGCATTAAGTTGGAGTCGATGGGGACAAACGGAGCTTTTTGAATGTCGATAATGATGGATATCTGTGAAATCAGCACTGGTTTGTCCTTGATTTGATCTTTTTCGTTTTTTCTAGTCAAATCTCGGGTCATTTGTCTTGCAATCTCCATGACGAGACAAGCAAATGGTTGCATGAAATCTGAAAGTGGTCTATTTTTCTCTCTAAATTTGGGAAAATGACGCATCTGAATCACTGCCACGGGACGACCGATGAGATCCTGCTTATGAAAGAACGCAAATCCACTTTCAAAGAACTCTGCTGCTATTGACTGGTACGTCATGCGACCGATCTTTTCGTCTTTTCTCCATTGAATTGTGTCAAGTAGTCGCTCCAATGCTAGGTCTTCCGAGAAATCCGAGTCTTTTAAAAATCTAAACAGTGTCACTATCGCAATATCAATACAGAATAAGATATTGGGCGAGTGGTGTCAATTGAAGAAAGCTTACCTCGATCGCTGGCATATTCCAGAGCATCTCGTTTGTCTTGTATGTCGAAGCCAAGTAATGGGATGTCTCGCTCAAGTCGTTGATGTATATTTGCAATTGAAGGCTGGTATTTGAGGTATTCATCGTTGAATAATATACTGTTTTCTCTAGCGACAGATAGCATGATAGATGTCTAGTGAAAGAAGGAAAAAGAGAGAGAACCCTCGCTAATGCCCCCCAGGTATCCCAACTTTTGTGGATAACTTTTTTTTTTATACGGCAATTGAATTTGCTAATGGAACTGCAAATCCACATCATAACGTCATTTTACACAAACAAACAAAGGACATGCAGTTCAGATTTGACGCATCTTGCGATTTATGCTGTGTTTATTGCCATGCTTTTTGGGCACTCTAGAGTCAATATTGTAAGATATGCAGTGACGAGAAAGTTCAGTTAATAAATGCAATGCAAAATTGTTTTTATTTTAACAGAAACGTTGCTTTCTAATTCTGTGCCACTTGGCCGCCATCTTCTGACTTGAACATGAAATTGACAAATGGTAGTATAAAAGACATTGCCAGCTCATCACCAATCCAACTATACTTCTCGGCTTATGCAGCTTCGCTTGATCAATGCCTATGTCAACAAACTTGAACTTCACAAGCATGAGCAACTCTTGTTCAATCTTCTCGGCCATCAACATCTGCGCTATGGTCCACTTGAGGGCTGTTGATTGTGAGGAGAGCACCGAGATTCATTCTGCGATACCTCTGATGTGTCTTAGCACTTTCTTCTTCGAGGATTATGAACTACCTGGTGTTTTCCCAAGGCTATACTTAATTGACATGCCGAAAACAATTTCAAATATACGCCTTTTACTGGAGATTGTCGTAAGCAATCAAGTCGATGATGTGCTCATGCACATCCGTTTGCATCGCTTGTGCAACCTTTTCAACCGAATTGACCTCTACATGACCACTTGCCCGAATTCTCTTCTCCTCAGTGTCCCTGATACAGCAAAACCTGAGTGCATTTAAGTTGTGTTTTCTTGAATAATGGTCATTTTAGATGGTCAGAATAGCACCAAACAATTGCTCTCATCTAGGAGTTACTTCCTGACACCTTTGCTCAACTTTTTGGGGACCAAAAAAACATGGTCAAAAATCGACCAAAAAGCTTGAGGTACCCCTCATGGTTTTCATCGAAAATCAAACGATCGCATTTTTCATCTTGATAATGAAGACTTTTACTATGGTATATCTTGAATCAAAATGTTTCTATCAATCCAAAGCAACCTCTGAAATCATCTTTGTGAGACTTTGATATGTAAAATTTCGACATTTTGGCCAGAAACCTCTTTTTATATTTTTACAAATCATTCAATAAGTGTATTCAAAACATCTATATAACTTGGTACCATTGGAAGCGCCTTGAAAAGTACTCCAGGAAAGTTTAAGGAAGCATGGGGTGATTATCATACTTCACTTAGTCGAATCTGCAAAAATAGCTCGATCGAGTCCAGAATCATTAAAATTTGTCCAATCGGGAACAGACTATGATTCTGGGTTTGAATTAATTTTGGCTGGCGGGGCCAGCTGGCAAACTCAATGCAATAATAATAGATGCTCTTAAGGCCAATGGAAAGTAGGTGAGGAAATACATATATTGTTATCGTTAGCCATGTTATTTTTCTTTAAAATCTTATTTTTTATTACGCCAGTCTACCAAAATACTTTCAAGGTCCATGTCTTTCTTTTTTGATGCTTCGAAAGTGTATAGGGACCATAAATTCATTATGCTATGATGTGCAAAAGCCATATGCATGCCATCAATCTCCTACTCACACAAGTAATTACCGGTGTCTCCAACCAAAGTCAAGCATCTGCCAAGTAAACACGGGGAGGATGTTTCAAAGGTATCAACTCCCTCATGTACTTGTAGAGTTTTCAATCAAATGCTACTCTTTAAGCCTTGAAATCTAGTAGAAGAAATGCCATCTAAGCAAGATGATTTGTCACAAAGTGGACATGTTGTCATGGTTGGCGGCTGATGCACTTTGTTATCCAAATATACTTTTGTGGTTCGCAAATTACCCAAGATAAGTTCGTTCGCATGTATCATTCAGGGCTGTCTATACAAAGCGGTTTATTGGGAAAATCAGCAGCTTACATGGAATCTATCATATTGTTTTAGTTCAATGTTTTTCTCGGATTACAGCATTCGCTTCTGCAATCAACACTACCTGTGTAGACAGCTGGAAATACACAGTGTGAATGCTCATTCAAGACAAATGAATACAAGGCGGTCCCTATCATTAGAGACGATATAAAGTGCCTTTGTGGGTGTTTGATCATAAAGATCAAAATCCTGACTATACATGATAGAAATCAAAAACCTCCAAGTGCGCGGAGCATGATCTACACAAGTGCAAACTGAAAATGTTGACTGGCTCTTTTGCCATTTTCTTTTACTCCCATCATGTCATTTTCACTTTATGGAGCATTGCCTCCATCTAAATCAGACAAAGCTGGAGCTGACGGCACCAAAAACGAAGCTTCAGCAAATCAATCAAGCGGGCTATACTCATCTTTGTCTGCTCCAGAGTCAGGATCCACGAAATTCAAAAGCAATCCACAAGAGTCGTCTTTGAAACCAACATCGCTAGCAACAACAACAACCACTACTACCACTACAGCAAGTACAGCCGATGTGCAACCAACTAAACCAGCAGGTAACTAGGTTTTATCACAAGTGAAGCGTATGCATTACTCACATATACTTAGGATGGTCTGCCATCAACACATTTAGACCTGTTTTGCGTCGACCGACTATCCAAGCAAAGCCAAAGCTCAACAAACCATTCATTCCCGCTGGAGCGACGATTGTATCAACAAAGACGATTACCAAGGAGGACAGAGAAAAAGAGCTCCAAATGGAATCCGAGGCAAAGAAGGCGTCCCTGGAAGAGCAGCAAAAGAAGAATGACAATATAGACTTGGGCGTTATCCCATTACTGACAACAGCCGACGATGTCAATGGATTTCGTGCAACACAAAAGGCCAGCAAAAAGAAAAAGAAAGGCGGCAAAGCAGCAGCAGCCAATGCACCTCCTCAGCCTGTTGTGTTTAATATGCTGGAGGATTACGATCCTCATCGACCCAACGACTACGAGCAATACAAGGAAGAGCGACGAGAATTAAAGGAACAGCAAAAGAGAAAGAGAGAATGGGAAAAGAAGCAGGACGTGGAGAGATCTTGGTCCAGATCAAGGTCGCCCTCGAGATCCAGATCCAGTTCAAGGTCAAATTCACCATCAAAATCCAGATCATCGAGTCCTCACGCACATGTTGCTGTGGATCCTTCGCCATCGTCCAAGATCAATGTAAACGAGACAGCAGAGGATGCTTATAGGCGACGATTAAGGATGAGCCAGCAACAACAACAACCAAATATCATGCCAGAGCCACCCAGGTAGACGAGATAAACTGGTGGTTGATAAAGACAGAGACTGACTTGTAGTTGTTTGTGTAGAATGGAAGAGTTAGGTCCAGCTCCACATGTAGCTGCCCCTATCATAAAAGAGATACCATCCCAAGTGATTCTGCTCACCAACATGGTTGGGCCTGGAGAAGTAGATGACATGCTACAGGAAGAGACAGCCGAAGAGTGCTCCAAGTATGGCAAAGTAGAGAGATGTCTTATATTCGAGGTCCCCAAAGGCAGGATCAGTGACGACCGAGCCGTTCGTATTTTTGTTCAGTTTTCAAGCATGGATTCAGCACGAAATGCCATTCAAGATCTGCATGGCCGTTTCTTTGGCGGCAGAATTGTGTCGGCTACCTACTTTGACATGAAGCGGTTTGAACGGCTGGATTTAGCTCCTTCCAAGGAGGAGTTTTGCTAGAGCAACACAGGAGCAGCGCCGTCTCAAAACCAAGGGCATGACAACGACGAGCTCTTTTGTCATAACACATAAAGCAAAATAAAAAATTACCTTCTTCTCCTTTTGTTCAAGTCTTTAAATACATATACACCATGAATGGGTAAATTAAATGCTGTTACGATGGGTATCAAACTGTATCAATTGACTGTCTCTTTCTGTAAAGGTTGGATTATGACCTGCATTCTCGTATTCTTATGAGTCTTGCAGGCGTGCTGGCAGACGCCAGAGCAAAGACAACAAACGAAGAAGTCGAACGATTGATATCCAAATGTCCTGATATTCCAGTCATGTCTATTGGCGATACAACCATCAATGTGCCTGGCCAGCAGCTCAGCGTGGGACGTATGGTAAGTGTAAGCAATCCACTAGTAGGCTAGTTTGACCGACACAGACGCTTCCTATACAGACGTACCGCTACCAACATACACTGGATGCTTTGATAAAATATACGACAGACGCAACAGAAGACAGACAGACTGAACTGGCACCTCGCATCCTCAGCTATTTGAAGCATCTGCCCATCTATGAATGGGATGAGCAGATTATCACAGCAGGGTCCACATTGCCAGACAATGTCACTTACAGCCTTGTTTCCGGGCTGTTGGAAATAGCTCATCAACGCTCAGAATTGAGAGAGCACATTTACAGCACACTGTGGAACTATGGACAATGCATCATCAATCTGATGGACGAGACGGACAAGGAATATATTGTCTATTTCATCCTGCCCTCCTTGGCAGGCCTGGCCCGTGCGTTGCAAGTGTCGCCTTACCTTTACAAAGCATATCAGCTTCAGGCGCTCTGCGAGTACATGCAGCCATTGATTGTAGACAAGACATTGGAAAACATTAGAAACGCCATTGACAGCTGTCTCAGGGAATGTGATGCCGAAGCCTACAGTAGACGAGTGCTAGCCAGTTATTGGGAAGCAGGCATACCTCTCAGCTCCAACAGAATCATCCACGACCTGCTCATCATTCTTCGCAATGTCACCGCACGTGTGATTGCAGTCTCCAACCCCACCAACGAGCAGCACGAACAAATCAGCCTTAAGAAGCTGCATCTCACCACTAACATTGAAAATGCCTGGTCGGATTTGATGATCAAGGTGGCAGAAGGTGTTCAGCCTCAAGGAGACCAGGTGTCTGACACGGACAAGAAACTCAACAAAAATCTGAGAGGGATCTATGTCATGAGTTTGGGCTATTTCGATGACATCAAAAAGTATGCGGTCAAGAGGGAAAACGAGGGCAAGAAGTGGTCGTTGGACTCTTACATGAAGGAGATCATGGGCACCAGTTTGCAGGTAGCAGCTTTGTCGTCTGTCTATTTGCATCAAGTGGATGATGTCTTGATCAATTATGTGTACGAATGCTTGTTTAAGAATCCCAGTGGCAGCGATGCCTGGGTCCACGTAGCGTCTCTAGACACTGCTGTGCTCTTGGCTATCAAGTAAGTCTTCTCCTTATGTATGACCGCAAAAATACTCATCTCGTCCTATAGTTTCCCTGGCTTGAACAACAAAATGACAGAAACTATCTGCCGTTACTTGGCTACACCATCTCCTGTGTTTGAGTTGACCACTGAGTTGGATCAAGAGACACTGACGATGCAAAGGTTTGCCATTATTCGCTTGGCTCAATGTGTGCAAACCAAACCATCTGCTCAGATGCGTCAAGCAGCCAACTCGACGTTTTACGCTCTTTTGAACGAAATCGCACGCTACTCTGATCAAGACACCATTGGCAAGCAGCCTTCTCTGGTGCATCCCAACGACATTGCAGGTACGCCTGCTGTACAACTACTAAACGAATCGCAAAAGCAGCAAGTATGCGTCAATGCGCTCTCTGCCATTGTCGGTGTGGCTGTGTATCTCAAGGATGAATCTGTAAGTAACTGCTGCTGCTATTGTAATCCGTATGATGGAAGCTCAACATATCATCTAGATCATATCTCAAGCTTACTCTGTCTTGTCGCTGCGTCGAAAATCCTTTTCCGTATCAGCCATCGCCACACTCACCAGCAGCTTGGTGGATTTAGCACTTGTCAGCTCTTTGAGCGTGTTTCGCGATATCATCAACTTGTTTTCTGTACTAAGCAGAGAGTCTTTGATGGTAGACAACAAGCAGCTCACCTCAGCCATCCTCAATGCTCAATACGGTCTCGCCAAGAAGCTCTCATCCAAGCCTGAACACTATGATTGCTACCTCAGCAACTTGCTGGGCTTGTTTGTGGAGAACGGTAACACTATTCAGCGCATGATCAGCAAGAACAAGAAGGAATCCGAACTGCCTTGGATATCCAAGCTGGGCAAGCTTCTCCCTGTGATTCGCACGCTGCTGGAGCACGACGACTTTAACCCTCATCTGAGCCCGAGCGAAGACACCGTGTCTCTCTTCCGCAACACTTGGTTCCATTGCATCTTGTTTGGCTTTGTGACAGAAACCATCTGGATCCGTGAATGGCACGAGTCGATGCTCTTTATCGCTAAAAAGACACCTGCCCTTGTCATTGAAAGCGCTACCAACTATCTTGAAAGCGACCTCGAATACAATTCCGTGCTGCGTGGAGCAAACACGTCAGATCGAGACATTGGATCCTTGCGACAAAAACTGACAGCATTGTTACCCGCTTTGGCCTACGACACCAAGAATTTCTCATTTGCTCAGGTTGTGTTTGCGCTCAGTGTATATCATATTGAAATGATGAGAAGTAAAGCAGGCGATTGCAGCTATATTTTGCGCTACTTTATGAATGACGGTGTCAGCAACAGCACCATGTCCAACTGCTTGGAAACCATTGCAGACCGAGTGGTTACTGCTTACATCAAGGACGCTTCTTACAAGGCTGCCTTCCAGAGTTTGGACAGTGAATTGCGTACACAAATGACTAATTTACTCAAATTGTGCTGTCATCGTCTACGCAAGGTGCACTCGCTCGCTGTCAAAATATCAGAGCGCATCGTCACTACGTTTCCTCAGGTATTCGCCGAGAAGTCATTGATTACGCTGTTGCTAGAACTGGTGCAACTGCTGTGGTTGAGTTGCGAAGCCGAATACCGCGACGAATACTATCCTACGTTCCAATTTACGTCGCCTCGCGTGGGTGTCACGATTGAGCTGGGCGACTCGTTTACTTATCGCAAGGACATTTGCTCTCACATGTATGAAAATGGCAAGAAATGGCTTCAGATATCCATGGACCGTGCTCCCATGGAGATCAATGGCTTGCTGCAAGACTATTTGGCCGAGTATGTGCGCTACGATCCTGGCGTGCCCATTGATTCAGCTCATCTAGGCAGAACGCTGGCTCTGGAAGTGGGTAAAGCAGCTGCCAAAAATGAAATGACAGTGGATTTCGTGCCTCGTGTGCGTGGCGTGCAGCTGGACGATTCATCTGATTTTGTCGATGGATTCACCTCAAGACGCTACTACATTGGTGAAGTCAGCGGGATCGAGTACCTTGCGGGCATGCGTCATGGCGCTGACAAGTTGCCAGATAACAATACAGGCACTGGTTTGAACGAACAGGTGCCTATTGTTTGTAAAACATTGCAAGCCCTGTTGGATGATGTGAAGCAAAGCCGTAAGATTCCAGTGGATCGTTTGAGACGCACCATGCTCCAAACAGCCAGTTTTATCGTGTCTCTACCGACCATTCATCCTGATCTGATTACGTATATTGTGCGTATCCCTGTCCATATCTTCACTCCTGAATCACTGGAAATAGGCACGGATGTCTGGAACTGGGTTCTTGTGGAGAGATCAGACATTGAAAAGCGATTGATGGTGGAGATTCTCAACATGTGGAGTTGGGCTCAGCGCTACAGAAAGGGCCTCTTCTCGCCTAAACTGAACGCAAAGCACCCGTTTGTCAGCAGAATGACCTATGCCCCCTCAGATAGATCCATCATCGACAAAAACAGCCGCAACATGACACGTCTGTTTACACCTCACATCACTTGGATCAAGTTCTTGACCAGTCGATTTTATGCCATTCGTCATCGCAGTAAGCATTTGATCAACATGCTGATCCGTCTGCTGCAGGATACCTTCCACAACTCGCACTTGATGAGCACACACTCGTTTGCTCGTCTTCCTCGCTTCCAGCTGCTGTTCTTGGGCATGAAAATTCTTCATTCGGCACAGATGGAGGCATTGGCAGAGTATCGCTTCCGCTCTCTAGTGTATGGCTCTGCGTTTAACTGGTTCTCTCTGCCGCCCAAATGGCATTATGGCTCTCGCAAGAGTTATGCGCTGGTGGAGCAAAAGATGCTCACGGATTTCTATGGCGTGGTCATCAACGATACGCCGCGTCTCACGGATCTTGTCACCAGCTCCACGTCTCGCAACAGTAGCTCTAAGGTTGCGTCTGGCCTCTACATGTTTTTGAGCGACAAGACCAAGGATGATATTTTGCGCGAACAAAAGCTGACCAAGCGCCTGCTTTTGTTGCTGTTAGACAGTGAGCTGTCTCGTCTCGCTGTGTGGTGCAACCCCTTGAACGCTGTGGGTCCTGGCTATCCTGCCAACTATATTGGCAACACGGAAAAGTCATTCACGACGGACGATAGCTGGAAAGAAATGGTGCGTTTTGCCTGGGAGACATCGCCCAAAGTAGCCGTGCAAATGGCAGCTCGTTTCGTGCAAGTGGCAGTGCAAAGAGAGTTGCATACCTTGATTGCCAACAACACATTGGATGTGGTGGATGTGCCCGAGGCATTGGAGCTGTTGCTGGGAGAAAAGGTGCAGCCCAACGCTAAGCTTGATTTGCGCTATTTAAAGTACTGGGCACCTGTACCAGCCATCACAGCCGCCAACTACTTTATGCCCGCCTACGGCAATCATCCCTTGATCTTGCAGTATGCTATGCGTAGCCTGGAATATTATCCTGTGGATACTGTCTTCTTTTACGTGCCTCAGATTGTGCAAGCACTTCGCTATGATGAATATGGCTATGTGGAAAGATACATCATGGAAGCTGGCCAGGTCTCTCAGCTGTTTGCACATCAGATCATTTGGAACATGAGCGCCAATTTCTATGTGGATGCAGACAAGGAGTGCGTCAAGGTAAGTGCTTTGATTTCTTTTGTAGATTGTGCTAATGTTTGACGCTCTCTTCTTAGCCTGATCCATTGAAACCCACTTTGGAAAAGATCATTAATAATCTAGTGTCATCCTTTACTGGCGCAGATCGTGATTTCTATGAGCGTGAATTCAAGTTCTTTGGTGATGTTACAGCCATCTCTGGTTATCTAAAAGAGTACATTAAATACGGCCAGACAGAGAAGAAGCCCATGCAGAAGGTAAGCATGTGGGGATAGTATTACAAATGTATAGCTCCTTACAAAGATACAATCATATGATAGAAACGCCTGGATGAAGAACTCGCTAAAATTAAGGTGGATGTGGGTGTCTATCTTCCCAGTAATCCAGATGGCCATGTCGTTGACATTAACCGCACCTCGGGCCGTCCCCTTCAAAGTCACGCCAAAGCACCTTTCATGGCTACCTTCAAGATTGAAAAGGAAAAGGAGCAAGAGGAAGGCATTGACGATAACGCCAATGACGATGAATCACAAAAATCCGTAGTGACACTCTGGCAAAGCGCTATCTTCAAAGTGGGCGATGATTGTCGACAGGATGTGCTTGCCTTGCAACTGATTGCCGTGTTCAAAAACATTTTCACCAGCATTGGCATGGATCTCTATGTGTATCCATACCGTGTGGTTGCTACTGCACCTGGTCGTGGTGTTATTGATGTGATCCCTAGATCTATTTCTCGTGATCAGTTGGGCCGTGAAAAGGTCAACAGCATGTATGACTACTTTGTTGCCAAGTACGGTGGGCCCAATTCCATCGATTTCCAGAGAGCAAGGACCAATTTTGTACAGAGTGTCGCTGCCTACTCGTTGATCTCCTACTTGCTGCAATTCAAGGATCGTCATAATGGTAATATCATGCTGGATGACGATGGTCACATCATTCATATTGATTTTGGTTTTATCTTTGACATTGCTCCCGGTGGTATTGGATTCGAAAGCTCTCCATTCAAATTGACAACAGAGATGGTACAAGTCATGGGCGGTAATTCAGAGGAGCAAGCCTTCAAGCAGTTTTCTGAGCTTGTCATCAAGGGCTATCTTGCCTGTCGTCCTTATGCTGAGCTCATCATGCAATTGGTTACTTTAATGTTGCAATCAGGGTTGCCTTGTTTTAAGGGCGAAACAATCAAGAGAATGCGCACACGTTTCCAGACAGACAAGTCCGATAGAGTAGCTGCTGATTTCATGATTCAAAGAGTCAAGGATTCATTTGAGAACCAGAGAACAGTTTTATATGATTACTTTCAGAAGGTGACTAATGGCATTCCATACTAAAGCTCATTAATAAAAACATGCTCTGTCTATACTGAATAAGAACAAGATCTGCATTAGAGTGCACAAACCTACACATCAAGGTGGTGGGTCCGGAGATATAAACGTATTCAACGCTGAAATGAGACGGAAATGGATCTTGTACGAGTGTGTACATTAATGTCGCTCTGTGTTCTGTATGACACTGATTAGAGTGTCTCGCAAACAAGGTGCTACACAAATCTGCAACAATTTAACCAAGATTCTGTCAAACCACGTTTGATTTATACAAATCTAGCTATTCGCAATGGAAAGGAGTTGAAATGCTATTTAGAACGTTTGAAGTCCCAGGCCATGGAGCTCTCTGTCTTCAAACAGAGGATACGGATATCCAAAGATGCTGTACTGTATGTATTGGCAACCGTATCGTACAATGCACTAATGCCTATCATTCAAAAGAAAATTGCAACAGTGAGAGATCGCATAATACCTGATGTACACAAGCGCATGTAACACCTATGCTACAAACCAGTACTGCATAAATCACACGTGCAAAGATCTCCAAGTCGATGCAAACAAACAGATATGCTGTGCAATAGGTGAGGAGGGGTTCAGAAGACCTTGGATGGAGCATATTGACCAGGCAACAGTGCTTGAATTCTGTGGATAACAAGACATACTTTTCAAATAATCAAGTGAGGATATTAAGCATAGTACAAGAAAGCATCCTTAGCATCTCTCCTGAATATGTAACGATAGCTTGTGTACAGTTGAATAAGAACATGAGATGATCCTCTTATTGACCAGTCAAATATCTTCCTGTAACAAGTTTTTTTCGAAATCAGGAATTGATGGATTGCTTACATACAAACAAGTAACCACTAGAGGGTTAGAGCGTGCATATCACATACATAACACACACACTGTCAAGTACATAGGTTGAACGTGCATTCAAGTCATTCACCACAACCCCCTTACATTGTTCACGACATTTAGATGAAGTGGGTTGTTTTCACATTACACAAATTAGATGAGAAAAAAAAAAGGCGGTAAACCATGTATACGTTGAGTGAATAAATATTTAGCATTATTATTAGTATTAAAAGGAATTATATAGTATAGAAGCGAGCGAGAAAAGAAGCAAAAATTACACGGTAAATGGAGGATCAAGGGGGGGGGAAGGAGAAGAAAGAGAGGGATCTAATTTTTTTTTTTGTCGATTTTGTACAGTTGCTTAAGAATTTCTGATGTGATGAATGATATAGCCAGGTAAGCCATAGACACCAAAGCCCATAGCTTTAGCCATCTTTGCAAAGCCCTCAGTCTCCACTTGGTGTTGATAGACATAAGGAGGAAAGTTGGCACCTTCTCTATGCACTTGAGCTTTCACCAGTGTAAATGTGGCACCGACACCATCCAAAGGCACTTTCTCCAATTTTCCCAAATGCGTAGGCATATCTACCATAAGATAACGATTTGTCAAGAATTCGTAGTAACCCTCTAATAAGACATAATCCTAAAATAAGAGTTTATAAATAAGTCATTATGGAATAGCAAGAATCTAATTAACTTACCGGGTCGAGATCCTTTTGCATTTCAATAGACTTTTCAGTTTCCTGCCAGTTGTTCTTATCGTAAGCCCAGAACGAGCCGTCTTCAGTTTCCAGCAAACAGTTTGGCACAACGACATCCACATCCACAGATTGAAGGTCTTCCAAGATAGTGTCAGGGTATTCAACAACATCCACATCCAACCAAAGCACCCAAGAATGGTATTCACGCAAAGCCGCAGTCAACAGATAGTTTCTTGAACGAGCCATAAAAGATCTTCTCAAGGGTTGCAATTCAAATGTGTGTCTCTTGTCTTCCGGCAGTTGAAAGTCGAAATCCTTTTCATAGATGGCAATTTCATGATAGCGTTGAGAGGGATCTTGGCGATTCAAGTACTCGTCTGCCTTTTCCTTCAAAATGTTTACAGTTTCATCGGTTGTATCTGATACCAGAAATGCCACAGTAATTAAATCCTTGGGATAGGTTAGACGGTCAATCAATTCAAAGTATCTTGGGAGATAGGCTTCAGCATTTTTAAGGGGAGTGAGGATGATAACATGTTCTTGCTGATCTTTTGCATTTGCAGTTGCTTCCAAATCATTCAGATTAATGAACTTGGCTTGACCACCGCCTCTTTGATTGCTATTGCTGCTACCAGTGCTGCTTGAAAGTGCAACTGCTTCGTTCAGTGATCTGATTGTTCTGCCACAGGAATTGAGGCCAAGTGATGATCTTGAAAATGTAAAGAATGACAGTGTAATGAATGATATGATGGCCAGCACAAAGACTGTCAGTCTCTTGTTTCCTCTCAAAGCTGATGTGTAAATGTTGGATGGCTTTTCTGTGAGGATCATTGTTTTGTGTAAAAGGGATATAAAGTGAAGGAAAGGAAAGAAGAAGAAAAAAGAAAGAGCAAAAAGGAGCAAGATTATATAAGGGTGTCCTGCCTTTTTTTGACGTAGATCTTGCAATCTATTTTTAACAGTAATGGGGGGGACAAATGAATCTATTTTTCTCTAACAAAGCCTCTTTTTTTAACTTTGCCGGTTACACATAATATATACACAAGGTAAATTTGATGAAATGTAGATTATTACAGTGAAAGTGGACATCTATTCTAGAGAGCATCCTAATGGCTTATTAGTGATCGTGCTACCATGGATCGACCCACCATACAAAATCTCATCAAAGGGAGAGTGGGCTCATAATCTGGAATCTGTACCTGTCTCTTTCCCGTTTTCTGTTTTAACTAAAAAAAGACTAATAGACTATAATCTACACTTTTTTGCAGTCTAAAGTATATTTAGTTCATTGATATGATAGCATTTCGTTCAACATGCTATCCGAACCGCACATGATACTCTATAGCAAGATGCCTTACTTGGCAATGTTGATGGTTCAGTGTAAAGTACTCATCAATTTGATTACATGAAAGCAATGGATCCGAGAAATGGCTATCGTTTTCAGCCACAGCATGTTCTAGTTCCTTGATTGTAATCTTGATTTACAGTTTAATTGGGTAGGTTTTGTTGATTGTCAGATACGAAATGAAGGGCTTTTTCGCCAAGAAGCCACTCCAGGGTATCAACTAGGCTGAAAAAAAAAAAAAGTATTTCCAAAAATCCCAACTCCCATTACGAAATGCAAACATGATCTTCCATCAATTTGTCATTTGTTTACTTTTACTCAGCCTAATCCAAGCTATCATCAGGGCATATAAAGCGAGTGAGCATTTAAGACCATTATATTTATCTGTAGATAGGCAACAAATCCAAGACTAGATGTGGAATACGATAAATAATATAATATTTGCCATGTATTTAACAGCATCATTTAAAGAAGCGGCTGTCGAACCTAGGAAAGAGCTTTCTTGGTGCCCTCAAACCAGATCTTGGCATACAGCATTAATTTAGAATGTATATCTCAAAAGAGAAGGTGCTTCTATTCTGATTTATGATAGATATACTTTATTAGAGTGTATCAGCTGTACAAGCAATATACTATTATACAATATCGGTATTGTCCCGGATGTAGGTTATGTAAATACTATCTGAGGCCAGAACGTTTTTGAAAGCCTGCTTTCTCAAGCTTCTTTTATAAAGTTGGGTCAGACTACCTTCTGGACTTTCGAGTAAAGACAACACTGACAATCTAGATTTAAAGCAACTACGATGGCACTGGTTATGGAGCCATTGTTTTTATTGCGGCGAAGATCACCTTTCGAAAGCAACGTGTCAAACTGATGCCATTTTCTCTCGAAATGATCTTCAATGGATCGTTGTTCAATTTGTTGTACAACCATCATAGATTTTAACAGTAACTGATAAATATTGCACTGTTAGCATTTTGAAGATGATTTTAAGGAGTAAATTTCCAAGTTTTAGTCATAATTTAATATTGTTTAATGAATTGTAATATGAAAGTAGCATATCTTCTGTTTTTGTCGTGGAATGCTGCTGTATGACAACACACATGCTTAGTGACACTGCTACAAAATATGCTCAATCTTTCTCATAGGTGACGCTTCATTGGGTGGTTTCATTGATCCTGAGCAATTTATGCCGATTCGTAGCCAGTGGCTTATTATACTCAAAATTGCTGTGTATTGCGTCTCTTTTCTTTTTTATTCTGGAGCATTTACATATCAAAGATGGTTATACTGATCAATGGAGAAAAATACGCATGGTAAGAGGCTTTAGCAGCTTGCAATGAGATGGAGCATACTGACAGACGGCTCCAGCGCTTCTTGTATCAGAGGACATCGAGTAAAAAAATGCAATCACAACGACAGACAACTTGTGCCAATCGTCAAACGAGGTAGACAGGTCAGTCAATGCAATCATTGCCGAGATTTACGCAAAACAAACGGCACACATGTTAAATGTACCTGCGCCATTGCGAGCAGTAAGTCATTATAACAAACAATATATAACATATATCACTAATTTATTTAATTTATAGCGCCTAATCCGATCAATGGCTGCCTGTGCGAAGTAATAAATAGCTGTTCATGTGTAGCGAGTCATCTACAAGAGGTGCGAGATGATAATAGTACAGAAGGAAGTGTGTATTCTGAAAGCCCTTCTGTTGCTGAGACATTTCCGCCTAGTACTGATATTAGCAGCTGCCATAAAACGGCAAACACCAACATGAACAATTTTGGGCAATTCTCTCCTCCCTTCCCCGATCATCAGCAATTACCTGAAACATCGACTAATACAGCGCCTTTGATTGATGATGACGATTTGATGAACTTTCTCGAAAATGACCTGGATAAATACCTTACAACAACTAACCCCGGTAATGCTTTTGTAACTTCAGCGAACATACCTGGCATCAATTAAGCAGATTCGATTGATTTATACAGCCTGCAGCAATTTTGTAAATAGTTCCTTGTAATAGAGAAATAAAAGGTTATTCGTTCTTTTTTTTTTGGTTGCCTTCGAATCAATTCGAACGTATATACCATTTCGAAAAGTACAATGCTTACATATTCTATCCCGTTATTGTTTATGCCAAGCTACGATGAAAGAAAGAAGTGATGGAACGCTAAAATTTTGCTTTGACCTTCTAATATCATGCAGGAGCCCTTCGCCAATGAGCCGTGGCTGTGTGTCTGACTTTTCTGGAATGATCCACATCTACATCCATGTGAAGGATTCTTATAAGGACAGACAGCATACTAGCATTGGTTCTTACTACTCGAAAATATACAAAATACAGCATAATCTGGCTGCATTTAAGCCGCAATTTCTTGCGTTAGAAGCCGTTTTAGACTGCCGGAATAGCACCAAACGATTGCTTTCATTGAGCAGTGGTTTCCTGATACCTTTGCTCAACTTTTTTCAGATCGTCAAAAATCGACCAAAAACCCATGAGGGATACCTCATGATTTTTATCAAAAATCAAACGATCGCATTTTTGACACTAAAAATAAAGGCTTTTACTAAGGCATATATTAGATCAAAATGCTTCTCTCGATCCAAAGCAACATTTGAAACCTTGTTTGTGAGGCCTTTATATGCGAAATTTCGACATTTTGGCCATAAAAGTTATTCCATATTTTTATTCATTGCTCAATAAGTTTGTTCAAAATACCTATTTTAATTATCACTATTGAATCCGTCTCTAAAAGTACTCTAAGAAAGCTTAAGAGAGTATGGGATGGTTAACACAGTTTATATAGTCGAATCCTGCAAAATATATCAAACAGGTCGAATTTAGATCAAAAACTTTCAAATTGGAGCAATCAGATCATAAGCGGAATTTGAATTAGGTTTGGCCAGCAAACATCTTTCACCTAGGAGGCAATGATGATTTCGAAGCTAATATGAAGGGAAATATGAAATGAAGCGTGCTGTAGCATAGCTTGGCTGCTTTTTGTCGATTTTTTTTTACTTATTCCTATAATCGACAGATTCGCTCGTTAAACAAGGCTCAATCAATTACAGATTCTAATTATCGCCCTTATCGGAACTGCATTCAACATTTTGAATGTGAATGTATTCAGTTCTTGAATGATAATAATGGTGCTGATTAGGTATATGCCAGATCCATGACTGTTGTTGAATGGTAGCAAAGAGCTTAAAAAAGAAGCACGCTATTCCCTGTATAATCTCGGATTGCATTGTGCTCTGTGTATGGAGCCAGCTGAGCATGTTCTGCCGCTGAATACACCCATTACCAGCTATTATACATTGTTTGATAGAAACCCATCTTCTCATCAAAGTGCTTACGAATGTTCCCTTTTAGGCAAATAAAGTATTACTACCCTGCATTAACGTCAATCTCACTGTCTGCTGTGTGAAAGTCTCACAAATCAGTGTATTGTCCTGTCATGTGATATCTACTGAATACATGTCCATCCCCAAGTATATCATATGAATAAATTTACGCTTTTGTTTTCACTGATGATTCTGTATCATAACCCCACCGTTTGCTAGCAAGAATTCTTATAAATCATTATGAGCAATTCCCCTTTTTTCTTATTTTACTCTACTAAACAAAATGTCTCTTGTGTATACTTCAGCCGAATCAATTGAAGACTTTGCAACTTGTCTTAGAGGGACATACGTAACAGGTAGCTTTATTTGCTATAATAGATCGCCTACGTCAACACTGACTGATTCCCATAGGCAAATCAAGAGACGCATTTGCAAGAAAGTTCTACCTCGAACGTCTTCATGCTCTTGTCAAGGAGAACGAGGAATTGTTTTACGATGCCTTAGCCAAAGATTTGAACAAATCAAGAGCGGAAGCATTGACAAGTGAGATCAGCCCTGTTCTAGAAGAATGTGCTTACTTTCTTGACGTAAGTAAAAAGCGTAAACGTTAGGTTTGATTGATTGCTAATTCAGTGTTTAGAACTATGACAGTCTAGTCAAAGATAAGAAAGTAAAATCACGCTCTGGAGCTAATAGAACAGATAGTGCTTACATTCGTCGTGAAGCTTTGGGCGTCGTTTTGATTATCTGTAGGTTAAGGAAATGAATTTTGTCTATCCTTGATACACACTAACCTGATGTTCATAGCAACCTGGAACTACCCTCTTCAGGTAAATAAGTGGAAGCATCTCATAAACCTATAATCGACTAACAATGAATGCAGCTTTCTCTAGTCCCATTAGGTAATAATAGGATTTGTATAACATATAAAAAGCACGCTCTAACCGTGGTATAGCTGGTGCACTTGCTGCTGGTAACTGTGCTGTTATCAAGGTATGATGGGAATTACCAAAGATGTAGGTATTTGCTGATGCATTTGAATAGCTCTCTGAAATTTCAGTGCACACATCGGCATTAATTACAGAGCTTTTGCCCAAATATCTCGATGCTGCCATGTACCGTGTAGTCAATGGTGGTGTTGAGGAAACACAACACTTGCTTCGACAGAAATTTGACCATATTTTTTACACTGGAAATTCTCAGGTAGCCAAATCTGTCATGGCAGCTGCATCCCAACATTTGACGCCTGTCACTTTGGAGCTTGGTGGAAAATCGTAAGCTGTTTATTCAATTTGATGTGAATATAACATAGACCAATCTTTGTATGTAGACCGGCTATTGTTACAGAAGATGCCGACATGCAAATTGTAGCTAATCGATTGGCTTTTGGCAAGTTTTTTAACGCTGGACAGGTACAAATCTCAAATACATGTGCATTGGCACTACGCTAAATCCATCACCAGAGTTGTGTTGCTGTAGATTATGTCTTTGTGCCAAAATCTCGCCAACAAGAGTTCTTAGCTGCCATTGGCAAGACACTGAACTCCTGGTACGGAAGAAACCCTCAAGCATCCAAAGATTACGGCCGTATTATCAATCACCGTCATTTCGACCGAATTGTGGCGCTTTTAAACAATCGATCCAGTGGAAACATTGCAATTGGGGGTCAAACTGACCGTGAAAGTCGATACATTGCACCTACTGTCATTTCTGACGTGAGATTTGATGATGCCTCATTGATGGAAAGCGAGATTTTTGGTCCTTTGCTGCCAGTGATTCCTTATTCAGATGTTGAAGAAACTATGGGCTTGATCTCCAAAAAGGAACCTCCACTTGCATTGTATTTATTCACCAAGAGCAGTAACACTATCAAGAAGGGTAATTCATTTGTGTTTATAAGATGAGCAAATCAGTATTCATCCAAATTGTATAGTGCTGGGTTACACTACTTCTGGCGGCGTCACCATCAATGACACTTTAATGCATCAATCAGGTATATGCTTGGCTATGACATTCAAATACGTATGATTCTGACATGCTTGTCTAGAATACGCTCTGCCATTCGGTGGTGTTGGAGCATCTGGTATGGGTGGCTATCACGGAGAGCGATCATTTCAATGCTTCTCGCATGAACGTGGCATTCTTGTCAAGAAACAAAGATTAGAGTGGTTGCTTCAATCTCGCTATCCTCCAGTGTCTAAAGCCAAGTTGACCATCTTGAGAGCAGTGCTGATCACAAATCCTGTTCATTTTTGGTTTATTGTCTTTAAGAGACCTGTCAAATGGGCTGCTTTGATTGTGGTCATTCTGGGCATTTTTATCAAAAGGCATTTAGCTTAATGTTATATACTTTGAAATGAAGTAAAAACATATATTTATTTGTAATATGCAGAGGGTGGTTGGGGGAGGGGGGGAGGGTATCCAGTGAGTATAGAAAACATTACTTATTGCGAGTCTTAATCCTTCTCTTCCTGAGAAAAAGAGATGATTTGTTGTTCTACTAGCATCAGGTCAGAAGCAATCCTGAAATCTACTCATTTCTGGCGAGGGCTTAACGTATTGATGTGAGCGGCTTCTTGTTTCTAGGAATAGCCTTCGTTGTCATCCTCTGATGGAAACAACTTTAAATTGATAAAATCAGTAATAAGACAGATTGCATTTGTGAATATGGATGAGTGTACCTCATCAAATGCTCTCTTCCAGAGCTCTCAAGCTCCAGAATTACTCAAAACAGGATATAATACGATCCCCACTGCATGTAAATTACATAGATATGAACGTTTCCCTGCGTTTCCCTGTATTCCCATGTAGTGTTATTCGTATCCCTGAGTTTTCCGTCCATTTCCGTGCCAAAATCATTTCTTTTTGTAAGGCGGTACCAGTGGCGTTTCCTTGCTATCTATGTATGCAATTTGGGGAAAGAGTGGATTGGGAAGAGGGAAGTTCAGCTTTGCCAGAATATATGTCGAAATGGCATTGGATGAGCCAACCAACAGTACCCATTGATAAATTTTTTTTGAATGTAATGATTACCTGAATGTTTTGTCAGCATCAAATAAAACAGGATTCATTAGTCAAGCAATCAGTTGCTTGGCTATATAATGGGCCTTCTCAGGTTTAAATTGAGTTCTATAATCTGACATGATTCTAGCATGTGCATGTGAACTTTGAAACGTGTTCTCCAGTATCATCATGCAAATAATGTATAGAGTGTACCTATTTTCTGGCTGGCTGATGTCCAGCATGCTGAAATTCAACTGCAAAAGACTAGTTTCCCTGGCCGACGCGGTGAGTCTTGGTCTTCTTTTAATTCTTTTACTTCTGTAATAAACAAAAAGCCAAGCGTCGAGACAGCAATATCATAAATCCATCAGGGCAATACCAAAGACTTTCTTTTAGCTTTATCAAACCAAAAAAGTTCAACAATATCGCTCATAGGCTGAATCAGAGATGAGTGTAGGATTAATAGGAATTTTGCATTAGGAAAGATTCCCTAACAAGTATAGCACACAATAGGACCCATATCAAACCAAGGTGAATGAGCTCAAGGCCAAGATCGTTCAGAATGAAAGGATGCGCGACAAAGCATACCAATTGAAGCCGCTCTTGACTGATCGCAATGCTCTCTCTCAGTGTGACACTGAAATAAGAGAGTGTCAAAAGTATATTGATTACTTTACAGAGGAACTTGCCAAGATGGCAACCAAGAAGGAGTTGGATATAGACCACAGCAACGGCAGTACATCAGATGGACATCTCAATCCCCGTGATGGCTCAACTCCTCCTCGCACAAGCAGCATTGGCCCTTCCTCAGACACCCATCATCCAGTGAAAAAATATTCAACGCTAGGTAATGCCAAGCATGATGTAACCAGCGTGTGTGCATGAAATACTGACATTGGGCACAGATTTGCTGACCACGGACACTTTATACAACAAATCAAAGGTGTCTCTCAAACTGCATGAACTAGAGTACAAGCTAGATGTCGAGAACAAAGTGTTGGCAGGTATCAAAACAATGGCTGATGTCATGGACAGAGATCCTTCCTTGAGCGACAGAAGAAGACGCATGGAACTTCAAGGACAAATGTACGAGAGCATTGAGAAATTGAATCTTTTGACAAAGGCCTTGCGGAAGTACAAGAGTCTGTATATTGGAGAGGGAGACGATGACGATGATTATGGTGAGAAACAGCTCTTTCATATAGTGTGTATATCCATCGATTAACCATGTTCGTGTACATAGAACTGGAAACGCCACCATCAGCTCGTATGCCTCCAGGCTTCAGAAGGCCAGTGACAGGAAAGCTACAGCTTGAACTTGTACAGGCACGCGGGCTTGCTCATGCGCCCACGAGAATGTTCAAAATGCCAGACACGATTGTCTATGTCAAAATTGATGGCAACATTGTGTATCGATCCAAGCTGTCTCGCAATGACAAATGGCTCGACATGTGCGAGACACATGTCAACAAGGCAACCGAAGTTGAAATCTCTATCTACGATCAAGAGGCAGAGCGCAGTTTACCTATTGGTATATTTTGGCTCAAGATCACTGACATTGCAGAGGGCTTACGTAAGAAGAAGATCCAACAAGAGAGTGGCCCTGGCTGGGTACCAGCTGAAGTGTATCAAAAGCAAGAGCAGAAGGGCATTGATCCTACTACTAACCAGCAGCAACAGCCACAAATTGTCCCTCAGCAGCCATCCCATGCTGAGTCTACGCAAGACGGCATCCAAGCTTGGTTTGATGTGGAGCCCTCGGGTGAAATGCTACTTCGAGTGAACTTTGTGCGTGAGGCTGCCAATCGTCGTCCATTGGACAAGTTGGGTCGTGCTGGTGCTGTCAGACAAAGACGTGAGGAAGTCCATGAAATGAATGGCCATCAATTTGTCGAGAAGAAGTTTTACAACATCATGCGCTGTGCTCTGTGCGGGGAGTTCATGGTCAACAGTGGTTATCAGTGTGAAGATTGTGAGTACACATGTCACAGAAAGTGCTTTACAAAGGTGGTTACCAAGTGCATTTCCAAAGCGAATGCCGACAAGGATGCTGATGAAGACAAGCTGAACCATCGCATTCCTCATCGTTTCGAGCCCATCACCAACATTGGCGCCAATTGGTGTTGTCATTGTGGATACATGTTACCCTTGGGATCTAAAGGTGCTAAAAAGTGCTCTGAATGTGGTGTTACTTGCCATACAAAATGTCAACATTTTATTCCTGATTTTTGTGGTTTATCCATGGAAATGGCAAATCAGATGCTGGCTGAAATCAAGGCAGCCAACAAGCGCAAGACCCTGGAAGGTGCTACTGTCACTCCATCTACCTCTTCGACTACAAGCAGCAATAAGCCAAGTCGTTCATCACGCCATGAGGACGAGAATAAGCTCAGTGATCAAATGTCTCAATTGTCGTTGAATCAACAAAAGCCGCTGCCTGTTCCTCAGCAACAGCAACAGCAACAACAGCAACAACAGCAACAACAGCAACAACAACAACAGCAGCAGCAACATATGCAAATGCCACCTAGTCCTGTTGGCCGCATTCAATCTTCTCCTCCACCCCTATTACCCCCTCATGGCCAGCCTTACCAGCCTCAACAACAGCAATACCCAGTTCAAACCAATGATCCTCGTTACCAGCAACAACAACCATTTGATCCTCGCTATCAACAGCAAGCCCGTCCTCAATCACCTTATCAACAGCCTGTTTCTGGTGGCAATTCACCCAACATACGTCCTGTGTACACGCAGACACCGTCTGCGATGGAAGTAGCACGTCCGCCTGTGCAAACAAAACCAGTGCAACAACAGCAGCAACAGCAACAAGTGCAGCAGCAGCAAGCAGCTCAAAGACGTGTTACACTCAACGATTTCAACTTTTTGTTTGTTCTTGGTAAAGGTAACTTTGGCAAAGTCATGTTGGCAGAGGACAAATATGATAAGCGTCTTTACGCTGTCAAAGTGCTAAAGAAGCGTTTTATCATTGACAATGATGAAATTGAAAGGTATACGCTTATACTGGCTTGCTTTGTGAGCTGAATACTCATCTAGTTGATATGTAGCGTTCGATCAGAGAAACGCATCTTCCAAGCTGCTAATCGTGAAAGACATCCCTTCTTGATTGGTCTTCAATCATGTTTCCAAACCGAATCTCGCGTCTACTTTGTCATGGAGTATGTCAGTGGTGGTGATTTGATGTGGCACATTCAAAGAGAACCATTTTCTGAAAGACGAGCCAAGTTCTATGCCTGCGAAGTCTTGTTGGCATTGGAGTATTTCCACAGTCAGGGTATCATTTATCGTGATCTGAAGCTGGACAACATCATGTTGGGATTGGATGGTCATATCAAGGTGGCTGATTACGGTCTCTGTAAAGAAAACATCTGGTATGATGACACTACAGGCACTTTCTGTGGTACACCCGAGTTTATGGCACCTGAAATCCTGCTGGAACAAAAGTATGGCCGTGCTGTAGACTGGTGGGCATTTGGTGTCCTTGTGTATGAAATGCTGTTGGGTCAATCACCATTCCGTGGTGAAGACGAGGATGAAATTTTCGACGCTATCCTCGAAGATGAGATCCTTTATCCTGTAAATATGTCGAGAGATTCCGTCTCCATCTGTCAGAGAGTAAGTGTGGATACGTAGAGTATACTATCGTGGTTATTGATGCGTTGCATGAATGTTAGCTGTTGAATCGTGATCCCAAAAAGAGATTAGGTGCTGGTCCATCCGATGCTGCCGAGATCAAAGAGCATCCCTTCTTCCATGGCGTTAATTGGGATGACATGCTTGCCAAGCGTGTACCTCCTCCCTTCTGCCCGTCTATCACTGGTCCTCTTGATACATCTAACTTTGACGAAGAATTTACGCGTGAGAGACCTGCCTTAACTCCCATCAACAGTGTCCTGAATCGTGTCGAACAACAAGAATTTCAAGCATTCTCCTATGTTGCTGATTGGACTCAAGCAGGGCCATCATGGTAAACTAATTTATGTCTTTTTTTTTTCTCTTATTTCAAATAAACAATGATCAATTCATTTATTTCTTGTGGAGACGCACTCTTTCAAGGTAAGCATCCCAGCCAGCTTGACGATAACGCTTGGCTTGAGCCTCAACTTGATCTGGGTTGCCATAGATACCACGGCCGACAATAATGATATCTCCTCCACTCTCCACAATAACTTCATGAGGGGTTCTGTATTGCTGTCCCAAACCGTCTCCTTTGACATCGAGACCAACACCAGGAGACATGACTACGAAATCTTCATCATCATACTCGTTCATCTTGTGTTGAGCAATGAAGCCAAAAACGAAATCCTTATTACGACGAGCCATTTCAACAGACTCGGATGTGTAGCTACCTTTGGTCAAGGCACCCTTGGATGACATCTCAGCCAGCAAAAGCAAACCACGGCCAAGAGGGAGGCCGATTTCACCAAGACCCTTGATGATACCTTCTCCAGGAACAGTGTGTGCATTTGTAATGTGAGACCAAGAGGCAATCTTGTAGACACCATTGGCATATTGATGCTTGACAGTGTTGCCTAGCAACTAAAATGAATATCGATCTTGACAGCTCACTCTCAAATCAAGCTTACCAATATCAGCAAATTTACGATCTTCAAAGATCAAAAAGTCATGCTTTTTTGCCAATTGCTCCAATTGAGCAACTAAATCATGGTCAAAGTCTTCAACAATGTCAATGTGTGTCTTGTTGTATGCTTTTAATCAAGGGAACTAATGTCATGTGTGATGCAATTTTTTGATTTACCTTGAGCACACAAACAAAAGGGCCCACAGCATCAGCGATGGATAATAATTCCTTCTTTGTAGTAACATCAACAGCAACAGATAAATTGGATTGCTTACGCTCCATCAATTCAAAAAGAGAGCGAGCACAGGCATTGGGATGTTGTTGTCCACGTTCGGTATAAGTCTTGTAAGTGTTCATATTAGAATTAATTTATTACTAAAGAAGTGGATGATGGATGAAATGATTAAAATGTTTTTTTTTTCTAGCTTGGAACTAAAGTCACGGATCTTCTTCCTCTATAGGTGATAAAAGACCTGATGAAGACGATGGTTTGCGATCTAATAAGCTCATACGTAGATTGTCAAAGCTTCCAGAAGGCAGGGAACTGTAGACCTTCTTTACCCACTCACTTTCCATTCGAAATATCACCCAAATCCAACGTCTAAACACTTCGAGTAGTTCCATCAAAAAGATGCTTCCATCCAGTTTCCGAATGTAGATGTGTGAACTTAGTTTCAGACTCCAGGTGATGCGAAGAAGGAAATCAAAGAAGATTGCAACAATGTACCAAATGGGCTGTGAAAAGTAGAGTTGTCGTCGAAAATGTACAATGGGCGTTGCGTGCTTTTGTGGTGGTAGTTGTACGGTTTTGTGGTGCCTATTCTCTTCTGTTTGTGGAGTGTCAAATGTAATGCTTAAAAGGTTCCAATCCATTGAAATATCCCACCAAAATGAATACATGGAGTTAATAAACACAAACATCATCCTAGACTTTCGCTGTTAATCATTTGCCCGGTAGGTTTCCCTGTGTCCTTTACATACCAGAACCTAAATATGGTGTCCTCTTTCAAGTACCAATGTTGAGGTACGGTGCCTGATTCTGCAATGTAAATGGCGGCTTTTCTCTGAACAGCTGAGAATACGACTACTGGTATCGATGATGTGTATTTGAGTGCATTAAATATATGTCGCCTTTCCTTTGATTCGATATATTCGGCTATACATTGTTTTAATCGGATCAGATAAGGAAGACTGTGCAATGGAGTTGTTAGTTGTCATTCAGAGACACATGTATCTTGTAACCTGCCTTATTAAGAGGGGGATCATGTAGTCTCTATAGTACAGATTGTGCGTATTATCCATGAAATAAGATGAATCATGTCCAGTAAGCATCACGCACGATGCTATAAACAAATCGCCAAATACATTCGAGAAACTGGTCAACATATCTGCCAAAATGATATCAGAGAAAAAGACTGGAGCAAATATGTTGATTGAAAACACTCTCTTTAACATCCTGAGTAATGTACGAGTTAGTATGTAGTACGCAAAAAGGATCATAAAACATTTACCTCGTGAAACGAACTCTTTCCCTTCGTTGCAGGGACTTCCCTGGCCAAAGCAATAACACTAGGGCAGAGATATATGGAACGATAGCCAAGGCTTTATCATAAAGCCAGTAGATAACCAGATTGGCAATGACGATGAGAGATAGTATGCCTGATAGTATGAATATTGGCTTATAGAGTGGTGTATGTTTGTCGGTTTGGTGAAGCTGCAGTAATGACACAGGGTCTATCGAGTACTTTGAAAGAATAAGCAGGTTCATGGCCCATCCGAATATACCTATTGAGAACAGAACGATGGGTCTATATGTAATAGGTAAGATTGTACCCTCTACATCCATGGGAAGGGGTTTTTAAATATAAAAGGAGTGATCAAGGTGAAAAAGAAAAATCCTGGTTGAGGTAATAGAACTCTTTAATTTCAAAGAACGTAACACAGAATGATTTACATTAGGCTTGGTTTAATGCCCTCCTTCTATTCTTTCTTTACTATCATTACTGCACTCGATAGTATCAGTAAAATGGCCATCAAAGAAGTACAGAAGCCTGGAAAAGGAGTTTCTACAAAGTTGGTGATGGTAATGAAGATTGTAACTTACTTAGTCAACCGTTGAATGTGGCTAGCTATTGCAAGTACGTCAACTTACTTCTTGAAGATGCCAAAAACCAAAGAATTGCTTACTTGAAAGTAAGCAGGAGTTATTCGCATCAAGAGCAGAGAAGAGACAAGAGAAGAAGAGATAGTAGAAGCCAATTGGAACTTCATACATAAGGGTCAAATGTAGGCATATTCAGCTGCAGAGCATGGATGCTTTGAGATAAACGCTAGCTTAGAAAGAGACAAGGCAAGAGGAAGGCAACAACGGCTGAGGATGCAGAAGGCGGCAAAGGTGATGGATGTTTTTGTCAGGGGAATTGGAGGAAAGCCATTGTGTAGTTTAATGTAGGTTAGAAATTAAAAGGCTTCTAGCAAGCTGTAGATTTATCTTTCCTCGCCACTACATTGGGAGGCACCTCAATTTTCCCCTTGCTATCACAGACAAATTTTGGCCAAAAATTGATGATGCCGAATCGCTCGTGGAGAGTCCTTACATGGCTTATATTACCAGTTTCGACCAAATGGAGCCTATATTCTTGATGAATCTAGGAAAAAAAAACATTGTATATTTCCAAATCTGAGGCAGATTGGAAGATGCAATTGCTGACATGAGTTGTTCACACACCTAATACTGTACCTCTCACTTCATGGGAAGTACAATGGGATTGAATTCATCAAAGCTTGTGAATTAAATAACTCTTGTAAAAATGGTCTAAATTGAAAATATCATCTCTGTAGAATGGTATGGACAATAATGTTCTTGTCTATTACACGATTAAAGGAGGCAACATACACGTCATGTATCCGTTTAGATTCGAAACAGTATCATGAGTTTTCAATTTATAGTGTGATGTATACCAATATTGAAGGGGCAAAAATTAGTTTGTTTGCCGGGATACGATATATGAAAGAACCATTTCAATTTCAAATCTCAATATGATACCCCTCTTTTACTCACAAGCATATCATTCATCATTTGCACACCATCAGTCTTATTACACATGGTGAAGTCTTGGATAGGTTCGCTTTTGCAGCAAGGCAATAGTAAATAGTACTACTGAGCTCTATTTCCTGTAAATCGTTACATAGTGATGCTATAAATGATTCACGCAACCGTTTCCATTGCCGTTTTCTTGCATTTCTGCTCCTTGATCAGTCGAGTCCTTTTACAGGAAACAGTAAGTATCACTATCATTGGTTTTTTTTTCTCTCTCTTTCTCTCTCTTTCTCGAGCATATATAATGGGCATTTGCTACTCAGGAGAAGATGCAAGGGAGGCTGAAAGAAGTTGCCAGATTGACAAGCAACTCGAAAAAGAAAAGATCAAGCAAGAATACAAAATTCTGTTATTAGGTAAGATGGACATTTAGCCTTAATGGTGCCAATTTAGATTGACTCAATATTTTTCTGCGGTTTTCAGGCAGTGGAGAGTCTGGGAAGTCAACTATATTAAAACAAATGAAGATTATCAATCAAAACGGATATACCAAAGATGAATTGCAATCATGGAGAACAATAGTGTATAAAAACTTGGTTGAGTCCGCCCAAACATTGGTGCAGGCTATTCTTACCTTTGACCTGAAGTTTGATAATGGTGTGAACAATGTGAGTGCGATCGCTTGCGTTGGGATGTTGTCAGAAATATCTGACGCATAAATATAGGAAAAGACAATGATTATCAAAAGTTACAAATTCTCGGGCGATAGTCGAATAATACTGGACGCATCCCTTATAGAAGCAATTGAGAGTGTTTGGGCCGATACAACTACGAAATTCTGTATTGAAGACAAAGCAAGTGAATTTTATTTGATGGATTCTGCGCCATAGTAAGATCTTCTTATCCAAAAATAGTTCATTGCACTCACACTAGTATGGATAGCTTTTTTGAGGACATAAAACGCATTGCAGAAGCTGATTACATTCCTAACGAACAAGATGTGTTGCGAGCAAGACTCAAAACGACTGGAATCACCGAGATTAAGTTTGCCCACGAAAAGCATACCTCAATACAGTAAGTAATCGGCGAGAGGGAAAATGAGCTGCACTGGCGATGATCCAGCCGACCAAGACAATCCTGAGAAGTTTGATTAACTTGTTCGTATATATACTTAGCATGTTTGATGTAGGTGGACAAAGATCCAAGCGACGAAAGTGGATTCATTGTTTTGAAGCCGTCAGTTCGATTATATTCTGTGTCGCTCTCAGTGAGTACGATCAAGTTTTACTTGAAGAAACGCGCCAGGTAAGAACAATAGTAACTAATGTTGGAGGTTTGGAAATTCACAAATTCATTCTATAGAATCGGATGTTAGAAAGCATTGCATTGTTTGAGTCTGTAGTCAATAGTCGCTGGTTTCTATATACATCAATCATGCTTTTTCTCAATAAGGTTGATCTTTTCAAGGCCAAAGTCGCCAGGGTGCCTCTCGAAAAGTACTTCCCAGATTACGGAGGTAAAATTTATATCCCATACACAGTTTTTGACACCCTGTAACACTGTAGTAGGAGGTGCTGATATCAACAAGGCTGTAAAATATATTTTATGGCGATTCCTGCAAGCCAACAGACCAAAATTGAACGTTTATCCCCAGTAAGTGGCTGCAATACCTAATGCTTTCCCTAATACTAACTAATAATATATAGTTTAACGCAAGCTACAAACACAAACAACGTAGGTTGCACTGTACATATTCATAAAATAGCACTCAAACCTAATTGCGTATCATAGATTCGGTTTGTGTTTGTCACTGTTGAAGAAACATTGCTACAAAATGCACTGAAAGCGTCTGGAATGATGTAACGTCGGTACTGTTTGCACATTTGTAATATTATCATTCTGTTATAGACCATACTTAACTTATCATCAAGCATACACTATTCATTAATTAATAAATTACAATGCAATGCCCATTGTAGACTGCATAACTATAACTTGAATAGCAGAAGCTCAGTAACTTTTTACCATATCGCGCGTACGTAATAGGTAGAACAAAAAGTTTTTATAAGATACGAATGTGTGATGGCTCTCTACCTTTGCTTCGTTTCGGTGAGAACCATCCTGCACAGCGGCAGCTCGCGCTACCGATTGCCCTTGCGTATCTTATCATAATACTACTACGCTCATGTTGACACTCTACTTACCCATAAAAATCCTTTATATTATCTGTGAATCTAATTCTTGTGTGATGCTCTACATCCATATACACATAGCTACTTATATACAGGCAAGTATCATACTGGTATTTCCCATTTTCAGTCCATAGTCTCCCAGATACAGCAAAATCTATGGGCATTTCAGCCGCGTTTTCTCGCGTTCAAGGTCGTTTTAGATGGCAAGAATAGCACCAAACAGTTGCTCTCATCTGGCAGTTACTTTCTGACACCTTTGCTCAACTTTTTGGGGATCAAAAAAAAACATGGCCAAAAATTGACCAAAAAGCATGAGGTACCCCTCGTGGTTTTCACCAAAAATCAAACGATCGCATTTTTCACCTTGATAACGAAGACTTTTACTATGGTATATCTTGAATCAAAATGTTTCTCTCAATTCAGGGCAGCCCCTGAAACCATGTTTGTGGGACCTTCGTATGTAAAATCTCGACATTTTCGCCAAAAACGTTATTTCATAATCTCATGAATTGCTCAACAAGTTCACTAAAAACAGCCATTATAACTAGCATCATTGGATGCGCCTTGAAAAGTTCTCCTAGATAGCTTAAGGCTGTAAAGGATGATCACTACAACTTTCATAGCCGAATCTCGTAAAATAAATCTTTTTTTTTTTAAAATTTTGTTTATTGATTGATTCGCGTACACTGAGAGTAATAGGTCAGAGTGAAGAGGCGAGTGCAATTTAGATAAAGAATTGGATAACTATAAGCTAAAATATGAAGAATAATATACTAAACTAAACTATATAAAAAAAAACTATCTAATAATTGGCTTTGGATTACAGGAGGGAATGGCACTGATCTTCCGCAATGGTCTGACGAACACTGGTTCGAATACTGGCCAATATCGCTGTATGGTCCATAGGAACATTGTCATAGATGAACCTCATGTGGGCAAGCCACAGTTGACCAAGGGTGATAATGAGGATTCGGAAAGGCTTGATTCCAGCAATTTGGCAATACCAAACGTTGGAGAAATCAAGTTGCAGAAGAGCCTCTTTAATATCTAGAATCGAGGTGGTAGGCCACAGAAACTCGAAGATGACTCCCTGCCAAACTTTCTCTTTAGAAGGACAATGAAAGAGGAGGTGACTTGGGGAATCGTTCATAGACAAACAAACTGGACAGAGAGGAGACACAAAGACTTTGGGCATAATAAAATGCAAAAATCGACGGTGAGGAATTCGACCCAGAATGAGACGGTATATCACATTACGTTGGACAGTGGTAAGAGACAGGGACCAAAAAAATTTCCAGCTGGACGCAGAGATTTTGCGCAATGCCAAAGGAGAGACCACAGACGAAAGGACAGCCTGACGAAATGCCTTAGCCGAGGCCTGAACATTACCAAGAGGTTGATCATCAAGGAGACGAAACTGCTCAATCAAAGGAGCAAATGAGACGACTGAATCCTCTAAAGGAGCTGGGCTACAGACTGGCTCGAAGTAAGGTTGAAACTGTAATTTCCCTGTCGCTAGGCCTTTGAATACTGTGGAGGGAGTTCTTTTCCAGGTGAGCAGAGAGGGGTCGCGAGTATCCTTCCAATGGACGAAATTGAGCCGGGAATCATACTGAAAAACGTCGGCCACCATCATTTCTTTGACACGAAGGGGAAGCACGAAGCTGGAGGAGGGAGGTACAAACACTGCAGCCTGCAGTGGCAACGCCATAGCAGTAGCTGTATTAATGCGGGCAGAGCCAAAAGAACGAGGGAGATAATCAACAGCACGATATATCATATCCACAGTGCCAGTTCGTTGTTTCAGTAACCCTTGAGAACGAGACGAGGGAAAAAGCAAAGGGATTTGGTGAAATTGGCAGTTGTTAACATTTCGAATGTGATGGCTGAGAAGAGATGACACAGGATGGGCATCAATGGTGGATTGATCATACACCAACAAAGGTTGCAACCATCGAAAGTACAACGCTGAAGCTTGTAGCTGGATGTCGATCACCCCGAGACCACCTTGTTCCTTTGGGAGAGTCCAGACAGACCATGGGATGACGGGGAATATGTTCTTTCTCAAAAATTGTATGGCAAGAGATCTCAGCTGTTTGAAGTCTGCCAGAGTCAACGGAGTAACCCGTAGGATGTACCAAAGTTTGGAGAGCAAAAGAGAGTTCAAGACAGTAGCTCGACCGACAACCGACAGTGATCGAGTAGAATGTATTTGAGTGGCAATTTTGATCTTTGTTACCAGCGAGCCCATGAAGTTGACACGTTGGAGACGACTTTGAACCAAAGGAAACCCCAAATAGATTAAAGGTACATCATCTTCGACGGAATGTAGATGATTGATGTGGATTTGAGCCAACAAGGTCTCCCAAATATCCCATGTATCTCTGCCAGATACCGAAAAAGCCTCCACCTTATCGTAGTTGAATTTGGCATTGGAAGCGCCGCAATACCTGGACATATGTATTTGCAACCGAGCGAGATCAGCAGAATCATGGACAAATACCAAGGCATCATCAGCATAACACAGAAGCTTGGTTCGTTCAGTTCCCATAAGGTACCCTTGGAATTGACGATCGTTAATAATGGCCAACAAGAAGGGTTCAAAAGCTAGATTGTATAGGATTGGAGACAGTGGATCACCCTGCTTCAAACCTCTCAGTTTCGCCACTTCGGACGATAAGTGTCCATTGAGGTTGATGCGAATCAGGTTGTCACCCATTAACTTGTAGATGCATTTCACCAAAGGACGGGGGAAGCCAAATTTCAGCAAGACGTGCCGAAGGTAGTCTAAATTTACACGATCATACGCCTTTTCTTGATCAAGGAGAAGGCCAATATCAGTATCCAAAGAGCCAAATGTAGGATCGTCGTCCCGTTGTTCCGCAACTGTCCATTTTCGTTGTGCGTCTTCCATGATTAGTTGACAAATCATACCATTTTCAGCAATATATCGTCCTGGAATGAATCCTAACTGGTGGCGGCTGATAAGCTGGGTAGAGACGTCCATGATACGCCGGTTGATGCATCGAGTAAAAAGCTTGTAATCCGAGTTGGCCAAGGATAAAGGTCGATAGTTTTTCATGTGAGCTGGATCGCCTTTCTTGTACAAAAGACACATAATGGTTTCGTTCCAAGATTTAGGAAACTTACCCTTCTGTAGAGCTGTGTTGAATACATCGGTGACAAGGGCCTGCAACGGAGGATATTTCAAAACCAAGTACAGAATCTCGTAAGGCAGGCCATCTGGGCCAGGGCTACTGAGTCTGCGGGTGTGTTTGCTATCTTCCAAGAGTTCTTCCATGTCGATTGATAACATCAGAGATTCCTGCTGTTCACTAGAGATTTTCAAATGACCAGGAATGGATCGGATCAAGGTACTAAGAGCTACTGAATCAGTTGGGTCGGGAGTAAATAGAGTAGAGTAGAAGTTAGTCGCTATGGTGGAGATACCCTGTTGATCGCGACAGAGTTCATCAGTAGTGGGGTCCCTCAATTCAGTGATAGAGCGCTGATTCTCTCTGGCCAAAGCTCTCCTCTTCAGGAAACCAGCAGACTTCTCACCATTTTCCCTCCAAAACTTGCCGGCTTTGAGAATCTCAATTTCCGCTATAGTGTGTTGCAGTAGTTTGATTTGAGTATTGACATGATCTAGGCCTTGGAAAACCAAACCTCTATGCTTGTGTTGTCTCATCATCTTGTTTCGCTTGGACAATAACTGATGCAGTTGTTTCTTCCTCCAATTCAGATCTTCTAATTGAAATGACTTGATGAAAATCTTGACTTCAGCTTTTACCCAATCCCACTGTTGTTGAGGAGTAGAAAAGGATTTGATTAGTGTAAATTGCTCTTCATTAGCCAAGAGAAATTCGGCTAATGCCTTGCGAAACTGTCGATTGCGAGCCAAAAATGGGTTAGCCTTCCAGCTGCCAGGTCCTCGTCCATTGTTGTCTTGATACTTGAAAGTGAAGCCTAATAATTCATGATCCGTCCATTCTGGAGAGAGATACTGTTGATGGATACTAGGAATTTGATGATGAGCATTCGTACTGCAAAACACATAATCCAAGATGGCCGAGTTTCTCCCACTATGCCATGTTATCTGTTTGTCATCTCCAAAAATGTCAATGTAGTAGTCATCTAACAGATCCGTCCATTCCTTAGGGGCGCTAGACAATGTTCCGTCCATCCTTCGATCCTTGTATTGATAATTAAAGTCCCCCATAATAAAAGTGTTGTGTAGTGTGTTGGTAATAGTATCCTTAACAATGGGTATGTCAAGGAGTTCTGTATAAAAGGCTGATCGAGCTGATGGAAGCGATGATCGACCATATATGTTTAGAATAGTTGCAATTGGTGTTGTAGTTGTAGATTCCTGTATATCGCGAGTTAGGTGAACAGAAGCTAGTATATAGCGTCCCTCATCGATGCCTTCCGATATAAGATTAATTGTTAAATGTTTGTTGAGGGCTATGATGCCACAATGTTGTGTCCAGAGACTTGATTTGCTGATAAAATGATTATTGAGTATGTCAATTGATGTTGAGTTTGTAGCATGTGTTTCTTGTAACACCAGTATATCATATTCTAGTGTTCGAAGATATCGAATGAATTGTTGTCTTTTTTTGGGATTTTCTGATTTGATTAAGCCACGGCAATTGAGGGTGGCTATTT